CCCATGTGAGATATTGGGTCATGCCTCTGACGACCATTTGTACTATGAGTTTTTGTCCTTTGAGGGTTGGGTGGCTTTGTCTCCAATGTTTCAGGGATGCACCAATTTTGTCCAGCATGGTTGATCATGGAGTTGTGTTGTCCACTCCATTCCCGATCCATGCACCAAGTGACCGGATGGAGTCGCCATCATTAGTGATTCTAATGCCAAGTGGGAAGGCAACATTTGATGGGCTCATACAGCATGAGGTAATTACTTGATATTCTGGGGTGCCAATTGGAATGACTTCTGTTTTGTCGATATTGAACCATGCTGTGAAGGCTATGCACCATTGGTCAAGGATGTCAGTGCGGGTGGTGTAGTTGTCTCATTCCGAGAGGTAGGTTATCATATCATCAGCAAATAGGGTGATTATGATATTTTCCATGACACCAGGGATGGGGAAGCCTTCAATATCGGAGTTGCATAGGGAGCAGGCTAGCAATTCTATGGCAAGGTCGAAGAGGAGGCATGACAGGGGATCGCCTTGCCGTACACTGCGAGTTACTTGGAATGGCGTACTGCATTCACCGTTTATGATCACGACAGTTATGACTTGGTCGTAGAGTGATCGGATTGTGGAAATGAAGGAGAAGGGAATGCGAAAGGCAATGAGAGTTTTCCAGAGGTAGTCATGGGCCACGCGGTCATAGGCTTTTTCCTGATCTAGAGCAATGATTACCCCATTTTCTTTGACAGCTTCAGCATAGTGTATCATCATTTAGGACAGGCGTACTTGGTCAAATATGTTTCTGCCTGGGACAAAACCTGCTTGATTGGGGTGGATGATCAAAGGTGCACATCGTGCCAGTTTGATTGATAAAGCTTTGGTGAAGATCTTGTAGTCTGTGTTGAGGAGGGTGATTGGTCAGTAGTTTGTGATGTCAGAGCCAGCCTGTGGCAAATTCAGTGGTAGGGGAGACTCCATGGCATTCAATGTCATTGTATACCCAGATAGAAGTTGGAGGACATCAAAGGCTGGTTTTTGGCATGATGTGTGTTCCAGAAAGTGAGTGTGGAGGGTTTTCCGGAGTTCATATATGATGCCATTGATACTGGCAGCACACCCATTTTCACAGAGCTTGAGTGTGTTTAGGACATCATCTTGACAGAGGGACTGTGCAAATCTGGACCTGGCAGTGTCAGTGAGTGTTGTCTTAACTTTGGCAAGGACTGAAGTGGTAGTATCTGCACGTTCATCCGGCATGCATCTAGGAACATCAAGTTGGATGGTGTCATGGTAGTCCCTCACCAGTTCAGCCATTTTGTCAGATCGTGTGATGTATGTCGGGGGATCAGATTCGGGTTTTTTCAAGGAATAGATGGTGTCTCTGGGCTTCCAGGGGTTACAGATGGAGGACCAGTATGCCCCGACTTCCTTGCCTGCTGCGTGGAACTTGGCTTTGGTCATCATGCGTGTCTGTTTGTTGCAGAGGTGTTCTAGATTTGTGATCTGTTTCTGGAGGTTGTGAGCTTCGAGTTGTAGGTCTATTGATGTATCATAGTCTGGGTGGTTGTGGATAGCTTGTAGGGATTTTTGCAGAAGGTCAGACGTGTTGCGCAGTTTGGGCAGATTTTTTGGCTATCTTCTTCACGATGGTGGTGAGATTGTCTTTGTATTCCTTGAAGATAGTTTGTGCATTCCTCAACGGGGATCTGTCTTCGATGTCCTGTATTTTTTAGGTGGCAAGGCGTCCTTGAAGATCGATTTCATTTAGAAATTCTCGGCAGCTAAGTAGATGGGCAGGAATTGACCAGCATCCTTTCCCGATGAAGGGAGCGCCTGAGTCAGTTAGGTGTACCGACGCCAATTTGTGATCAGTTCGGACTGCAGTGTCCGAGATTGTCCAGTCGAGGGAGGTGTGGAGAAGGTCTTCCGATATGTATATGTGATCAATGCGTGATTTGCTTCCTCGTCCAGATGTTGGGTAGGTAAAGTTCCGGTCCGTGGGGTTTTAATGCGTGGCAAATTGATTGTTGACCCACATTAGAAACCTTTCGAGCTCATAAAGGAATCGGTGCCCAACACTCGACACCCAACGCCGACACCCTGATGGCACACTGCAGCACTGTGCTCGTCTTTGTCGATGCTGACCGCAGAGCGTCGAATATCCCTCAATGGTCTATGCCAGTGCAGCGTGCCCAGCACCACTGTGAACCTTGAAATTGTCATTGGTAGTGTGCATCAGCAAACTCGCACGAGTCTGGTGAGTCTGGTGCCAGACGCACTATACGCGCAATGCTGCCACAAATGCTCGTGGCACTACATTTGACCTACGTATTTCCACGATGCATTCTGTGGCACCATACACTTATCAGACAGAGAAGTCCGGTGCCATACTTGAGCCATACTCAAGCTATACTCGGGCCATACTCGAGCCATACTAGATCCACGATGGTCCAATTTTTGATAATTGAATATATGAAATATATTAGGACACTACTAGCTAATACTACAGGGATGGTATGGCAACTGAAGACACCGGCAACCAAGCTCAATCACAGAGTGATGGCACAACTGTGAGCGTGCTCAAGTGTGGCCACAATCGCGTTGTGCTCACTTGCGTGCGTCACAGAGAGCGCATCAGCGGGCGTAGTGCTGAGGGCATCTGAGTTGCCCTTGTGGAAGAGGTTCTGTGAGAGGCGACTGATGGTGCATTGTATCTTCTGAGTGTTGCGCGACTTCAGTGACTGACCATAAGATGCAACGGAATGCGGCGACCAAGGTCTTTCGCCCCCCATCCGAGCTGGAGAAAGAACGCGTGATTGTGCTTTAGGAGACCTGATCTGAGGAAAATGTTAGCTCCCCGTCGCTCGTTGCAATTCATCATATACCCGATTTGCCCCATTTGCACCAGCATCGGCAACAGACTGCATCTTGGTAGAGATAGGTCACGTGTGAACAGAGGGCGATGCCACAGATGCTGGCAGTGGGACTCCTGTGGCCATAGCTGGTGTCATCCCGAATTGCTGACAGAACTTTAGCAACTGGATACGCAGCACAACACAGGCCTTCCTACCTGGAACAGGTTGAGATGGCTAGACGTAAATGAAGCTATGTCGATAGGAAAAAGGGCAGTGTTCATCTTCAATAGCGCTAATTATTACAGCTCGTTGATAGTGGTTGCTTTGGAGACCTACCTGACCATTGTTCCAAGGAGCAGGGCCAGGGGGCAAAGGTCCGAAGTTGCCAAACGATGATCCATAGGATTCGAAGTGGGGACCAGGGGGATTAGGTTAGAATAAAGACGAACAAGTCTCAGAGGACATCGCTGAGCGTCAATGTATTGTGACTTATTTGGTTTGTTCAACAAAGTCACATGCTTTGTGGACTTAGCACACCGGATGCTTCAAAGTTCGAACATGAAACAAGCTCGACAGAATGTGGAGTCAAGTCAGTTGCCCTGTGGCCAGTAGCACATTCTCTACATGTACAGTAGTCAATATCATGCAATAAATTACAGTATATCTTGCTTGTGTTGTACTGTGGCAGGGAATCAGAATGTATGGTAGAGTATAGCTCAGTGTGGTGCCACACTAACCATAGCAACCATACGCACCAGACCAAACCATACTTGTGTGAGTTTGCTGATGTGCATGCGGTATTCGGAATATTCCCTCCCACTGCAGGCTCCTCGATCATCTCCCGAGGTCTTACAAGGTTGTTACAAACGGCACCAACACTGGAGGCAAAAGTGGATGTTCTGCCTTGGAACAGTGTCTGAACATCCAAGGAACAGATTACATTTTTGGACATGTCACATGTTCTGAACATGATAAGGAACATCTAATATGTCTCGCACAATGTTCTATTGGAGAGCATGCTGGAGACATGTTGCATGTACCATTCTGGAACATATAATATGTCTCACACAATGTCTCATTGGAGAATGTCCTGCAGACTTGCTGCATGTTTCATTCTGGAACATTTATTATTTTGCTACTATATTCTGGGCTTATCTCTTGATGCAATATGCTCTGTATAATAAGGATTTCCCATGGCCAAACACATTACATTTCTGGCTGCCGTTAATCTTCAGAACATTGTGAGAAGATGTTAAGTGCTCCTACTCCAAACATACAAGATGTCCTGACCACCAAGAACATCTGCAGTACATGTATGATACATACTAAAATTATACTAAAATTTTACATGTGCTGCAAATGTTCTTGGTGCCCAGGACATCTTGTATGTTTGGAGTAGGAGCACTTAACATCTTCTCACAATGTTCTGAAGATTAACGGCAGCCAGAAATGTAATGTGTTTGGCCATGGGAAATCCTTATTATACAGACATATTGCATCAAGAGATAAGCCCAGAATATAGTAGCAAAATAATAAATGTTCCAGAATGAAACATGCAGCAAGTCTGCAGGACATTCTCCAATGAGACATTGTGTGAGACATATTATATGTTCCAGAATGGTACATGCAACATGTCTCCAGCATGCTCTCCAATAGAACATTGTGCGAGACATATTAGATGTTCCTTATCATGTTCAGAACATGTGACATGTCCAAAAACGTAATCTGTTCCTTGGATGTTCAGACACTGTTCCAAGGCAGAACATCCACTTTTGCCCCCAGTGCAAGAGCAAGGGTGACGTTGCATAAGCGCCCATAGGGCGCCAATCGAATCTGAACAATTGAGTCTACACTCGACGTCGACCTGCCGCCTCTGCTCCACGACGATGTCCCGCTCATGTACATAACAACAACGCATGCCCTTTACCTCCTACGTTCACATCCAAAGACATCTGAGCATAGCCCTCCGCACAGGCCTTCTTCGGTCATCCTCCACCCCACATCTAGTCGTAATCCGCCGCATCGATCTCCACCTTGACGCCAACTCAAGCTCCCGTACGCATGCTGGCGCTCACCCTCTCTTACTTAGACTATCGCGTAGTGCAGTACACATCTCTACTACCGACCACCCCTTTTCAGTCAGAACGATATCGAGCATGTCCTCGATGGACCTGAGAGAACCCTCTCCGTCTGATGCCTCGGATGCGCTCTCCGAGTTTCTTTCACGCCAGAAGGAACGGTACCTCGACGCGGTGGCGCGCGGGACGGCGGGGGAGTGGACAGTCGTGATGGGGAACGAGGCAGGGGGTACGTCCACACCCGCCCTTTCCGCTCTGACTAGACTGACTCAGTTCCCAAATTTACGCAGATCTGGACTCGCTCGCCAGCGCGATCGCCTACGCCTATTACGCCGGCGTTGTGTCCAAGCATGCACCTACTATCCCGCTGGTGCAAACCCCGCGTGAGGACCTGCACCTGCGCGCAGAGAACCTGCACGCCCTCGCCCTTGCGGGCGTTGATCCCGCTCTCCTCCTCACCATCTCCGATTTGCCCTCTTCCTCATCCTCTTCACCCTTCCCCTCCACGAAATTCGTGCTGGTTGACCACAATCGCCTTGCGCCGGCTTTCTCTCATCCGAGTGCGCGTGTCGTCGCCGTCGTGGATCATCACGCGGACGAGGGCCTCTACGCGGACACTGCAGACCCGCGCCTGATCGAGGTGCCCACAGGCAGCTGCGCATCTATCGTCGCACGGCTCCTACAGCACACGGGAATGCGCATTCCGCGTGAGCTCGCGACGCTGCTCCTGTGTAGCATTCTCGTTGACACTGGAGGACTCAAGCCTGGCGGGAAGGCGGAAGACGCGGACCGCGCAGCGGCGGCGTTCCTCGCACCACTATCGACGCTCTCTCTTACCTGTCAAAATGAAGCCCTGATCCAAACCGAGACTCAGATAACAACTCAAGACGCGTCTTCGGAGGAGCTGCACGCCGTAGCGCCCATCCAAGCGCTCAACGCGACATTACAGACCAGAAAAGCGTCCGTCGCGCACCTCGGCACGCGCGACCTCCTCCGGCGCGACTACAAGGAGTACACCTACACGCTCCCCAGAGGAGCGGACGTATGCGTCGGGCTCGCGTCAGTGCCGGTTGGGCTGCACGCGTGGCTATCGCGAGAGCCCGGTGGTGCGTTTGGCACGGAGGCCGAGGCGTGGATGCGCACGCGCGAGCTTGACGTGCTCGGCGTGCTCACGTCGTTCCGCGACGCTGAGTCGGAGCACTCCGGGAAAAGCGGGCGGGGGAAGCATCGGCGCGAGCAACTGTACGTTGTGCGCGATAAGGCGCTTGCGGAAACGCTATTCTCGGGACTCGAGGAGAGCGAGGAGCTGAAGCTCAAGAGGAGAAAGTGGAAGGACTATGACCTCACCAAGGAGAAGGTTGGTTTCGGGGGAGACGTGGCGGTGCGAGTGTGGAAGCAGAAGAATGTGGACGCGACGAGGAAGACGACAGCCCCGCTTGTGAAAAGCATCATCGAGGGCGAGGGGAGGGGGAAGGGCGCGAGCTTGTAGCTGCGGGAGTATGCACCGTATCTTGACCGTGAGCAGTTTGGATATGACGTTGTATGATCTTGGCAGAGTAATGCTAATCGATCGATTTTTGACAAGATGTAGATGCAGTTCCCGATCGTCATCCAGATCTCTCTTTCAGCAAGTCCCTAGGATCGTGCGGATCAATAAGAGAAGCACAAACATCCCAGCAGGATAACCTCTCTTAGCCCAAGAAGGGGAACTATCGAGATTTTAGAAATCGCTTGACAAGTTATGGCAGAATTATGCGAAGACACTACTACCACTACAATTCATCCTAAGCCGCACTTCGCTACGCTGTATGCTGCATCGTAGACGTCTGCCACACGGCACTATACTCACAACCTCGCATACTCACCACTCCCCGGCGGGACACCATGCGGATTATACCGCAACGCCTCCTTATTCCCGCGCACGTCCTTGTCGATCGAGCTGTATCCTGCGACAGTCATTAAAATATCGAGGTCCTGCGCCAAGCCAGTCAGTTCCTCTCCTGCTACTGCCGAAGTGGGCAGGTACTCACCGCCAACAGGCTCTTCATAACGTGCCTGCACCCGGCCTCGCCCTCGTGCGCCATCCCCCAGATGTAGAGCCGCCCGACCTCGACGGCGTGCGCGCCGAGCGCGAGTGCTTTGAACACGTCCGCCCCCGTGCGCACGCCCGAATCGAAGATGATCGTCATTTCTGTCGGCTCGTTAACATGTGCAAGCTTCCACCGGGGTAGACTGAGAAAGGATAGAAGGAGCAGAGGAGGAAGGGGACACGCACTGTCACCAACGGCCTCGACGATCTCAGGCAGGACCTCCAAGCTCCCTACGGCGCCGTCGACTTGGCGGCCCGCATGGTTCGTGACGACGATACCTGCGCAACCGACTTCCAGTGCCCTCTGCGCGTCCGCCGCGTTCTGAATGCCCTTGAGCACAAACGGCCGCCCGCCCGAGATGCGGTTCCACTGCCGTCGCATGCACATCAGCGATTCCATAATCAGGCCCAGCGAACAAGAAAGGCGCACCTCGCCGATGAGCCAGCGCACCTTGTCCCACCCGTGCGCCTTGCCATGCCACACGGAGTGGTCGATCCACTTGCCCGAGTCTCGTTCGAGATCTTCCGCGTGCTTGCGCATGAACACCGGGTCGGACGTCCCCATCTCGTTGCCTACCGTCCCGGGATAGTAGAACCTACGGTCGGCGACAAGCTATCACAAGGTACTGGGACGCATAAGGTAAAGGAGACACGCACGTGTAGTTGGCGATGTTCATGTCCGTCGGGCGCCAGCCGAGCTGCCAGGTGTCTGTCGTAAGCATCAGTACGTCGTACCCCGCGCGCCAAGCACGATTCAGCAGCGACAGTGTCTATATAGCGATCAAGGTTCAGCCAGCCATCACTGTAGGTATCGACAGGAGGATGAGAACATGCTACTCACAATCTCATCGTCGTGTCCCATATAGAGCTGGAAGAACCGCGGACTCTGGGCGTTCCCACCGTTTGGGCCTGAGTTCGGATCGAGTCCCATTTATTCAGGTGCGGATGGTCGTAGGTGTCGTCATTCAAAATTTCATTGACGGTTGGATTTTCGTTGATGTCCGGTATATGCAGGTCCGCGTTAGCGCCAGTGAGCACAGCCAAAAAGGAGACGATTGCACCATCATAGCGCACGACGCTATTACTCTCGTTCTTGACTGCGGCGCCTGCGTCATTCGCACGCGCGACGTCCTCGAGCGGCTACGAGGCTGCAGTTGAGAGGCAGTACTGTGCAGGGGAGGTGGCTGTCAGCGGTCGATATCAAGATCAAGGAAGACGGCTCCATGTGAGCGAGTATGAGGTGGAGGAGCATCGAGCTGCTGAGAAAATTCGAGGCAGGTGCGCTCTTTCGCAGATAATCTAGGTAATTGGACACGGCAAGGCGCGGAGTGGCACCACTAGACTATTCTGGAGCTCGACTCTCTATGGCGCATCCTGGCTAATGCATGGCGGAAGCGTGAAAACGGGGTAGGATGGAACATTGACTCACCGGGAGACCGAGTTCGCCAGCGATCTTCGCGGGGACCAGTTCTCCAAGGGGAGTGTATAATTTGTTTATACCGATGGGGGCGAAGATGATGGGCGCGGGAACGCGATGTCCGAAGAGCGTCGCTGCGTGCACCAAACCACAGCGCGTCACTGGTCAGCGGCCCAACATCTATGGGAGAAGGAAAGGTGGGTACTCACTCGTTAAGTCGCGGACGTTCGTGTCGACGAGTGTGCGGGGAACAATGCGCCAGCGGTAGAAGGCTTCTCTGTTCGCCCTATCGGTCCAGCCGAGACCTGCATTCGAGTTGGCGTAGAAGTAACCGCGGTCAGTAAGCTTTTTCTTTGTGGATTCCTGCATTTCTTCTGGGTGCACGGAGAAGCTCGGTACTGTGCGCGTCAGTGGAACTGTGTCTGCCTACAGTAGGTGAGTGGACTTACGCTGTCCGGTGGTGCCGCCTTGCTTGAAAATCTCGCGCTGGTAGAGGGAGTAGTGGGGCGACGGGCCCTGGGGCTTGTTCTCGGGATCCATGGCGGCAAGTTGTTTTCTGTGCACGGAGTGGGATGGGAAGATGTTATATTGGATGAAAGGCTGATTACCGCCAAATTGACAGTCCACCGGCGCCTAACGCTGGAAGCGTCACGCGCGAGCCGAACGAGCCGAACGGCGCCGAGAAGGACCCCGTGAACCGGCGTCCGCGACGCGCTCGACGCGTGACGTCATCGATCGTTCACGCGTCACTAGCTCTTGTCCAACGCCTCCCCCACGTTTCCGGCTCTAGCTGCTGAGTGTCACATCCACAACATGAGAGGACGCAGAGGCGCGTAAAGTCACGTCGGAATGCTGTCGGAATCACCCCTGAGATTGAACAGGTACTTGATGCTTCGCGCAGCTCCGTGAGCGACCATCGTCACCATCCAAGACGAGATGTCGAGACGAAGCTGAGTCTACATGAGCATTTTTCTAACACCCACGAGCTTTCAAAACACTGATGTCATTGAAATGAAAAGAAGCGGGGAGAAGGCTGAGTGCTCAGCACCGACAACTTCCTCCAATCTCTATCCACACTGACATCACTTCAAAGCTGGAGAGAACAGAGGCAGTCAGGAGACAAAACTCCCACAGTAAAGTCAGAAGACGTTCTACATACTCAATCACAAAGGATTTTCCACCGTCGGCCCCGCCGGGTCCCCACCGCCATGCCTGCTCCCATCGTGGGCCTCAGCCGGCGTCCCGCCATACTGGACAGGTAACTGCTGTGCGGTGAGCCAGGAAGTGGGAGCGTATGCAGAGAATGAATTCGCATGCTAAATCTCCCAAGCGGGCTCCTCACCGCTGCAACTGGAGGCCGTTGAAAGGAAATGCAAAAAATAGGAATCTGTTTCGATAAATTAACAGCACTGCTCATGGTGACCTTGAGGGATGCAGGAGCCTCGAAGGCGTGATTTACGCCGGCTCCCAGAAGCGGTTGCCTATCTGGAGAAGCTGAAGGATTATCTGCGGCACAGAAACCCTCTCCCTGACGAGCCAACGTACGATGAACCTAGATCAGCGAGCCGAGTACAACCTTTACGCGGATTGTGCTACTGCATCCTCGTTACGTAACAAAATTAGCCGGAGGAAATTGCAGACAGATAAACGTATTTCAATAAAACGAACGGCTGCCGGAAAGCTGCCGAAGATGTCCAGCCAATCAGCGACGAGTCTCACCGCCCAGTTTGTCTCGCGTGCACTACAAACTTCAAGGTCCTTGAGCTTGAGCATCGAGAAATTTGCCGAGAAGTGTCTTATAACTAATTATCGCCCTGAATTTGCAGTGCTCAACTTCTGTACAATTCGCGGATGCGTGCAAGCGGAAAACGTGAGTTGATCGAGCAGATCAGTTGTACGCAAAGTTCTTCTATCGCTTCTCTCCTTTCGTCTGATCCGAGGGATAATTCTAAGGTGATACCAAAGGTGAGTCCATCTATAAGTCTAAAATTCATATTTCCGCTATCGGAGACAAACAACTTGAAGGGCGATATGCCATGCACTTTTCATGGCCAAGCAATATGTACTAGTCGAAGTGCGATTGGATGAGTTTTTAGCTCTTCTCTGCACACTTTCTGGTGTACACTAAACAACAACATCGTCAGTTGTCCTGTGGATGTCTAGCATTATCCAAAAATATTACGGGGAAATCCTAGCCTTCGATTTTCACTGCCACATGGGCCAGTGATGTCGTGCCAGGTCCCATCAGCAGCCTGGGACTCCCTCAATGACACTCCGCATTCCCAGGATCAACGCGAGATTGTCTCTCTTAGATCGTCGTGTGATCCAAATAAGCTACGGTGCTTCGGAAGGCCCATTAAGCGCCGATGCGATGTCCGGTCGGGACGATCTTGACTTCCAAATTCCTGCTATATGAAGCTTAAAGATGCTATACTTGTCGCCTGTACTTCTGTATCCAATCTATACTTGTAGTTCCGACTTCACGGCGAGAGCCGATATCAAGATGGCGGATATTGAACGCACCTGTCTGTCTCGTTCTATCGTGCTATTGGGTCTTAGCCTAGTCTCACAGTCTCAGGAAGTCTGCAATGTATCAAGTACCCCTGGTTTCCGCCAATCTCGCAACGGTGCCCGTTCAGAGTTTCTTCTATGGCGTGTTCTTCCTACTCTTCGTCACCTCGACGTACAATGCACAGCTCAGTGTATCTGATATGCGCTCTGTCTGGAGGAACTCTATGTTTTCAGCCGGCATTGAGATGTTTCTACGCATCACAGGGGTCCGTCTTTTCCGATTCAAGTGCCGTATTGACGAGGCGAGTGATGCGTCAGTAGCAATGAATCCTCACTGTAGTCAGGGCATTTGATGCCTGCCTCTATTTTGACAGTGGCGCGTCGCCGCTCACCTTCTACTCTGACTTGGCCCCGAAGACCAAGGTTGTGGGCCTCTCCTTGGCAGACGTGACACTAGCCGTAGGAGATGCAGCTCTAGTGATTCCACAATCCTTGTCCACCTCTTCATGGAACTACCACAAACGCGTTGCTGTAGTTACCCTTCTCATCTTTGCCACTTCACTCAAGGATCCCCATTATGGAGCTGACCGCGATGTCACCATATTCAGGCACGTATTTGGCCGCTGGTGACCATCTCCAACGCACTGGACCTCGTGTATGTCGCTGCTCGTGTCGCCGCGTATACTCACCGACGACATTGCGCATACGTCGGATGTTCCAGTGAGCTATGTGACAGAATAGTTGATTTCATGGCGGCTATGGCGCTCGCGATCGCATACCAGGATAACAACGCAGTGGCAGCAACACCATGGTTGTTTGTTGGTTCTCAACATCATTATTCCTCCCAATGGTGCACGTCTGGTGCAGCGAGTGCTGGGGATATTCGTCCAAAGTGCCGCTTCATATGTGCATGAGCCATTCAAGTTCTCTCATAAATTGTTCAACTTATCTTTCAGCAGAACGTGGACCATCTTCTTCATCATGTGCTAGAAATGCAGCGTCCAGTACACTGTCTGCAACACCTGGCCGTCCATCTCCGGCATCACGTACATTCTCATTTTCGTGCGCGCCGGGTTCAGCTGGGCACACGATAGACATTCCATACAAGGGCACACAATCGCAGGGATACCGAATCTATAGCACTTCCATCATTTGCGGTGCAGATGGAGAAAGTCAACTCACCGCGGGACGTTCATCTGGGCGGAAGTCGCGCGTCAATGTTCTGCGAAACGCTGGAACGCTCTGCTGCTTTCTAAAGTCGCATCGTGGTGATCTGAAGGACCTTGAGTTCGTCGGGACTATGACTCTATCGTCATGCCGGTCTAACTCAACTGTAACTTCACCAAATAATGCATCATTCGTCACACTGTGGGGATGAGTACGTTTTCCTTTGGTGCAAATGCATGTGACAATCTAGATGTTCCGAACTATCTGAGCGCTCCTTCCACTCGCACCGCTCCCCGCTCGCACCGCCGCATCAGATCAGCCCTTCCTTTGACATCGGCTAATCAAACGCCCGCTACAGCACCCCATTAAAGCACCCCAAGGTTAGCAAGTCCTTGAAATCGAGACACGCCCCACGTTCATTACAGACCCGGATATGAGAATGGCAAGCTATTCTGCACCATGGTTCCCCTCTTTCTTCTTTATGCCTCCCTCGCGAGCTGTCCCATCGACCACATACCGCCCAGTGTACCCTCCTGTTTCCATCGCTAACCGATTTCACATCACTCTGCCCCATCCGTCCGACTTCACGGCGCCGGGTATCTTCGAAGAACAGATCACCTTCACCCGCCCCATGCTGGAAACCTTCGCCGACACTATTACCGTGTACATACACCGACCTATCGATAAGCCAACTCCAGGAAAACCATGGCGTATGGCTCTACCGACCCATACCCGCGTTGGAGTCGGGCGCCTTGTGCGGGTGGGCAGATGTGGCAGAGGGATTGTCACCGAAGTCCACCGTCATGGCCGCCAATATATCACATTCACAATCTTCGAGTTTACCCGCAGTGAACGCATCTACCTCATGGTGCGCCGCGAATGGGCGGACATGACGGCTCGTCGTGTCCCTAAACAATTACTGGCGGAAGAATCGGAATCAGGTTCGGAAGTATGTGACCCATTACTCTCAACCCGCTACGATCAGCTGAGGAACTGGTACTCATCGCAGGCATGTACTACATCTCGGCTTCCCTATGTTTTCTTCTCCCTCGAAGCTTGAATGCTGGGCTTCAACCTTTGGATGTACAATCTTCGCGATGCGTTCGCGCCCGTTGGCAGGTCCTCTGTCGCATATACTGACATGTCTATCTTATCAAATCTTATACGGCCAGTCCAAGGACATGTTTTGTACGATGCACCGCATCATGAATCTGTATATAAATACTACATACAATCCCTCGTAATGTACAGTTGCACACCTCACCCAGTTAATAATAGATACTACACGTATAGCACAAGTGATATTTACAGACATCTTACTTATTACATAGTTACTACGAGAACCCAAAGGATGGTGATGTTACGCAGGCCGGTTCGTTTTGTCGAGAGGCTCCAGCTCTCCAAGTGAAACATTAGATAGTCAAAATATACAATGAATGAGGGTGCCGCGATCATCAACTCGATCGCCGGTATAGATAAGTGTCCGTTCCAACAATATTGGGTTACGCTTCGCAGCGTTTTCATACGGGATGAGTCGCCATCTGATGCAGCAAGCGCACGTCGAACGACTCGTCCAATTCCGGGTCCAGCCCTGCTTCACGAAGAACGTCAAGCAGCCTGTATCGCTCCTGGAGATTATCGGTGGTACGTTCAAAGTGCATGTCGAAACCATGGCCCATCGCCGCGACCTGCCTGACGTGAGAGAATGCTATACGCAACCTTGAGTTCAGAAACTTTGTTGGTATCAGGGACTAATATACTTACGTGGTATCTGCCGGCGTCTGATTGAGTTCCACCGGCCGTGCCTGTAGATACAAAGACATTGAAAGACGACGCCAGCTCATATGCAAGGAGGAACCTACAAATCGTCGAAGTAAGGATGCTTTTTGATCTGCGGTTCCTTCAGCCTCAAAGCCGGGTCCATTTTCAGCAGCTACCGAGGTAAACGATTGAGTTACAAGTGCGAAGCCATGATGATATACCCACATCTGTGATGAATTCCGACAGACCTGGCACTTTGAGCGGCAAATTTTCCAGGCGGGATTGAATATCAGCTATATTTTGCAGCATAGTTGAGAGAAAGCCTTGGATGTAATTCTAGAAGCAGGGCATCAGACCCAAAATAGCGAGACACTGACAGACAGACGCACGTCACCGAGACGCAGCGTAGCGATCATCACACCCAGAGACCAATAATCAATGGAACTGTCGTAAGAGCAACCTGAATTTCTGATACTCTGCAGCAGCTCCGGCGCTGCGTAACATGCCGTGTATATCACATCAGAACGCCGCTCCTCGGATATAGCGGTGGTCTCCCTGCAGGCACCAAAATCACTGATGACAATGTGTCCGTACTCGTCGATGAGAACGTTTGAGGGCTTGAGGTCACCGTGTGTCCATCCAAAGTTATGCAGGGCTTCGATGCCAATCACCTGGGGAGAGGTCAGTTTGTGACATTGCATCAAGTTCTTCTACTCACAAGTTCTGCTGCAACCAACCGTAATGAGCTTTCGGATATACTGCGTTGATGCTGGGTCAGTTCACCACCCATACAAAAGTTCTGATAAATTATGAAACGATGAGATTGAGGACATGTAACGAAGTGCAGCAACATACCGTAGCGATATTCAGAAAGCCACCGGAAGCCCGCCAATACCATCGATCGTGCTGAAGATACGGAGTCAAAAGGAACGACGGCGGGCCATTCGGTGCTGAGGCGACGGTCCGAAGCAACTTTATCTCGTTCACCGCTCCGCGGCAAGCAGCCGGAGACAGACCCTGGCTGTACTGTATGACTTTAATCGCCAACTGCTGCCGCTGTGGAATATGGTATACTAGGTATACCTTGCCGAACCCTCCCTTCCCGATGAATCCGCCGCACATCCATTTCTTGTCCGTGTCACTAGGTACCTTCAAGAAGTTCCATTGATGGACAGCCCACTTGCCTAGTCTGTCCCCGGATCGCGCATGTTGGCTGGCCCCTGCCCTCGCTCGAAGTCTGGCAACTTGGACTACCTCTCCTTGCATTCCACCGGCCTGGATATATTGGTTCGGAAGCTGCTCACCTTCCTCATCCGGAGAGTTGACGTATTCCATGATCTCCTCAAGCTGGATCAATCTTGAGCCGGTGGAGATTTGGGCAGCAGGCAACTCCATCACGCTCTGGGGAGCTCGCGCCACGACACTTTCAGAATCACTGCACAGGCATCAGCATGAGACAATAAGACAAAGTACTACTCACTCATCCGCAGGAAGTGGGGGAAGGTCTTTGTCCAGTCGTTGTACTGGTACGGCGGGTAGTACCTTGTGGCGACGCTGGATTGGGTCATCAAGCCAGTTAAACATAGCAACAAGGGAAGGAGTGGGCCTTAGAGAAGAGCAAGAATCTGGTTCGATATCAGAACGCCCGTCCATACTACCCACTGTGGCCTGTAGTTCGCGGGCGCGAAGTTGCCTACAGAGGGCAGGGTCTACAAGGTACGCATGCGTAGGAACCTGCGAACGAGAAGGCCGGACAGGCGCGGCAGCCAGAGGATCGACGTGCAAGAGCGCGTCGACGCGCTCATGCGTGGCCTGCGGCGGACCCCCATCCACATCGGAGATCCTCATCAAACGCCACATGACTCTACGTTTAGGTTCATTAGGCATAGCCAGGATGGCGACATGTGAGGATGTAGCAGGGACGGAGATTCCATTGACGTTCACTCCACTAGGAATACCTGCTTCCATCCGCTGCTCGAGGATCTCAGGATAGTCGTCAGGTCCAAGTTCATCTAGTTCCAGGAAGTTGGCAGGGTAACTACTACCATCTGGTAGGTCCAGATCTGCAAATGTGGCTCCCGATAACAATCGGGGTGTCGAGCTGCGTTCCTGGCGTGCTCGAATGCTCGAGTGGTCTCGCTGTGCTCCAGCGGTCGAGTCATACGGCATCAAATAGTCACTCCCGGGCTGGCCAGATTCCTCCTCGGTGGCAGACGGGTTTCCAGCACCATCGGAATAAATAATCAGGAGCGAGCTGCGCGAGTGCGAGCGTATTTTCAACACCCTTCGAGCGCGATCACGAATACGCCCCGGCATGACCAGGGGACAGTCGCAGACTTGAAGAACGGTGGCCAGGTGGTTGAGGAAGAAAGAGAGAAAGAGGACGTTTGCCACTCGTCGATTTCGCCTTAAATAGAATTTGTGGCGGCAGCGACAACATGTGTTCGTGACAACAATTCTCGGGAGCACAAAGAAGTAGGAAGAGGTGTTCATTTATTTCCGGAAACGTCCTGATAGTAGCTATCTGATTGGCTCTGAAAAACATGCGGATATCTCTCTGAAAAGCGTACCACGGGCGACAGCAGAGATAGTTCATCGGTGTATCCCAATACGACTTTGAGGGTGCTGCCATGAAGCAGTCGCAGTTGGACCGACAGACAATGGACTTTGTGCGTGCGAATTTTCACCTGTAATTGATGAGCGGAACGCCACTGCGCGAACAACGCGTACACGCGGTCCAGCATAAAGGAGTACCTACATGTGATGGCAGTGTGTCATAAACATGTCGATATAGAACGGATCACAATGGTCTTCTGGAGGTGAAACTGAGGAGTATTTACGAGGATCTTCACGAAGGAAACATGTGGAACAGAGTGATCCGAACTGCGATCGAAATCAGCATATGTTCAAATTTCGCCACGTCGTGCAGCATAGCTACACGGAGACGAGCTTCAAGTTGGTAAGTTAGTTTCCCAGCCCTGCATCGAAAATCCTCGGAAAACGTAGCGAGAAGGAACACATCAGAAATACCCCAGAGCAAAAGGGAAATTTTATGCAAGATTCACCGAGACTGACACATAAAAAGCAGACTGAAAGCAATATTCGAACTTTCGGCCCAGTGAGAGGTTGGTGGCAGCATGCGAGAGGTCACGTCAGTGACAAGAAAGCGTAGCCACGTGAATGCATCATGTGACTGGATGTCAGTGAGTCCTCCGATGGCGAACAAATAGCAAACCTTACAATCCTAGATTCCTATCTCTTCCCGTATCACAACGCAGTAGCAATGGCAGCGGCACCCACCAAGGACTCGCTACTGCGTCTCTACTCCTCGATGTTGCGCACGTCGCACTCGTTCAGCTCATACAACTTCCGGCAGTACTTCGAGCGCAGGACGAGGAATGCATTCCACGAGATCCAGGTACGTCACCCTACTAGAATACTATCTCCGAAGGCTCACGATGGATGACTTGGTCTCTGCATTGGCACGACTCTTGCGGATGTACAGAACGAGACTGATCCGGCCAAGTTGTCTACGTTTTACAATGATAAGACGAAGGAGCTCGCAGTGCTGAAACGCAGCGCGATCGTGAACCAGCTCTATGGTGGATGGCGGCTTGTGGTAGAGGACCAGAAACCTGAGAGGGGGAGGAGTGATTCTTAGATTCGCCGGATGGCTTCGTCTCGCTGTGGTCACTTCTATGAGACCTATGTCTAGTGAGTCAAGATCTTTTTGTGCATACAACCCCACTCATCTGCATGCAATGTAGATGCCACCCTATACCTTTCTGTCCCTTCGCACGCATTTGCTCTCTGTAACACCAGGTTTTGTAGCTTGCACGATCTAAGTATGCTGAACAAATATTCGCTTTCTCACGCGTGTATTCAAGGCTCACATGAATCTGTGCAACACTAGATAGTTCATGTAGCTAGTTTGTAGAAGTCTGAAAGTTCTGTAGGATGCGCTGTGGATAGACCGGCCGAAAATGAATTTGTTTCGGAGTGATGCTGCAGACTCTTCCTCTTGATCGAGCTTCCGCTGCACGATCCCCAACGACCAACTTGCAGTCGCCAACTTTCGCTCGCCGTCCACGTCGAGCATCGACCTCGACCTCGACCTCGACCTCATCAGGATCAACGCGGAAGTTTACTCTGCAACCGACGCCACGAGCGTGGAATCGTGTGGAGCTCAAGACATAGTCTATAGCCTATCGTGTCCTCCCTATACCTCCCCCACACCCATCCACACGACTCACGTCTGACGACTGAGTACTGATCCACCATGAGTGTCTCAGAACTGCCGACGCTAGGTACTGGGGAGACGTATCAGGAGAAGTTCATGCGCAAGTTTAAACAGCAGCCCTTGGTGCCCCTCGGTGCGCCCCTCCTCTGGCTTAGTCTTCTTCTATCACACTGACCCCGCGCCACAGGTGCAGCCCTGACGGCGGTCACGCTGACGGTGGCGACGGTTCGGATGCGGCAGGGCAAGAGCACGTCGATGAACCACTGGCTGCGCGCGCGTGTGATCGCGCAGGGGCTCACCATCGCGGCAATCGTCGCCGGGTCGTTCATGCTCCGGGAGCAGCAGGAGAAGAAGCAGGAGAAGACCGCGCGCGAACAGGATGCAATGCTCGAGCGTGCCGCCTTCGAGGCCCGCATGAAGGCGGCGGTGGAGGCTCACCGCCTCGAGACCGGCCAGACGAGCGTCAGCACACCTGCGGCTGCGCCGAAGACCAGCGAGGGCGGGAACGGGAGTGGGAGCGATGGGGGCTGGTGGGGATGGCTTGGGTTCAGCGGGAACAAGGCGGAGACAAAGCCGGCACAGACGAGTGAGGCGGCGACGACGACAACGGCTAGCCCTTCTATCGCGAGCACCCCGCCTGCTGCAGCATCCACAGCGAAAGTGGATTCATCGAAAACGAAGACCTCGTAAAGTTCTATTCCGGCAGGAACGTGGAGGAGACTCATGAACATCTGCTGGAGACGCATTCCACAATCCACCTCGCCCCCTACTCTCACTCGCACTCGCACTCGCTCGATTGCTTTGACCGCCAGAAAAAATGTATCCCGTATCGTACTGTATCATAATCTCGGCTCGTCGTATTGATGCATCCGTGTCTACCGCCTGGCAATTCCTTACCACGGTGATACGACGTTGTGCAAAACATCATGTGGTCCGAGTTGCTGCCGCACAAGGATGTTCAGTTGGCACACTTGGCATGTCAGACTGTCTTTGCAAGTTACCGGCGGCCTGCAGGATTAATCAATTCTTTCAGCCAGAAAGCCATGATGTAAGTTACACACCTGCGGTGCTCATAGACACCTTGGAAGATATAATGGCAAGAATTTTGTTAGAAATATTATCCTCCGTGAAGAGTCGATATGAACACAATCTCGTCTCCATGCTTTAGCCCATATTCTCCTTCGCCCTCCAATTCCCAGTCAGTGTCGTTAACCAGCACCAGCACACCAGGACGCCTACACACGCTGAACCATTAGCTTCCGTAGAGATCATGCAAAAAGAGAACAAGAACGGTGGAAATTGAACCAAGAACGATATCTGGCGAAAATCAGTAATGCAGGACGGAAAGACTCACACAGTTCCGTTCTCCACGAATAGCTCTTCTCGCTCCTTGAGGAGATTATCTCGCAACCACAGAATCAAATACGCGATATCCACGGATTTAGTGCCTTTGTTCCCCTCACCACCCGTCGCAGAAATGGGGACCTGAGCGGGAAGCGAGATGTTGTGGGTGCGCTGGTTGGAGAAAAGAAGCTCAAGCCCGCCACCGAACTCGACTTTCAGAGAGATCGTAGACTCTGGAGCGTCGGACATGAATTACACCGTAAACACAGCGGCCAGGAAAGAGATCGTGTATGGGTTCCAAGTTACAGTAAGCGCCGGCACTAGAAATACCAAACGCCCGTCGGGATCTTCCATAATGGGAAATCGAGTCAACGCCTTCGCCGAGAGATCTGAACGCATACCTATGGTTCGAAAATGATTACAAAGTGCTACGGTAGCATACAACGGTAGCGTACAACAATCATTTTATAACTTCGCTACGACGCCAATACACCGATCTCCAATTATTGAATGTCAGCAAAATCACCCCCACAACGCGTCCGTATCCACCTCGCGAGGCGGCCTCTCCTCTCTCGGTGATTGCTCCTCATCAGGCGGTAGTGCAATGGCACCATTCGGATGCCTCCCGCGCAGGCGAACCCACAGTGCAGACGCGACGAGCGCGAGTGGGTGGATAATCGTGAAAAGCACGACCGTAATCTATGCAAACGCAAGATCAGTTCAAAAATACAGAAACGAAGTCAATTTCAGAACGGCGCACAAATACAGGGAATGGCTTCGGCCTGAGGCTCCATATACTCGCGCATATCCAGCTCGCAGCGACGCACCATACGATGTCGCGCTGGAAGACGTCGACGACCAGCCCTGCAGCGCCCCCATGGTCAATATTCGGGAAGCACTATCGTTTTGTGTGACAGCGAAGCGGACGCACCGAGTAAGTTCACTCCAAGCATGACGGAGAAACCGGCCCATTGGTGGCGAGCGTAGTGCTGCGGCTCGCCCGGGGTCCAGGTGAAGCCGAGCGTTATGCTGTAGAGCAAAGCAATCGGGCGTAACTCCACCAACTTTGAATGAGATGAATTCGTGGAACTTACAAAAGGCTGTAGGGGAACATCACGCCGAGCGGCCAGAGGAGGAAGGCGCGCATGGGCGCATGGATTAGCGCCATGTCGAAGGGTCTACAAGGATGAGAAATAGCATCAATTAATGCTGCTAAGCATTCTGAAAATCGACATACCGTGAAGTTGTCGGTGGATGATAAACGAGCAGCACCGCATTGGCATACAGGAGGAGCACAAGCAGAATGCCCTGCAGAACCGTAGACACCAGGAAAGCTTGCAGGACCTTTCATCCGCAATGTTTCGTTCAACGCAAATAAGTAGAAGAGGCGTCAAAACTATAGAAACAAAAAAATTAGGGAAATGTTCCTCACCCATGCGATGGCCCAACCCGCCATGACCCAATTTGCCAGGACAAGCGGGAGACCTACGCCCTTTACGAGAGCCTTCTAAACGCGAGGTCAGTGATTTTGTGGGAAAATTGAAGCACCTCCGAGGATAAGTACCTTAGTCTCCGGCTTTCGAGCCAATACGAGCAGGACACAGTATCCAATCTGGCCAATGTATATTGCAGTGATATAGATAGCAATCATGGATGGGTTTGGAGAAATGGAAGCCGGGTAAAGATTCGATATACTGCCTGTAGTCCGAAAACCAGTATCGTCACGAGTGTCTGTAAGATTATGGATTGGAGATACGCACCGAGGCTAGGACTAACGACCAAACTGCACACCATGACAGTCGCAATGTTGATGAGCAGAGAAAGCGGCGTGAGTACCTGCAAGCTGACACCATTTTGTAGAATATCAACAACTGATGTACAGCGACAAGGCAAGAACTGTATACCAACCGAACGAGTGCAAGGTAGTCCCTGACCGCGGGGTGGGAGGTATCTATGGGAAGACCTTCCATCATCGGAGAGAGAAGGGTGGTCAAATAAAAGGCTCTTGTGTTCGAGATATTATGTTGGAAAGTAGACCAAATTCACGGAAGGTGGTGGAGAACGACTGGACAACGTCGGGAACATATTTGGCAAAGCCTAGGCGAGGTTCAACTCCTCTGAGTCCTGTGACGTCACATGCATCTAATCTTATCAAGTTGTGCCTTCGATCTAATCTACCAGCGTCTGCTAAGCGAGTCCCACTGCAGTCATTCAATCTTCTCCGAGTCTATCATAGCTGGACTTCTACCTCAGAGCGCTCTTAGCGGCAGCTTGATCTGCCTCTGCAAGGTTCATGACGCTAGTTTCAGCTTGACATTAAACATGTCCGTTACAGCCAGCGTTGTCAAGCCTTTATCTGGCCACCAGCAGGATCCCAATATCCACCCTGAGCTCCAAATACTCCGTACTGAACTTCATGAGGTCCACGATGGCATGGCACGCTTCGGTCCCACTCTCCCAAGACCTCCCATACTCGATTCCTCCATCGGCTTAAATAGCAAACGGGACGGTGCAGAGGATACCAAAGAAGCTGTTCCCGGTCTGCGGGCTCTACGTGAATCCGTACAGCGAGACCTGGATGCTACCGAGAAGGTGAGAGGCTCAGGAAAGCTGGCTCGTCTACTGGACTTACTGCGTAGGATCCAGTAGTTCCTCTCAGATCCCAGATGCGCATCCCTTCCACCGCTCTCGACTAATGCACCTTACCTGATCTCAGTGTGGAACGAAGTCTTATTGGCGCGACCTCCCATTCTCACCATCGAGAAAACATTCCCAGAACAGGAAAATCATAGTCATCTACGTCGGCGCGGCTCGCAGAAGCCTCCGGGAGTCAAGGTGGACGTCGTCGCGGACGACGGCCGGCACTGGATTCGCGTAAATACGTGCGTAAATTCTGCTTTGTTTTATCCTGCACCGTAGATGCCATTATTGACGCGCTAGGATCACGAACTCGCGCATACTCGCCGAGTTTCGTGAGATCGATTCTTATCTGACGGACTCGGAGGACGAGTCTGATAACCCCCATGGCGGCGAGCGGCCGAGCCTCGCGCAAATCCAGTTCGACAATTCCGTCCTGCGCATGGGTCGTGCACTTCTGGCAGCTGCAAAAAAGAACCCCATAGCAGGAACTCCTGAAATTCCTCATGTCACAATGCGTCTGACGCGCCTCGAAATCTCTCCCGCGAAAGAAAAGGAACGTGATCCCCGAATCGCGCAGACCATTCAAGTGTTGCGAGACATGGGCATCGACGTGCAGCTTGGAGAGCGAGACAAGTCCATCCTCCCGACGGTGTCCGAATCTTTGCCCCCTTCTGTGCCTCCACCGCTTGAACCAACTACACGTATTAACCTCGATCTCTCTACATTGATTGCACTTGTCTCGGACATCACACACTCTCCTCTTCCGCTCTCTGTGGAAGAAGCCAACGCGCGATTTGTTCCTTCCCCCGAGTATCGCGAATGGAAGAGGAAGCGGCTGGAGACAGTCAAGGGTTCTGCTGCTGCCGAACTAGAGAGCACCGACTTTGAGGACGGGCCCGGAAGACACTCGCGAGCTCTGATAAATCAGGCGCTGCAGGAGATGGGGAAGGGCCTGCTGCAAGAAATCCACGACCGGCTCGCAGCGCTGGCGAGCTCTTCCGGGAAACATCTTTCTCAATCACCCACGGTCAGTCTCCAACCATCTTCTATCCCCACGGTCGAGTTTTGGACCACCCGCGAAGCACGCGACCGCTGCCTCAAAATCGTCCTGTCGAAAATTGGCGGTCCGAACGAGAAACGCCGTGCACAGGCGCTCTTCCCCGATACCGCAAGCCTGCCAATGGCCGCCGACGAGGCCATCGACGCGTATTGGCTCCACTCGCGCTATTCCCGGGCCTTCATACCGCTGTTGCCAATCCGCGTATTTTCCTCATCCGAGCCTGACCAGGATCTCACCGCGCAGTCCAATGGTAAGGGAGAAAATACACTGCAGATATCTCCCTTCTTTTCCCTGCTCGCGTGGACTTGCAGAGACGTTCTTGCACAGGAGACGATACCCCTTCCCGGCGCAGCATCTTCCCCACATACGCCAGACGATGGTGACATGGCAGGCGAGCCCGCTTCGGCGGCAGATGAGCTCGAGGACGACGACGACGACGGTGAGATCCAGCGCGCTGTGGTGACACGTGCGAATTCCCGCCTAACTGCACATACCGTGCAGAGCCTGCTGTGGGGTGCAGTCCGTGGCTGGACGACCCTGACTGCAAACAAATCTAGCGTAAAGGCGATTCTACGAGAGATGAAGGCGGCGCGTGGCACACAAAGGCAGGGGTGGGAGCACGAGGTGCACACAGATGGTGGCTCGCAGGCGACTTCGCAAGATGGGGAGGGGCACGCAGGTGATGGAGAAGTTGCAGCGGAGAAGGCAGCTTTGTGGCTGGTAGATCCACGGAGTCTTGCGGAGGGTATGCGCTCGGATCGGGATTACAGCTGAACGTCGAACCGTGTCTTCACAATATGTGAATAGTCCTTGTGATATATCCAATTGCAAGTCTATGCCTGGGCAACAAACGAGCAAGTCTGGATCGGTAAGTACGCGTAGAATGATCTACAGAGCGATGGACAGCGACTGCACTCGACAACAAATCGGCACTACGTTCGTGGACGTATAGTATGCGTGGAGATGACGAGAATATAAGTGTACACAATGCAGCAGGAGCCTGGGATCCTTCCACTAAATGCCAGCGGATCTAATACGCCACGGGATGAATAAATCTACAACTGTCCGTCAGCTCATGAATGAGATCGTAACACCAACTGTCATGAAGCTCTAATGAGCTTCGATCACGGTACCATGCTCAGTGGTGAATGTATGAAAGATGTAGGGTTTTGTTCGTGGTCAATTCGTGAGGGCGCACGGGGGGTCGCGAGGGCATCAGAGTCAGTGCCCGCGGCCGCGCGAAGTTGTAGCGGATCGTCCGACACGTCCAGCGAGAGCGTCGCCGAAGGCATGACTGGCGTCGCAGGCTCCGACGCGGTGTGAAACGATTCCTCGGCGGTCGCAAACGACTCGGCCTGCGAGCTCGCGCGGGATGCCGAGCGGGGGTTGGTGACTGCCGGCCTGAAGGACGACGGCGGCAGCGTCGGTTTCAGCAATTTCGGCGCGCTGGAGAGCTGTGTTGAGGATTCCAACGGCGCTTGTGGCGATGATGGTGCCGAGGAAGGACCCGCGTCGGGTTCCGCATGCGTCAGCCCTGGCTCGTCAGATGAGCTAGCGGGTTCGGCTGCCTCGGCCGGCGCTGGAGCGGATTCTGCGCTGTTTACGGATGCAACCTCAGCAGAATCCGTCCCTGAGGTACCCGCAGCCTCCTCCTCGAAGACAGGTGGGGGCATGCTCAGGTCGAGCCGTGACGCCGAGTACGCGATCGCGTCACGCCCGTACGGCACACCAAACCGCGCAAACGATTCGCGCGACGAAATCAGCTTCATCTGCTCTGGCGTCGGCCCACCTCTCGGGTACGTAAATTCCGTGCGCATCGCCGTGTGCGTCAGCGGAGCGGAAATCGAGGTCAGCGAGATCGTCGACGGCGACGTCACCACCTCCAAGTGCGAGCGCGGGTGCGACGTTGCACGGAACATCGACGACGTGAGACTGAGCACCGACCCCGAACCGGAGCGCGAGGCACGGTGCGTCGGTTGTTGCGCCGAGCTGATAGACGGACGAGACGATGTCGCCGATAGGGTGGACGGAGTAGAAAGTTCGCGCGAATGTCCCCGCTCCTCCAGCGCGAGCTGCGGCACCGGCGGCACTGCAGGGTGTGCCGCCCCAGTCAGTCTCGAGAAGAAGCCAGAAAACCGCCTCCCGCTGCCCTCCCGCTGGTGCGCTGCCCTATTAGCAGCGTCCGAGCGAGCGAACAAACCGGTTATTCTCCCGCTCGCCGTTCGCCCATGCCCAGCGTGATCTGGCTCTGGCGTCGGAGCGGCGCTGTCGTCGTGAACAGTGGACGGCGTATCCGCTCTCGGCTCGTCCAGACTTGAAGGGCTGTCCATCGGCACTACCTCGTACGGTGGAGCCTCGCCTCTTTCGTCTACGAGGGTCGCCTCGTCGACATTATCCGTTGCTGCGTTTGGCTCAGGCAATCCGTCGTGCGTCTCGAGAAGAGGCGTCTCAGGCGCACTCTCGGGCAGAGGCACGTATATCGGCGATCGGGACCGTGAGATGTCGAGCGAATTGTCCGGGGTGTGCTCGTTGAGCTCGTCTACCGGCGGCAGGACGATCGTCGCCTGGATATTCGAGTCTTCAAGCTCTTCGGGACCTCGAAATATGACGAGCTCGTCGTCTCCCGGTTCCTTCATGTACACCGGGAGAGACCTGGTAGATCGTACCGAATTTGGACGGGCACGCCGGTTCCTGCGGGAACGAGAAGGCGCTGGGGTGTTGGCACCATTGGGTGATGGTCCAGCGAGTTGCTCTGCGGTCAGCTCCGTTGGTTGTGATGTGACTGGGAACACCGAGCCCGTGGCTAAGGCGGCTCCAGCACACCAGGATGCGATACGACTGCGGAAGGCTCTCCCTCCGCATGCGACGAGCACTCCGACGAAAATAAATACAGAGAGCACGACGATGGGCACCTACATGATGTCATGAGCATATCTGGACGCACGCGAGCAGTGATCAACTTACCGAGATCGCAGTAGCATTCACAGAACCCCTCGGCAGCAAAGGGGCTGCATATGCACCTGGCAGCAACGTGCCAAGCAGGGTGAGCAGTATGAGAAGCGTCGTAGCATCAAATCTGTGTGTACACCGACAGAGGAGCATCATATTAAGTGACTCTTCGCGCAGAACGAGCACGGAGAGGAGAGAGAAAGACAAGGCGTGGAGCGCAGCGAGAACGGCCTGAGCGATGTCACTGTTGGTGCCGCCCGGGCGTCTACACACCGTGGTGACCGATCGACCTTGAAACTCCGGCACACCGAGATTAGATTGCGGAGACAAAGTTCCGATTTACAGTTAAGTACATGCTCAGCCATAAATATGAGTGAATAATTGACGATTGTTGCCACACTTGTCCTCCAATCATGTAGGAAACTGTAATTTGCCGCATTTTTAAAAGTAGGAAAGCTTGAGAGGACTGCGACAGTGATGAACATGGCTTTTACTAACAGGTCGCCATCAGCATGTGGAAACAGCCAAAACAACAGATAGATACCTTGGCAAATGTCCACACAACGCCACACAAGTAGCTGTCTACAGTGCCTCATACTTCACAAGGTCTGAGAATTGCACCAAAGTCCCTCCGAAGATATCCAAGGAACTGAACAATGTTAGACCTCAGCATGAAAACCAAAAGCCATACAACTTACCTGCCAAATGTAAGATCAACCCTTCCATCAGAAAGATTATTAACTGTTCCCAGGTCACTCAGACCTCAAGGATGGTTGTCAGCTGCAAGTCTGAAAGACAACAGGAAAGTCTGCTTACTCCTGGCTCCACCGGCATATGTTGTTGGTATTGTAACCCATTCTCCAAGTTCTGAACAGCACAAAGTGAGATGCTGTACTGCTAAGACAATAACACATGTGCTCACTGGCAACTAAGCTTTCATCAATCCCTTGACACAAACCTTCCACTTCAGCAGCATGTATGAGAAATTCACTGCAAGGCATGTCAAATATCAGGAACAAGCTAAAACAATGAGTCACACCTGCAGTACCCTGAGAGTAACTCCAGAGATTCTGAGCTGAAGTTCTCAGACAAAGAGGACTGGAAGATATGGAGCTCAGCACACCTTTGCAGACTTCCATATCTGTAGTTTTCTGCCACTTGTTCATTGCTATCAACCATTTCTCACCTCTTTTGCGGCAACTGCAACCACAATGAGTGCTTGCTTGTGGGGATAACAATGATATCATACCTCACATCGACTACAAGTCTGTCCTTCCCAACCAATGAAGATATTACTTGTAATCTCTGCAGGGAGAATATGCCATCGGGGAACAAGTATGATGTCACAATGACCTAGCCACGTAGATTAGTAGCTCTGCCGGGTCAGCGTGGGTGAAGGATACCTTGCTAGCCCCAGCACTCAGCCACTCTTGACAGTTCCTATCTGTGACCCCTCCACCAATCTGCAAGTGGCCTGAAAGTTATCAGAAAGAGCACGACATATGAGGTGGTTATATGCACCAGGCCATGCATGCAGAGCCTCCTTCGCGGCTTCATCATTCCCGTCTCCAAGCTTGATGATGTGCCCGCCTTCAAGACCGTGCTTCTTGTACAGCTCAGCGTAGTAGGCAGATGAATGGCTACAAGATACCGCGCTATCAGTCAGACCCGAGGTGTGAGAAGAATAGAGGGACGAGCCTGGCCACGAAGTTAGTCTTGAGATTGCAAGGCTCGGCCTCCGAAAGGGTTCCGCCGACAATTTGTTTGACTTCGCCCTTATGCAGGTCGATACATGGACGGAAATGTGTGTGCCTGCGAGTGGCTGAAGACATTATGCTTACGTCTCAACCACTGTGATCTTCCGAACACCTGGACCTGCGCAAGTCGACGACTGCCAGATCAGATTATACTCACCAGATCGACGCCACAGACTACTCACGGCTGATTTTTGCAGCGTTCTCCTCGGGTATCCCTTCCAACACGACGAGAACCGCCCCTGTGTCCGATGCGGGTCGATCTTCCTAGTGGGCGTCTCTGTCGGTGGAGGACAAGTTGAGGCCGTCGTGGCTCGTGTTTGGTGCACATCATGAGGAAATGGACGAGAGGAGGAGGTGAGACGGAGAGAAATCGGTTCATGACATGGTCAGGCTTTCTTTTTGTGTATTTAAACGATCACAATAGTTGTATTGAGCGTTCATCGTGAAGTAAGAAGGCAAATTCTGAGCAGTGACCACCGCCATCGCCGCGCGAAGCGACGAAGCCGCCTTCATCCTTACCTCCATCTTCCCTTATTCTCACCACTATTCACGCTCATCGTGCTCGCCGTGCTCGCCGATGTCTGGAAAGGCACCGCCCAGGGCACCGCGGGCTTTGTTGAATTCATTAGCTGCGTCTACTGGCGCCTCTTCCTCTGCTACCGCTTCGACCGCGTCGCCCTCACAGTCTTCATCTCGAATAGGAGGAATACCTCCAACTGGACCACGTAGTCTTACGAATGGTCTTCATCCTCCCTCTGCGCCCAGTAGTGCTCGAGGAAAATCATACGTGAATGGGCATGGCGCGCTCCCCGCCGGTCCTGGCGCCAGCGCCTTTTCACCGCCCACCGGGCCAAGAAGCTTGCAGAAAGGCAAACAAATCGACGGGGTATGGAATCAACCAGCAAGCTCAAGTGGAGTGAATCATGTCTCGACATAGTCTACGTGAGCAGCGAGCTTACCGTGAGTTGCAGGTGCACTCGCCCCCCGCACAAGCGAGCGTGGCAGGACCGAGTAGAAGCCAGCCTAAGGCTCATGCAACACTTAACGGAGAGGTAGCTGGGCTTGGTGAACGAAGTCAGATATCTTTTCGTCTGCGTCCTCCAACTCAACCTCCTCCACCAAAGACAAATCCACCACCCCCACCTCCGTCTGACCCGCCATCATCTCCTCGATCGAGACGTGTCTTACCGCCTGAACCTTCGTCAATACCACCGCCACCACCTCCGCCAACTGATGAACCACCACCACCACCGCCGAGCGACACGCCACCTCCCCCGCCACCTCCATCGTCTGAACCACCTCCACCACCTCCATCGTCCGAGCCACCCCCGCCACCTCCATCGTCCGAACCACCCCCGCCACCTCCATTGTCCGAACCACCACCGCCTCCATCTCCGCCCCCAGATGATCATTTTCCTCCACCGAGCTCTGGGCTGCCTCCACACCCTTCCTCGCCTTCTCCTCCTTGCTTACCTCCTCCTTCTCCGTCATCACTGCCGCCACCACCAACCCTTGAGCCACCACCTTCTCCCCCGCCAACTTCACAACCACCTCCGCCAATTTCAGAACCACCACCACCTCCTACCTCAGAACCACCGCCTCCGCCTCCACCACTTACCGCACCACCACCGACTCCTGCACTCCCGTGGTCCCCACCGTCTGCACTGCGAGCTAGTAGTTCTTTGCATCCCGCAGAGGCATCAACACCCGTCCCTACGGGTCCAAGAGCACAGCAATCTCAGGCGTCTCCACTCCCACCTCCACCAGCGCGCCCAGCATCTCCGCCAAGGCTTTATTCCCTTCCCCCTCTTCCGCCATGGCCACCTGCGCCGTCAGAGTACCCTGAAGGTAAGAATTACAGGGTATTGTGGGATTACGTTGCCGATAAGGACAGAGACGGGCAAATCCGCATGCTTATGGACAAGTTGCGCGAGCTCGGAGCTGATCAGGGCGAAGAGGCTCGGGTCAAGGGAAGGGCAAAAGGCAAGGAGATACTTTATCGATATGATGGGGAAGTCATCGAAGGGGAACATCCGGCAGTCATGAGGGATCCGAGGAAGGAGGTCAAGGTTAGGAAGCTGCCCACACTGCGACCACTGCGAGAGGAATTCGCGCCGGTAACATATGAGGTGCGTCATCCTTGTTTGACTCTGAACTACATGCACTAATTTTGAACCAGTACGACACGAATTCAATAGGGCCTCCTCCTCCAACTTCTGTTCTCGTGGTCAACATATCACCTTTGACACCCAATCAACACATCAGACGGCACTTTGCGGTGCATGGTACGATCACGTCCTTTGAGCCACAGATTGACAAGGCTACAGGTGCTGCACTGGGCATCGTGTTCATCAAGTTCAGCAGCCACGATGAAGCCAAAAGGTGCGTCGAGAAGGAGGATGGGAGGAAACTGGGAACAGAAGCCGGGGTTGGTATCCGAGGTATAGAGGGTATGGACTTGAGGGTTTTGTTCGATGGAGAGGGAAAGAACTTGAAGGCAGTGTTGAGGGAGCTTGATAATCGTCGGCGGCAGGAGCGTGAAGAGAAGAGGCGAAGGGAGAAAGAGGAGAAGCTGAAGGAGGCGAACGCTGTACTTGCGAAGGGAACACCAACCAGTGCAAGCCATACCCCGGCGCAAGGCAGCAATCCGTGGCGGACGAACCAGCATCGACCAGGTCAGTCGGGCTCTCGTTTACCACCTACAACGCACTTGCCGTTACCTCCGAATGGACGTACGCATGGCTCTGATTCGCTGAATGGGTCGCCCATGCCACCAAACTCCGCCAGCCCTCATGTGAATGGTGCGCTCAGCGGCCCCAAGAGTTTACCGCCTCCGCCCCGAGTGCGCCGTCCCCCAGCAGCTCTCGTGCGAGCGCGCATCATGTCCGCCAAAGCTGTGCCATCCACCAGCTACTCACATCGTCCTCCCGTTCCTCCCTCGAAATCATCGTCTTCTACACCCATTCCCCCTCGAGGCCTTCGTCATGCACCTTGGTTCTCGGAAGATCATGACACGTTCGCACCTTCGAGATCTCCGTCACCAATCTCGAGGCCTGGTCAGTCATTCAGATCCGCAAGACAAAAGGAGCACGAAGCAGTTGTCGAGCAACTGGCGAAGAATGGTTTCGAGCATGTTACCATTGATGGCCACGGCGCACAGCTGGCGGTCAGGACGGATGACGTTCGGCAGTTCTTTGACGGGTTCAAGGTAGACAAGGTAAGCATCTAGCCTCGTGTTTGTGACGGTGCCACTCGAGGCCTCATCATGAACCATTGACAATGATGGTTGACGACGATTCTTGTATATAGGTCCTACGAGACCACACAGGGTGGTATGTCACCTTCCAGACGGGCGACTCCGCCCGCCGTGCCGCTTTGGTCCTTAGTTCAGGTGCGCGCACGCTTGCCTACCACTCAGTGAGCGTCTCTGTCCACCCTCCTCCCGCACGTCCTTCCTCCAGTTCGAAAGCGCGCTGGGACGACAACGAGCTTGTCGACCAAGCGACCATGATCATCGTGAAGGACCTAAAAACAATGTTGGAAAAGGATGTGGTGGAACGCATTGTTGGTACAAATGTGAGACATCTTGTGGTGGATGCGAAGGCGAAGCGAGGGGTGTCAGTCCCAGGAGCTGTGGACTCGTTGATAGATGGACATATCGCCGATCATGAACACGGTGCCGACCTACGACCATACGAGAAGAGTTTGAAGGGATTGTCATTCCGGAAGCAGAAGAAGCGTCCGAGAGAAGAGGAGACCAAGGTCACTGTTCCCGCCGCGGTTGAGCATCGGGACGAGGAGGTCGATCATGTCGGTCATGTTGAGAGGCCAAAGAAGCGACCGAGGAAGACCGTCACAAAGAAAGTCGTCCAGGAAGATATCGAATCTGAAGACGAGGATATCTCTGTTCCTCCTCTGTCTCTGCCAGAACCCATCACTAACAAGAGGGCAGCATCCGAGTTCACTGATACTGAAGAGCCTGTCAAGAAGAAGACTAAAACGCACGTTCAGGACCAGGAGAACGTGATTTCACCGGTTTTGACGAAGCTCAAGAAATCTTCGCGGAAGGCGGAAACCACAACCATTACAAGTGACGATGAGTTCATTCATGAAGTCCTCCCGGACGACTTCGACTTCGATATACCAACCGTTGCTCATGTCCGGTTCACTCCCACACCCGAATACGAGTCCTCCTTGTCTCCTCCTTCGTCTCCCTTCCTCAAGCCCAAGGTAGTTGTACGTGAGAGTCCTGCGCCCGACCCGTTCACGGAAGGCATCTGCGAGGATGACGAGGACATGTACTTTGCGAAGATGGCACTGTCTCGCGCTTTGCATGAAGACGAAATATTCACACCAACGCCGCCTCGAGTTCTGTCTCCCGGACCAGAAGCTCCTCGACCGTTCCGCGTTCATACCACTGGATCTGCGCGTACTGAAGGATATTACAAGATCTCGCATGCTGAGAAATCTGCATACGTCGAGCAATATGTATCACGTACCACTGTCAATGAGGTCGCGACAGAGGCCGAGACCGCGCCACAGCAAACCGTCACTTCGTCCAGGTCTAATCGTGCTAATGCAAGACGTCGTGCACAGGGCCTCGAGGAGATCAACCAGGTGCACCTTGCGTTGGCGTTGTCCAAGGGAGAGTCGGCTGCAACGGAGCTAGTCAAATTCAACCAGTTGCAGACACGGAAGAAACAGCTGCGCTTCGCACGCTCTCCGATCCATGACTGGGGTTTATACGCCATGGAAAAGATCTCCCGCGGGGAAATGGTAATCGAGTACGTCGGCGAGATCATCCGTGCACAGGTGGCCGACAAGCGGGAGAAGGCCTACGAGCGGCAAGGTATAGGAAGCAGTTATCTGTTCCGTATTGACGAAGATCTGGTCGTGGACGCCACGAAGAAGGGCAATCTAGGGTATGCGTCATGTCTACTTGTCTAGAACTAGCTCTGACAAATTCCTTTCTAGACGCCTGATAAATCATTCGTGTGACCCAAATTGTACTGCGAAGATTATCACGATCAACGGCGAGAAGAAGATTGTCATCTACGCAAAACAGGATATTGAGCTTGGGAGCGAGATTACATACGGTGAGATGGATGGAATTTTCTTACTGCGACTCTATCCTCATGCTGTTTCCCTGCACAGATTATCATTTCCCTATTGAGCAGGACAAGATTCCTTGTCTTTGCGGCTCAGCAAAATGTCGTGGTTTTCTCAACTAGACTGCATTCATTTTTGTCTTTACGTGTTGCTCATACCCCACCCATTGCTGCGTTCATCATCGCTCTCACCCGCATATCTGTATCTTATAATCTCACGCGCATTTGTTTTTATTATTCTCGTCGCACAGTGAATGAAGCTTTGAAGTAATATAATGTGGTCTGCAGTTCTCGTCTCACGTCAACCCCTCACGTAGTCGTTATGTCTATGTACGTATATAACGAGCGACCTATGTTGCAATCACGGCGTACTAGTGACTATCCAGACACTTCTTGCAGTCTAACGGCGTACATGCCGAGCTACGCTTGTTTTCGTTGGAGACTCTTGGGGAGCTCTTTCACCCATGGCAAGAAGTCTCGACCTTGCATGTATGGTCGGAGCACTTCCGGAATTGCCAGTCCCTGTAGTGCGGTACCCTCAGTCTGAAGTGGTGGAGGTTAACCAGGATTTACTCACATCAGCTGTCTGATAGTTCTCTACTAGACAACAGAGAGCCCGTTCTGTCGCACAGAGCGTGCCATTCAGCATGTGCACGTAGACTTTACGCGTCTGGTCCTTTGTCTTCAGTCCGCACCGGACTTCCAACTTCCGGCTCTCTGCATCAGCATCGGTCTCGTCAAAATCATGATAGATATCAAGCGGCAAGCCCACTCACGGTAGTCTGTGCAATTTGAGCAAGACACGAGCTCCTTGTACGCGCCCTGGAATGGGAACCACGCTTCGAGGTCAAACTTCTGTGCCGCGGCGAGGTTGAGAGCGCCGGATACAATGGCAACGACGCGATACGGGAGGCCGAGGCTCTGGTAGAACGCCTCCGAGTTGCCGATCATCGTGTCGAACATCTCCCAGCTCTTCTCTGGCTCGGTTATACAAAACTGCTCGACCTTCTCGAACTGGTGCACGCGGAAGATGCCCCACATGTCGCGCCCAGCGGAGCCCGCCTCCTTGCGGAAGCACGTCGAGTACCCCGCGTACCGGATGGGGAGCTGCGTCTCAGGTGAGTCGAACCACTCGTCCGAGTGAAATGCAGAGATGGGCTGTTCTGAGGTGGCAATAAGATACTTCTCGTCGTCGGCGGCGATGACCTAGAAGGTAGCGCAGGATTTTGTTTTGGAACGGTCCGGGAACAAAAGTAGACAGACGCACTTTATAGAGCTCTTCGTCGAATTGATCAAGCTGAGCCGTCTTAGCCATGACATCCTTGTTCATCATGAACGGCGGTTGAATTTTCTTGTATCCTCGCTTCCGCAGGAAGTCGAGGCCGTAAGAAATAAGTGCTTGGTTGAGGTCAATACCGTCATTCGTCAAGTAATATCCTCGATGACCGCTTATTTTTGCACCTGCACAGTATGGGACCTCTCAGCTAATGAAATAGACGCACATAAAATTGGCGCACCTCTGTCAAGATCCATCGCGTCCAAACGAAGCAGAACTTCGTGGTGAGGCATGATATCGCTCTTCTTCTCTACTGCGACTCCCTCTCCAGCTGGGTGCCATGTTCGTACAGTCTTGTTGTCGTCCTACTACCACGCGTTATCATACGTGTCTCTCAATCATTAAGAAAAGTTTATACCTCGGACATGCTGACTGGCACACCCTTGCCAACGATGTTACCGATGGTCGAAGCCTTCTGCCGCATCTTCTGCTCAAACACCTTGGACTCGGCGCGTTTGGCGACAACTTGAGCATCTAACTCTTTCTTCTGCGCTACCAAGTTATCTGCGCTCTCTTTCGCCTAAAACAAAAACGTCAAGTGAGACTCTAAAACGCGCACGGCTCGGAAGACGTACCTTCTTCTTTGCGGCAATCTCTTTTTGTACTGCATTCACTTGCTTGCTGATGTTGGTGGTATCAAAATCCACTGATTGACAGTCAATGCGTATTTTTCTAGATCTCTGTTCACGACGCACTCTTCACCCAGTCGGTGTACATCTGGATAACTTCGTCCACCAGTTCGACCGAGAGGCCGCGTTTCCGTTGGGACTCCCTGATTTCCTCAGCATTTCCTCCCTTGTTGTCAAGGAAGTGCAGCACGTCGAGAGTCATGGTTGTCTACGAGTTGTCTATGAGCTGCTTCCGCTCTGCGTGCCAAGTGATCTCTCAGAGTCATCGATCATACAGACGGATTTGGACTTATCGATGTTCGTCTAACTTAAGATTATTAATATGTATGTAGAAAGACCTTTTCTGGTCAGTTGTTTACAACATTTTCAGAAAAAAGCTAATCACTCATTCTCCCTCCTTGAGCTTGAAAGCTTGACCTCACATCTCAGAGTTATTTCCACATGTCCTTCATTTTTTTCATGCCCACAGGCTCCATTCTCCTTGTCATGGTTTTGATAAATGTTACTGTGTCGGAGTGTGAAACTCGAGGATTACCAGAACCAAATACGGTCAAATAGCACGTCTACCTCTTGCTGTCACCGCGTCGCGTTAACTGCACGATGTACAAGCTCATTCGGCGCATTTCAAGTTCATTTTTCCCTCATCCAGATCAGTCTTTCACCGACGCCGGTGCGTTTACCTATTATCAGTCAGAATCACGCGTCTAACACGCGGAAATCACCACTTTTTAACAGACACGTCGAGTGCACCGCAGATCGGTCGGAAACGACGACTGAGCACTACCGAACCTGACGAGCCATCGTCATCTGCCAAGAAACAGAAGTCAGAACCGGATGATGCGTCAGATACCGCATCGGACACCACAGACACTCCCTCGCAACCAACGAAGGAGACACAGGATGTGAAGGAGGTTACCAAGGGCGTTCGCGACGTGGAGCTCGAGGAGAAGGCTGCGTCGGTATCATCTGCAGATGATGAAGCCGCTGGTGTTCCCCTACCCGACTCGCCAGTCTTGAAAGCGACAGAGGTGTCACAGGAGGTAGAGGAGGAGCCGTTGGAGAGGGAGCCGTTGGAGGAGGATGCTCCATCAAAGGAGCCGGTGCACACCGACATAGACGAAGAGGACCGGAAGGAGAACATACCTCCATCAGAACAGGCTACCGCGACGGAAGTAGGAAAGGAGGAGACGCTGCATGCTGATGTGCAGTCTGATGAAGAAGAGATTCCTGGTTTTCCGTCGACAGCTGGTGTTGCAGCAGTTATAGAAGCAGGAAAGGTCGCGGATGAGGTGGCCGTTTCGAAGAGGAAGGATTCGACGGATGCTCTGACTTCAAAGCCAAGTACTTAGGGATTATAATCATGGTGGATGTTCTTGGATACCCTCGACCACCGCTGCTTCACTAATATCTATCGAGGCTAATGTATCCCGACGTCTGTTAGTGTGTACGATGCTCTTTCTCAATGTAATGCATATGAAGATCAATCTCCTGCAGGCCCCTTCGCGAGTTGTTCTTCAATCACAGCCATTGCACCTCCATCGTTTGGCCGAACTTCATACACATTGACATTCCGCACCGAGAGTATTTAGGACCCATCCGAGATTCAATCGGGTCTTCCTTGTAAGGCATCCGTTCTGCTTCCGTCTGTTTTCACGCACCTCAAATGAATGTTACTCGTGGCCCTTGCGCAGCGCTGCCAAATATACATATATCGGCAAGATCCACACGTCGAAACAGCACTCCAGTCTGCCTAAATCTTACTCTGTTCCAGGTGTTTTATGTAGGTGATTTGTGGCCGCTTTCAATCCTGTCCACGTCGCCGAGTTCAATGACACCTCGCTGCAGCTGACAGCCGCCGGGGGCATGCCAGCCTCTCGTATCAATAGCATGGAGTCAGCCCTCCGAACACGAGTTTGGATGGGCCTTCGTGCGTGGCATTGGCTCCACCGCCTTTAAGTGTCCCTTCCGAGGCAGAATCGAAGCAGACTGCTCAAACGACTTCCTATTTTCTATTCTCCTTCTCAGGGCTGGCCCATGTCGCGGTACCAGGTGCTCAATGCACTATCCCGTATTTTACAGGCGGGGCCTGGTTCAGAAGGCGAACCGGTGACCGATGCAGAAAAGGGCAAGGAGAGGGCTCCCGAGCTAGAACTCAGGATGGACGACATATGCCTGGAAAAGAAACCCTCCTCAACTCTCAGCATCTCGACCGATCGTCTCCGTCCACCTGGCCCCTCCCGCATTTCATGGAAGAGTCCAAGTAGTGTACCAAACAGCCCGGGATCCATCACTCGCTCCGCCTCGTCCCCATCGCTCTTAGATAACTGCAAGCGGTCATCTCTCCGGCGGATGAGCTCGCAGTCTCTGAAGGTCGATTCGCCGCATGACACAGAGTCGCAGCGCGACAGTATCCCCTTCGCGCCGCTGAACCTCAAGCCGCTCTCGCCCATCACAGAAGTGCACTTCCCCCCCGTGCGGCGACCCTCACTCGACTCAATCCCGCCCATCTTGGACTCGACGCGCTTGCACGAGGGACACGGTGAGTTTGCTTCTTGTCATGTCCAGCTGTTTTCTTGAACCCGGCAACGCAGCCCAAGCCGCCCACCCAGCCTTCATCACGCGCACGCTCAACCGCTCGATTAGCCAGGCGTCCACAAGCTCGCTCCGCTCGACCGCGTCGGCTGCACCCACGATCCCGCCGCTGGACCTTCGCCCGAATTTCCAGGCCACGCTTGGCATCCCTCCGGGCCCGCGCAAGCCACGTATGGGCGGCGCCACTATACCCACGGGAACAAGCAACATGACGCGCCCGCAGAAGTACTCGGTCATTTATGAGGACGGGGCTTCTGCGCGAACCTCGAGTTTCGTCACAGCTCCATCCGACGGTGACACCGAGCCACAGTTTCTCCCGGAGGATGTGCCGCACATGGACGAGCCGGGATATGCCCTATCCGTGCACGCCAGCGCTGAAGGGACAGACGACGTGCCCGTGGACACGCTCCCCGCGGGTCTTTATGACGTTCCTTTAACGGCGGAGCCACGCGGCCGGCCAACGAGCGTGCACACGCATCCCTCCGCGTCTGCCTCGCAGCGGTCAACCTCACCCACCGAGTCTATTATCCACAAGCGGTGGCTCAAGGGTGTGTCGTTTGGGAGTGATCGGTTCGTTGTTCCCTCTGCACGACTGCAGAAGTGGCAGGTCACCACTGCATGCGTCCTATTCTGGCTAGGCTTCGTCGGGCCTTGGTGTTGGCTTATCGGGGGGTGGATCCTCTCAGAAGGGGAGGAGACTAGATCGGGAGGTAAACGGGAGTCGCTTCTTCCCTTATGGGCCAGGAGGGGGAAGAGAGGTTCAGGGGAGAAGGGCAAGATGCCAGCGGAAAAGGGCAAGTTGTTAGGGGAGAACGATAAGATGCCAGCAAGCAACAAGAAAACTGGGCGCAAGTCGTGGTACCCGCTGGTCGCTCCGTCGTTGGAGACATTGACACCGTCCGTGCACAGCGATATCGATATATCGTTCACACCAACACGGAGAATGAAGAGAGACAGTAGGGTGGTGACCGATCCGTGGATTTTCAGGTGTCGCGTTGCAGCCATTGCAAGTGGAATCTGTATTCTTGCTGCGTTCATAGTGGCTTTGGTGTTTGCTGGCGGTGTTCGGGCGTGATTGTAACGTGTACTAACGCGTGCTGGTCTGCCACGAAGTTTTAATAGAAGGGACGTTTCCTCGTGGTGAGGCGGTATATTTCGTCAGTGGGGTAATAGGTCCTTGCTTGGTAAAATAAGACATTACAGCGCAGCAATGCGATACTGATACAGCATGAAGAATAAATACCATGTCAATGCAGATCCAGATACATGTGAAAGATAGATTAGTCGGTGAGATTGAAATATGCGCGGAACATGGACTCGTCACGCAGAGGCGAGCCGGAGATGACGGAATGGACGTGCAGTAAGAGACCAGGGAAGCGCCGAGTGAAGTACGACAAGAAGCCTTCAGGCATTGATCCCAGTAGTCGCTTGACATTGCCGGGTAGATCTTGGTAATGATGTTTCTGCATGCAAACATTCAGTAACCGGAATTCGAAGGTTCGCATAGTCGTACGGACCTTATTTCGAAGCGCACGAAGAAGATCCTGGACTGAACGCCCGTCATACTTCCTGAATTTGCCCAGGTTCTCTATGAATAGTCTATCCAGTCGAGAATGCCAGTCGTTCCCTACGACGTCGACAGCGCCTGTTTCTAGCGAGATGAGGTTGGGATCTCTAGGATCCCGGCACATAATCTCAAAACGATCAGATGTATCTTGCAGGAATGTCAACCGCTTCCCAGGATCCCAAAAATACGGATGCAGTAGACATGTACTGGTATCGGGTCTATAAGTCGTTGATGCTTCAGCTCAAATACTGTTAGGTATAAACAGTAGTAGACTCACCTATGGTATGCTTCGGGACTCAACATCTGGGATATAAGGTCAACGCCCTCGGAGCCTTCCTCTCCAAAACGCTCCAACCCCTCCAGCGATTTTGAGTTTTTCAAAATATTGACCTCTCGCTCGAACCGATCGCCAAATGGATGCGACCCATTGGTGAGCACATAATAATACAGACATCCCAGGGCAAAGATGTCAACCGACTTCGTCAACCGCGTCGACTTCCCTGTCGGCGTACCACTGGTCGTAGTACCGACAGAACTTCGCGATGACTGTGAGTCGTCTGTCCCAGTGTCTTCCAACTTCACCTCCCCACGCAAGATCTCCGGAGCTCTCCAACCGACCGTTCCAGCCGCCATTGCCCCGTGCGCTGTCGGTAAGAAACTCGTCTGTTCCATTTCTAGCTTCCTGCACAGCCCAAAGTCGGATATGAGCATGCGGTGGCCTGCGCTCTCACCAACGCCCTTCTTGGCGTCTGAGATGAGAATATTCTGCGGCTTGATATCCCGGTGGACGATCTTTAGCGCATGCAGGTGTCGGAGTCCCAGCGTGATCTGCCGCAGTGCACGCTTCGGGTCAAACGATGCGACGATCTCCGGGAAGTCGTCTGGTCGCTCTATCACGTCGGCCAAGGAGGCGGGACACAGCTCGAGCGCGATGTAGAGAAAGTTCGCATGCGATTCCTGGTAATAATACCGGATAACGTTGGGGTGATCATCCGACTCTTGCAGTACAGTCACTTCGCGAGCCGCCAGGGTGACAAAGTCCTGAAGAAGTCGCTTCACGGCGACCGCACGACCCTGCAGTGACCCCTTGAAGACAACTGTGCCATGGGAGCCAAACCCTGTTCGTCATGTTAGGATGATCCATGTCAAAACAGCAGCCACATAGTTGCACTTACCTAGCACGGTGTCCGACACTATGAGAGATGGCACGACTGGTGCTGGCGTTGGCGATGGAGACAACACGATGGCGGACGGTGAGACGACCTGGGCCGCATCGCCATTCTGGCCATCTTTGCCTGTCTTCCCTGCGTGTTTCTCCTCCACCTCAGGTACTGCATCTTGAGCCGAACCGTTGGTAGTAATTCCCTTCTTCTTCTTCCCTCGCTTTCTCCGTAACGCCTTGCGTTTCCCTGCAATAGCAGGACCGTCACCTTCCCTCTCACTCTCGTCGCCATCGGCACCGTCGTCAGCGAAATCAGCAGAAATCGTCGCAGGTAGTCTGGGTTCCTCCGTTTCTGGAACGAAGACGACCCTCCTCGCCGAGAGTAAAGTAACTGGACCTTGTGAGAGTGCCTCAATGGCAGGGACTGGTAGTATCTCAGGCTCTGTTTCAGGTGGATCGGAGACCGAGCTATCGCCAGCCTTGTCTTTCTCTGGAGCACGCTCGTGAGAAATCACCTGGCTTGTTGACGGCTTTCCAAATAGACCCTTCAGATAACCTATTGACAAGGTAAGGATAAAGACCGCAAAACCAAATGACCCCAGTGTCGTGGTGCTAAAATTGAAGTTGACGCCACCCTCTTCCACCAATGGCGGGCCATCGGCGCCCAAGGTGTTCGGCATCGAGGGAGGAGATATCGAGACATTGTTGAGGACATTCGTCACATCAGGTATCTCCTGTGCGGTACCTTTGTAGGTTGGGGGAAGAGGTACGGACGGCGCTCCGTCAAGCAGCCTGCTCAGCCGCGAGCGGCTAGACGACTCGAGCCTCCTAACGCCAGTCAGACACCTGCGATTCGTGCTGTCCACCCTGCACAGCTCACGTAGCTTGCGGTGCTTTACCATGTGCTTGACAGAGTCGACGTCAGATGGAAGGTCCCTGGCAGGGTCGAAATCCAGCCCCGGCGGCGGATCCAGCGTCTGCCCGACGTCGCCGAACACGACGAGCGGGTAACGGTCGGGGCTCATTGCAAAGAGCGAGTCCGTCTCCTCCACAAGACCGATGTACGCGGAATCGAGATTCGGCAGCTGGTTATGTTTCGCAGCATCGGTGAGGTCGAAGCCGGGCAACATATCTTGCAGACTAGGCCGCGGCTGCAAGAGCACGAATGGGTGCTGGCGGTTCGGAGACTTCAAGACATCAAATACTGCGACGCTGGGGTAGGTGAGTAAGCGCCTTCCGAGGAAACAAGTGCTAGGCTTACATCGGGTTCGAAAACGTCTGCCCCCATAGCATCTGTGTCTTGGGCGCCACGTCTGACATGTGCCTGTCGCCATTACCGGTGCGGAATGACATGATGTCACCGTTTGGAAGCGGCTGAATGTATGCATGGTCGGCCGTATACCGGTAAAGGGACTGCAGCCCATGGTCCTGGTTGTTTGGACCGTACGTCGAAAAGGAAAGATTCTGAACAGGAGGCCTGGCTAAAGACGAACCAAGTGGGCGCGTATGAATTGATATGTGGTAATCTTGCAACGATGTCATCAATGGATCCTATAGCTTGGTCGAAAATATTACTCACCGGTACGGCCGATGAACACTTCCGACAGCTTCGATGACGCCCTGGGCGGTTTCGTTCCATCTAGCTCGTCTAAGTCGACGAAGGGTTCTACGTCGTCATACGGATCCCAAGGGCATTCTGAGCTGATGGTCGCCTTCACCCGCCCCGTCTCCAGTTCAATCAGTAACAAAGATGTCTCCTTCCTACCCACAAACACGCGCCGGTAATCATCGTCAGAAGAGCTGTAGGGAGACATGTCGACGAGCTGAGACATCGAGAACGGTAGGCTCTGCAACGGACTGTTCGCAGAGGACATAACATATATCTCTCCAGACTGAGGTTCAATCACATATAACTCCTGGTATATTGAGTCCTCGTCCGTGGTCTCATAGTCGATGTCCGGGTGCTGGGTACGGACTAGAGGACCCAAGGTCGCCGGGTCAGTTGGAGTAGATGCCATTGACCACAGCGTGTCCCCAGATGTCCTGTTAAGCGCATGGAGCTTCCCATCGACGGAGGCAACTAGGGCGATATCCAGCAAGTCGGATTCGTCCTTTACGGACAGTGGCAGAAAGTGGTTGCCCTCATGTGCAAGCTCGACATGGGCTGAGAGCTCGGTGACGGCTGAAGTCCTCGGTAAGATGTGCCTTGCTGAACACAATCCCAGAGTCAAGAATAATAAAGTCGAAAACAGAGAGAGGTATGCATGGAGTATCATCTCTGCCAGTTCATGAGACGAGATAATTAAAAAAAGTCGAAACCTCAGGCCTTCAGGCCTCACCGTGACAGCACATCCTACCGCTGCGGCGCGGAGTGTCAGGGGTCGATATAGATATAGCGTCTAACTTAAGATCTGTTGGGTGTCACACGCATGATAAATCGTGCGAGATCGGATATAACGACTCAACTCCCTCGACATGAATAACTAATGCGCTCCCTCTGCTCTGTAGTCTGGCTTGTACAGAGTGTGTATAATATCTAGTCCTAACAAGAAGGGAAGGCAAGTGTCAAACCAGGTTGTGTGATAAAACCCACAATAGCTGGAATACATTTATAGGAGACCTGTCTACATATCGGGTAGTTTACGCTCTAGATGAAGAAGTGTAACCGACAAATATAGGCTGAGGTGTGACGCGCTCAACGGCAGAAATTCGTGCACAATTCCTCTGCCATGCCCGACATCCCAGTTGGAGGGCAAATATTTGACCTCATCTTCCATCCCCACGAATCCCTTGTCTTTACAGGGCTTCTGTCAGGAGAAGTGAAGGCGTTCGGCTACGACGATCAAGGGAAATACGAGAGCAAATTCACTGTACGGCCTTCCAAGAGGTCATGTCGCGGTGTGGGCATCAGCGAGGATGGTAGCCAGCTCTGGGCTGCGGGGAAAGGGAAGGCGCTTCAGTACGTGTTAGCAAGGTCTCAGCTTTTCCTGCTATTGACGGGTTCTTACATCCAGCACGATTGACACCGCGACTGGTGTTGTAATAGATACCCGCGCAGCCGCGCACGAGTGAGTAGTGCTGCTGTGCTGCCTATACTTCCGTTTTCTGACCTGGACAGTACTCGGAAGTGTGGCTATCAACCGCGTGAAGCGTCTCTTGCCTCACTTGCTGTCGACCGGTGATGATGACGGCGTGATCAAAGTGAATTCTCATTTCTTCTCTGTATGCGAAAGCGTGTTCACTCGTCCCAACGTTTCCGCAGTTATGGGATCCGCGTAAAAAAGACGCAATTCGCGCATATACCCACCATTTCGACTTCATCTCTGATTTTCTTTGGCTCAACGATGCGAAGCAGCTTGTCTCAACAAGGTATGCATCCTTTCTCGTTTTTGATACTTCTGAGCGAAGCTGATGTCAAGCTATCAGTGGAGACGGGACATTGTCTGTGATAGACGTCAGAGCCAAGAAGACGGAGCCATTCGCCCAATCAGAATATCAAGAAGACGAGTTGCTCTCCATAGTCCCTATCAAAGGGTATGTCTGGCGTGTCCTTGTATTCTGTTATCTCACATTTCATACCAGAGGGAAGAAATTTGCTGTTGGCACACAGCTGGGGATCTTGTCGATATTCAACAGGCGAAACGGGTGGGGAGATTGTGTAGACCGAATACCGGGGTAAGGAGCTGTTTCTCCCAGTCTGCGTTATTTCTCATACCGTACGCGACAGCCACCCACAATCCATCGACACCCTTTGCAATGTCCCTTCCTATTACCCCTCTTCACATTCGACTATTCTTTCTGGATCTTCTGACGGGCTCCTGCGCGCCGTCCAGCTCTTCCCGACAAAGCTGCTCGGCGTTGTCGCAGACCACGGCGAATTCCCCATTGAGCGCATCGCAGTCGACAGGGCTGGTGAGGGACGGTGGGTGGGAAGCGCAGGGCACGAAGAGGTGCTGAAGTTGACGGACCTGCGAGAGGTCTTCGAGGACGAGAACGAGGATGAAGATGGGGACGGTGATGGGGAGAAGGTGGATGGAAGCGACAGTGAGGACGGTGAAGATGAAGATGCGAAGAAGACGCAACAGAACGAGGAGGACGCGAATCCGGAGGAACAGGCTGAGGAGAGGGATGCAGATTCAAGCGAAGATGAAGAAGCAGTTTTAGAACGCAAGAAAAGGAAGCGGAAGGATAAGGACCCGCTTCATGCAGCGAAGAAAACGAAGCGTCGGAACGAGGTGGAAGCTAAAGCTTCCTTCTTCGCTAACTTATAGCGGCACTACGATAACCTTGCGGTGGGCCTCTATATATTTTTCAATGGCTCGAGTGATTCCAGCTTGCTATCACACCCAAGTTAATCCAGGGTGATTGGAAAGTATAGACGTTTCCAGCGACTCCAAATCCTACAAATACACTTCATCCTGATGCTGCCCAAGAGACAGCAAGGTGGTAATCATCGACCGCCCACCTCGAAATCACTGCAGCACCTAGTAATATTCCAATAAGCGGGTAACCGTGGCCTGCTCGGTTTCTGCCTTCAGGAAAGTCTCCAATTCCTAGGAATATGTTATTTCCATGAGCAACTCGAGCGATACCAGAACGCACTTCATTGACTACAAGATACTTCTCAACAAAGCCTTCCCCTAGTGCGGCTCCAAGTACCTCATCCTGGGCAAGCAACTTCCGCGCATCGGCGATAGTCCCTGGAAGCCTACCCGGATTATCCAATCCGACTGCGCGCCGCTCTCCCTCGTCCATCTGGAACACGGGCTTGAGACAATCGCCCACCGAAAGCAGCGCGCCGTCCAAGATGCCGTGGACGCCGACAGCGATAACGCCCGCGAGAACGAGGTACGGGTTGGCCGTAGCGTCACCGCACTTCATCTCAAAGTGGTGATGGTGCGGCGGCCCGCAGAGGCGAATGGGTGTCTCACGATTGTCGGTGCCCCAGCAGGCGTACGTGCCGCCGGACCAGATCCCGTCGAGCACGCGTGCGTAGGACGCAGCGGTTGGCAGTGTGAGTGCGCAGAGCGCCGGCAGGTGCGTGATCCACGATTGGAGGAAGGAGCGCTCGGTGAGAGTGAGCGTCGGTGCGAGCGACGCGTCGGTGTCGGGGCGCACTGGCGGTGGGTGCATACGGGAGGAGTGCATGGAAAGGTGCATATGCGCGCCACTACCGCCTGTTTCATAGTCAATTAGTGGAATGTCGGAACGAAGAAAGAACTTACAATTATCAGAGTGCAAACGGGGAGCAAATGTTGCTCGCAGACCGTGCTTGGCTGCAACGTTGTAGATGGTCTCCCGTGTGAAGACGACAGCATCCGCGGCTTCCAGCGGAGCGAGAGGACCTGTGACTACTTCATACTGGAAAGGTTATCAGCGTAGGCAACGACGTGCTGCAATGTACAGAAAGGCGCAGTCAACACATCGGCACTGTGAGCAAGGTACGTGAAGTATGTGAAGGCTGCATATATGCTCAAGAAAATGATCGAGACGAAGTATGTCCGAATGCCTCCGGCACATCGTTCAGCTGCGGCGGTTTCTAGTTATACCCTGCATTTTTCCATGCTCTGGGTTTGAGCTTGCAAGTATATCCTTATATACCTCTCACGCACCATGCTTCATAAACGGGCAGGTCAGCTAGTTAATCCACTCACTTGACCCGGAGCAGCCTCCGCGTGGTACATTTGCAACTCGATCCCGCCTTCCAAGAGATCATGGGCGATCTCCTCGAGCACCTTTGCTTCAACAGAGCCTGAAGGGAACTTGGATGAGCAGGACCAGTCTGCATTGTTGACGGCAATCGGCGTGGGTGAGGTTGCTTTCAGTAGGATAAATTCAGACTCGAAGCCAGCCAAGAACGCAAGTCCAGCCTTTGCGAGCGCTTCTCTGCACGTTGATTAGATTCGGAGTGTAGGTAAGCCAAAACTGTAGGACATACTCAACGATCCTGTTCAACAGCGTTCTCGGACATAAATCTACGGTAAGGCCGGCATTTGGAGCGGCGGTCTTCTCCTGGAACCATCCCATAACGGAGGCGTGTCCAGGTGCATAAGGGCAGATACGGAAGCTGCTGAGATCGGGGACATAGAGATATTCGCCGGTCCCAGAGAAGCCAGGTACGGAGCTGCAACCTATGATCCCGAGGGTGGTTTTGGCGAGACACACTCCTGGGCGCGACGAGCTCAGTAGCTTGACGAAGTACTTCCTGGGGAGGACGCGAAATCGAACGGTGTTGACCAGATCAACCCATTGTACGCGGATGTAGCGAATATCATGGGCTTGGCAAATGCTGTGAAGACGGTCAGCAGAAAGGAGCTCCGCCGGTTTGGTAGGCTTGTAGAGGACGCCGTAGTCGGTCGCTGCTGCAGGAGGGCTCATGATGGCTCCAGAACAAGTTGCGATAGATGTCTATCATACAGACCAACTCCGCCAAAGTCGTCGGCAACCAAACAAACGCTCGGCCCTGCCGAAACTGGAGGAGATAAACTTCTCCGTTAAACCTACGCTGAGGTGCTGCAGATATCCTTTTGACTCAGAGGACCAACACCGCATGCATGATGGGCTTCCGAAGCCCGTCATGCGTGGAAGATCAGAGAGAGAGTCTGTCAGATCTGATCTTCCTGGACGGTCTCAACGTTCAACGTTCAACGTCAACCTCGATCATGAAATCGATGGCAGAGAAATAACAACATACTTTGGGACGCTCTTAATATACGGAGGCTTCAGATTTGGTTCTTATCAGCCGCAGGCACTACATAATATTACCGTGATCTGACAGACAATCTTCGTCAACTTTTCGTTCTCAGACTTTGTGTACATCCTTCGTTCACCATGTTCCACGACGTGAAGACTTACTGGACTGTGATGTATATACGTATCCTCCTAAAGAACACTTCAGCCCCTCGTCGTTGTGTCGCTGGCGGTACGGATCATGCAGTAGACGTGACCAAAGTTACGCGACTGCAGGGCGCTCACCGGTTCCAAGATTCACCAACGCCCGCCTCCAACACGTTGGCTCAGAGTCATATATCCCCGACAGCGCAGGTCGAGCAGCACAATTTTTTGAGTTAAACGACCATGATGTCGCGAAAGTCCCTGTCCAAGTTGCCCCGGCTCACCCGCAATATCTCCAGCCGCGCGTCGACCATTCTTTCCGCACTCGACATTTCGCCCGAGAAGGAGCTGCCGGGTGTGTACGACGGGAAGTGGAGGGGAACAGGTGATGTGTTGGAGAGCGTCTGTCCGACAACGGGCGAGGTTCTAGCGCGAGTGCATTCAGTGAGTGCACTTTGAGAGCGTTCGAGCACGTCTGATCGGTAGGCTGCAGGCAACGCCAGAGGAGTTGCAGACAGCCCTTCAGAAGACACGGGAGGCCTACACGTTCTTCAGAAGCGTGCCGGCGCCGAGGAGGGGCGAGATACTCAGACAGATCAGGGAGGCGTTGGCGGCCAAGGTGCGCATGTTGGTGACAACGCGGTTCTTAAGCTCATACCTTGCTAGCGGGAGGAACTGGGCGCGTTGGTCTCTCTCGAGATGGGGAAGATCAGGACGGAAGGTGTCGGTGAGGTACAGGAATTCGTGGACATTGTGAGTCTACCGTTCATTGCACCCGCTCGTCTCACGCCTTGACATTACGGCCAGGCCGACTACGCGGTCGGTCTGTCACGGATGATGAACGGACGAGTGGTCGCCTCTGAACGCCCCGGACATAGTATCTTAGAAGGTGCGGTTGAGGCAGTACCTGTATGCGCATACAACTAACGGTACGGTGGCAGTTCCGAACCCTTTGGGTGTCATCGCGGTGCTCTCTGCGTTCAACTTCCCGGTGGCGGTCTATGGATGGTAAGATGCGTCTCTATTTATCAGGAGTCCGCGTTGAAGTTTACGAACAGGAACCTGTCGCTCTCGCTCGCGGCCGGGAACGCGACCCTCTGGAAGCCCTCGCCGAGTACCCCGCTATGCTCGATTGCGGTGACGAAGATCGTGTCTGGGGTGCTAGAGAAGAATGGAATCCCCGGAGCCGTCGCGGGGCTTGTGATCGGTGGCAAGGACGTCGGCGAGAGCATTGTGGAAAGCCAGGACGTCGACATGGGTAAACCCTCACCTCGTATGCAAGCGTCGCACTGATTCCTTTCAGTATCGTTCACGGGCAGCGAGGCAGTGGGGCGGCAGGTCGGAAAGGTGGTGCAGTCGCGTTTCGGGAAGGTGCTGCTTGAGCTCGGGGGGAACAACGGCACGCTAGTCCTCCTTGCTTCACGCGCCCGCACTGATATCCCGCTGCAGCCTCGATCGTCATGCCCGACGCGGACCTTTCGATGGCCGTACCAGCGGTGTTCTTCGGTGCGGTAGGCACGGCGGGTCAACGCTGCACGTCGACGCGGCGCCTATACCTGCATCGGAGCATCGCCTCCGAGTTCCTCGAGCGACTGCAGGCGCTGTACGCGTCTGTCACACCCGGAGACCCGCTGCACGCGTCCACCCTTCTTGGCCCGCTGCACACGCGCAGCGCAATGGACATCTACACCGGTGCGATTGACCGTCTGCGCGCTGCTGACGCAGAGATCCTCGTGGGTGGTGGGCAGTATACAGACCTCTCGTCCCCTTTGGACCGCGGTAATTTTGTTATGCCGACTATCACCGTGCCAAAGAGCACCGACGTCGGGCTGGCGCTGTGGAAAACCGAGACTTTCGCACCAATTCTGTCTGTCGCTGTCTTCGACGAGCTCGAGGAAGCGGTTCAATGGAATAACGGTGTGCCGCAGGTGCGTTCTCTTTTCCCTTCCGCGGGGAGGTTGTTGAGGCTGATGACGTCTGCTGTGTAGGGCCTGAGCAGCAGTTTGTGGACGAAAGACCTTCGCAATGTCGGTAAATGGATTGGGCCCGCTGGGTCTGACGCTGGGATCGTCAACGTTCGTCACCCGTCTATTCCTCCGAGGGAGCACGACTGACGGTCGCTTCCGTACCCTAGGTCAATGTTGGTACCAGCGGCGCCGAAATTGGCGCTGCGTTCGGTGGGAACAAGGTCGGTAGAAAATTTCCTCCACATGCCCATCTAACCAACTGTGTCATTTACAGAGCACTGGATGGTGGGTTTTAGTGTTCCTAAGATGTTGCCCTATATTCATCGAGCGCTGATCTATCTTCCCAGGGGCCGTGAGTCGGGTGGCGACGCTTGGAAACAGTACGTCCGCTGGAGCGCCTGCACAATCAATTTCTCGGACGATGCCCCGCTGGCGCAGGGCGTCCAGTTCCCAGCCGCTAGTTGACGGGACTGAATATTTAGATGGCGGCGTTGTCGTTGGTAATTCCAGACATTCCAATGCCTATCTTACTCTCACAAGAACAGCAGTGAATCATTATTGGGTCGAGATTCCAATGCACCATGCAGGCTTGGATGTTGAATGTCAGATACACCTCGGGTCTATACCTATATGAGAACCACTAGAGCAATCTGCGCGACATGCCTCTCACCGTCGGGCAACCAAGTGGGCATACGCAAGAAGCGACCATGTTTACCCACTCCACCACGAGGTTCTTCCAGTAAAAATCTACTGTAAAGTGAGTGCCAATGAAATGATCTACAGCTACAGCATCTACAGCTTCGCCCTGGCCGGCTTCGGGATAGACAGTTTCCCCTGCTTCAACATCTCGCGGGCTCTGTCGCGCATAAAGCGCCGCAGGAGCTTCCCGCTCGGGTTCTTCGGGATTACGTCGGCAAACTCGACGCCGCCTGCGAGGTGTTTGTACTGTACCTTCACGTCCGCGACGTGCTGTGCCCCGAGTGAGTGAGTCATCGCTTTGAAGTGAGATACACGCAGGGGATGAGACTGACCTTCATGATCGCGGCCTTCGTCTTGGCCACTTCCGCGGCGCCGCCCTGCTTCATACGCTCAGCCGCAGGCGCGCTGGGGACGATGAACGCCATCGGTAGCTCGCCGCTGTAGTCGTCCGGGATGCCGATGACGCACACGTCCGTGACGTCGGGGTGGTTCAGCAAGTGGCCCTCCAGCTCTGCGGGCGCCACTGCATCACGTACGTCACGCAGTGTTTAGCGTCCGTCGGGAAGAGGCGGTGCTGGGATCAACTGACCTTGGAAGCCCTTCACTTTCAGGAGCTCCTGGAGCGATGCGGTGTGTGAGCGGGGCGCTGTCCTGCATGAGGGTACGCACCTTGATGCGGTCGAGAACGAACATTTCTTTCGACTCGTTGATCATCACTTCGTCTCCCGTGTGGACCCACCTATGCAGATACATCTGCATCAGTCGTGCCCGCACCTGCTGCGGGGAGTTACACCTACCCGTCCCTAAACGTCTCCCTCGTCCTGCAGCACCATCAGCACACGATATCACACTGCGCATTGCACGGAGAGAACACGCACGCCTCCTCGTTGTCCAAGTACCGCAGCGCGCACGACGGGGAATGCACGACGAGCTCGCCCGGCTCATTATAACCCACGGGCGTACCGTCCGCGCGGACGACACGGGCCACGACGCCTGGCAAGAGGCGCCCCGCGCTGCCGGGCGTGCCGACCTTCTGCCCAAGCTGCGGGAAGGTCACGGTCGTGCACGTCTCGGTCATCCCTGAGCCATCCGGGTCGTACGTCCAGGTCGAGTGTCAGTACCGCGTCAGCGCGAGGAAGGAAAGCGAGGGTGGAGGCGCACCGTATCCTTGGCTGATGACGGACCGCGGAAGCACTGTAGCTAGTAGGCTGGTCAGCTCCGCGGAGAGCGGCGCGGCGCCGCACATGATCGCGCGGATGCTGGTGAGGTCGTAGTCCTTCACTGCGGGATGCTAGGTGCTACGTGAGTCACGCAGAACGTGCAATGCGCCCGCGCCTGACCTTGCACAAGAGGACCACCATCGGCGGCACGATGCTGTATTGCCGGCATCAGATAACATCGTGCGCGCGTGCAGAAAGCATCGGGACGCACGACATGTAGTTGATGCGGTGGCGCTGGACGCTCTTGAGGAGCTCCACAAAATTGAACTTGGGGATCACGACGAGACTCATCTGGGCGCCGCGGGAGGGTCAGTGCGGCGTCTAGCCCTCGAGCGCGCCACGCACCCCGTAGAAGAGGTGGAAGTGCATGACGACGACGAGCCCGTAGATGTCTGCTCAGACGAGTTCAGTCGCTGTGGACGCGACGCATCCACAAGCGCCGGCACTTACGATAGAAGGGCAAAGCTACGCTGAGCGTCAGGACTGAATTGCGATCGCGCGGTATGATACGTACCTCCCAGCGCGACGTCACCCGTCCGCCATATCTGGTCCTCCCAAGGCACGGTTTCCGAGTTGGCAGTGTGCGACATCTGGATGACGTTCGCGATGGGCGCACTATGCGGGATACACACGGCCTGAAGGAACGCTCAGTTCTGTACGCATTGAGACATTGCACAGCTGACTTTGGGCCGCCCAGTGGTACCGCTGGAGAAGCTGAGGAACGCGAGCTTGGTCCTGTTCTCGCCAGGGTTCAGGCGGCGCTCGACGAAGCTGGAGGGTGTCGCGAGGCCGTCTGCGATCAGCTCGTGCACTGTGGGATAGGACACGCCCGCCAGGGGGTCAAGCAGGACGATGCAGTCTTCGGCGAGCCCGGCCTTGCGCGCAGCCTCAAGACCGACGGTATAGCTCCACGGGTGCACAACCATCAACTTCGCGTGTGTTGCAGAGATCTGGTACTCTAGTTCATCCGCGGTATAGGAGGGGTTGGCCGCCCTGTACGTGCGTGTTACGCCCTTGTCCTCGTGAAACAGGAACTTACGTACGTGATGATTGCACCAAGTCTGTGTGTTGCCCTGTGTACCCACAGATATATTAGCATGAACATGATTTGGTAGCTTCAAAAAATGTCTAATCCACGAGGAGACTATTGTCATAGTACCACCGCCGCTCGATCTGACAGCTGGGGCTCGATAACCCTCACAGCAGACAGGCCGAGTCCACACCAACGTCAAGGGTAATGGGTAGTTGTCCCGCATTCAGAACGTGTCGGAACGCAGGTCCCAGTGGATGTGACTTTCTCAGCTTCACGACTTTAGAGCTTACCAGATAACCGTTGCATAGTCTGCGAGAATGCGTTAGGACAGCTGGGAAAGTTATGCACATATTGACGCACCGACGTGGTTTGGGCTGTATATACAGACTGTCAAAAGGTCAGTGTGGTATGCTCATAGTTAGACATTGCGAACCGGCGCACCAACATCATCCTCGCCTGCATTTTTGCGTTAGTCTACGAGATGAACGAAAGCAAAATGACTCACTGATCTTCCAGCGGGAGCTGAACGCATTCGCCAAGCCGGCGGTGCGAGTGCGAATCTGCGCATGAGAAAACGCGGGTCGCAAATTACCACGGATGCCATACTGACGGCGTGCGACGTACCTCGCCCATCGTTATCCGTCTGCCAGTGGCGTCCTCAATCAGCCAGGTCTGGTCGGGGTTCATGGCAGGCCTGGAGATATGATCGTGGTCTAGCATGAACTGCACGACGGTGAGATCGTCCGGGATGACGGGCAGAGGGCCCAAGGGGGCCTCCCAGGACATTGAGGTCATTTCTGGACGATTTTTGGTGTGGTGGTGGGTGGTGACGAAGAAGAGAAGGCTCGTCTCATGCCGGGTTTAATAGGCCCGACATAAAGGGATTCTTGCCGAGGAACACACGCACCAAAATGGTCACCCGCGCACGATCACGAGCCTCTTTCCCCGCAACACGTACCACGTGCCGATCATACCGTACTACCGCCGACTCAGATTCGTCCTCTCCGGTCACCCGCCTTTTCCTTTCACCGTATCGTTGCCTCTATCATACGCTTTGACAGACAGAATCTGCGAACGCTCATCTCTCCGATCACCGAGGTCATTGTCCTTATTCACATCACGAAGGAAGCTAACGCACATCCTCTCGGTCATAGCGTCTGAAACCTTGCGTCTGAAACACGACTCACAGTAGATCTGCCGCCTCGCCTGCGTCGGCTCATGTCATCTCCATTCTTCTCATCTTGACAATGTATCCGCCTCGCGAATGAAGGGCATGACTTTGCGCAGAAATATTTAGTACTCACGCGCTCACAAATCAGCCTGAGCGAGTTTTAGTGAAACAGAGACTCCTTTTGCGACGTCGAGACCGAGCAGTCTGAGAAATGACATCGTGAAAGAGTACCCTCAATTCGAAGTCGATAGAATATAGATAACGACGCACCTACACCTTCAGGATCCCACCTTCCTTGGCTCGATTTCCTAGCCCTCGAGACATCACAATTGTTAGTGGGGAATAAGTGCAACAGTCTGCGTTAGCAGCCGAGTCAAGAGTAAAGCAATGACTGGAAATAGCATCAGCCTCTACTTATCCTCATCGTTTGTCTCATCAACTTGCGCTGTTCTGTAAGTGAATGGCGTCATACTGCACAGCAGAGTCCACCGTGAAAGCGAGTTTCAACGGAAATCAGCGATACGAATCCCTGTCGAGAAATAACGATACGCACCTGCAAGTTCAGCGCCCACCCTGCAACCTAGTGGCTAAGTCATCGGTGGGAAGTGAGCGCAACAATGCGTACTAGGAGCTGGAGAAGAATGATCTGGCAGCCTGCTTGCGGAACATTCTTAGTGCAATATCGCACGCGCATACGATCTAAGCACAGGAATAAACGGTCAGCCTCGATAACCTATAAGCACGCTCGACAGCGTTCATTCTGCACCTTACTTGGTCCCTGCAGTATCCCAGAGCATCAGGAGCAGCGGGAGTACCGTCATACTATGGTCATCACCGTATGTATATTTGCGTAGTCATTGGTGTACGAGAGATATGTTGCTTGGGCTGTAGGCCATTCCCTCTTCCGCAGCGTTCTGACACGCTGCACACATGTCGACCAGCTCAACCTATAACGGATAGCATTTTCGTCAGTCTCCCTAAAACATGAACGATTATCCTGCAGACACGCGTAGACCGCTGTCGGAATTTGGAAGGACGGTGCTACCGTTCGGGAGACGTCAGAATTTCCCAATCAAAGGAGAACCGATCATAGCAACGACAAAAGGAGGCAATAAGATTGCAAGCAAGAACGGTTAGGTCTGGGAACAGGATACTCAGCACGGCGCCGCCCAAGAAGCAGTGCGAGCAAAGCATGACGCACCTAGTCATACATGTGGTAGCTTCAGTAAAAATACAGAACTGAAAATAGTCGTCCGCCAGTCCTCTAAGCCTACAGCTACCCGATTTCTTCTGCCCAACGCAAGACATCTTCCAGAGTGACAGAGATGGCACCAGTTGGCTGTGCATACTGTGGCTGTTGCATCATGTTATTCGCAATTATTCGTGTATGAGAGACGCGTTACCTGAGCCGTGGGCTGTCCCTCTTCCTTGGCGTTCCGCGCCGTTGCTTGCATTTCGGCCATTTTGGTCTCTAACGCATCGCATTTTCTGTATAGTGATATGAATAGACAGGCATATCAATATCCTGCGTACATACGCGTGTATCGCCTTCGTCTCTTCGCGCCGTAGCTCGAGCTGCCGCTTCATCATGAGCTCCAGATTGCCTCTGGCCTGGTTCCCTTTAGTTCGCGTCCGACAAGATGAGGATAAGTACGCGCACCTGGACAGGACGCAGATCATTCGCGGCAGCCATGATATTCTGTGCCATGATCCTGATCCACTCGAGCTGCCTCTGCCATTCCGGAGGCGCGGTCGCAGAGGCAGTCGGGGGCGGGGCCAGCACCGCGCTCAACAGGCGAGAGTAGGTGACGAGGAGAGAGCTCAAGATAGTCTTCATCGCCGGCCTACGGTCTGAATGCACGCCCGTCATCGCCAAGCCTTCTATCTTACAGCAAAGTAGCACTCACCCACGCTAGGATCCGTAGGGTACAGCTGGTGCCCACCGGTATCCGCGAGTGACGGAATCGTCTCCTTGACCTATACACGGCGCGCGTCCAGTACTGCACGCGCGCATGCCGAGAGCGAGAGCGATGCGCACAAACCAAGTGTCCCCGAACACGGTGTACTGCCCGTCCTCGACGATCCAGTCTACCCGTGGCTTCTCGAGCTGTGTCAATGGCCATTCCGGCACGTCGTCCTGGTCCGCGAGCAGCGTCGCTTGGTTCGCCGCCGCCAAGTCTCCGTCGCCCGCGCGCTCGCGTAGGAGGCTTAGTAGCTGCAGGTCGTGTGTGATGTATTTGTTGTACTGCGAAGGCGGTGAGGGGAAGGGGTTTCGCAGCTCGGCCTCTTCTTCTTCCATGGTGTTGTGTCTAGCGGAGAGCGATGAGGAGGAAGGAAAAAGAGTCTCAGCTGGGATAAGTGTGGCGGAGAGTGTGTCAAGCGCCCGTCCTTGACTCTGAACTACCACCACTCATCTTGTCTACAACGCGCATATTTGGCTGCAGTAAACCATGTCGACGAGGAGAAGAGTCGGATTCAGCACCGCGACGTCCGAGGCGTCGCGCAGGCAGCTTATGCAGCCCGTGCCCTGCTGGGAAAAAGCGTGGGTGCTGCCCGAGGGCGCAGCGCCCGGCTCGACGTTCAAGATATACAAGTGGGTGAAATCCGAGAAGAAGCAGGTACGCTAGCGTCCTCACGTTTTACAAAACGCCTTACCAACGCGCGGAATGGGCGCAGCACTTCAGCGATGATGAGGGCGAGACGGACCAGCCGCTCGCGCCGCTGCTAGAGCCGGACGAAGTCGAAGTAGTCGAGGGGGACGAGGAGATAGACCAAGACGAGGTCGGCACGTCCATCGCGCCCGAGACTGCTCCCGTCTCGCGGGACGTGTCCGAACCCGTCGCGTCCGAGCCCAAGGACAACAGTGGGTCAAAGCCATCCACACCGAAACCGCATCCGCTTTCCATCTCGTTTCAACCACCCACGCCCACACCAGGCCCGGACGACGCGCTCGATGAGTCGCTCAAGCCGAGCGGGGACCTCGCTGCCGACGCGCTCGGTGCCGGGATTGGGCTTGATATGTCGCAGATGGGGCCCGACGGGGAGCCGTTCGAGGGCGCTGAGGACTTGTCGCAGTTGCAGTCGGCGGACGCGTTGCTTGGAGGGGGCCTCATGCCCGAGTCAATGGACGATGATCCGTTTGCCGTGCCAACGTCATAGACTGGATCTTCGAAGAGTGGCTCTTCTCGAACGGGGTGTATTGCCGGACGCTCAGGACTCTCACTATGGCATTCGCGGAAACCTGACTTGAAACTTCTCGCTAGGTCGTCCCATGTGTTTTCTGACGCATACCATTCAGTTTACTTCGCGGAGTCCAGCGATACGCGCAGTCTGTCTGGCGTGTAGTGGTTGTGGGCAACGAGGAGGGCCTCGCAAAGACAGTGAATGAAAACAGAATGTATTCATCATCAGACAGACTCATTGACATCCACCTCTTCAGACCCCTCTATGCTAGCTACGATCTCATTGGTTTCTACCTGAGAGGACTCTTCCGTGGCACCGTGTATCAATTCGGTGGGCGAACCTGGCGCAAACTCTAGATCTAGGTCGAAGATGTCCGACTTGAACCCTTCAACATCAGGGAGTGCGAACGTATCGTCAATTTTCCAGCCGGGAGGCGACGTGGAGGCTGCGCGCCCTGATGCGTTTTCAGAAGTTGACTTGGTTTGTTCAGTGCTCTCGACGGTTTTTGGCAGATCAGGCTCAGTACGGCACGCCTCCCATGCGGAGGATGCCCGACTAGCCAAGGTGAATTTACTGTGCAGTCGGCGTCAGTCTGGGTCAACCAAAATTGCAGATGCTAGTAACCCTTAAGAGCTCACCTGGACGCGATCGCGCTAAAGAACTTGTCAGACGCCTCCAAATCGGTACAGCTGGCATTCCACCGAAGCTCCGCTTGAGCCAGTATCGCTATGGAGAACATGCACGACAGCTTGAGCGGCCGCAGCACGTAGAGCCGCGCAACAGCAGGTATGATTTGGTCGATGACGATTTTCCCGGCAGGATCATCTGGGGAAGACTTGAGCTCTAAACATGCTAGCACGCTGTCGATGCTCGGGGACAACGGTTATCGTTCACTTACTCTTTTCTGGAGATCGGAGGACATTGATAACCTGTTGCAGCACATCTTCCTCCATCTCTATGATATGATTTCTCAGATTCGAGCCAACAATGAGCACGAGGATGTAGATCGATCCTTCAAGGACAACATCAGACTTGCGCCAAACAGCAGAAAATGGACAAGGCCCGTCAACGTGCCTCCCGCTGCTACCGCGCTATACCTGCTTCCCAACCAATGCCACCTCTTGAAGGTGGAATACGTAGGTTTACTTGACCCAGCATTCGAGTTCAGGTCTTCTCTGTGTATCCTCAACAACGACTTCCCTGTCTGCTGCATGATGCTGACCATACGCACCCGAGTTAACAAGCGCAGAGACGGACTACTCACGCTCGATCGTGGTCGTGCTCACCTCTCGCATTTCGCCGTCAGCTGCATCATGTGAACCATATTCAGGAACCACTCCTTGAATCCCCGCGAGCCGGACCTGAGGCTGCACAGGGGTACTATGGACGACAACGACTCGTGCACCACCTCAGCTCTGCTGCTGAATGTCGAGAGGCACGTCGTCGCCCAGTATGGGATGCCACTCGCAGATGCGGCTAGGCAGCCGGCGAGCTCTGTGATGAAGTTGTCGACCGTCTGTGGGCGAGGGGTCGGCGCGGCGGCGCTGTCTATCGTACTGCTACTGTTCGCCGTGCTGCCGCTGCTCGCCGTACTGCTGCTGTTCGTACTACTGCTGCTGCTTGCGACGAAGCGCGGCTTTTTTGCCGATCCTGGAGGCGTCTCCGCTTTCCTCTTCGCCTCGACCGCGCTCTCTCCAGGACCGCTCGGCGGGATCGAAGAGGACGGCGGCACCCAAGCGACGTCTAACACGGTCGCCCCCTGCTCGTCCATCCCCACGGGCATCGACGAGAACAGCTGCGGGGCAGGCAGGCTGCTGCTACGAGACGGACCGCCCGCATCGCCGGCGGCGCCCACCGCGGACCAGTACGTCTGCAGCGCGTTGCGGAAGTTTTGCAGCTCCGGCGGCAGCGCTGCGGGGGCCAGCGTCGCAAGCAGCAGGGCGATCTCCCTGTCGGAGAGGTGGAAGGTGTGGCCAGGCATGCTGCTGATTCTTATCCACGCTCGTGGGAGGCGTTCATACCTGCGTGAGGAGCTAGCCGAGAAGCGATTGGTCGTGATGGTTCTTGCAAAGTTTCCTGTTACGGTGCGGGGCAAGTGCGGGGAGTTGCGCATGTTCACGTCACCCGATCTGAAGATCCCACGTACCTACCGTGGTTGCTGCAGAGCCTCACCGGAAGAGAAAAAACATTGCATGCACTGTTATCTGGACAAAAATCAAGGCAAACCTGAGTCACACGTTCCCAAGATGTCAGCTGGTAGACTTAGAACAGTGAACGAATGTTCAAACCTGTCAAGAACCTCACAGAAATCAAATTTGAAATATCCGACCCCTTTAAAAAGCCTGCCAACCTGCAGGAAGTCTTCTCCATGATCAGGCAAAATTTAAAAAATGAACTGCTTTCCACTGAGCAGGCCTCCCTCATCTACCGCACAAAATTGTTACTGCACGGAGATATGGACATTCAGGGGATTGAACCCTGGACCTCACGCATGCAGGAGTCTTGCAAATGCGAAGCGTGCGCGCTACCACTGTGCCAAATGCCCTCGATTTGTGTGGTGATTGCTCATCTTTAATGTGCAGTCCACTACTGAAGCAAGGTGCCAACCTTACGAGGATAATATGTCCTTGCTCATGCGTCGTACGAACTGGAGTGGAAAAGTAAAATGATGACCAGACCGACCGCGAGTATTACACTGACTGAAGAGTAGAACGATGCCGAGGTGCACAGGGGAAAAAAGTATATCCTCGGAGAAAACAGTGAACTCAAGGTCGCCAGCATGGTGATTCTACGGAAGAAGAATGGGAGGTAAACCATAACACATCCACCTCCCCACAAGAACATAAATTGACAATGTCAGTCGTGACGACTCCCGAAATCTTGTTCAATAGCATAACCTGTGCAATAGGAGCTAAGCACAATGCCGACTTCCTCCAATATTTTGGCTGCCAATAATTCGAGAATGCTTCATGATGCTGTTACAACAGCTAAGAAAGTGATCGGCGCGCGGCGAGGGTGATCAACCACACTGAAGTCTCGAAAGAGGACATGATTCATGATACGTCGCAAAGTTGCAAGTGATTTACGGCAAAGGCGTCTATGCCGGCGGCGACCTTTGTGGGACTATCAAGAACATTGGCAGATACGACGAGACGAGCGCTCCTCCGGCCATTCTGTATGACACTAAAGTCAGTTACAGAGTTCAGAGTATGACGAACATTCAGGGAGAAGAGTAGTCATGTAACACTACGGCAGGACGGACGGACTCACCCGAGAGCGCCCAAAGGACTGCTCGACCCTTCCTTCGCGCGAAGGGGATGCCGGTTGAAGTACGTATTCAACGCCATCATAAGGGCGGGCCAGGCTATGTAGCTGCGCATTCACGATAAAGCGAGAAGGCCAATACTGGCGGTGAGACGAACGTAGAACACAACGCACCGCAGCGCTACTCACCGATTCCGAGTGACCATGATCAAACCGCAAACAAACATTACTTCACAGTATCATGAGATATCATCACATCGGCCTTGTCTCGCAGAGCATGCATACCAGTGGCAGAAAATCCATCTATGTCGAATACAAAGGAAGGCATTAATGTTGCTGCACTTGCGCTGGACGGGACAGATACGAACCGGGCGCATCAGTCTCCCATGTGTCCGGGAAAGTGAGTGGAGACACCGCAGATGAATCTCGAGGATCGTCGGCTACAGTAGACATGATGTCTTGGGGAGAGGCGGACAATTAAAACTATTAAGCGCCGTATCACAACGGGCGTCAAAGTCATTGGAGGCTGGCGCTAAGTACTTGATTGCACCAAATAGACCTTGTCCGCCAATTGTCCGCGACGTATATCCGCCGTTGTGTATTCATGGTACACAATATAACGATGATACAGAATTGATGCTCTAAAGACGAATAAACTGCAATAATGGTAACAGCTCAAGGAATGGCGACGATGAATGATGGATGCTACAGATGACTAGGGAACGAAAGGCGTGACCCAGGGGAGTAGAGTGTAGAGCTAAGCACAGGATGCCTACATTCCCAAGCAACATGCATTGAGACATGGAATGAGAGAGTAACTCCTGCATGACGAAGGAAAAATGTCCACCAGTATGGATCCGCGGCAGCGAAGGAAGCGTGGACGTGAACGAAGGGGCCAAGGTGGCATGTACGTGAAATCATGAAGTCCGAATGAAAAAAGTGTGCGCTTAGGCTGTGAGAGTGACTACTCGGGCCCATTAAAGCCCTGAAGTCTGCGCAAAATGACCTCCATGTCAGAGTCCGACTCTGTTGCTCGGTCAAGCACCTGTCCGATAGATGGAGAAGCCCCGAGCTTAAGGTTGCTGCTGTACGCCGTCGAGGTAGACATTGAAGATGAAGTGGTCGACGCAGAAATGCGCTTGAGTGCGCGCGAAGCCCGCCGTTCTTCCTTCGCCCTTTTCTCTCGCTCCCTAGCAGGATCCACAGCAGTAGCACCGGGAGTTAAAGGCGTTTCAGGAATAGCAGACAGGCCCGAGGACGCGGTGTTGGTAGCAGTGAGCGAGGGTAGAGAGAAGGACGACTGCCCAGAATCAGATCCAGGAAGAGATGGGATGCTCGGAAGATCCAACCCCAGCCCGGCTCCGGGAATCGAGCTCGCGCTAGTACCGACACTAGTCGCCGGTACGCTGGCGGAAGCAGGCATGACCGGGGAGCTTGTCCGCCGCGTCTGCTTCTGCTTCAATAAGCCGTCCGGCAGCTGCGCGGGCCCATCCGGAAGTGTGTTCGACCGCCTCAGGCGGCCCGTTACCGCGCTGATGCTCGGGTTCGGACTAGGACTTGCACCCATCGCTGTACCAGGCGGGCTCGTGGCGGGCGCGATGAAGTCAGAGACCGAGTTCTGCAGCTCGATCAGCCCCTCTTCCATACTCCCCGTATGCGAGTCGACCGACATGGGCCCACGCGTCTCACCATGGCTGCTTCGATGGCTAGCCTGACTCTTCTGCGATGACTTCGAGCCCGAGCGGAAACGTGCAGCGGAGTCGATCCGAGGAGCTGTCTTTGCAGTAGTACCGCCAGGCTCTCCAGCAGCATTCTGGCCCGCGTTCATGACGAGCCAGCGCAGGCCGGTAATCTCGCGCTCGCGCTTCCGCGCTTCGCGTTCGAGAACCTCGATGCGGCGTGTGAGCTCGCTCTTCTCCGCAGCGTGCTTTTCCGTCACTGTAAGCAGGTAGGCTGAAAGCCTGGCGAACTTCGCGCTCTGGGCATTCAGCGCGTCGCGCAGCTGCTCGGGCGTGGCGACGTCGCCTAAGGCTGAAGCGCTCTCGTCCCCGCTCTCCTGCAAGGCAACAATGGGCGTCGGCAAAGGCTTGTTCACGTCCCGCTCTGCCTCGCTCCAGTCTGTGGAAGAGGACGGCGCGGTCGCGGTCGTATCACTTTTCTCCTTCGCCGCAGACAGCGAAGTATGAGAGCAATTGGTGTTTGCGCGCTCGCGCAGGTAACTCTGCTGGAGCGATGTAGCAGAACGTCGCGCGCCGACGGAAGGGAAGGATGGAATGGTCGGCAGCGCAGATATGGATGAGCCAGCCTCGTCCCCGCTCCTTATGCTTGGAGGAGGCGACGGTAGAGGATCCGTTGGTGGACCCGAACTCGGGGGTCTCCTAAATGTTGTAAGGAGTGGAGGAGGAATCTTTCCGGTGGCACTCCTTAGCGCGGAGACCGTCGCTGGGATCCTGCTACGCGTCGGTGTGGTAGGGCTCGATGGTGCCGCGTCCGAATCAGACATATTTGCGCCCGAAGTCGAATCGGACATATAACCCCTTCTGATAGCCAGAGTATATGACTTCTCCCTGTACCTCGGTGCGGACAGCGGGAGAGCACTTATGTGCTTGTGGACGCGATCTTTCGAAGATGCGAGACTAGTCTTAACTGACTCACTCTCGCTCTGCCTATCGACTTCAGCATGCTCTTTCGAGATTCGAGGGAAGCTGACCTCCTTCGGGGACATCTGCAACCGAGCGTACTCGGCAGCAGGCGTCGTGAATTGCATCTTGGGGCGCGGCGATGTCGGACTGGACTGAGGGGAGCTCTGCGAGGTCCTGTAGTCCCGTGGTATACCAAAGTTCCGGCGAGCAGTACGTGGAACGATGGCGGGTGGAGGGGCAGGAGCAGGCCGCGGTGTGACGTCTCCAGCGGTAGATGGGGGCGCAGAGATGGTGATGGTGGGGTGCGTACTGGCGGCAGACTGGCGCGAACTATCATTGCTTCGCCGGTTGTCGGTGCTACGCCTACCGTGCTCGAATGATGTTGATTTCTGCGGCCGCAGATGACGCAGGCTTGGTAGTGGTAGGGACGAGCTGGACTTGGCTGAGTCTGACTTGTGCGTATTCGCAGCATGGGAAGACGAGCCTGTACGTGGTGGGATCCTTGACGTGAAAAGGTGAGCAAAAGTGCCAGAGGAGGGCGCTTCGTCGACTGTAGTGAGCGAGGTTGTTTGAGGAGACGAAGGGGTAGAGGATGACCGACGACCAGTGGCATTACTACAGTCCAGGTGTCAGTCAGTTACTGGACAACGAGGATGAAGAGTGTTTGCGAAAAGGGAATCCAAGGGGCGGTTAAGTAGGCACGATCCTTGATCAACACGAGGCAAACTAGTATGAACTGCCCGAAAAAATCTCAGCACAGCCCATACTCGTCATGTTCCTGGCACCATGATCATACAACAGATGGAAGTTGAATGGAATTGCGTTGTTACCTCGGACATTAGAGTGCACGGCGCTAATTCCAGCCAATTCCAGCGCCTATTTGGACGTCGAACGTCAGCGTAGCAACAGCGCCACAGTTCTCCATTACTGAAGCACAATTGTGATTTATTTCTCAATGATATTGAGTTCCGCAACGACTTCGTCATTGCAGCAAACTTGCACTGCGTGGGTCCTCCGTACCAGAAAAGCTGAAACTTACCTGTTTGATGGCCTACTTGTATCGACACTCGGCACAGGGGGGATATCGTCTTCCTGGTCTGTCCTATTGTCTTGGGATCGTCGAAATGACGAGGGTGACACCGAGCTGGATTTTCTCTTGCGTCCGAGGAATAGAATATCAATCCTGCGCTTCCCCTTGGATGGCGGGGTTGGTTCTGCTGGCGGAGGCACAGACGGCGTCAAGTGTATTGCTGGCTGCTTCAGTTCGGAGCGACCACCACGCAGGAGATCTGTGAGGTCTGATGTTTTCGAACGCAGGCGTGCGGAGGCTGTAGACGAGCGTCCAGTTGGCATCATGAAGTAGGGAAAGTTTGGGCGGTAAGGAGCGTGATACGAGGGTCGTTCAGAGCGGAAAAGAAGGAAAGTGTTAAAGACGGTGGCCTTCGTAGGGCATGGAAGAGAGAAAAGCGGCGGCGTCAGAGGGAGATGGGCGGGACTTTAGAGTTTCATGGACGGAGAGGTTGAACTACTGACTGGTCACCGAATGCTTGTCACCCGGTGTCCGAGGCTGAAGGTTAGGATCGACTGACTACTCATTGGCGACCGTTGGCTCAGAAGCTTTGAAAAAAAAAACACTGAAACTCGACGGAGACCAAATGACCCTGCAAGCTCGGCAATCTTCTATCTTCACGTCCTACCCGCGATCCGGGCATTTCTTCCCATACAAGTTCGAGAAGGAACAAAAAGATTCAAGATCACGGTGGAACGCCAGAACACCAAGACTTCACCTAGACTTCATTCATCGAGCTCTCCACATGCATCCTCTTCGCCGTTCAATTGGTTCTACTCGGGCACCGTCCGCCGTAGCTTCATTACCGCGACGAAGCATGACTTCCCAAGTCCACGGACTGCCGCCGCAACCGATAACTGCCACATCTACTGATATCATCGTGGCCTAGAATCTCAAGCGCCGCGCAAAGGTACCGGACTGTCGAATGGCACGGGTCCACCAGGCTCGGGACCAGTGGGACCGCCCGAGGTGCAGGGACTTGCAGTAGGAACTCACCACCGCGGGTTCCTACTGTTCGTGCTACTTCTCTGTCAAATGTCGCCTGGAGGCCACTGCTCGTCTTTACAGGTTGCATACTGGGCGTTGCCAACGACGATGACTGTACATGTGTATGTCATTTAGACCGCTCGCTAGTGCTCAGGCCCGGCATCACAAAATTTTCGAGGTTGCTTTTCGTGAGGGTCTTTCTCAATTTCTCAGAATTCCTGCTCCTCTGTGCAGTACACGTGTACAGTACCCTTCACTTGATCAGCCTGACCCACGACACGAAGTCCATCCGCTTGCGCATCTCCTCGACTGGGACTCATGCCGGTAATATAACTACCTACCTACCTACCTACCTCGTGCACAGTCATCAAGCCAGTGGCTCGCGCGACAAGTGTATTCGCTGCCGACCGCCTTTGGCGCCCAACTGCTGCTCTTCTTTTCTGCATCCCGACAGCCGCCCCCAGGGCGGGCGATCGGTGTGCCGTTGTACGCGTACGCTCGAAGATCTGATCGTGACCGAAACATCCCAGATTTAATTCAACAATACTCCCGCCTGGCCGGCGGCACTGTGTCGAAGTCATTCGCGTCATCATTCGCATCGTGTCCCCGAAATCACTGATTTTATTACGCAGGCGGCGGTACTCCAGCCACACTCTACAAGAAGACAATACACCAAAATTATGAATAGATAACATGTTACTGGCAGGGCACAGCACCCAGATGTCAACCCAGCGAACCCCATAGGCCGCGCGGGTTGACCCACTCAAAGTTGCGGAAGTTGTACGGGCCTTCTGATCTGCTTGAATCTTGTATGACATGGCGCAGCGGCTCTTCCTTCATCTCAGAGCTCACTTCGTGAACTCCATTCTCCAGCTGTGTACCTGTGGCCCACGATGTCAGTCACAGGGGGCATACCAAGGTAGGGAAATAACGTACCTGTCACAGAAGGATAGTAGATCTGCCCGTCAAACACACTCACACTCACACTCGCCCTGGACAAAGATTGGAGCGTCAGCGATGCGAACAAAGAGCGAGAAGGGAAGATACACGTACCCCTGCTTATCTTGGAAGTAGGGCTGTTGGCGAAGCTGTTTCAACTGGAAACGACATCCAGGTCGTAGATGAAGCAGCTGGAATAGGTAAGCCAAGTGCTCGGCGACAAGGAGACAATGTGATTGCTTACCCCCGACAACACAGCTTCTTCGTCCTCGCTCAGTTTCGTCGCCCAAGACAGGTAAGACATGCCTTCCTTCTTCCGATCCCAGGTCACAAACTTCGTACGCTGCGTATCAGTCCTGAATAGCAGCTGCAAGTCCGGAAATCAGCGATGCAATCCATTAGATAATTAGATTCAGGTTCACCTCCCCCGCGGTCAGATCGAACATGATACAGCCGAGCGACCACCAGTCGACCATCTTGCCGTACCACTTGCGGTCCACGATTTCTTGTGCCATGTACGGCCTGCTGCCCACATACCCGCGCGTGTACACTGCCCCATCCTCCAGCGGAGCGTTCCCGGCCTGCAGGTACGCTGCGTTGAAGTCGGCAATCCGTACTGTGTTAGTGCGCGTGTCAAGAAGAACGTTCTCTGGCTTCAGATCGCGATGAATGACTCCCATCGAGTGCAGCGCGTCCAAACCGACGGCCTAACCAGTCATAATCAGTGTCTAAACAAACATTGGTGGCGGACATGAGACGAACCAACTGAGCCACCCAGCGGCGCGTGCGCCGTATGTCTCCGCGACCACGAATAACTTTTATCAGGTCGCACTGCATGAGAGGCTGTATGTTGCAGACTCTAATCAGTCTGTGTATTCATGGTACTCAATAGCTACGCACCATCGCGAAGATCACGTTCTCCTCGTCCTGCAGGGCGGCATCTATCTCCATCAAGAACGGGCATCGGTCGGCAGGGCGCGTCAAGACATGTTTGTAGCACAAAAGCTCAGCAAGCAGTCCGTGAAAGAAAACCGGGTCGGATAGCATCTGCTTCTTCTTGAACACCCGCGTACAAAGCACGCGTCCAGTGCTGAGGTCGCGCGAGACAAGCGACGTGCCGAACGTTCCTTTGGGGAGCTCGTACAGAGACTTGAAAGGGCCGATTTGTTGAGCTCTTGTGCTGTGCGTTTTGTACTTGTGAGGCGGACTATACAAAGGCGCTGCAGAAGAGTATGCGCCCGGAATAGCATCGTGTGCGTATTCCAAGGAAGTATATGCAAGTGCAGGAGTCGTAGGAGCACTGAACGCATATTCCAAGGGAGTGTACGCGAGCGCAGGGGTGGTAGGAGCACTGGGCGCATATATCTTGGAATACGCATGGGTGAACTGTGCCGCGGCTCTTGGTTCCAAGATGTAACTTGGATGTGGTACAGACATTCGCCGGGGAGTCGATGGCGAAGCGGATTCACTAGAGCCGCTTGCACGACCAGCGGGCAACAGTTGAGATCGGACGGTGGAGCGGTCGACGCCTGCGTCGGGCTTCATGGGTCTGAGCGAACGAAACGCCGCACTGGCACTCTGTCTTCGCTGCGGCGAGCGAGGAATTTCGTTCATGAACGGGACCAAGGGGAGTCTTGGTAATACTTCTCCAGCGCCATCCTTGTCCGTTCTCCTTGATGTTGATGCGATCCGCTTCGGAGGAAACGATTTTGGGAAAACCGGTGAAAGAGGAGTAGGAGATCCTCGAGAGGAGGACGCAGCAGCCGTTGTCGTTCGAGGGGACATGCCAGAACGAGAAGAGTGTGCAGACCGTGCAGCAGAACCCATAGATTATAAACGAGCGCGGCTCAAGTGATTATTAGCAGAGGATGTGTGCCACAACGTAAGTTGGCCAATTCAATGGAGGGGATTGCGATAGTGTACGAGAATAGCATTGTCCCATTCTTTTGAGCAAATGCTTCAGGCTGAAAAGGGCAGTGGTGGCTAATGTAGATTGTGCTCAAAGCGATGGCTGGATGCGACAATACACAACGAGGTGGCCATGTGTTGTCGGACCGCAGCTGTTAGATTTTGTGTCCAGGAGACGCATGATGGCTCTTCGCTGCAGGTCGGATCTTCTTAGTTTGAAAACATTCCTTGTGCCACTCGGATGAGACAAAGTAGTTGGCGATAATGAAAGGTGGCTGTCAAAGCAGTGGCGTAGATATTGGGAGGTGGCGGAGACTGGAGCATTATTACCTTCGCGTTGCACATCACGACACCACGAGTTGCGAGATCTTTGCAAGGTTTTAATCTCTCAGAAGCCAGCAGACAGCTGAGATTATCAACAGCGCCACAGAGCATTTCCACGACGCAGAACAATAAGCCAGATCTGAGCAAGACACTTGAGAACATCATGATGCCAACAGCTCGAGACTCGAGAGTTTCGTATAAGATTCTGGTAGTTAATAATTATGTTATTTAGATAGATAACTTCACTACAATGTTTCACGTGATATGTTTCTCATTAAAGAAATTAGGTAATAATCATCGCCACCAACGCGACGCGCGATCCGCGCGACTACTCCACCGGCTACCACGACGACGAGCACAGCACTGTTGAGCGCTATTTCCTCATGTCTGACGCGGAAGGAGTACGAGAACCTCGTCGCTCTCAACGCCAAAAAAAACAGGTGGCGCACTTCGCAGGTATGTATCTGTACACACGCGTGTCTGCCGGAAGAGCTTACCTCCTGTCAGTGAACAGTACGTTGACGAAGAGGAAAAGATCTGACGCGACAGACCAGGATGCGAATAGTGAGCTTTCTGATTCAGAGGACAACGACGAGGGGCCCGACGAGGAGGATGATGATGCGCCGAAGACCAAATCTCCCGCCAAACGCAAACGCAAGGCCACAGGTGCGCCCCAGGCCAAGAAGCCCCGGAAGACGAAGATGCCTGCCCCAAAGGCGACAGCTGCAAAGCCTAAGAAGACTGCGACGCGTAAGGCGAAGCAGCCCGCCCCCGACGCTGAAGACTTTGACGCCGAGAAAGTCGCAAAGGATACTAAGATCTCGGGGGATAACCCCCTATTCAGTGCGTGCACGCGTCGTCTTGTGTCCTTCCTTCGATTATTCATGCCAATGTAGACGCTATCATGAACCCGGCAGCGGCGCTTCAGTCAACCGTGGAGGATTTTCTAGAAGCCATGGTTCGTACGCCTGGGCTCAGCCTCGCAGAGCTGATTAATTGCGTGCTGCGTGCATGCGGTTGCAACGATTCCGTGAACGAAGACGAGGTGGTTGACTATGACGGTGTTGTCGACGCGCTCGACAATTTCACGGAAGGGCTTAAGAAGGTGCGTTGCACAATGATTACATGTGAATGAGTTTGCTTATGACTTATTCCACAGGACGACTCTCCCGTGTATCCCCTCACGTCTAAGTTATCGGTTTTCAAAAAATTCCGTAAATCTTTGTCGGAGTTTTTAGAGCGGCTCATCGCGTCCTCAGCAGAGCTCGGGTCGCTGTACACGTCCGATCTGATGCCGACGCTGCAGACGTGGGTAGTGGCGATGTCCTCGTCCCAGTTGCGCAGCTTCCGACACACCGCGACGGTGATTGCACTGGAGATGGAGACAGCACTGTGTGACGTCGCAGCGGCAGTGGAAAAGGAGGCGGAGGTGGTTGGGCGCCAGCGCGAGGGGGAGCGGAAGCGCAAGGCGGCCGCAGTAAATAAGAGCAAGGGTGGCAGTGCGCGCGAGAAGGAGCTGGAGGGCAAGGCAGCGGAGGTGCGGCAGCGACGCACGACAGTAGCAGAGTTCCTGAAGGAGTTCGTCGACGGGTAAGCTCGTGCTCGGTGAATTATTCTCCCAATCTAAGACTCTTCCAGGGTGTTTGTGCATCGTTACCGCGACCTAGATGCGAGCATCCGCACAGAGTGCGTGCGGGCTATGGGACTATGGTTCAAGAAGTATCCCGCACACTTCCTTGACGGGGCATACTTGCGATACGTTGGTTGGGTGCTCTCCGACGCTGACACGCACGTGCGTCTGGATGCGGTGCGCGCGCTCGCACTCGCATACGAACAGACTGCGTACATCGGCGCGGCGGCCCTGCAGCACTTCACCGAACGCTTCAAGCCGCGACTCGTGCAGATGGCCGTGGGCGACACGGAGCTGAGCGTGCGCGTCGCCGTCGTGCAGGTATTGCAGGCAATTGACGGCCACGGTCTGCTAGAGGATGAGCAACGCGAACGCCTGTGCCTTCTAGTGTTTGACGAGGAGGCGCGTGTGAGGAAAGCTGTGAGTGGTTTTGTGCGGGGCGTGTGGGAAGAATGCCTCGAAGAGCGTTTGGTCGGAAAGAAGCCGAACGCGAAGGATAAGCAGCGCGCGGAGGTCAAGGCGCTGGGGATGCTGCTCGTGAAATGGGGAAAGACGCTGGACAAGACCACTGAGGATGTGGATACCGAAGACGAGGACGCGTCTGTCATCGATGAGGGATCGTCGAGCCGAAAGAGAGCGAAGGAGGTCGCTTCACTCCTTAGTTCTGGCCAGAAGGGGCGAACCGCTCTTGCGGTTGAGGCTCTTTGGGACGAAATGGAACCTGTGAGCGACTGGGAGACGTTGCTGGATGTACTTCTTCTCGATCACTCTGCAATTGGCGACGATTCTTCATCACAAGACCGAGGAAGTGGTGGGTCCGGGAAGCAGCCAACTGGGGTAGATGAGGCATGGCGACTAGAAGAAGTCGAAGAAGCCGTATTACTGGAGATGTTCGTTGCAATCCTTCGGAAAGCACAAGCCGATGTTGCTAATGCTAAGAAGGTAGGTTATGCGCCTCCCTTTGGCAACAACTTTACTGATCTCACACAGGGAGAAGATGAGACCGTGTCGTCTAGTATGACACGAGCTCTCATCAAAGGTCTACCACGACTCTTTGTCAAGCATCAGACGGATGAGAATAGGATAGCTGATGTTCTCCTCATACCGCAAGTAATGAATCTCGACTTGTATCTGGAAATGCGGATGATGACAGTAAGCAATCAAGATACAAGACGTTCGGTTCATGACGCTGATTACTCACGTGTACAGGCATACGCAAGTCTGTGGGACGATGTTACGAAGCAGTTCCTCTCACATTCCCACCCGGTAGTCCTTGGGAACGCAGTCGCAACCATCCGCTATATGATGGATGCGACCAGCCTTTCCAACACGAATAGCACGAAGATCCTGGAGTTGGAGGACGAATTGTCTACAACGCTGCGCGATGCGATTTCGGGCAGAGACGAGATTGAAGTAGCAAGCTTTAGTGAAGACGAAGTTCTCTCCCTTGGAGCAATATGTGCTCGTCTGGCAGCATTGATCGGGATACGGGACTTGACGTCGTGGATGGAAGAAGATGAGGGTGGCAAACAGAGCAGCGCATGGGACATCCTCAACGCACTGGCAGAACGTGGGCGTTTGGGCTATAAGGAAGAGGAATCGGTAAGTGTTCTGCAGTTTCGCGATGACAGATTCACTAAACTTATCGTGTAGATGATTGATCGTGCACTGCAAGTGCTTACGTTGCATATTATATGGAAAGCACGGGGTTTAACTGCTCCGGATGTTGAACAATCCCCGGAAGAGGCCCGTTTCACGGAAAGGCTTCGCGAACAACGAGAGTCTCTTTTGGAGAAACTGGTTGAGTTTGCTGTGGGGACTCAATCCAATACATCCGAAGGTGTCAGAAGAGCGGTGAGTTTTGTTGTCTTCATGGCTCTCCCTGATGGCTTACCCAACTACCGTTGATAGGCATTCCAAAATCTCATGCATCTGCACACGCTGTTCTATCCAGGTGCATCCATCGCGCCAGATGGCAGTCGGTTGCCTACTGCGTCTTTACCCCTTGAACTTGGTGATGAAGTGCAGTATCGGTGTGCAGGCTTCGTTCAGGCAGAGATCGAACATTATGCAGAGCAGCTCGAAGAACTCACGCCGGCGCACGACGGCCAGAACGAAGAGAATGATGCTAGCGACAGCAACGAATCGGACAGTGCCGTACCTGCAAAGAAGAAGAACACGGGCAAGGGCAAGCAGCCAGCGAAAGGTCACTCTGAAGGAAGTCGCATGACATCTCGTTCGCAACTCGAGGAAGAATACACTTTCATTGGTGTCATCACTACCTTTTTGCGCGCCATCCGTATAGGTGTCATCCATTTCAGGCATGCTAGCATTCTTCTGGCTCATTACGGTCGCCTTGGATCGATGTTCGACCTGTGCTCAAAGGCAATCGTCGACATCCTACGCGAGGAGGGCATGTACAAGAACAACGGCACAGATGTTGTAGCTGTGATATGTCAAGCACTGCGAGAAGTACGTCCCTGCCTTGAATGTTTCTGATTGTCCAAGTTTTTATTTGTCTGTTCAGTCTTTCACCCTAGTGCTTGAAGGTGTCGTCCAGACAGAGGAGCATTCAGTTGCTCTGGCAAAGGCACTCACAGCATGTCTTATCATGCGTGGGGCCCAGTTATCAGTTGTGCGGCGGCTTGACAGCAAATATGTTGTTGAGATCCATACTGCCTTGCTTAGTTGGATTGGCAAACGTCTGGCTGCCTGCGAAAGTGCGAAGAACAAGAAGTCTCGGAACAAAGCCCTTCTATTCTTCAAGGTGCTACATCCGCTCCTTGTGAGTATCGACAACCGAGACTCGTTGAATATGTGCGTCTCTTTTCCACCCATCGTGACTTGTCGCGATGCTGACTACCTGTCGTTTCACATCAGTAAGGCGCATTTGGACCAAGTACTGGCTCAAGCCAAAGTAGAAGTGCTGGCTACGGCGAAAGCATGGGAATCATATCGTGCCTACGAAAAGAGGTTGACTGCATCAACCGCAAAAGAGAAAGGTTGGTCACGTCGCAGAATTTCGGGGCAAGGTTCATTAACACGTTGATTAGGTGCTGCTGCAAAACCAAAAAAAGTTCCCAAGAAAGGAGCAAAGAGCGCGGAGAAAATCACGACCGATGCCGAGGAAGATGAAGCGGTTGAGCGGCCTGAGAATGTGCCTCGGGCCCCCCGACTACGACCCAGACCAAAGCCTGCCTATCAGCCTGCTCGTGCAGCAGAAGCTGCTACGGACGGTGAACCGGAAGCGACGGAAGATGAGGATGACCCGTTCTTGGGCTCCGCCGTACCGAACGTTGCCACCCCGAGTTCCCGACCTCGACGTAAGGCTGCGTCTGGCAGTAATTCCCCACGAAAATCTCCATCAAAATCACCTTCCAGATTGACGTCAATCTCCGAGCCTCTCACACCTTCCCCGGATGAGAATGCTACGCCTGTCGCCTCGCGAAAGCGCGGTCGTTCTTCAGACGCGGAAGAACTAGAAGGAACTCTTGATACCCTCGGGGATGGTGAGGATAGTGCCGCTGCCTCACCGTCAGCAGAGCCTTCGCTGTCTCAGGGAACTCAAGCAACCGAGCTCCAAATACGCAGGAAGAGAATCCGTCATTGATACCCTTTTCACTACTATGCTTATTCTTGTTAACATTGGAATTTACGCTGTTTTGTTCTGCTGCATCCTGCTAATGTACTAATGCTATGTGTATTCAGTAATCTGTAGCGACAGAGTTAAATCAAAGAGGCTTGCTCCGATACGATGTACTAGCGTGCTAGAGTTCTTGTCCAAGTGCTAATGTGCATGTGGCGTGAATGTGAGGAAAAGTGAAGCAGTCCTGGCGGTTAGAAAGTGATAAATATCGTAAAATAATCGTTAGCTTCGTGGCCTGCACTTGAATGAAACGATGAGATGCAGGCGTGCATGCACACAGCGTGCGGAGACGCATGTCATGAACTAGCTAATCCGGAAAGTCGCTTGAGCACTTCCTGGAGTGCGCTGTTTCGTTGCAAGAACTTCCGAATTTCGTCTTTTCCTTGGCGAAACGCCCCTCCCCTCGAAAGTGGACATCGACTGCGGCCTCGACGGCCTCAACTCCTCCAAAGAGATACCGAGGATCTCGCACAGCTCCCTCTGTGCCTCAGTCAACGCTCTGAGTCCAGAGGAAGCAGAATCGGACATTAAGTCTGCTATAAATATGTGAGAACATTTGTTAAGAAGATCACGAAAGGTGACTCACCTGTCGAGTGACCGCTTGGCACGTCAGTCATTATTCCGAGTGGTGTTCGGATTGGGAGTCGGGGCACAGGTGGAATCTCCTCGATTGGAGCCGAGCGCACCCCCGGTGAACCTGCGGTACTGTTCCGATGAGCATCGCTCGTTGACGACCTTTGGCTACGCGTGTGCAGGGAAGATCGCAGTTCAGCCTTCCGTGTGCTATTCTTCCGTGCAACGAGGACCCGACTAGAACGGCGACTAACGGACTCCTCTCTCGCGGGAGCGGCCGTCTTGTCAGTCATGTCATCGAACTCTCGCGCTATCTCCTGAGCCTGCTTCCACGCATCGTCTCGCTCGGCCTCCAAGGCAGCCATCTGTTCGCGGAGCTTCTGGGACTCCGCGATCTGTTGCACGACCTTGGTATTCAGCTTACGCAGTGCCATTGCAAGCGCGCTACTCTTGTGCATTTCACGCAGGAGGTTTAACTGGCTGAGCTGATCTGTGGCATTATAGAGCTCCTCTGCAAGTTGATCGAGAGTCTCATCGAGATCCGACAGCTCGTCCAGCATCCGATATATGGCAGGCGTATCGGGGTGCTCAAGACTATCCATCGTGGAAGTCAAAGAACTCATCAGCATCCTCCTTCTTCGCGCGTTCAACCTGTACTCGTTCTTTAACTCCGCACTCAGCGCCTCCAGGCGGTGAATCTCGTCTGCCACACCGTGATTCAGTGTGTCGAGCGGCAACAACCGTATCGCAGAGGGATCTACTGTCTGTTTGATCGCCGAGGAGACGACTTCCTGTAACTGCTGTGAAGTAAAGGTCCACTGCGCTTGCTCCATCGTTAGCCCTTTGAACTTGGCTGCTGTTCGCTGGAATCTGGGCAATGACGCCGACAGCGTGGCCGCAGAGGGTCTGCGCATAGGATGATGTGAGCTCAGGTTGGTGGTGGACGAGACCGATCCATTGCGTGAGCGACCCGAAAACAAAGATGAGGCAGTAGAATTGCTAGGTTTTCGAGGGCCAAGCGGAAGCGGGGGTCTCGTGCGCGGAGTGCGTTTCGACGTCGTCGTGGGCGTGCCCAGATCAGGAGTGACAGCCCGGTTGGATACTAGAATAGCCGTTAAACGAGAGGGGGGTGTATCCGGAGGAGACGGTCTTCGCATGTCGTCGACGTACGACGGAGGTGCATGATCCGGCGTCTGCTGGGTTCCTACCACCGAACGCGGTGAAGGAGGTTGAGGCGAAGGGACACCCGACGGCGGCGGTGATGGTAGGGGAGACAAAGCTCTCTTCCGGGGAAGTAAGCTTGAGAGCTGAGGTGAAGCCGCGCGTACTGGGGGCATGCTCAAACGTTCGGGCACACCGTTATCGGTTTCTGCCTGGAGCCGTACCTCAAGGGTAGCTATCGTCGAAGATGGTTCCTCAGACGGCGCGTAAAAAGGGGGCGGAGAGCCGAGAGGGTACTCTATGGCAGGCACTGCAGGTAATGGAGTGGTCGGCGGTGTCCGCGCTGCTGGGACGGGTAATGGTGGCAACGGTGAGCGAAGCGGGGATCGACTTTCTGCCATCGCCATTGAACCTCGAGCAGAAGATGCGTGCAAGAAACTCGCAGACGTGCAGCCACCTTCCCTCGTGTGCGCACCATCAGATGGCGCACGACCACTCCTGCCTGATGCCAAGGACGGCTCTGGAGATGGGGAGTGCGATGGAGGGTTAGAAGGCGAGCGCGATTCTTCAATACGCGACAGGCGTGCCTGTGGCTGCTCATGGGAATACTCCGATGACCCAGTCGTCCCAGGGTCACTTTCCGACGACTTCCTCTGAATTATTTCTGTAGAGAGGGGCGGATGACGAGGCGGCGAGGCACCGCCAAAACTCGTTGAGCGTGACAAAGGGTTTCGCTGGGTAAACCGCATCAAGACGCCGCCACGATTAGTCCTCGGTAACGATCGCGCGTGCTCCATACCTGGCCTGGCAGGAGGTGGGGGAATGGGCGAAGCTACCCCTGCGGACCATAGCGGACTGAACGCATACGGCGTCTCGGGGAATGTTTGGCGACTCGCAGAGCCCGCTATCAGCGATTCAACGCTTGAGTTACGTAAGGAACTCTGCTGGTCCTGCGGAGAGATCGCAAGCGGCGCGAGATGGCTTCCAGAGCGCTCGTACGTCAAATTCGTCGGCGCAACGGGGAACATAAAGTCAAGAAGGTCCGGCGAGTCGACGGGCGTCTCACCAATATGGCGGGCGGTGGCAGAGATTGGTACACCCGCTCCTAGGTACATTCGCGCACGGAGGTCAGTGTCAGAGGGCGTACGGGTCGAGACGGGCGAGGAAATGGGTGAGTGGGGAACTTGCACAGAGCGGGGCCGTTCGCCGATAGGAAGGAGAACGACAGGACGATACGGAGCGTTATAGTTCCGTAAGCCTGAATCTGAGCGCGAGCGGGTAACAGACGGACTTTTCGCATTGCTTCCAGAAACAGAAGTTTTGAGCGAGGTGCCAGCAGTCGATGTTCCTTGCTTTTCGAAGCTGTTCGCTGAGTATGAAGAACCTGTGGTAGTCGTAGGTAGAGCTGGAAGTGGCTGCGGTGATGAAAATGTCGCACCCTCCACAGTGAGATCAAGCATGAACTTGCTCCTTCTGTGAGCTACCCGCTCGGAAGGCCCCGAATCCGACGATACAGTAGAAGACGCGGGAGGCTCTGTGCTGACGTGCTCTTGTTCTACAAGAGGAGATGGCGGGACTACATCGTCGTCTTTTGTATGCACGCTGCAACGTATAGAAGGTGGTTTCTGCGAAGAACGATTCGATGTGTGCGATACTCCGTCCCAAATCGACGGGGTGTTCGGTACCGAGGGAGCTGGAGAAGGTGCCTCTGTAATAGGCGATATTGGCGGTACCGCACTCGGTTGGTCCTTGTGTCCACGCAAGACCTCCAGCGCGTGTGAGAACTCTGCACTCCCGCGTCGGGATTCTGGTGCCGCAACGGAATTTTTACGGATTCTCCCGGCGCTACCAGCGCTATCCAGACTACCGCAAGTGTCCGCACTTGGGGGCAATGGGGGAACTGGTGGAACGGACGGGGGACGCTCGGGTGAATGGATGTCAGTACTACTGCTGGCCCGTCGATCGGAAGGAGAGTGCATGAGTGCATGATCACCGCGGGGGAGTATCGCAGAGTCCTGACGCGTGACGCCATTGCGGTAACGAGAGGCACGCGTGTCTGCTGTGAAGATGAACGAGTTCGCAACGAGAGCTCGCGCCAGAGTAGTGCCAGATATGGCAGAGGAAATCTCCTCCGTGTAAGCGGACCCTGGTGTTGGAGGACGAGTTGAGACGTTGCTCCCAGGAAGGGCGAGGTTGGACGTCTGGCTGGCGGAAACACCTTCCGATGCGGGATGTTGCACTTGGACCTTTGCAGCAGCAGGATTGTCGGGAATTCTGATCGGAGTAGGTTTTCTCGAAGGTGTGCCATCGCTCGTCTGCGGAAAGATTGGGAACTAGACGCCTTCGCATCAAGGCAATGACTCACACTTGTTATGCTCTGTGTACTATGCGCATCCGCATCCATGACAGAAGTAATAGTAAAAGGTTCAGCCTGCTCTGGCTGGTCCGACGGGTGTTTAGAGAGTCAAGACACCTCCTAACCTCATGAGACTTTCAGACATACCTCTGGTTTTGTCGGCTTAATGACAATCACGTCGTCTACTGGGGAAGGAGGGGAGATCTCACGAGTTCGACTGGCATTCCTACTCGAGGACACCGTGCCATGTCCATGCCCACTGCCTCCACTTCCACCTGGTAGGGAAACATTGCGCTCCGGAGGAGACCGTATCTCAGACCCGAGCATCCCTTGGGGAAACCAGTCGGATATAGACATCGAGTGATGGTCCAAGTCCAGCTGCACGCGCGGCGTCGACGCTCTGCTAGAATTGAAGCCATTGGACTGGGCGTGAGCGTGCGCATCAACACTGACTTTCTCGTGAATATCGACGATCTCCGGAGAGACGAATGACGCGGGGGAAGGTGGAGACTGTGCGCGCTTGACGGTGGTAAAGTTTGTTGTCTTCTTCTGCCCCTTCCGCCTGTTGAACATTGAGTACAACATGTCTTGAGTCTATAGCCGTTCGCAGAGCACAGAAGAACATCAAAGAAGAGCGCGAGCAGTCAGGTGAGACGTGGAGGGATGCTGGGAGTATGAAACAGAGGATTCTGAGCCGCCCGGTGATGGACAGCAGATAGTCATCATCATTTCAGGACGGCCGTACCAACCATCATAGCATATTGCTTGCTGCCACAATCAATCCCTGTTCCGAGTTCTACTTCCGGTGTTAATGGCAGATCGAGATCGCTTATACCTCCTTACTTGCATCTCCTCAACGGCATCCTCACTTGGTATATTATGTCAGCAGCTTTTCCACGCGGATCTGCAACATGAAACACAGATCTTACACAGCTAGACTCGGTCGCTCAAGTTTCTTCCACCAGCTCTTCGTCACCTTCAACGAACTTCTGCTTGCTCAATTACTCTGCCCGCCGAATTACGCTCTCTCTTGCACAATTTCCACCGACCCTGCGACAGGCGCCGCCTCCTGGCAGTTGAGCGTCTCGTACACCGGCTGATCAGCTGTATTTCACTCCCTGATACGCCGCCATAGGTTCCGCGTGTAAGCACGTCTTCACAGTACTTAGTTCTGCTGGTGAGCCATATCTATATTAAATGCACGCACGTGCAAAGTACCTACTATCATACAGCGCGATATGCTCGCTTTTTGGTGTAATGCTGTTCTGCGGTGTTGAGCACTTAGTTACCTGTGGTAGGGCAACTGGTGAGCCACCACCGCGTCTCGAGTCGAGTGATCACTGCCCGTGACGAATCTAAGATACTCCCGGCCACCACATTCCGTGCGCATGATTCCGCCAGTGTCGCACAGCATTCTCTATTCTCTGCAGGATCTGCCATCACATGTTGTGCGGTGTACTTCTAATTGCTATGCTCCGAGCATTAAACTATAGAACGAAGTACAACTCTTCCATTTGATGACCGTGCTTCCTGGATCATCCCGTCATAAGGCGAAGGGGTATGATCAAGTACGGAAGGTACCTTGGGCCGACTTAGACCATCTGGTGGGTAACCGAAACGTTCGCTTGGACACCACACGCGATTGTTGTCTCGGAAAGGCGTATGGCGTCGTGGCAGGCGCAAATTTGAAGAATATGTGACATAAATTTCGGACAACAAAAGCAGTATATTCTTGCAGCATCAAATTGATTTTCTGCTTTGGTGATTGACGTTCTTCTGGTTCGATCAAAAAGACGCTTTCTTTCCGCGATCATGGTCTCCGACTTCTCCTTCGATACTGCAAGCAAAGGAGATCCGAGAAATTCGCAGTGTATGGTGTGCACCCGCACCCGCCGCATCTACATCTTCTTAAGAGCGTGCCCGCACTGTCCATTGCGGGCTGTCCGAATATTGAGGACTAGACATGCTGACAATGCTGTGCCCAACTGATAACACCCACAGCACCCTGCTCTACAACAGCGATGACATCTTTTATAGTCCGTTCACGTTCATCGAGCTTCAGTAGTTGGATCCGCACCGATATGTTTCACATCACAGTTGCTTCTGACAGTGAAGTTGTAAGTATCTTGGGTAGAATTCACGCGTTGACATCATGATCGAATATAAACGATGGCAACCCTGGGGACGCGTACCCTGGTAGAAAAATTCAAATCTTGATTCTTCAGCCCCGCAGTTTGCACAAACGGAAGATATTGCGGAACTACTTCACCTTCCAAAACGAACTTGACACACAGATCGATCATGGTTCCATAAATCACGTGTGCGCGATTGCACCAGATTTTCGAGAATCGAGGCGTGACTCGTCTCCAAGACGAGCGGATACAACTGGCCGTGCTCAACCAACACCATGCGATACTTGTCAACCCGGGGCGGGGATGAGCTACTCTCTTTTGAAGAGGTCAAGTCAATAGCCAGCACAGGCACATCACTCTCTGAACCACATTGTCGCATTCACAGACGGTCCTCACCGGGCTCGCACCAAACGGCGGGCTCTACATCCCGGAGCGCATCCCTTCTCTCCCAGAGAACTGGCAGACGCGGTGGCAGAACCATTCCTTCGTCGACCTATCGGTGGAGGTTCTGTCACTCTACATATCCCCCGCCGAGATCTCGCGCGCGGAGCTCCGCGCGCTCGTCGAGAAATCGTACCGTACGTTTCGTCACCCCCAAGTCACGCCCGTGAAGAAGCTGGGTGCGCGGATGTACGTCTTAGAGCTGTTCCACGGGCCCACCTTTGCGTTCAAGGATGTCGCTCTCCAACTGCTGGGCAACCTCTTCGAGTTCTTCCTTGTACGGAAGAATGCGCGGAAAGACGCGGCGGAGAAACTGGACAAGCTCACGGTCGTTGGTGCTACCAGTGGGGACACAGGAAGGTGCGTCCATCTGTCTTTCTCTCAAATGGAGAATCATACGATGGCACTCGCATTGTTACAGTGCTGCCATTTACGGATTGAGGAATAAGGCCAACATCTCCATCTTCATCCTCCATCCGAAGGGCCGGGTATCCCCGATACAGGAGGCACAAATGACTACGATCACCGATGCGAATGTGCACAATATTGCGGTGAATGGCACTTTTGACGATTGCCAGGTGAGATTAATAGCTTATTCGCAAACCAATTTGCCTTCGTGTAGAACAGACATGTCTACTTTGGTAACCTTGGAGAAAAGTCTGCATGGTTGTTCTACACGACAGAGCCGAGAAATATCTTGGATGCTATGCCAAAGTTATTCGCCTTGGAACACATGCTTACATGCCTTGCAGGACATTGTGAAAGCGCTCTTCGCCGACCACGTCTTCAACAAGAAGCACCGGCTCGGTGCCGTGAACTCAATCAACTGGGCGCGCATTCTCGCGCAGACCGTCTATTACTTCCTCTCTTACTTTCGCCTCCGCGCGCTGCTGGGGGGCAGCTCAGATTTCGAGCTGCAGTACGTGGTTCCGACGGGCAATTTCGGCGACATCCTCGCAGGGTACTATGCGAAGCGCATGGGGCTCCCGATGGGCCGTCTCGTCGTCGCGACGAACGCTAACGACATCCTCACTCGCTTCTGGCAGAGCGGCGCCTACGAGAAGGTCGACTCGTCTGTAGCGAGCGGCGGGGCGTCGGACGGGAAGCAGGCGACGGCGGCGTACGGCGTGAAGGAGACGCTCAGCCCCGCGATGGACATCCTCGTCTCGAGCAACTTTGAGCGGCTGCTCTGGTACCTCGCATACGAGGATCCGGCGCTGGCGCAGGAGAACCTGTCTGCAAAGGAGCATGTGCGCGCGGCGGGCGCAACGGTCGACGGATGGATGAAGAAGGTGAAAAGCGACGGGCGCGTGAAGGTGCCGACTGCTGTGCTCGAGCTCGCGCAGAAGGATTTCCTCGCGGAAAAGATATCGGACGCTCAGGTAAGTTCAATATTTTCGTGCCTTCGCATGTTCACGCTCATGCCGTCTCGTCCGTAGACGCTGGAGACAATTCGGTTCTATTATGGCTCGAAGCCTTCGTATGTCGCAGACCCACATACCGCGGTCGGGCTGTCCGCCGCACGTATCATCGCGCCACAAAAGTAAGCTTACACGAGATTTCCACCTGACACCCTGTGCTTAATCTTTCCCCAGCCCACCCTCCACCGTGCAAGTCGTCCTCTCCACCGCGCACCCTGCTAAATTCTCCGAAGCGGTCACCCGCGCGCTCGACGGCTCCGCAGGTTTCGACTTCGCGCGGGACGTCCTGCCGGACGAATTCAAGGGCCTGCTGGAACGCGAGCGGCGGGTAATTGATGTTCAGTCCCCCGATGTGGCTCTGGTGAAGAAGGTTATTGAGAAGTTCGCGGGAGATGAAAGTCCTGCGGAGGCTTTTGGAGGAAGCGTGTAGATCTGGAGATGTCATGAATATGTACGTGTACGCAGACCGAAGTGCGACTTTCGCTTCCGAAAAGTAGGCATGACGGAACGACGGTAAATATCAGTGCGATGAGGGCAGCTGCAGATACGCTGCGCTGGGTTTTGTCTCACTCTGTTGACGAGGACGGTAGCGTCGTGCCGTGGACCTTGAAGCTGATTCCAAATAAACACTGCCCATCAGAAATACCGGCTACGCGAATCAGTCGTGCCGGCTGGAATACGATGTGTGCCTCTCCGTTGACGCACCTGCGTATCTCGCGTTCCTGAACCACGCACACTGCACCGAAACAGCGACACGACAACACACGTGCATGTCATTCCACGATGCAGATATCACATAGTGCACATTACTGTTCCCGGACGCCAAGTGTAGTTACATTAACCGAGATTGGAATTGAATAGCAAACACTCCAGACGCCTCCGTCATTAAGACGCTTGACAGAGGGTCAATCGGTGCAACTGCATCCTGTGCTCTTTGGACTTAAAGTCAGTATGGCTGCTGAAAAGCATGAGGCTTTCGGCATACCTGAGACACTCCTACTCTGGCAAATTCAACGTGGAGTATCTGGGCTGTGTCGTCAGCGATCTTATTTCTGGAGACACCGAACATGATTGCTCGCACCTGTAAATCCACGACAGCCATCTAGTACCCAATACAATCTCCACCTTCTGACGGAGAACACCGCTGCATAATGCAGGCGGTTAGCCAAATTGCTGAATGACTTTATTTTAGGTGCTCGCCTCATACTGAACGTAGTGTCAGAAACGTTGAAAGTGAACAATAAAAATAGAGAGGCACTCACAACTTCTGGTAGCGCTTCGCGTTGGGCTACCTGCGGAATCTGCGGCGTTGACGACGTTGTCTGAGCAACAATTATGCAAGGACGATACGGAAAAAACCTCACTGGACTTGCAGAAGAGAGAACAGCGAAAAATATCGTAGCAAATATGGTCGCAAGCGTGAGCTTCATGGTTGCAAGCGATGTGAATGTGGTGATATAACAATGGCGGTATAAGCGATAGCGAGGTGGGCCATTTGTGACTGGACGCTTATGTAGTGGCTCCGGGAGCATATGCCTTACTCACTCGGTGCCTGGACCGGAATCCTAATTGGAGCGCCGTCTGGATCAGTGCCTGCCGATCCGATTTCCGTCGCTCATAAATAAAGGAAATTTCTGTCCCCACTTCGCAGCTGACGTGCCGCGTGCAGTGACCCGTCTTCCAGTCGCGGTCGGGATCACTCCAAAGTCAAGACCAAGTCTATGTATTGCTTCTCAGTGCGGGGTATAATTTATCTCCACCGTCCGATACGAGTCGCTGCGATTACGAGAGAGAGACTGGTCATGGTAAGGAGCACAAGCAAGAGGCACCGGAAATCCGCGGTAATCCGACCACGGTTGTCAGCTCGGTAAGTTGGTTGAAGAAACTGGAGGCTTGTTTGGAGTCTTAGACTCTTGAACTTACAAAGTGAGTTTGACTTGACAGCTCTTTGCGGCACTTGAGAAAATTTGAGCAGTCTTGCGGACTGGACCCCGAGGTGTCAAATGCCCATCCAGAACCTAAACGACATCTCCAATACTGCAAGTGAGCAGCATTGTACTATGAGTATCTGGTAATTTCCACAGCTTGAAGAAACAACGCTTCTGCGGTTGGGAGCTGCGCACTCGTACGATGCCTTTTCGTTCATTCGCAAACGCGGCGATATCACACGAATGCGCATCTCATCCCTTCCAAGTTCCGAGCCATGTCCCCTCTTCCTTAGATCAGCACCCTACCGGTCCCTCCAGCGCCTACTCGCTCGCCTACCGCTCAAGATACAGTTCATAATATGATGCACCAACCCCCGATATCTACGCCAATGAAACCTTCACCCAGATATGATCAGCCTATCCGCTGAAGCTACGGCGCGGGACGGACGGGTCATAAAGTCTGGGTGCAAAATGTCGCTGATCGAAGCCTGATACATCCTCCAGCATAGGGCGATTCCGGTGCCCAGGGCACACCTGGCGCTCATACAGCAGGGGAAGCCCACATCGTGGCGGATCCCAACTCGATACAACAGCGTCATATGATGTGCACAATATGTTACTTACTAGGTGCCGGCGTGCTGCTTTTGTTCTCCCAGCAGGTGCCCGAGCAGTCTCATCCTATCTCGCGGGAGACCATTTGCATTTGAGCGAGCTGAGTTCAGCGGTACAGTATAGGCTAGGCTCAGCTCTTGTCGCGAGGTGGCTATTCTCTGTCTATAGGCACTACGATGAGACAAGGCTGCCATGCACCCGTGTCGTAAGCGTTGGTCCCAAGTTGCAACCTGGCTGGCCAACTTGTTGAATGCGTCGGTTGGCTTGGTTTCTGTGTCTCTGTGCGCCTCATAGTCGTCTGCGAGATTTCCGTGTCTATGGAGGGACTACAGTGGAGGCATGGAGCCCGCACTCAAGGGACTTGCTCTGAACGTGTGCCGAGGAATACTCGAAGGTGAGCCTCGCGTGGCGGATGGTCAGTCTGTCTTCCTCCACGGAGCTTCGCTCTTGGTCTGCAGCTCATCTGCATATCTACGTAGCAGCTAGATCCGAGATGGCCTTCCGGATACCAGGTCGAGGCCGCTTCAGTCCCCTTTAAATACGGTTTGGGAGACTCGCAAATTCAAACTCGATGGATGCGCCTCCGGAGAACCTTATACTACCCTTCCAATTAAGAAGCATACGAGGACATAGTGGTGCCGCTGTTCCCCTGTCGTCCATGTGACCAGTGGTCGTCTGGCAGTGCTATAGAACGTTAAGTTGTGTGTAAAGGCATTTGGTTTCACGAATAATGATCTAATTATCTGGAACGTGGTAGAGAGGACCTGTACACCATACAATCTTCTTACGCGAAAGAAGCTGTGCCTATCAGCTGAGAGGCTGTGACCATTTGAGCGCGTGGGCGATGGCTGGCGCCTTTGAGGGCGTATGTAGCGCGCAGCCTTTACTCTTGCCGTCGTACCTCACTTCCTTCGAATTGTAACTCACTAGTTTCCTTCATGTTGTAACCCACCGCTGACAATAGAACGTCTACAGATTACCGAGTACCTTGTCCCAATACAAACGTGGCAACACTAAGTAGAACGGCCTTTGTTGCTCGATAAACCCATTGCACAATGTCCGTGAACCCACTCGTAATATTTCGTTGCTACTTCCATGCTGAAGATGTTGCCAGTCTCGTAGTCATCCATCGGAGTCCAAGTCCACAAAAGACGGTGCGGCATTAGCTGTCTACGATACGTGAAACTTTGTACCTACGCCTAGTTGGATGTAAAATATCTTCTAACGCCTAATGCTGTGACCCCCAGACATGGCGCACGACCTGCACGTCATCCCTGTACTCCCTCATGAACTCATTGACCACATCATTGATTTCTTGTGGGATGACCGGCCAGCACTTTACAATTGCTCTCTCGTGTGCCTTGCATGGCTTCCTAGTAGCCGATTCCACATCTTCTGCCACATGCGGGTTCGCAGTCGCCGGGCCTTCGACTCTGTTGTACACTTATCGCAGGTTTCACACTTGGAGCCCTTTTTCGCCTACACGCATTCCCTACGGCTGGTGTGTGAGGATCTCGACCCGGACAACTCCCAACAATGGGCGCACGTCTGCCCTCTAATTTTAGGAGGTCGGTTCCCAAACCTGACAACTCTCAACATAGCAGGAATCAATTGGAAGAATGTCCTGTCTCATGTCGTTCTGACGGTCGGGTTTCCTCAATTCCCGCAGGTAGTTAACCTTGGACTGTCATATTGCACTTTCGCACCTTCCGCAAGTTACAATGCCTTCTCTACTCGTTTACTGGTCTCCGACATCTCCATCTGATCCATGTCGATTGCCAAAATCATCCGCCACCTGACCCTGCATCGATGTTACTCATGCGCGGATTGCATTCATCAAAACTACACCTCGTGTCCCTCACCTCAAGATGGGGTTGTCCTTCTATGTACGACTGGCTCCGTTGCACACCGTCGATCAAATCCTTAACCCAATTGTACCTACCTGAGATGCGGGACGCTTCGGAGCGTGAGGCGGCAGAGCGACTTATTCATGCAGTCGGAGATGGCCTCAAACACCTCCAAATTGACTTTGCTAACGATGAGCACGCGCAGAGTGAGCTCTCTCCAGTCCACGCTCTGCACAAAAAACTGACCTATGGTCAGGTTTCGTCGAGAGCCAGTGTCTGCTGACATGTGCAGGCTTGGAATCCCTCGGCCTATCTTCCCATATGTGCAAGGGCGACACCACCTCTCAAATGATTGCATTGCTGTTGCAGCCCCCGTCCAGTAGGCATCTCCAACGTCTGACGCTCCTCGCCACGCATTATCTCGCGAACGGAACTGTTGATTTTGACCACCTCAGGAGGATCGACACCATTCTCGCACAAGACAAGTTGCAGATGGTGGAATTATTCGTTCATCTCATTCCTCCCGCCAGCCACGCAGAGCAGAGCATTCGAACGGAGACTCAGCTGGGGCAGGAAATGGCAAGCTTACTCCCCACGCTATTTCGACGCGGCGTCCAGATTACAATCAAGATGCATTACCGGTATGGGTCCTATGGCCAACAGTATTCATCACCGGAGTGAGCACTACGGGTGCTTCCACCACTCGGACGTCATGCAGTGTTTAGGCTAGGTAGGCTCAAACGTCTATTGGCTTTCTATCTCCCATCCCGTGTGAAGGCATCAAGTGCCAGACCTGTATAGCTGGGATAGCACATACCATAGATATTTTGCTTCCGCGGCAACACGATGCTCTTCAGCGAGGTCAGGAAATAATTATGGGATAAATGGACACGTATGTATGGTACAATGACTACACGACTCGGCGACCTACAGGACTATAGTACAATGCGATGATACACAGCGGATACGAATTTTGGGTTGCTAATGTCCATTCGGTTGAAGGGGTATATACCAGAATGCGAAATTATGACGTGTGAATCTGCAAAGAGTGAATGCGAAATGAACAGGTACGCAGCCCGTCCCATTTATGACGGCCTTCTGACTGGGTGCGGCGGGCATATCTAATATATATCAAACAAACAGCGACACATCCAATCCTTCCGAGAAGTCCAAGATAATTATGTGTTGATCATGCGATGTGCTAGCAAGCAGACTAATCAGTGGGAGCTAGAGCACGGGCGAATGATCAGAACGCACCTCACAATCCGACAATGGTCGAACTTGACGTCGAAAATATGGCTCTCATGGCATCCGCGGAACTCACGCACCATGCGCCCCGTGTGGAGGTCCCAAACCTTCACAGTCTTGTCGTAGCTCCCGCTCACGAGCCGTCCGCTGCGCGGGTCGAACGACAGCGCGCGCACGAGCATCTCGTGCCCCACAAGCGTGCGCAGACACGTGCCGGTGGAGGCAGACCATACCTTGATTTTGCAGTCATTCGAGCCTGACACAATGAGGTCATCCTGGGCAGTGCAGATCGTGTTCAACCCAAGAATTGCGACAAGAGAGCGACGAGGACTGACCTTGAACTCAATACATGCCAAACCCCGGTCGTGTCCCTCAAACGTCCGCAGGCGCTCGCCGGTCGCGATATCCCACAACATCATCTTCCCGTCCCCACTCGCACTCACCACTCTATGTCCTTGCAGCCCGACGGCATTCACCGGGCCCTCGTGCCCCCGCAGCGTACAATGCAAACCCAGGGTCTTCCGGTCCCAGACACGAATCAGCGCATCCTTGGAGCTGCAGTCAAATGAGCACCAAACGACGTTTTGTACCACCACCAAATTGGCAACCAGAATACCTACCAGCTCACGATCCAATTGGAGTCGATCCTCAAGTCCAACACTCCACCCGAATGCCCCTTCAACACGGCCCGAACCTCGGCTGTGACCGGCTGCTCGCCCTGCACCTCCCCATCCGCCGGACGCAGGACCGACAGATCCCAGACGCAAACCGAGCAGTCGCTCGACCCGCTCACCAGGAAACCCTTGCGCACCCGTGCAGTCTGCACATCCTCGTCGTCATCCTCGCCGACGTTATCCACCGTGTCCCAGTCCTTGTCGAACTTCAGGCATAGCACGCTGCCGCGGTGACCTGCAAACGAGCCGAGACACCTGCCAGTCTTCAGGCTCCACACCTTGATCGTGAGGTCGCGCGAACCGGTGATGATGCGCGACGAGTCGAACTCGAGGCAGTACACGCTGGATGGCGCCCACACACGACTCGTCAGCCATTCCGTCAAACACGAAGAAGCTAAATGTGCGTACCTATCGCGATGTCCGCTGATCCGCCGGACAACGGGCTCCCAAGACTGCGAGGTGCTGGATTTGCTGTTGGGAGCGACGGACCACCGCCGGTCAAGCTCCGTCCTCGTGCGGTACGTCTCGTACCAATCGATCTCCAGTGGAGCGGGCAGCAGCGCTCTCGATGAGGAGAGCGACGGGTATAGCAGCGCGGGGGACGCGGAGTGGGCGCGGCGCAGGTCCGCACGCCACCCATCTGCCTCACGCTGCGAAAACAGCGTGCACCAGATCGAGTTGTCGTCCGCAAGGCGGTTCCATGTCCTGTGTGCACCGACTTGGTCAGATTGGGACACGCACAATGGGGTAGGTACTTGCCTGGAAACCCTGAGGCAAGCGATGATCGCCGGGAGATCGAGGAAGGAGAGAAGATGGAGCGCGAGCTCCGGAGGGAGTAGTGCAACAATATCTGACGGTACGGAGACACTCAGTGTTAGCGACGAGATCGTGCGTGAGGGAGACCATGAGAAGCCAAGAAACGGGTACAACAGAGAGACAGTAGCACAAACTTGTAGAATGAGAAACATCAAGCGATGTATAAGAGTTTCGTACAGTGGGACGTCCACACTGATCTGTAGTCATCAGCTACGATTGTGCACACCGTCCCCAACGGAAGTAATAAAACAGTCCCCAGTCAATAGGTTACTGGATTGACTTACCAACACCTGTCACCGCTCTAATGTCGATGAAGCACGCTTCATCATCGATCAGCTCGCCTTCCTCTCCGTCAAGCGGGAGCATGCTCGAGTAGTCGACGCATTCGTCACTGTCGTAGGTATCAACCACCCACCCCGACTCTCGCCAAGCCGAAGCAGACGGAAGGCCCGGCCGACGTTTGCCTTTCTTCCCCGGCGAGCCCTCGCGCAGCGCATCCCAAATGCGTGGAATGATGCCAAGTGTGAGACTGCGAGAGCTCTTTAGCTGGGTCGGAGACGATGGGGGACAGTAAGGGTAGCCTGCGAGGGTGCGCCGCGAGGAGGGCAGAAAGGCGGCAGAGCATCGGGGTGTGCGGTCACCAGAACCATAAATGGTAGCAAAGGTAGTGGCATCCCAATTGATGATCGAATAATTTTCAGTACGGAAACTGGGCGTCGGAGAGACGGGGCGTGTGATCGTAAAGGCGCGAGGTACAGCAGCAAAGGCCCCGTCCACGTCCTCCAGGTCCAGTTCGGCATTGCCGGCATTGGTGTCGGCGTTCGCTACATCGTCGTCCCCAGGAAGGTCGGCAGTGGTAAGGAACGGCGAACCCAAACCAGACGTGAACAATTTGCCAAAGCGAGGGGTTCGCTCTGCCTCACTGGCGGTGATATTCTGCGAAGTGAAGACGGTAGAAGAAGCCATGACGAGTGCCTCTGCGGAAGAATGAGTCTGTCACTGTCAGAGACCGTACAATGCTGAAACGCGATGTGCGGATCGATATCCAGAGGAAGCAGTTGGCGGGCGGTGACGGTCCTCTTGCGTAGCAGTCTAAACTCGGTGCTAACTGTCAGACGACGTCCGCCGAAACCTGTCAGACATTTCAGTCCAATATAGCAGCTGCCGAGTACTAAGAAATCGCACCCACCGTAGGAAAAGACCCTCTAGGCTCTGGCTGACTTCAGACCAGACAGGCGGCTGGGTGGTAGCACGACGCTGGGACTACACGTATCACAGGCAAATGGAGTAGCACTCTCGAGCTCCTTGCAATTCGGACCAGTATGAGAGACTGCCTTAGAGCACTATCAGGCTAAATACGCTGGTTTCTGATAATCGCGCAGACAATAGAGTGCGAAATGAGAAGCTACACCAGTCACTTCCCTGGAAACGAGAAGCTCCTTTTGTATGTCAGATGAGCGCTAGGGCCCTTGAAGATGATAGCCAGGGGGGTATACGAAGAAAGGAGAGTGGAGGTAGAACAAGAGAACGAAAACAGAGTTCGGATTCAACTTCGAGCGTCTACCACACTACTGCGAGCGCTTGACGTCTCACACGACCTGTTCCGGCAACATTTCAGCATCTCTCCCTTAACTCCTCCTCGAGGCTAACGTCCGTCTGCTGCAGCGTCATTGTGGTTTTACTGTGGTGTATTTGCAACCAGCATTGGTTGGGTGCATCGCATGGTCTCTTCCGTCTTGCTTCAATCTGCACCGACAGAGCATGTATCATGACTCGGAGCATATTAATGACTACGCCACCATGTCATATCGCGTCAGGCGCATTAGAGGATCCTCTCTCTCGGGCTTGAGCGACAGGTTTTGTGGAATAACGTGCGCTCCAGAAATTATCGCCGTGTCTCCAAGGACGGTGTTCTACGCCTGTCATCAGCTTTGCACATTGACGTATGCAGATCCATGCAGGTCTCAGTCATCACTACTGCCTCACCTTTTATTTGCATAAGTATGTATAACGTGCTGAATCTGCCATGTTCCTTCAGATCCAGGCGACGATTGCAAGCAGGAGGGTTTCTTCTTGCCGTAGACACGCAGGTCTAGTACGGCAGGCAAAACACCCTTCTCATACCTTCTTAGTAGAATCAAATTGCCAAGAAGCACACGCGTTACGCGTATACTATCTCTTGCGATTGCTTCATTTCGCTGACGTTTCGACCTCTATTGGGACAACTCAGTGTCTTCTCTCGCAATTGCTGCAAGAGAAGACAAGTCGTGCCAATGCTAGGTTGCACAGTTCTCCTGCAGTGAGCGTCGACATAATATGATCCGGTGTGACTGGTGGTGGACGTCAATCTAGCATGAAGCAGAGCTTCAGTGACTGCATAATGACAGCATTGCAGGAATCTTGTACTGTCAGTCGACCACGAGAGTGCACGCGACGAGCTTGTGCTCTACCATTAATCTCATTCTTCGCAGCGTCATTTGGATTGTACTTGTTCGAGCCCCGTTGAAGAACTCAATTGTTACCGGTTAGTAGTGAGATCCTGCACTTGTGGCGCAGCTAGTCTTGTACATGTATAGGTAGCGTATGTGTTGGGTACGCTACTAGACTGGATACTTCATTGGTAAGGACTCTAAACTTGTGTAATCATTCACACTCTCGAAGCTGATTCTATACTGCTCGTCAGACCCGTCTCTCGGGTGCAACCTAGTTCATCTCCTTGTCTGCCCTGAAACGCACCAACTCCCTCCAATTGTCCCTCACAAAGTCATACACCACCTCCCAATCTTGGCACGTGTGTGTCCCCCCGATCCGCTCCACGTCGAAATCGCGCGTCTCGAAAGGGCCGGGCTCCAGCGCGACGTCTGCGGAGCAGAGCGTCCACTGTCGCATGTAGTTGAGACAGTGGTAGGTGTGTTCTTCGCGTGCGGGCATGAAGCCATACTCGATGACGCGCTGTATGTTGCGCAGACAGTGCAGCTCGTGGATCATCGGGATGGCAAACGTGCGCTTTTCTGGGCCGAGCCAGATGTGGTTGTCGCCCACTGCCGTGGTCCACAGCCATTCGCCGTCTGCCTCTGGATCGTCAAAGGGTAGTAGGCGCTCTCCTCCACTACCATCTTGACAAGTGGAGCCTCCGTTGGGAGGACCTTGGTGATTCTTGGTAAGGACATCATTACGTGCCCCTGCTGCATTCGACCCAATAGGCTTTCACAGTGTTCTCGAGCACCACATTGAGGTACAGAGATACTACAACTAGAAGAGCGAGCAGTGCGAGGTGAGCCACTCGAAGAGTATTCTTTTGCTCCATGACTTAGCGGGATGCGGGTCCGAACCGACCAATTGGACGAGACACCTAGTCTTTCAACGAAAAACGAGGTATTGCTATCAAATGGCCAAATGCAACTCTCACTTATCCCGACAGGCCTTACGACACGGTCGCTCTTGTGGACAGTGCCCGAGAAGAACATAAATATTGACAGAAAAATGTGTCCCGCAGGCTGTGTTAGACAGATGGGGACACTGTTTGATCACACACGTCAGCTTTCATCACTACGCTTAGTTCTGCTCGTTCCCGTTCCCAGAATAATAAACGTGACGCTATCGTGGCAACTTTCATGTTGCGTATGGCGCTGCGTCATCTCCCTTCGCCTATCTGTGGTTTTTTGCTCCGAGTGACACCGCAGAGGTACGTTGCCGCCCAGACTTCATTAATCTTTGTTGAAAGACGCCGCACTGTGCACAGGCTCAGAAAGTTGTTATTCCGAAGCAGTCATTGACTGCATTATCATGGGTATGCACAGATTCTATTCAGACTTCACGCCCACATCTTCGACGGTTTGTGGTGTCCTGACCATCTGGTGAACGTGCAAAGGATCAGTAGAGCGAAGCAGAGCCGAACCGAGCATGCTTACAATCCGAATGACTACGGGCGGCTTCTTCCATGTCGTATTATTACTTCCCAAGGCAAACTCGCCGACGGTCTTAAAATCCAAGCTTTCGTAGAAACCTGTATTTGCCACGTTGGAGGATGTCAGCCATATCGAACGCCTTTGGGCGTCGGCCTGTAGTTAGGTATACCAATGAGTCTTGGCTAACAAGAAGACACACAAGCTACATACTATAGCCGAGACATGCTTGGCCAGCGCGGTCCCGTACCCTCTGCCCTGCTTGTCCGGGGCAGTGGCGAAACCTTCCAGGGACATCATGTCGTCAATTTGGTCACCAATGGTGGCCTTAAGGGTAGCCGCCAGTTGTTCGTCACATTCTTTAAATCGCTGATGATTGATACGAAGTCACAGATACAGCACGTTGCGTGTGCGAACAGACATGTACGGCACCTTTTTCTGCTCCTTGGAATTGAAGAGTCTCAGGTAGCGAACGATCAACCTTCGGACAGCAACCGCAACACGTCCAAGAGGTTTTCTCGGTGGTGCAGCTTTCGGGGCAGGCTCTCTGAGGACGACACACAACGCATGATTCTAGTTATCATCCCAATTTCAACACCATTGCACACTCACAAGGTGATTATAGCATCGCCGTGGTTGACCGTGTATATTACACGACGGCCCACCGCATCTGAGAGTCCGAGAACAAAGATCACTTTATATCGCTCGTCAAGTAAGAGTGAGCGATGCACGTCCTACAGAGTCGGTCAGGCACTTAGTACGGTTAACTTGAAGGACACAACTAACTGGAGTATCATACATCAAGTAACGTGCGAGGGGATCCGGACGGTTGGCATCCAAGGCGTTGTCAACCGCCCTATTGAGCTCAGCTGCGTAGGCAGCGTAGCTAAGATGTCAGTCAATTGACAGAACAGTAGGATGAAACACACCATATCTTAATGGTTCAACTTTAATTTCGTCTGAACGAAGCTCGCAGGACGAGAACGCCGCCTCCATGTCCTTCTCCATTGTCCAGCGAGGTCGTCGTTGGGGGAGGAAAGGATGTGCCCGCTCCCTCCAGACTGCAAGCGCAGTCCATCTGCATCATCAGCAATTTGGCGGCTAACATGCCCGCTAGTCCGTGATCACATATGCATCTGAATTCTTGCTGAATTCACTGCGCACCGTACCAGCGCTCAGACTGACATTCGAGGTCCTCTACGAGTGGATACTACTATAGCTGGTTCCCACAAGTTCCGAGTCTGCGCAGCACCTTTGTGTACAGATCCACTCGCTGCCGTTCGTTAGTGGATCTACGCAGTAGTGTTTCACTGCGGAACATACCCGGGCCGCACAAGCCGAGGATATTGAACGTCCGTACGATGGAAGCCAGAATCCTTTGATTCGACCACTTACTCCCAAAGGCAATGGCTACTCTACTTCGAACTTCGTTTATTATTTACTCCATTAATTGGTATGAAGACTCTGTCGTGCTAGGTGTCTCTCCGAATTCGATCACACTTGACGCCGTCTGACATCTGCATCTCTCCAATAGAGGGCATCTTCACGAAGAGCAGGCCCTGATTCACCGCAGCCTCCGGATCTCGCTAGGTTTCCTTAAACCGCTCGCGTCGCGGTTTACCTGTCAGAAACCAAGTTCACGTCGCAGCAGGAACACGAATCTCTCGCGAGTCGCCATCCGGGTGTTCCTCCATTACGGCGGCTCGACTCATTCTCGCAGTCCGCCTGCGATCTCTGTCGGAATAAGGACGAATTGTTTCTATGCGAACCGCCAAAGAAGAGTCCGTCGCTCTCCTCCCAGAGAGCGGCGAATAAGTCAGACAAAGGGAAGGTGAGTCTTGAGTAGAAAGATCGAATTGGAAGTGTTCAGCATATAGTACCTTAACATTCATCTTCGCCGACCTTCTAGTCTTTCTATTCCTCTTCCAGCTAAGATCCGCTGGCCCCGCTACCGGCGAGCTCGAAATTCGCGATTCTTACGTCGGTTTGAAGGCCCTGTACCAGTCGGGGCGGTGAAACCTCCCAAGCAGAAGCCGCTGGTTGTTCCCCCGCGCATAGCTACACAAATCAGCAGTGCGGAACCCCACAAGGTTCTCTCCGGAGACTACCACTAATGGCTCGACGGCTTTAGGATGCTGTCTTCTCACAATCGGCATCTTCAAGTCTCCAGTGACGCACGTTTATTTGCGTCCGTCTGAGCAATACGGCAAGTACTTACACAACTTCGACAGGTGCACACCGTGCTGCAATTCCGAACGGTTGACTTCAGCATGGAGAGCTGCGCACTGCACTGCGCCTTCCTCCTCTACCATTAGATGACACGGTCCCGCGGCCTTACGAATTGGGCGACAAGGTGGCGAGATCGGCGTCTGGATGTGTGCAGGTCCAACTTGTCACGCCAGCTGAATGTCAGCGCTCTCTCTTTTGCGACACGTCCGTCATGTCACAAGCACGTTGGCACCCGCGTTGCGAAGGCGGAGGAAGAGGCCCGGCTGCTGAGTTCCCTTACAGCTGGGCATCGTTGAATACGTACGAGATCTCATGTGCGCCGGAGTCACCTCAATGTACGCTCGACATTTGGTCTAACGAGAACTCGGCGTGTGGTAAGACTATATCTTAAAATGCACTATCCTCCCTTCTGACCTGTCGTGGATGCAGAAACGATTTGAACGGTATATGAATGTCGTTGCGCCAGGGCAGCTATTCGAACGAACTATAGACCATCGTTCTTGGTAGTGAGCACCGCTTATTATCTTCTTGATGAGACTGGTGTCTGTGGTAAGACATATACAGATGATACAGTTTTAAATAAATACATCAGATGCCAAACTGCGTGAACATGGACGACTGCATAAATAGTACAGCATCAAGGTGACGCTCCTTGCTTAAGGAGATGGGCAGCCTGGCATTCAATAAAACATAGTGTATCCTACTTGTGACTTCTCGTTTGAACGACTGAACGATTGTGGTTGCCGTACCATCTAGTTGACGTAAGACGTGAGTGAGACCCTAGACCGGCATAAAGCACTTACAACGCGTATAAGCACTGGAGGTTTGTCCCAGGTAGGATTGTCCTCACCAACAGTGAATTCGCCCACTGTCAAAAAACCGAATTTTTCGTACAACTCTGTGCGCCTGGTGCTGTATGAGCATGACCAGATGGCACGACCTAGAATGTCCGCCTTCTCCCGGAGGTAAGCTGTGGATTTGCTGTAACTCGAGACAGTGCGTACCTTGCCGGCAGCATAGCCGACCAGCATGAAATCATAACCCAACCCTTGTTTGTCGCGAGCGGTAGACTCTCCGTCAAGCCACATCATGTCATATATGCGGTCTGCAATTGTATCTTTCAGAGTAATCGTAAGTTTTCGTGTGAATTCTGCATGACGCTAAGGGGATAGTTTCGTCAGAACAGACCACTTTGCCAGGGTTAGAGCGTCGTACCTCTTTCTGGATCTTTGTGTCAAATGCCATTAGGAACCGCACAACCAAGGTATGAACAGGCTTCCAGGTACGATCAAATAACGTATCTTTTCTCGAATTAGGCGCAGGACGTCTGGACACGAGCCGTCAATAAGTAGATTGGCTATTGAAGCGTACACTGACGTACAATATGACGAGTGAGTTTCCACGGTCGATAGTAAGTGCCTCACGGTGGTGTACTGCGGTTGCGATTCCAAGGTAGTAGAAGAGCCAATATCGTTGCCTGCGGCACCTCTTATCGGCATTCTGCCATGGAAACTCAGTAGGTGGTCCACTTTGCGGACTCAATATGGCTACTCACTTGAGTGTCGTAGATCAAATAACGGAAGAGAGAATCTTCTTCACAAGCCCTAACACCGGTCTCTATTGCTTGCGGTATCTCATCTGTATGAAGTGAGGTCGAGTTTGGTGGAGAGGATCAATCGCATATGTTTCGGAAAATACATACTGTAGTTCAGAAGTTTGACCTGAGCAAACACCAGGCTCACGTCGGGTTCGGACTCTGCTGTCAGAGGGTTGGGCTTGTCCATGACAAGAGTGTGTGATGCTCAGCCGGACGGAAAGAACAAGAGTTGTCTGACTTGTGCCTGCAGCGCGGCGCAGGAGCACTTAGTACGTCGATGGGTATGCATCGGCCCACCTGCTGTCAAGTCGGTAGCGCCGCCAGCGCATGCGCATGTGGTGCTCCAATAAATTGGACTTCGCGAAGCACCCGTTCATCATTCATCTTCGTGGCCGTGCCCGCAGCTTCTGCAAGCGCTGATGCACCAGGATACATCTCCAGCCTCAGGTAATGTGCGCTTAAGGCGAGTTTCGGAGTGTACACCTTGATATTATGGTGTTCTGAAAGGGAACGTGCGCGATTCCTTTCCCCATGAGACTGAAGTCAAGAAATCCTGGCTACCGTGAATCAGATAGGTTTGAAATGACTTGGATCCGTCAGAGTTGGGTGGCTATGTAGTCGTGATAGTACTCACCGGTTGATAATAACACAAGGTTAAACGTGAAACTTGAGATGCGCCAGCTGGACTGAGCTCAACTCGGTTGGGTTGGTGCACCCCGGTGGCGACTCAGGTCAAGAGGCTACATTTGTCGACAACATCTAAATAAATAGATACTCCGATTTTTACATTGTATGGACGTCTCTACAAATTAAATGTAGCAGCAAAGCACCCACAGTCAAGAGATACCGACGTTCATACTTGAACGAGCGGCAATCCTTGCATTACTCTGAAGTGTGACTGAGACACGCCGTTACGTTACCACGTGTTCGTGAACTGTCACGCTCGCGTCGCACCTACGATTCGGAAAACTTTGATATACGACCTTTTTTGTGCGCCATCTCGCAGCTTTTTGGCTCTCAAATGAGCTGGCACTGCTGCAAAAGTAAACGGGTCCCATGCCTCCAAGGCGCATTCAAATTAGCTGAAACCTAGAGCTCCCCCGGATTCCAGCATATTTCAGCATAGTAAGAACTACAACGACAGCAGTTACGACAACAGTTTTCTATTACTTACTGTAGACTTCGAGTTCTCGACAGAGTTGGAGGACGATGTGATCCATTGCACAAGAACAAACAATACTTGAACTCAGATCTGAATATTAATGTCGACACCAAGAACGAAGACGAGGACATGCAAGAGACGCAAGTGCAGTAGAGATTTACGCCATGTATGTTTATCATTTCGACAAATCAGTTTCTTGTTTGAACTGAACAAGTCACAGCAATATGCAAACTGCGCACCTGGGCAATGGACATTCAGCTTCACTGATTACTATTCCTCATCGGAAAAGTCGTCGGCTCTGGCCCACCCAACACTATCCACATCCGACTCAAAGTCCTCGGATATCATCTGCCCGTCCCACTCGACCTGCCTCAGGAAGGCATGTTCCTGAAAGAACACCTTGTCGTTCGGATCCAGCTCTCCACATCCCGTCACACGCAAGGTCGAAATGAAGCCTACATCTAGATCAACCGCATCGTCATCGCCAATTCCACCTTGGCGCCCTTCAATCATCATCCGAAGCTCTCTGCTCGAGATTCCCTGGCAGTCAGACAGCTCAAGCACTTGCATGCCAGGGCAAGTGAATATGTACGGGTCCGCCAACGCTGCGAGAATGACTTTGTCAAACCCGGCGCAATTCTCCACGGTCAGGACCCTCGGTGGCCACGCACGCAGCGCTTCCAAAACGTCATCCGACTTGTTGATGCCCTCCAGGGTGAGTGACGAGAGAGGCCATTGCCCTGGGGCCCAGCGGCGCATGCTGCACCGTTTCACGGTGAGCGAGGTCAGCTCGGAGTTTTGGAGTAGCCCAACCAGCGCGGCCAGCATCTGCTCAGGGATATCCACAAACGTACATCGCTGCAGGCCACAATGAACCAGGGCCGGCATCGCTTCCTCGTAGAACTCCAGTGCGACCTCCACCAGTGTCAATTCACGCAACGACGGCATGGTATTCAAACAAGTCAATAACATGTTGGCTGTGAACATGCCAGACGGTGGTGATACGCAGTGTGTCACCGTCAGTTTCCTGACGGACATCCACGTGACTGGTGCGCAAGAATAAGAAGCGAAAAAGATGACGCCGTCCAGCTGCAGCTCTGACATCCGGGGAGCGCGAAGCTGTTGATTGATGTGACGTTGATTCGTAGTGACGGTAAGAGGTGGTCCGATTTCGATATCGGTCTCGAGGATATGCGTCGTAGGCATGCGATTCGAGTCATCCGTGGCTTGGATAACTAGGGATGAGCAGTACGCCAGTAACGGTGCATCTTTCAAACGTGAGTGGAGGCGAAGATCGACCAAGTTAGCCGCATCGCCGTGCATAGCGACATGAGGTCTGGGGACTGAACTGGAGTGTAGGACGTCTAGGCGAAGGGTCTTCCAGCGCGACATGTGAGCCGACAGGAAGGAAATGACCGCATTCACACGTGCTTGCTCCGACAGATCCGCGTCTGGCCACGAACCGTGTCTGCGAGTCAGCTTAATCTCGAGGGCACGCTCGGCTGCGAGAGCGAGCCGCGAAGTAATTGCCGATAGCGGAGTGGGACGCTCGTCAACGAAGATGACCAGACGAGTCCAAAAGGCGGAGACGGAAGAAAGAGTATCTTTCCACAACCGGCACATCGGAACAAGTGAATCAGGGAATAAATTGGAGGGTGAGGACACATCCTCGTCTTGCCATATCACGTCGTTCTTGTCGGCTTCAAAAATCGAGACTGATCGATTATCCCTTCCGGGATACTTGCGTGACATTGAATACACGGCTTTAAAGATGAGGAGCAAAACGTCATCGGGTAAGTCATGAATGCCAGTGGTAGCGTTGTGCGTCATGCTTGCTCGCTGGTGTTGGGTAGAGGACGTTGGATCGGGACCCTGAGGATTAGACAATAATTGTGAGTGCGTTAAAATCCCTCCTGTGTCTGGTGATGTGCCCATGTCAACCACGGGTGGCACCGAGTTAGCTGAGTAACTCACTCGACTTGCAGTTCAGGAAGGATTCAAGTCTCCGTGAACCCGCACGGTGAATGAACTTGACTCGTAAATGAGAACCCTGCCGCTTCCAAGAGCACGGAAGGTCAGAGTCGACAGACGTAGTGACGGTAGTCGTCGTCTGTTTCCCGGTTGATCGCTCGGCGCTCAAGTACTAAGTGCGATTGAGAACACGCTGTGACTATCCCACGTGCCCCGTCACACCACTCTGTCCAAACGGCGCAGCATTGGCATCCGATCACGCGTGCAACACGCGTGTGCATCATACAACTCGAAGAACGGACAAGACACAAGATATGGACGACGAAACCAGAAAAAAAATAGAACCAGAATTGCAGGATATTCCAGCAAGGTAGGCCAACTTGTACACTCGCCTCCGAAGGCCCGGGGTCATACGTCAAGAGCTAAGTTAGCGTTGATACCGAGCTATGAACATTTGAAGTGTTCGAGTCGGCATGTCGGGGAACCTCTGTGATACTGAAGTCTGGATCGCTGCTGAACTGTATCTCTTCTCCATTACGTGGGAGATAATCCTCCTCGCCTGTTTGCACGCTCGGGACAAAGTCTGATTCGTCGACAGCAAACACTGCAATAGGATTCGGATTCAACTTCGATGGTTGCAAGTGGCTGAGTGGTCCTCGTCGACTGGAAGCGGCCAGTGTTGGAGCCGTACATTGCAGCTTGGCAAAGATGGAGGAGAAAGCGGGACATAGACGGAAGACAGCCTGGAGAAGAACAGTCAGCACCTGTGGTTCACGTGGACAACATGTTCAGCGAACGGCACAATGAAGTCCCTGGCGACAAGGCATACCGGGAACATTTTAGGTGAGCGAGTGTATAGAACAAACATTAGTGATCCATAAGGCCATATGCACGACATTTAGCGCCAGCAGTAGCCTGCCTGCACGCGTCAGTCACGTCAGTCGTCTGTTACGAATCCAGAGGTGTGAAGAACGTACACGAAGTACATGAATCCTATCAATTAATAAACCAAGTGAGTGTTAGAAGCCGTCCTCTGAAGATCTCGTACCACGTTTTAGCACGAGTGCTATCAGTGAGTCGTTCGTGCTTAGCGCCATAAGGGACCCCTTGGCTTCGAAGACATAGTACCATCGGGCGGCCACCAGGAGAACGATAAGGTCCGAGGCGATCAATATGAAACAGAGCGCGAAGAGAAGTGTAGTATAGCGATTGAGGATGAATAGCAACGCCGGACCCGCCGCTCGACGAGTCCACATCGTACGGACCTCTCGGAGAAAGGTGAGGGCATGTTCGTTCAAGATAAGAACCGGATGAATTCGGTAAGAAGAGCAGGAGAACACGGGATAATATGCCCGCTATCGAGCAGTAATTCAAGACGACGCTATCTGACCAGTTGGAGGTGATTTGAAATGTCAGGAGGCTGTGGTACGTACCCTTGTGGCGACAGTACCATGATGTTGGTAAAGAATATTAAGAAAGCGCGCACCGCAGTAAAGGAAGCACTTCAGCGCCCATGGTCGAATAGATTTCTCCGGAACAACATCTCCTATGAGTTGCGCGAAACAGGCGTTGGCATGCTCTCCGAGCACACGCTACGATCCGTCAACAGCATCTGAATCAAGCAGGACTCACTGAACCCTACGAAGTCTCAGAGATAGACCATTGTATCAGTTCCCAAGAGTTCGCAACACCTTACAATCACAGTCACATCGGTGCTCACTGAGCATAGCATTCATCATACAGTCGCCAAGACTATCAGCAGCACTGATGACGATTGCTGAATATGAGCAAAGAAGTATGTACTAGGGTCTCTTTTCTTCTCGTTGATTTCGCGCACAGGCCGCCATGGCGCAGCGCGGTCAACTGGAGAACGGCGATAAGACATACACATACCCCATCTGAAATTGGATATCGGTTGTCCACACGATACTGAGGCGAACGACTTTGACTTCGTAATAGAAGTCGTCACGGAGTACTTCCGGAAGGCTCCTGCGCGCAACTTGGGGAGGTAATAACGCACAAAAATCCATTCTGAGTCCTACTCAATCGCAGAAGCAATAGTTAGCGGATCGCATAACCAAACATAAAATCCAATACAGATACAGCATGTGTGATCCAGATGTGATCCACCAATAACCCTCCGTCCATGTTACGCATTCTATCGTGCATGCTGTGCGCAGGCTCGACGCTAAGCACTATAGCCGCGAGTTCCTGACCCGCCAACCCGGAATAATTCGTCAAAACAGGTCGAACGCCCTCCACTCGGGGCTGACCGCGTCTTTGTTGTCAATCTCCACCCACCGTTTCCGCTGCTCATTGATAGCGCCCATAGAATAGTCGCCGCCGTCGTCAAAACCAAAGGCACGCTCCCAGCCAAGCCCGAGCGCGGAAATTTTGCACACGTTGGAACTGCGAGCGGTTGTTAGTCAGTGCGCAAGACAGGCATGGATGGGGTTAACACACGCACCTTATCGTGCAAACGACTGCGCCGGGTACCGCGTCTCCTTCCGAGGCCCAGAGTCCGCTCAGCAACGCCAGATCTACGATCATGCCCCTGGTCAGCAATATCCGCTCTGCCTCCTCTTCCTTGACGAACTCCGTCTGCACATATGCATGATGCGGAGCAAGCGCACGCAAGCCGGAATTCGTGCTCAGCGCCAGCGCAAACATAGCAGTCGACGGCGAGAACGCGGCGACGTAATCCCGTAGCATGTCGGTCGAGTCGGACGCGATGTATGTGATCGGCGGCGCTGGGAAGTGCAATGGCGGCGATTCTAACGGAATGTCGGGATAGAGGCGCGACCATGCGTCGCGTGCAGCCGTAACGTAGTGCTCCAAAGGCACGTAGGACTTGTGGAATGCCCATGACTCGGCCTTGCGGTCGCCTCTTCGTATGTGAACAGCGATATATGGGTCAGGGTGTGCTCTCAGTTTCTCGGGATGATTGTCAGACTCCATAGAAGTATTCGACACAGGATGCAGGTCCAAGATCGAGGCAATTTCTGAACGCGCAGCTTGTATCAATGCCATATTTTGGGCATTCGGGCGGATTGTCTCCAAAAACGAGTGAAGCCCCCGCTCAAAAATGGGCTTCACGCGGTTGATACCAAGGCTGTACCTGACAGATGTTTAAAATAAATAATTCCGCTCGCTGAAGTGCCCTGTCTAGATTGAAGGGACGAACTTACGGATCTTCGTACTCCTCTGAATACGGGTGTCCAAGGTGGTACTTGGCCGTTCTTGAATTGACGACCTAGATTGAAATTGGTACATCTCTTGTGTCTAGTGTCAGGACACGACTTACCCAGTGCCTGGCAACGAATCGATAACTTGGAGAACGGTATGTACGAATGGTGCTCACCTCGCTGTTCGGGGACATGCAACCAGCTCTGGAAGAATATTATGTGTATTAGACACACCAAAATGGTCGCAGTCTCCTAAGAGCACCTTCTGGAGGAGGCGCCCGACAGCCAGGCTCCGGACCTGGCTGCAGTTTTCGCACCTCTTCGAAATGATTTGTCCACCTTCGTGCAAGCATCAGAACAACACTCATTGTACGACGCAGGACGTAAACGCACTTTCCACGGTTCCAGTATGTATCATCGACGAGGAACGTCCTATTACGCTGACTAGATGTCATATTCTTCGTCCCTGTTTCCATGACCATAAGCGAACATAACAACGTACCTGTCGTGCGATCCCTGCAACCTGCGCCATCAAGGCTAAATCCGCCGCCAGCCCCACTTGCCCATCCAACATGTATGTGATCGATGCACGACAAACTCGCCCTCGGCCTCCGTTTGACACGTCATCATCATGATGCGGGACGTCCAGCGGCCCCATCCTCGGTGGTACCCAGTAGCCTGAGTGGTGCATGAACCCACCCATGAGCTTCTCGCATTCATGGTGGAACTCTGGCCCAGACAGCGGGAATTTTGTGTAGTTCTCGTATGAGATGAAGCGCGCAGCAGCGGCAGAGGGTGTAGGACGGAGAGCATCCTGTGAATATAATCTTGACGGAGAGGGTTGTGCTGCCTGCACCACGTCGATCTCGGTGGACGCTTTCTTGAACGACAGCATAGTTATAGCAAGTCCGAAGCAGAGTAACAGGGTGCCAACAACGAGCGGTGACCTCTCGACCACCAGAGACAGAACATATTTGTAGCCACTCTCGCGAATGTCACGGTCGTCCCCTCGGCTTCTATATCCTGTCGAAGCAGCCAAACTGGAGAAAGGTGTACGGGACAGTAGCGGCTGCGACTGATGTCCAGACGAGTCGTCGTCGTCGTCGCTGTCATGGCGTAGGTCGCTGAGTTCGACCTCCGTGAGACCTTCCTCTGCGCGTCCCGAGCGTGTATGTGGTGTCCTCGGCGTCAGCGGCGGGTTTCCAGAAGCCGTGCGCTGTAACTGGGGACTTCGTCCAGACGCAAAAAGGTCGCCAAATGGGCGACTTCGAGGAGGCATGCAAGCTAAGTAGAAGGTCAAGAATTGGAGACTGTGTGACAATTGTGTCGCGGATATTAATAACAATCACCTGTAGGTTTGTGTTAAGTTAAAACTCCGAAAACAAGATGTCTCAAAAGTTAAGACTCTGACAAGTAATGTGAAAAATAGAGTCTGGAACTTCTGCTCAAATTCTGAGTTTGAAACATTTAGGCTAAGCAGACGGTGTCACAGCCCGTCCATCTTCTCTGTTCATCAAGAAGTTATGGAGGTGGTGCGTTATGGACAGCGCTCCCAGTCTGAAAAGAACAACGCTGCCTCCCCAAATACACTGAACGGACGGCGATGGTTAAGGACGTTGAATGCGCCTTCTCGTCTTGGGAGCTGCAGTCAGATGCAGTGAAGGTGGAACCACTAAGATACGGCGAGTCTCCTCGTGCGGAGCCTCGATGGTCGAACCTTATCTCTCATACACGCCCCATTTCGTAGCTGAGGTTAGCAAGGCAGTCAAAAGCGGTGTGGCTGCGAACCTTCCCGATCCCCTTTCACGTTACCTTCTGTACGATAATCCGGTACGTCTAGCACTTTGTGTTAGAAATTCGTCTATATATTCTGAATGGGTTCCCATAGGATGTGAATCGCTCAGTCTTTCTCGATCAACGGTACAGAGTCATATACTCTCTCGGAATTTCGGACGCAGTACACCGCCATGTTGCTTTCACAGTCAACCATGGCGATTCGCTAATCATTTTGTGAGAGCACAATGTGTTGTTATATGCGTGAATTTATGGTATTAACGCATATATCATTCTGTTCTCATAGGGAGCCTGCACCAAACTCACTGCCGCCCAAGAAATGTCTTGAGCGCATCGCAGGTGCTGTACGTGGCACGATCGTTCGCTATTTGGAGCTTTTCAACTCAAAGGAGCAGAAGAAGGTGCGGAATATATCTTCGCATCCCCTCTGAATGAAATATTCACGTCGGATCGACTAACAGCGAAGCAAGGAATTCAAGGAACAAGTAGAGGCTACTTTGAAGACCACCATTGGCGACCAGGTCGACGACATGATGCTCTTGGAAGGGTTCTGTACTACCCCAGACAAGCAGGGTCGAGGATACGGGACTGCACTGGCCAAGCATGTCGGCGCAATAGTACGCAGCGTCGTGCCACTTCTATGCTGAGACTGATACAGCAGTCCCACTGCAGGCTGATGCCCAAGGCCGCTCGACATGGCTGTTGTCCTCCAACGTGGCCAACACGGGCTACTACGAGAACTTGGACTTTTGGACCGTAGGCGAGTTCTCCTTGGGAGACAACAACCCAACATGGAAGAAGCCTCCGATAATCATTAGAATTGTGAGCATGTGTACTCAGATGCATGACGCACCGCTTTGCTGAACCTTGATGCGCTTCTGTCAGATGGTCAGGAAGCCACACGACACGGCCCAGGATTCGGACTTCGAGTCGGTCACGGAATATAAGTAGAACCTGTGGGGGCGCCGTGTCCCGGAATTTGTGCTGTTCTTGTCGATAAGTTAGCCAACGTCCGAACGTCCACGTATGAGCGCAAGCGCAGCAAAGCCCTAGACGACAAAGTGTTGTGATGTCGTTGTAATGGCGGAGACATCATGACGATTGCTATGATAGAAGCGTACTGGTCCAGTGTCTCAGTGAGCTGCGTGCACAACTCTAAGAGCAGTAATGACGAGACGTGACTGGCGCAGTGCAACTAAGGCAGATACGCCGTGACCACCGCAGCCACTGGAGAGTCGTTCACAGAAGCAGAACGTCAGACCCTCAATGTCATCTCGCATAAAGCATCTCCGTAAACTGAGCCAGCAGAGCACTTTTCGCGATGGTGAGACTCTACATTCTCATCGCGATATCGATTTTGCGCGCGTCGCAATCCGCCAATGGCAAGGCCAACAACTGGGCCCGACAACACAGACGACAAGGACGAGTCAAATTCCACATGTAACGAGAGCGGATGAACGCAAAACTAACACATCGTGACACAGTTCGGATGAAGCGTCCGCGGCCTACGCGTGGATACAGCATTCTTGAGTCCTAACGATGATCTCCCTTCCCGTGGCGACTAGCGATATTCAGGTTAGCTGTGCCATTCGGAAGGACGTCGCGAACATTATGTAGTATAGGATATCTGATCATTCGACCAATAAACAACCAACAGATTTTGCGTAGTCTCGAATCCTGACGGCGGGTAGGAATGTACTATACTATGCCAATTCAATTGCAAGAAATGTAATGTTATCGCGAACCTTGCGGTAGTATGTGGAGTAATTCGAGATTCAGTACCAAACATGTTGCAGTGGTAGTGGTCGAAGCTCAAGAGACGAATTTGCATTCTTTCCGCCGTCTCTCATGTCAGACGTCCACCTCCGTGAGTCCACTGACACAAGCCCAAGACGAAAGCCAGCCCCGAATGCAACAACCATCCCAGTCCCGTTCATCTACAATGCCAGCGACGACGGGACAGACGAGAACCTCTTGGTTCTCCTGCACGGACTAGGTCAGTAACACACCCATTCCACCTCATCTCATCTCACTACGCTACCAACGGTAGGGGACACCCACACTCCCTTCGGGACACTCGGCCGCACGCTGCACCTCCCGCAAACCGCGACGCTCGCCCTGCGCGCACCCGACCAGTACGCCGCCCCGCGCCGCCGAGAGCACTATTAACCTGAGCGCGGCACTGTCAGGATCCTGTTCATGGACGAGCCCGCATTCCAGTGGTACCCCTCCTTCGACCCACTCGGCGACCTCCTCACGCGCCCAAACCCGACGCCCGCGCTCGTCCTCCTCGACGCGCTCTTCGCCCACCTCACGCGCGAGTGCGCCTGGCCCCCAGCCCGTGTCCACCTCTTCGGGTTCGCGCAGGGCGGGAGCGTCGCCGCCGAGTTCGCGCTGCGGTGGTGGAAGGCTGAGCTCGAGCACCAGAGACTGGGTGAAGAGCAGGGTGTCGCGCGCCCGCTCGCGTCCGTCGTGAGCGTGTACGGCCCGCTGCTCTCGTACCCCACGCTCTCGACGCTCTGTCCGACGCCCGTGCTCGTCTTTCACCGCCCACCTCCGGCGGAGACTGCGTTGCCCGCGGGCGCCCTGGCAGCATTCAAGAAGGGCTTCAGTCACGTCAATGAAGTGAAAGTGAGCGCAGGCGACGGTATGCCCCGCTCGAGGGGCGAGTGGGAGCCCATCATGCGATTCTGGAGCGAGCAATTGGGCAAGCGGCAGATCCAGGGGCTGTACGAAGTCATGACCGGCACTGCGCCGTGAAGAACGTGGAAACTGGATGTATTATCACAGTGTAGCCTATCCGACAGAAGCAACTATTGTACGCATCCACGAAATTAAGGAATCCGCATTTCTTCTCGTTCGAGGATCTCGGTCGACCCACCCCTCGATGTCGGAACACCGTATGAACGGGCGTGCAGAAGCGGTGAGCGTACTGAACAGTTTCTCGCACCCAAGTGTGAATGCTCTGTAGAGACACTGTCAGTCAAACGAACGTCGATACACGAAATCAAAAGGATGGTTCAGAAAAAGCGGACACGTCTGCCAAAGCAGCGGCCCGAAGGTAGCTGAGATAGTTTTCTGCAACGCAAGGCCCATGGGCACCTCACTAAAGCCAAATGCCTCAAACATCATGACGAGGGGAAGGGTAACCAATGAAGAATATGGATACTCACTTGAAGATGACGCGGACGCGTATCGTCAGGATTGACCAGGAAATGCATCTCTCGAGCATCGTCTGGTGATTTCTGTACAGGCAATGTACACGCATCGAGTCCTCTTCTGTTTAAAACAAACACCTTCAGCTCTCGCCAATTTTAAAAAAAAATACGGACGCTTCTTACTAGAGTGTCGGTGCGATGTCACCATAACGATGTCACCCTTTGGCCATCTTATCCAGATTTTCCGAGGAGACGCGTTCCTTGGCCGCCATGGTCTTCCGCTTCTTGTACGGACCTCTGCTGTCTGGACAGTAAAATGTGCATCATCGTACCAATGCGACAGAAGGCCCTATGCCTACGCACATTTATGCCGGGGCGGCGACTCCGCCTCATACCCGGGTAGCGTCAAATAGCTGAGCTCATAACGCGCAGAGAGCTCGTCGAGACGCTGTTGTGCGAGGAACGTCGACTGCACCCGGTGCACCACTACGAGAACTCTCATTAACCGATGCAACACGGCAGAGTTGTGCGAGACCAACCATGCGAGCGCGACGGCCCGTATATCACCTCCATCCGCCTCTGCACGCGTTCGATTGCGCTGCAAAGCAAGAGATTTAGCTCCCAGCCTTCACCTCACCGTCCAGCTGGGTAGACGCACGCGGCATCGAAGAACTGATACGCGCCCGCGACGTCCAGGACGGTCTCCCAACCAATTGGGTGGATGCGGTTCTGCATGCTTTTCTCTGTTGCAGGAACATGTGCGACTAGCAACGCGAAGATCTGCGCGAGGTGTGTCGCTGAGGAGACGGTGAGGGCGCGCAGGCTCGGCTGGGATAGCAGCTCCTCCTCCTCCTCTTCGCCGTCGTCGACGTCGACGTCTGTGCCCATCGCCGGAGAGGGGGGAGGGCTTGAGCTAAGATCTTCGGCGGCAGTTGCAGGGAAGCCAGAGACACCAGGAGTAGAAGTAGACCCAGACAATGCCTTGAGGACCTGCAGCGCGAGGAGCTTCACCTCGTCTTCCAGCCCCCACTCCGGCACATGCACATCCCCCGCAAGGAGCGGCCAGCGCGTCCACGTATCCCGCACGCGTCCCTTCTTCGCCTTCGTCTTCGCACCTGTCTCCCCCCCGCCCGTGCGCTTCCGCTTGCGTGGGGAGCCCTCGCCATCCAGCAGGATCTCGTGCGAGGCCGACGCGGAAGGCAGTCGCTCGTCCTCGTCCTCGTCTTCGTCCTCTTCTGTGCCCTCTTCCCTGGCTTCGTCGGGAGAGATGGGCCGACAAGCAGGGACGGCGTGCGTGAGCTGCGTCGCGAGATCGAGGTTGCTGCTCGTGTGCAAGGCACGCAGCAGCGCGCTGTACTCTGTGAGCTCAGTGTGGAGCGCTGCAGGCACCCGCTTGCTCATGGCGACAGCAAGGCTGAAAATGAAAGGGTTGCTTGCCGTGACCGCGTTTTTGAGGAGCGCTTGGGAGGCGTGGGAAGATGAGGTAAGTGGAACTGTACAGCACCAGGAGCCCCATGTCGCGCGCCCCGCCACCGCTGCGCCGCACGAGTCTCTCCCATAACCCGTCATGTAAGTCGTTGTCGCCCACCCGTTTCCCGCGCTCGACTCACCGACGACTGTAGCATGAGAGAGAAGTGGAAAAAGAAGAGGTCGCGCAGACTCAGACGCAAGCGCAGAAAAATGCGGGCTCGTTCCAGTGCGTAGCCCTTGTCCCTTTTCTTTCCCCCACCTGTGCTAATGCACAATCTCTCCTCTTACTCGCAGAGTAAAATGGCTATTGGCAGCTAGGCTTGCACAGAAGGGATACGTCGCCCCTCCTCGCGGGCCGGTCTGCGGACGATTGGAGCGTTCGGATTGTGTCGTACTACCGGTGGGGACTGTGCGCATCCCGGGTTTGTCGCTTTGCCTCGTGCCGCGCTCTGGCTCCGTGGAGTGCTCAACTCTGACTGGTCAGTATGTTGGGGTTGCTGTTGGGCAAAAAACTTGTCGTTGATTTGCAATATGAATCGCTTTCCTGATGCATTATTTACTGTATTTGTGTGAGATGCACTGAAAGTACTGTCGGATTGAGCTCGATGTGAGTCGGAATACCTGATGTTCGGAAGATGATTTCTTTGTCCTGTACTTGAGAGTTCGCGATGAGCAAAGCAATAGGCTTTGACAGAACCAACTGCTGTCCAACGGCGACATCGCTTCCTTTCTCCACACCGAGCGACGGAGATCGTCTGATACAACGCTGCGCGGCGCAGGGGGGGACGTAACATACCCTGAGTACGTGAGCAATGACGAGCGTGACTGGGCCCACAGCGAGCCTCCGAGTCCGACCTCTACAGCGACGCATGCAATGAACGAACCAGCACAAACACACCCACCAATCCGACAGCCACATCGTCGCCCAGGTCATCAACCGTACGCTGTGGGGATCGCATCAGAATTTTCCTTTCGAAAGAAGTCCAGGAATTGGCCGACGAGCATTGGTCTCAGCCTCAGAGTCGGCGGTCACCTCATACGATTCGTCCTATGTAGTGTACTCAGAACGCCGTGCAGCCACCGATTCGGCCACCAAGGGGTCGGGGAAATATGCTGCGCAGCCTGATGCTGTAGGCTATCAGACGAGTGAGTTAACTCAGGAGTCTTCCTATGGATCGCTTTGTAGACAAAACGCACGCTCAATGGACCTCCACTCAGATAATGGACCCCGCTTTCCGCTGCGACTATGCAGGCTCCGATTCGCAATGCAGGCACCCCTCAGGACCCAGACAGATCTGCCTCGCAGCCTCCAACGTCCGACTCCACATTTGACGCGAAATTCAAGGTCCCGCTCACCAGTACCGCCATGTTCAAGCGATCCTATTCCTCTCAGCTCCCACCTCACACAGCCGCAATTCTAGCGAATATCTTGCCAATGAAAGTCGTATTTTTTTGGCCGAGCGACGCTACTCCCTTGATTCAGCCTATGCTCCAATGGTGCCCACTGCATTCATCGACCAGCTCGCTGGACACGATGGAAAGCCACGTGGTGGAGGTGGCATCCAGCTGGTGAACTAGCACACAGGCTGCGTGCCTGCCGCAGAGCTGCCGCTTCAGCCCCTTGTTGTTCTTACAATTTACAGCAAATTAGTAATCCAGCTTCCTCGTGGAACAACGTGAGTCGACGTATTCAAAAACGTTGTTTTCTTCGTTTTCTGATTTTTCTTGTGAATATAAGCCTATCTTTTGAGTCCTGTTGATTCCGGTTGTTACTGCCTCAGTCTCCCTGCGTTCGAGTCAGATACAGCCAAAGCCCGCGGCAGTCGCCGCTTTCAGCTGCTTCGGTCTTATTCCTGACGGCAATATGTCAGGTGTCCCTGCCTATGCCGCCGGATGCGTCGGTAACTCTGACACGACCTGCCAATCCTCCAGAGGATAGGCGGGGCACACGCACGACATACAGCCCGCCCTCCTTCCTTCGCCTACTACCTGGGGGCTCTCCTTCGTGTATGACGCTGATCTTGTTGGTATCACGAAGGACGCCTCGGGTGCGATCTACGGGGACTTCGCGCTTTCAGGTCGGAACTATGTACCAAGGTTCGTTCAGTTGGAACAAGTCCAACAACGTGAAGGCCGTGGAACAGTATGCCCAGGTTCTCCCCGATTTCAGCTGTCGCCCGTGACAACTTCCAGTTGTCTGGTTTCCCCTGGCGAAGACCGGCGTCATGGGCAAATTTTGATCGTTCAGAACTACGGTGTCTTTCCTTTCGAGAGCTTCTACTTATGAGATGGAGGAATTTTTCCTTATCGTCGCCAACTCTTGCCGTATAGAGATTCAACGCTCCCGCTTTCCCCCTCGTCGCTCCCCTCCCCACACGACTGATCTCCGACTGGCCTTAACAACAACACAGAATCGCTCGTTAAACTCGTCTGGGGCGGAACAGCTATCAAAATGTCACGTCTCCTCTGCGTTTACGCATCCTCTCCTTGCTCCCTTGCGCTCTCGTCTATACACCACGCCCTCTTTTATCTTACTTACTCGTGTTTTTTGACAGCATTATACCACCACGCTGCGTTTTGGGTATGTCCTTTACTTGCTGTGTGTACCGCCGCCACACCTTCGTTATTTGTGACCTATATCTCACAAATCTTCATGTTACCCCAGACCGCTGTGTCGTTGACACACCGCAACCTTAACGGATATCGTGAGCGTTATTGACGTTAATGTTGCTCATCCCCACCATCGAAAAAGTTAGTGTATTGCAGCATTCATTGATGTTCCCCACTCGTTTGGAGAGATTTGGCCATTTTGGCTTATGTCTTATCGTCGCATGTGAAGGAGAAAGCTGCTGCTTGATCCCAAGCTGAACTTCCACCATCACTTGAGCGTCTCGCGCGACGACTGCACGATTTGGCTTATTGACTTCGTCGAGGTGTCGAAACAGGTAAGTGTCTGGACTCAAGCTCACGTTGATTATCGTCTGGGACGTTGAAACTTTAAGGCACTGACTGTCATATAGTAGGACTGTAACATCAGCCGTGGAGAGCTGAGATAAAAGCATTTCCTTCGATAGCGCTTAGCGGTTGTACATATTTCTCTTTCGCGAGTCACTCACTGATCAGATTTCCCGGTTGTTCCAGATGGATGTATGCGTTGTTTCCGTGCTGTCTATGATGTGTCATAAGCTCTGACAAAACCCCTTTAAAGTTTCATTGTGTGAGAAGCACGCAGTTCAACTTGGCGCTCCATTCTTGCAGTTTTGCCACAAAGATATGATGCTCTGCGTTGCTGTGGCAGCTGATGAACTGTAACACATTTTAACATCTCGCATCCCAGAAACTATGCATCACCGCCATCATTCGGCGTTCACTGAACTGATCCGAAGCACCGCAATCGAATGGACTTACGCCCTGGAGATGCGCACTGACATTTGGTAACTGCTGCGGGTGGTTACAGAAGCACTTGCCGTTACTTGCACTCTTGTGCTTCTCGCCGGACACCATGACTGTCAGCCTAGGGATTGCGGAGGAATGCACGTCCATCCCCGATTATTGGGAAGCCTCCTTCGAGTTGAAATCTTAGTCTCACTCACATCATGAGGAAGGTGCTGGTCCTTCGTTGCGTATCAGTTACTGCTAACCGATGGGCACCAGCAAAAAAATGAGACCATGGGTCGGACATCAACATCCCGAAGCCGTGGCCGGGCTCATCACCAAGGCGTGCCCATCTGTTCTGAAGCCCAAACCCGAGCGATCGCAGGCGCGACGTCGTCGAGGGGGTACGGTGCTGCCCGTGTTGTGCTCGTGCAGCTCTTGGCCTAATACATGTATAAATGCATACCAGTCTTTCCGTGTTTCTCTAGCTCTTGCCCCTTCACCTTCTGAGCCAAGACTCACCAGTAGGTACTGGATAGTGAGTCTCTTATTGTCTTGGAGATACAGTACTAGTACTGACGAGCTTCCGCCAGCCTTACTTGGTTTTCGTTCATTCTCGCATTTTATTTAACGACTTCGTTCAACTTCTATACGCTTGACGACTCCACTCCTATTCTTTCATATCTTTTTATAATCTCACAATCGCAATGCTGTCCACCGTCGCAATCTCTGCTCTTCTCGTTGCCGCTTCCGTCACACCTTCTCTTACGCTGCCCATTTTCCCCACGAGGTGCGTGTCTCCCGTCAATACTATGTCCCTCCTTTGACATCAATTGAAATCTTACAGCAGTCGAGAGGCGGCCAACTGGAAGGATGTCGCGAATGATATTGGAAAGACACCGGTCCACTTCGAGCATCCTTACGTGACTCGTGCCTTCGAGGACGAGCTCATGACGCGCGCCGACGGCAGCGAGGCACCCAGGATTGAAGGACCGTTCGAGGCTAACAAATTCCCTGTCTATGTCCCGACCTTCGTCCCTAGCCACGCTACTCGAGACATTCAGCTCATGGCACGCGCAGAACCTATGGACAGGGTGGCTTTTGATGTCAACCATGTCGTGCGCGACACCGGAAGGGCTATTCTGAACTTCCTCCGCGAGGAGGACCCGATCATGGCTCGCGCGTTCGAGGACGAGCTGATGGCGCGTGCAGAGCTTGCGGGTAGCGAGGGTGTGATAGATTCAGCCTTTGCCAGACGTTCTGGCAAAGCGCCCGCCACGAATTCTGGCAAGGCTCCCGCCCAGAAGCCTAGCCAAGCGCCCGCTCCGAAGTCTGGCAAAGCTCCCGCCCCGAAGTCTGGCAATGCGCCCGCTCCTAAGTCTGGCGGGGCGCCCGTCCCGAAGTCTGGCGAAGTGCCTGCCCCGCAGTCTGGCAAGGCGCCCGTCGCGAAGTCTGGCAATGCGCCCGCCGCGAAGTCTGGCAAAGCTCCCGCCGCGAAGTCTGGCAAGGCTCCCGCCCGGAAGTCTAGCCAAGGGCCCGCTCCGAAGTCTGGCGAAGTGCCCGCCCCGCAGTCTGGCAATGCGCCCGCTCCTAAGTCTGGCGGGGCGCCCGTCCCGAAGTCTGGCGAAGTGCCTGCCCCGCAGTCTGGCAAGGCGCCCGTCGCGAAGTCTGGCAATGCGCCCGCCGCGAAGTCTGGCAAAGCTCCCGCCGCGAAGTCTGGCAAGGCTCCCGCCCGGAAGTCTAGCCAAGGGCCCGCTCCGAAGTCTGGCGAAGTGCCCGCCCCGCAGTCTGGCAATGCGCCCGCTCCTAAGTCTGGCGGGGCGCCCGTCCCGAAGTCTGGCGAAGTGCCCGCCCCGCAGTCTGGCAAGGCGCCCGCCGCGAAGTCTGGCAAGGCGCCCGCCGCGAAGTCTGGCAAGGCGCCCGCCCCGCAGTCTGGCAAGGCGCCCGCCCCGCAGTCTGGCAGTGCGCCCGCCGCGAAGTCTGGCAGTGCGCCCGCCGCGAAATCTGGCAAGGCGCCCGCCCCGCAGTCTGGCAATGCGCCCGCCGCGAAGTCTGGCAGTGCGCCCGCCGCGAACTCTGGTAATGCGCCCACCGCGAAGTCTGGCAAGGCGCCCGCCCCGCAGTCTGGCAAGGCGCCCGTCGCGAAGTCTGGCAAGGCGCCCGCCCCGCAGTCTGGCAAGGCGCCCGTCGCGAAGTCTGGCAATGCGCCCGCCGCGAAGTCTGGCAAAGCTCCCGCCGCGAAGTCTGGCAAGGCTCCCGCCCGGAAGTCTAGCCAAGGGCCCGCTCCGAAGTCTGGCGAAGTGCCCGCCCCGCAGTCTGGCAATGCGCCCGCTCCTAAGTCTGGCGGGGCGCCCGTCCCGAAGTCTGGCGAAGTGCCCGCCCCGCAGTCTGGCAATGCACCCGCCCCGCAGTCTGGCAGTGCGCCCGCTCCGAAGTCTGGCGAGGCGTCCGCCGCGAAGTCTGGCAATGCGTCCGCCCCGCCGACAACTTCATCGGCCACGGTATGCACAGCCCGCTATGATCTTGTAAATTGCCTCACTCTTTGCATAGACGACACCTCAGGCTGTCACTATTACCTGGTCGGACATCTCAAAGATCGAATTAAGTAGAATACGCGCAGCAGATTGTGGCGGTGAAGACCCCAAAACTTGGCACGAGAACAAAGTGCATGCTTTTGTCAGTGCCAATGCCGATAGTTTACCAGGTGTAACTAATGCGAGGGTTCGGTGAGTTCGCGCGGAGCGTCGGTCATACAAAGCTGAGAACTTCACCCGACTCTTTAGCCACGCCGCCCACGCCGGGGGAAGCGATCCGAACGAAAAGGATCATATCACAGTGGATTTCATAGCTAGGGATAAACTCATCAGCTCTCCGCACGGACGCGGAGGATCTTGGCACGTCTATACGGGCCGATGATTAGAGCGACCGCCGAAGCCAGGTATTGGTCTGCAGTGTTGTTGGAATGCGTTATTTGCACCGTGAATTACAGTTCGCTGGTCGTATTCCCTCTATTTTGGTGGACAATCATAGCTATGCAGGCAGCAAACCTTTTTCCCGACGTCGCCGTACAAGACAGAATGATCGGCGGCCTCTCCACGGGGCATTTGCTAAAACAAATTCACGTTGGAGACGTTGCGAAGGAAGCTGTAGATCAGAATTTACAGCCATTTCTCATCCGTTGGCTTGCTCGATAGCCCGAGGTCGAGAGCTATCATTCGAGCTCGGCGAGCACGTTGAGACAAACGATATCCCAACTGCCCTTAAGTCCCGCAAATGCAATGGCGAGAGCTTGGCGTCGCGAAGCTTACCTCCATGAGATGAGACGGTGTCGTCGTGTCCGCGCGTTGACGGGCGTTGATGTCAGGATCCATAGCATCAGCGCGAACGAACAGCTCTGTCCGTTCAAATTTCAATCGAGTCTTGAAGCTTGAAGGGGTCAAGAGGGCGCGCAATGACCTAGTCTGGGAGACGTCTTCCAAGGATCTGAAGACCTGAGCTACTCGTTCAGAAGACGGGTGGCGCTCTACGTACACCTCGCCCTCAGCGAGGTTCTCCAGATGTACCTGAATGTCTTCTTCATTGAGGTCAGACGCCGTGAGGGCTGTAGCTGAGTGGTTGGACATGCTGTCTTACGGAACAACATTGCTTACCATTCCCGTGTTCAGATCGTCCCCAAGGATAGACCCGGATGCTGTGAGAAACGCTCGTGCTCGTCAGACGAGCTCACCACTTCAGAAGTACTTGACGTCTCATCATCACAGCCGGATGAGCAACGAGCTTTGGCCCGCGATGGAGATAGAGAGCGTGAGGAGACGTTCCCAGTCGCGATGTCGTCTGTGAATCAATGTAGCCCTCTGCTTGGGCATGGCAGTCGAGGCTTTCTGAATAGCCCGACAACTTCGAAGACGCGTGCAGGACCAGCCCAACGTTTCAAAAAACTGTTGATCCACCAAGGACAAGTCCAGTCTAGGGTGGCGTAAGACATCCGAACCTGAATGCGCTGACTGAGCTTTAGGTTTGCGATCGCGCTGTACCCGTGTTATGTTGCGCATGGACAAAAGGTGCCCACACAAGCAAGGTATACCAGTAACTGGAGACGAGTGCTCAGGAAGCGGCTGTCGTCTTGGCACTTAAGATCCCGTCCCCTCCTCCACTCATTTTGTAGCCTGTCTGCATCACGGTGGACTTTCGCAAACACGTAACACGGCTACAGCTTCGGTTAGAGGTCGAGCGCACAATGAAACAAATATTATAAGCCAAATTTTGCGGAAAACACTGGGTGACTTTCCGTAGCGCGGTTTAGAGACAAGTTTTCGACTTCGCATTCCAGACAGCAATCAGTCACGCGGACGAACCATAACCCATCATTCTAACATCTCGCATCCCGGAAACCAGGCATCGCCGCCATCATTCTGCGTTCATCGAACAGATCCGGAGCACTGCAATCGGGCGGACTTACGTCCTACGGTCCTGGAGATTGGCAACTTCTGTGGGCGGCTACACGTCGACAAAGGCGCTGGTCCTTCTGCCAATCGATAGGCATGGCCAAGGCGCGCTCATCGGTTGGGAAGCCTCCTGACATGAGCGGTCGACAACATTAACGCTGAGGCGGTGCGGTGCGACTCGTGCGCCTCTTGGCCTGATGCACGTATAAATGCATGCCAGTCTTTCCGTGTTCCTTCAGCTCTTGCCCTTTCACCTTCTGAGCCAAGACTCACAAGTAGGTACTGGATAGTGAGTCTCTTACTGTCCTGGAGATACAGTACTGGTACTGACGAGCTTCCGCCAGCCTCACTTGGTTTTCGTTCATTCTCGCGTTCTATTTAACGACTTCGTTCAAGTTCAATACACTTAACGACTCCACTCCTTTTCCTTCATATCTTTTTATAATCTCATAATCGCAATGCTTTCCACCGTCGCAATCTCTGCTCTTCTTGTCGCCGCCTCCGCTGCACCTTCTCTTGCGCTCCCCGTTGTCCCCACGAGGTGCGTGTCTCCCGTCAATACTACGTCCTTGCTCTGACATCAATTGCAATCTGACAGTGGTCGAGAGGCAGTCAACTGGAAGGATGTCGGGGGTGGTATTGTAAAGACCCCGTTCCACTTCGAACACCCTTACGTGGCTCGCGCTGACGGCGAGGCATTGAGGATTGGAAGACCGTTCGAGGTCAACAAATTGCCTGTCCATTTCCCGACCTTCGTCTCTAGCCACGCTGCCCGAGATAGCCAGTTCATGGCACGCGCAGAACCTACGGACAGGGAGGCTTCTTATGTCAACCGCGTCGCGCGCGACACTGGAAGCGCTATTCTGAACTTCCTCCGTGAGGAGGACCCGATCATGGCTCGCGCGTTTGAGGACGAGCTGATGGCGCGTGCAGAGCTTGCGGGTAGCGAGGGGGTGACAGATACAGCCTTTGCCAGACGTTCTGGCAAAGCGACCACTCCACCGACTTCGCCTACCACGGTACGCACAGCCCGCTATTATCTTGTAAATCGCCTCACGCTCTTTGCATAGGCGATACCTCAGGCTGTCAGTATTTCCTGGACGGGCCCTGCAAATGCTGAAGTAGCGGCGATGCACGCAGCGGATTTTGGCGGTGAAGACCCCAAAAAATGGCACGAGGACAAAGTGCATGCTTTTGTCAGTGCCAATACCGCAAGTTTACCAGGTGTAACTAAAGCGAGGATTCGGTAAGTTTGCGCGGTCCATCGGTCATACAAAGCTGAGAACTTCACCCGACTGTTTAGCAAGGCCGCACACACCGGGGGAACCGATCCGAACGAAAAGGAGCATATCACGGTGAATTTCCTAGCTAGGAATAAAATCATCAACTCTCCGCAAGGAGGAGCTTGGCATGTCTATACGGGACGATGATTAGAGCGACCGGCGCACCGAGATATTGGTCTGCGCAGTAGTATCGTTGGAACGCGTTATGCGGCCCTTCGAATTACTGTTCGCTGGTCTTACGATATCTATCCGTCAGTAGAAATGTGCAACGGTTCTATGTAGTGTGTGTAACAGCCATACCTCTATGGTATCTCTCCGTTTTGGTGGCCGTTCATAGCTACGCCAGCAGGAAATCTTTTTGCTAATGTCGTACGAAAAGGCAGAATGACCGACTGGCCTCAGAGCAGATTCACCCGGGACACGCGAACTTCACCGGATGGACATCTCCGAGATAGGCGCCCCCGCGCGTTTTCCAGCGCGCTGAGCAGTGTTTGCGCTGCAGCTATATCGTACAATTTTGTGGATTTTTCGAGGTGCTAGGAGGCTAGGGAGTTGAGTAGATGTGTTCCTCATAGCCAAATTGAGTACTCATCTCTTCCCGTCGACATTAAAATTCGCCTCCAACTTTGCAGAACCACTCAGCCACTTGCAACCATCGGAGTTGAATCTGAATCCTATTGCAGTGTTTGCCGTCGACGAATCAGACTTTGTCCCGAGCGTGCAAACAGGGAAGGAGGATTATCTTCCACCTAATGGAGAAGAGACGCAGTTCAGCAGTGATCCAGACTTCAGTATCATAGAGGTTCCCCGACATTGGCATACCGACTCGAACACTTGAAATGTTCATAGCTCGGTATCAACGCTCACTTAACTCTTGACGTTTGACCCCGGGCCTTCGGAGGCGAGTGTACAAGTTGGCCTACCTTGCTAGAATATCCTGCAATTCTGGTTCTATTTTTTTCCTGGTTTCGTCGTCCAGATCTTCAGTCTTATCCGTTCTTCGAGTTGTATGATGCACGCGCGTAATCGGATGCCGCGCCGTTTAGACAGAGTGGTGTGACGGGGCACGTGGGATAGTCACAGCGTGTTCTCAATCACGCGCCGAGCGATCGATCGTGAAACAGACGACGACTACCGTCACTACGTCTGTCGACTCTGACCTTCCGTGCTCTTGGAAGCGGCGGGGTTCTCATTTACGAGTCAAGTTCATTCACCGTGCGGGTTCACGGAGACTTGAATCCTTCCTGAACTGCAAGTCGAGTGAGTTACTCAGCTAACTCGGTGCCACCCGTGGTTGACATGGGCACATCACCAGACACAGGAGGAATTTTAACGCACTCACAATTATTGTCTAATCTTCAGGGTCCCGATCCAACGTCCTCTACCCAACACCAGCGAGCAAGCATGACGCACAACGCTACCATTCATGACTTACCCGATGACGTTTTGCTCCTCATCTTTAAAGCCGTATATTCAATGTCACGCAAGTATCCCGGAAGGGATAATCGATCAGTCTCGATTTTTGAAGCCGACAAGGACGACGTGATATGGCAAGACGAGGCTGTGACCTCACCCTCCAATTTATTCCCCGATTCACTTGTTCCAGTGTCCCGGTTGTGGAAAGATACTCTTTCTTCCGTCTCCGACTTTTGGACTCGTCTGACCATCTTCGTCGACCGGCGTCCCACTCCGCTATCAGCAATTATTTCGCGGCTGGCTCTCTCAGGCGAGCGTGTCCTCGAGATTACGCTGACTCGCAGACAGGGTTCGTGGTCAGGCACGGATCTGTCGGAGCAAGCACGCGTGAATGCGGCCATTGCCCTCCTATCGGTTCACATGTCGCGCTGGAAGACCCTTCGCCTAGACGTCCTACACTCCAGTTCAGTCCTCAGACCTCATGTCGCTATGCACGGCGATGCGGCTAACCTGGTCGATCTTCGCCTCCACTCACGTTTGAAAGATGCACCGTTACTGGCGTACTGGTCACCCCTAGTTATCCAAGCCACGGATGACTCGATTGCATGCCTACGACGCACATCCTCGAGACCTATCGCGGGCTCTATATCGAAACCAGACCACCGCTTACCGTCACTACGAATCGACGTCACATCAATCAACAGCTTCGCGCTCCCCGGATGTCAGAGCTGCAGCTGGACGGCGTCATCTTTTTTGCTTCGTATTCTCACGCGCCAGTCACGTGGATGTCCGTCAGGAAACTGACGGTGACACATTTCGCATCACCACGGCCTGGCAGATTCACAGCCAACATGTTCTTGGCTTTGTATGTAACGCGCTGACTGCGGAAGGGCTATGAGGAGAACAATTTTATTCTAGAGTAAATAAAATTGTCCGAGATAGAGAAAGCCGAAATGAGTATGCGCCACGCAATGTTGCATACGAATTTCGACGTGCGGGGGGAAGGTTCTGCGGGGCTTCGTGAGGGAGCGGAACTCGGAGGCGCGAATTCCCAAAAGGGGAATGCCAACGAGATCGGCCCGCGGAACCTTCGGAGCCTGGCACGTAGATCTCGCGGCCAGACCATGGCGGGTCAGCCGGGGAGACGAGACCATACCTAACCAGGCTAGAGAAAGAGAGAATGGGAGGTGGGTGGGTAGAAAAAAGCGAGACCGGGATGGGGCGGCGGCGTGTAGAGAGAGAGGAGGTGAGGAGACGTGTGCGCTCTTCCTTCCTACTTAGGGGAAGTGCGCACGGACCTCTAGGACGAAACACGTGTCGCCCGCCTTCCGGTGAGCGTCGCGCTTACAAAGCCGGCGCTTAACCGTCGTCGTACTCGCAGGCTCGCAGACGTCGGTGGAGCGTTCAGCTTTGTATGTAACGCGCTGACTGCGGAAGGGCTATGAGGAGAACAATTTTATTCTAGAGTAAATAAAATTGTCCGAGATAGAGAAAGCCGAAATGAGTATGCGCCACGCAATGTTGCATACGAATTTCGACGTGCGGGGGGAAGGTTCTGCGGGGCTTCGTGAGGGAGCGGAACTCGGAGGCGCGAATTCCCAAAAGGGGAATGCCAACGAGATCGGCCCGCGGAACCTTCGGAGCCTGGCACGTAGATCTCGCGGCCAGACCATGGCGGGTCAGCCGGGGAGACGAGACCATACCTATCCAGAGCGCGGCTCACTACGTCGAGTGACCGGGGACCCGACCCACACACAAGAGCAAGCGATGGAGTGGTGACTCTGCGGAGAGAAGCACGAGTGACAGCTAAGATTGAGGCCAGCTATATGGTACAGAGTATTCTACAAGGGGGAAGGTGCGTGTGCATGAAGATGGGGAGTGTGAGTATTAGGTAGGAGCACACGAAACGAGACGGTGACGACGAGAGAATGAGTCCATGGCGGAGCCAATGTGTAGTGCACGAGAAGAGTGTGATGCATTGGAAATGAAAAGAGGGAGGATCGATTCGATGCGACGCCAATACTCCAGGAACGCCTGTGATTTCCAGCGGCCTTGTGTCGCGACCACGTCCGGGTTGACGCCCTGCAGGAGTAGTTCCGTGGCGCCCCCGATACGGAAGGCATGGCCCGGCATGTCTGGAAAACCGGCGGAAACCCAGATGGTATTGCAGCGCTGCATGAACCAGTGCTTGGTCATGGGAGACCAGCCACCGGCCGCGGTCTCGAATGCGAAGAGGGGAGCGGAGGTGGGGATGTCGATGTTGCAAGAGAGGTGATGGCGGAGCGCCGCGAGCGGGCATGTAGAGTGAATGCGCGCTGTGATCGAGATGTCGGCGCCCTCCTGCAACGTCGTCTTGGTCCACGGGATGTGAAAGGTGGCGAACTCAGCTCCATTGGCCAGACGACCGAATGCGATGGGGAGCACGGAGCGCGAGACATGTTTGAGTGGATCAAAGAGATTGGTGCTCGGAATGACCAATTCCCCTAAACTATGCACGGGAGGTGAGTACAGGTTTGACCGGTGTGAAGGGGAGTGAGAATGGGGAGGGGGAGAGGGAGGGAGTGAGAAAGTGAGAGTAGCAAAGAGGAGAGGCCTACCGACAACAGCACCAGAAGGCGATGCTCGCGAGGGCCCAGACAGCCGCGTCGAACGCGTTCGAGAGGTCAAGGCCATCTTTGAGGATCACCATCGCTTCAATGGTGACCGGAGGACGCTTGGCCCGCTTCGAGTCGGGCGGAACCAATTTCGCGACGCCGCATCGAACGTGACGCAGCATGTCATGTCCGTGCCATACCGCACCGTTGACGGTGTGCCAGAAGTGGAGACCCGCAAGCCAGTTGGAGAGGGTGTTGTCTGAGATCGCACCGGCGGCAGATGCTGCGAATGCGGAAAGGAGCGATTCGGAGGCCGGCATGCGCTGAAGTTCTGGAATGCGATGTTGGTCACAGTACTGAGTGAAGCGTAGGAGACCCGCTCCGTAATTGCCACGTGTGGATTCGTCGAGTGAGCATAGCATGACTTGGAAGAGTTTGAGCACTGCAGTGGAGGGGAGGAGGCTATCGAGAGATCGTTGGAAGGAGTGTGAATGAGGGGTGGTCCAGAGTAGGACCCGATCACTGGCGAGAACGAGAGGGCGATGCGAGGAGGGGGTGATACGGTTCAGAGAGGATGGACGACGGGGAATGCGTATGCGTCCCCCGGGCGGTGGGAGAGTGGCAACGTGCCGGACATCGCTATTGACCTGTGAGAAAAAGGCAGCTGCCTCCGCGTCGATGTCGACATCTTGCAGGAGGCGGGCAATGGGAGAGGAATCATTCATGGGAGAAGAGGGGGGCTATGGGAGCTGGGAGAGCAATGGAGAGAGGCAGACGAAGGGAGTCATCAGGGTGGATGCCACGCGACACGGGGTCCGCGAGATTGTCTTTGGTATTGACATATATGAGAGATGCTGATAGGCCAGTGACACGGAAGACTTCTTCAGAACGACGAATGCAGAGGTTCGTCTCCACATTGTTGGAACGACCCTTCTCGAAGGCACCGATGACGCCCTCATTGTCGCTCCGAATGAGGATGTCCGCGTCCCGGATACCTAGCTCACGTGCGATGAGGATGGCCACTTCGGCTGCGACACCCTCGAGCCAGCCGATGTCCCGTCCGGGTACCTTCCAACCATCGACGACACGCCAGGCGGCCCAGTAGCCATTCCATATAATGCCTAAGCCCGTGCTGGTGGACGCGTCGACCCAGATCCCGTAGTCTCGCGTGGGTCCACGGGGGGCAAGTGAGCGTGGTGCAGAGGGAATGGAGAGTTGGGTTGACCACCACTTGAGGTCTGAGATGACCGAGGAACGCATGTAGCGTGGTACGAAATCATTGTGGAAGGTGCGGAGCCAGGCGTATAAATTGCTCATGTATGAGCGGCCGTGTGAGTGTACAAAGGTGATGTGGGAGAGTTTGCCGATGATACGTTCAGCTTCCTTCTTCGGTACTTGGGAGTTCTCGTACGTCTGGAGGAAGAGAAGTAGGTGAGTAGAGTATTTTTGTCGTTTGCGCTCAGAGAGTGAGACAGTGCGCTGCACGATATCCCAATGGAATCCGACGTAATCGAAGGAGTCTGCAAACTCCTGACCTTTGGTGGAGTGCCAGGGAATGCATAGGGGTGCGATTAGCTCTTTCGCATGGGTGAGATCGTAGAGATAATGAAAACCGTTCTCTGTGAAGGGCCCGATCTCATTTGGGAAGCGAAAGAGAGCGAAATCGTCGACCCATTTGACAATGGGAGATACTGCAACGGATTCCCAGATGTCCACTGTGGCATCAGCGATCTCGCCTTGGAGACCTGATGCCGAAGCGAGCCCAAATGGCACGTTGTGATCCATATAGAAAAAGCCGAGAAAGAGTACGACGAGAAATCGTTTATGGTCCGGCTTCACCGGAACCGTGCGATATGCGCCCGCAATGTCTAATGTGGCAACTTGTGTGCCGAGCGGTGCAGTGGAGATCTGAGAAACATCCGTGAGGAGGTATGAATAAAAGATGTTGAGTAGGGAGTAGGGAGGGAGGTGTTAGCGATGTGAGTCGCGGTCCCCCGCAATAATAATGTGCATTTCGAGCCGAGAATCGGCGAGCGTCTGGAGGGGTGATCCCTTTCGACAGCTCAGCCTCTTTCGGCGAAACGCATCCACTGATTTTGCGGGAGAGGGGAGGATTCGCGGCTCAGGTGCCGGTGAGTGTGTAGTGTCTCGAAAGAAGGAGTGATAGAGGGAGAACACAGTGTGAGTGAGAAGTAGTACGTGAGGAGGAGGAGGGGAGGCAGAGCGTGATGTGAGAAGTAGGGAGAGATCATACGTGGCGAGAAATTGAGGAGCGAGACAGGAGAGCGTGCAGAGGGAGATGATGCATGGACTGAGAATTGGGAGTGCATGAAGAGGGAGAGACGAGGCAATATGTGCAAGCGATCGGCAGGCGAGGCACGCGTGTGAGAGAGAGGAGGCAGGACTTACGATTTTCGCTACATCTGTGGCTTTGCCCCATCGTGTAGGATAGTCCTTGGCATTAATCTCGTCATTGACGGATTGACCGAGAGTGCCCTTGTATGAGAGGTGACGACAGATCCGAAACTTGTCTGGCTCGCCACATGCCCCAACTTTGGTAGCAACTTGGAGGGGAGACGATCGAAAGGGTCCGATTTTTGCTTCCAGCTGTGCCCGCGTGAAGGGACCGGTGAAACGGCCGAGTGCGAGTTCTTCCGAGATGTATTCACGAATGACCTCGGTGTGTACGTTCGCGCTGAGCAGGTTGTTGGGCGTGAAAGATTCGATGATTGGGGCGAGGTTGCCGAGTGGAAAACCGTATGTGAGCTTGAAACAGAGTTCAGGATATCTTGTAAGGAGGCTGGCGTTGTCAAGGTAGCGTTGGAAGGCGGGAGCGGAGTATGGAGTAAGAACGAGTGAGAAATCAGGATCCTGATCAAAAGGGGAAGATTCGATTCGCAGGTCATCGAAGTAGACGTGCAGCTCATCGGGAGCAGAGAAAATGGGAGAAGGATGCCATTCTTCGAAGTCATCAAGAAATCGTGACTGAGCACCAAGAAGGAGGTGGGCATCGCCCTCGTTACGTACACTTTCTCGCACAGGCCCCATGCTCGGAGGAGCCGCAAAAGGAGCAGATGTGTTGTTCTGGGTGATGCTGCTTGCAAACGCGTTTGGGGGAGTTGAGCTGGAAAGTAATGCAGAGAGGGGAGGAGTTGGATCGTAGGACGAGCTTGTTATTGAGGTATCGCGAGAGTGTTTCGACGCCTTGCGCCGTTGACGTTTCCGTGCATTGAGAGAATTTGTGTCCGGGCCGGCGGCAGCAGAGGCAGAGGGGAGTGGACCCGGAGTCAGCTCCCTTGCCGTCTCGAAAGGGAGGCTTCTCCGTGGAGGTGTTGCGAGGGTTGCGACGGGCGTCTCGATCATAAGGCTCGAATGCCCGACCGCCTCTGCTGGCATTCCTGTCAGGCCCGGAGGACTGTGTGCGTGGCGCCTGCCTGTCGGTTATGATCTGAGATCTGAGTTCCTCCAGTTTGACCGCCTCAAAGCGCCGCTGGTACGCATCCTCGTTGTGCGCTTCGGGGGAGATGGAATAACGTGTCCGCTGTTCGATGTCGAAGGTCAGAATGGCGCGGAAGTCGCGTTTGAAGTCATCCTGTTTCGACAGGAAATGGTAGTGATCTTCCCATCGCTGCGCCACTGCCTTGTCTGCGTGTGTGCGGAGGAATGGATTGTAACGGTTCCAGGCTTCGTGCCAGTCCGCAACATCCATCTCCGATTCCGCTTGGAATTGTGTGAGGTCCATCAGATGACATTTCGCGCCGCTAGAATTATAAACGATGTTCTGCTTGATGGAGGTGGCATGATTATGTAATTTATTTGTAGCAGAAGTGGTGAATAATGATAAAGGAATGTGTACTCCGTTCTGTCCGAGGTTAAGAATGAAGGGATGTATTCCGAAGCTCTGAGTATGGGAAGTGGAAGAGGACGGGCGCTCGCGTTCAACAGAAAAAAGTAATTTCGGGACGGAATCGGGAAATGCATTAGTAGGTAAAGGTAGCGAGGAGTTAATCAGGGTTTGGACTTTTTTCTGGGAACCGGGGGAGAATTGAGAGAATGCGGAAAGGAGACCAACACAATTATTAGCCGATGAAAAGGGTGTGGGAGGTAACGTAGGGGTGGGAGTGGAAGGACGGGAGATAATGTGGAGAAGGGGTTCGTCAGCGGGAACGTTAGTCTCCTGCGCATCTCTGCGCTGCTGCAAAAGGAGATTGCGAGCAACTCTCGCCAGGTTCTCGGTTTTCTTCTCCTCGGTCGTCAGGGGCGCTGGCCCTGGGAGATTAAGTCCTCCTGAGCCGCCGGAGCCTGATCCGGACTGGATCGTTGATGTATCTTTGTTGGCCGCGCCTGTGGGAGCGATAGAGCCGGTCATGGTGTGAGATCTGGGAGATCGGAGGTAGAAAAAAGCGAGACCGGGATGGGGCGGCGGCGTGTAGAGAGAGAGGAGGTGAGGAGACGTGTGCGCTCTTCCTTCCTACTTAGGGGAAGTGCGCACGGACCTCTAGGACGAAACACGTGTCGCCCGCCTTCCGGTGAGCGTCGCGCTTACAAAGCCGGCGCTTAACCGTCGTCGTACTCGCAGGCTCGCAGACGTCGGTGGAGCGTTCAACTTGTTTGAATACCATGCCAGCGTTACGTGAATTGACACTGGTGGAGGTCGCACTGCAGTTCGACGAGGAAGCGATGCCGGCCCTGGTTCATTGTGGCCTGCAGCGATGTACGTTTGTGGATATCCCTGAGCAGATGCTGACCGCGCTGGTTGGGCTGCTCCGAAACTCCGAGCTGACCTCGCTCACCGTGAAACGGTGCAGCATGCGCCGCTGGGCCCCAGGGCAATGGCCTCTCTCGTCACTCACCCTGGAGGGCATCAACAAGTCAGATGACGTTTTGCAAACGCTGCGTGCGTGGCCACCGAGGGTCCTGACCGTGGAGAATTGCGCCGGGTTTGACAAAATCATTCTCGCAGCGTTGGCGGACCCGTACATATTTTGCCCTGACATGGAAGCGCTTGAGCTGTCTGGCAGCCGCGGAATCTCGAGCAGAGAGTTTCGGATGATGATTGAGGGGCGCCAGGGTGGAATTAGCGATGACGATCCGGTTGATCCAGATGTAGGCTTCATTTCGACCTTGCGTGTGACGGGATGTGGAGAGCTGGATCCGAACGACAAGGGGTTCTTTGAGGAACATGCCTTCCTGAGGCAGGTCGAGTGGGACGGGCAGATTATATTGGAGGACTTTGAGTCGGATGTGGATAGTGTTGGGTGGGCCAGAGCTGACGACTATTCCGATGAGGAATAGTAATCAGTGAAGCTGAATGTCCATTGCCCAGGTGCGCGGTGCGCAGTTTGCATATTGCTGTGACTTTGTCAGTTCAAACAAGAAACTGATTTGTCGAAATGATAAACATACATGGCCTAATCTCTGCTGCACTTGCGTCTCTTGCATGTCCTCGTCTTCGTTCTTGGTGTCGAGATTAATATTCACATCTGAGTTCAAGTATTATTTGTTCTTGTGCAATAGATCACATCGTCCTCCAACTCTGTCGAGAACTCGAAGTCTACAGTAAGTAATAGAAAACTGTTGTCGTAACTGTTGTCGTCGTAGTTCTTTAATTGGGATTCCTCCCAGCCATCTTCCACCGACCAACCGAACAATTCTTTGATGCCAAGCAGCCACTTTCTGCCGAAGAAACCGGGGACTTCAGCGCGGATAAGAGTCAGCAATTCATCCAAAGTTTGGAACTGAGAAATCTGCTCAGTGGGGCCGGTAGTCGAGGATTACTGTTCATTAACTTCGGCTGCATTCAAGTCGTCAGAATTATGACTGACATGCAACTTAACAGGTACCTGGGTGAGACGCAGTCGGACCCTAGACGATGCAAAGTCAAGAAGCGCGGGCCACAGGCTGTATATAACGCAAGTCAAGTCGCGGGCTCTTCAACAACCAACCGATCTCCCGCACAACGAAGTGGGGCCTGTAGCTACTCCTTCGAAGGGCGTTTCAGCCGGCCCCTTGAAGCCATCCGAGAGCTCTGTAATCTGCCCGGATGGCTCTGAATAAAATAGTGTATTGTAGCTAATGTGGATTGTTCGTTGTGGAGAAAACATAGCAATTGACCCTTCCTGACCTTACACATTACCGTAAGGCCTGGCTAGACAGGAGGATCAAAGGAGAAAGCGGTGCCAAACCCAAAGAATGGCACGAGGACAAAGTGCGTGCTTTTGTCAGTGCCAATATCGAAAAGTTACCAGGTCTAACGAAGGCAATAATTCGGTGAGTTTGCGCTTGCGCAGTCCGTCGATGAGATAAAGCTGAGAACTTCACCTGGCTTTTAGTGCTCCCGCCCACCGCGGCGGAACCGATTCTGACAAAGTGGACCATATCACGGTGAATTTCCTAGCCAACAAGAAAATCATTAACTCTCCGAAAGGCGGAGCTTGGCATGTTTATACGGGACGATGGTCAGAGCGACCGCCGCACCAAGATATTGGTCTGCGCAGTAGTATCGTTGGAACGTGCCAGGCTGTTATGCGGCCCTTCGAATTATCGTTCGCTGGTCTTACGACGTGTATCCGTCAATGCAAAGTTTCAGCAGTTCCATGTAGTGTGTGTAACAATCACAAGTACCTCTATGGTATTCCCTCCGGTTTGGCAGCCATTCATAGCTCCACCGGCGGCAAACCTTTTCCTCAAGGTCGTAAGAAAAGACAGAATGACTGACTGGCCTGAGAGCCAGTACTCGGCTATAAAGGGGAAATGATTGCACCGTAAGGACATTGGTTTGTGGGAAGTTGGCAGACCTGAGAAGTCGTGGAAAGTACCCAGTCTCCAGACCTTCGCAGATTTATCATGAATAAATATATCGAAGTAAGCGGGAACAACTACAACCACCATACAAGACTGTAACGGTAGCAATCGTACAGAACGACAACATTACTCGTCAGAAGCTCAGCAATGAAACGCGTCCTCCAGCCAAGGGGCCAGCTGTAGCTCCTCGGCGGAAGGCCTCTTGGAAGGATCTAGATGCAGACACGAGCGAATGAACTCCGCCGCGGGCTTTATATCCTTCTCGTCCAATATCTTGTAGTTCCCCAATGCTGATTCCAAACTTCCAGGGAACACTTCACTGATTCGAAGGAGTTTGCCTTGAATATCGATAACAAGTCGATCAGCACGTCGAAGGTCGATGGTCTGACTCCACCTACCGCTGTCGTCGAAGAAGTCTTGCCGTCTTCGAGCATGCTGAAGGACCTCGGGCGTAAAGCTCTCCCCGGTGAGCTCCATCATTTTCGCGAGGTGGTCGTCTTCGACAGTCCAGTCTTCGCCCTCTTCTGGATTGAAGAGCCAGCGGCCGGTGAGGAGCTCGAAGGTCTGTACAAAATATCGGTGAGGATTAAGACACAAAGGAACACGCGCGAGAAGAGTACTGACAATACAGCCTATCGACCAGATGTCGAGCTTTGGACCAAAACTCGATTGCAAGATGATCTCGGGAGCACGAAGGGAGGGTGCGCTGAACTGGTCCACCGTCGGCTGTTTGCCGGCCCACTGAGCTATAATATTACATGAATATCGAGATTGAATGTACTAGAAATAACGTAGTGAAGCTACCTTGGCCAAGACCAATCAGGGTAATTGTGATTATCTCAGCGTGGTGAGGGCTCGAATTCCAGCTGAACTGATGTGGGATGGGCTGCGGCCGGCATAGAGGGTATTTCTCCCCGTCCAGTTCGAACTCGCCTTCGACAGCAACAGGTTCACTGGTCAAGAATGTTTCGATACGGGCGTCGTCGCCGACACCTCCGACCATGATATTATCTGTTTTAACATCTGAAGCACAATTAATTAGATCCGCGCGTTCATCAAAAAACGAATATGAAAGCGTACCTGTGTGTATTATATCGAGACTATGCAGTTGCATTAGCCCTTGGAGCGTGAGGGATATGATATTCTTGACGAGATAAGAAGGTAGGGATTTGGTGGGCGACTGGAGACGTAGCGAAGACACGTTCGTGCTCAGCAGATCCATTATGAAGCACATATGGTCCCCGCGAGGACCAGAGATCACAAAATCGTCGCGGAGGACGGGCAAGCCGTCTATGTCTTCGCATTCTGCGATCTTCTTCAAAAACTGCAGCTCTTGAGACTCTCCTGATTCGTGTCGTCGCGTCGCATCTCTCGTGAGGATCTTCGCGGCGTGATATTTACCGATGCTGTTGAACCAAGAACCAGTTATAGTGACGAGCGAATATTCGAAAACAAAATGCTGCACACTCGGGCTTCTCGTCCTGGACAAGCCATGTGTCGGAAAACACGCCCGTTCCCACCTTCCGTACGATTTTGTATCTATCATTAAGACGAGTGTCACCAGGACGCGCAGGAAATCTATCCTCAAGAGCCCGAGAAGTCATGGGTGCGGAGAACTGTGGTCGACGAAGATGGGTGATCAGGTTCAAGAAGCGCTTTAACATCCAGCTCACTACTACTGGTCTCCCATTTTAAAGGCAGTGTTTGGGCGGTGTAGCAGCGCTAGCTGCTCTGGCGCTTCAACCGCGACCTTGAACTTGTTCGTGCCTCAGGATATTGATCAATCCGTGTTTCAGATCTGGCGCTCAATCTGGCGCGCGCAAATCACAAAATATTAAATTTGAAATTCGCAGCCACATCACTACGATCACTCTGACGGCGCCCACAACACTGTCGACTTCACCGCTGCCATTGCCAACATCTGTAACACAGGCTACACAGCTACCACTGATGGCGCCAAGCACGCCCCGTCCAACAGGCCACATCCCGAAAATCATCATCAGGCCTCGCCGCGGCGGCGTACCCGCACACGCCTCCCCCGCCTCCGACGTCGCGGACACGCCCCCGACGGACGACAACCTCAACCTGCACCTCGACGTCGACGTCGAGCACGAGGCGGGCGGCACGCCCCTTTCGCGAGTCTCTGGCGACTTCGAGGGCACAGCCACGGAGGACGAGCACGAGCACGAGGAGGACGATGACGGCGAGGGCGAGGGGGACGGCGAGGGCGAAGGCGAAGGCGAGGGGGACGGCGGGAGCGAGGCGGGCGCGCATGAAGGCGCCGAGCACGAGGGGACGCCTGCGCGCCGGGGGCGCGGGCGGCCGCGGGGACGGCCACGGGGAGCGACGAGCGGGACGGCGACGCCGCGGCGCGCACGGGGTCGTGGGCGGGGACGAGGCCGCGGACGCGGGATTACAATCAAGCTACCTGGACGCGGTGGGGAGGGAAGTCACGAGGAAGGCGAGGGCGGCACGGGGGAAGAGGCGGGCGCTGTTGTGGAGGGGCAGGAGGGCCCAGTGGGCGGGGGAAAGCCGTTCCGTCGCATCCAGGGGAAAGTGTACATCATCGAGGGGGATGAGTATGTCACAGAGGACGACCCCAAGGGCGACACCAAGATCGACGCGAACGGGAACTTGCTCGGCGGTGAGTGCTTTCGCTGCGAAGCTCATGCTATTGTTGGCTGATGTACAGTGCACACTACAGGCCGACGGTTCAAGGCGCAGACATTCACTTTACCGAATCGTCACCCCGAGCGGCAGTACATGCTCGCGATAGAAGCAGCACGCTCGTCCGGGTTTCGGGACTCGCTGTACTACTTCCGGCGGAACGCGCTCGCGATGAAGATGAACGCGACGCAGTGGGAGAAGGAGCACCTCATCGAGGCGGGCAAGCTCGGCTCGCACCTCCGCACGCGGAGCGTCACCCTCATCACCGCCCGCAGCGCGTACAAGCTGCATGGTGCAAAGATGCTTCTCGGTGTGTTCCCTTGGTATCTTACATGCTACGCAGAACTAATCACGCCCCAGAGGGCCGATGGGTGGTGGATGACTACTACGAGGACAAGGCGCTCGAGGACGTAGTCGCGAAGGGGCTCAAGCCAGGCGATCTCGTCGGCGAACTGCAGGATATCTCCACCATCGCGGCGGAAGCAGCCGCGCTCGCGGGGGCGCAGGCGTCGAAGCAGGACCGCGGCGGGGCCGGGCCCGGGATCTACCGCGCGGGCGGGCCTACGACGATCTTCGGCGGGTCCGGGTGGGGCCCGTACAGCGACGGCCCGCTGAACGCGGTGCGGAAGTCGATGCTGAACCGTGATGGGTTGAACGAGGAGAACTGGATGTATGTTGCGGCGCAGCGCACGGTCGAGGTGGGTGAGGAGTGGGCGCGTTTGCGAAAGGAAGCGCTCAAGGCGTGCGGTGGTATCCTTGGGGAGGGGCGCAGCGTGGAGGGGAAAGTGGAGTTGGTGGGGGAGACACGGCCGGGCGAGGAACTGACGAGGGATAACGGAAAGCGGAGGAAGCTGTGGGATGAGTCTGACTTCCCGTTTGGTGTATACGAGCCGCAGACGGGTATTGTTCTTTGTGAGTGTCTTCTTTTTCCTGTCTTTCGGTTCTAATACTGACGTCCTATTTGTAGATCGAGGAGACACACAGCCTACACGGAGTAGGTGGGAAGCCCTGCCCGACGACGGTGAGAAGAGGTGCGTGTTGGGGGGAGCCAAAGCGGGAAGCGCTGCCTGGGCTCTTGCGTGGGTGGACACGGTCATGGAACCCCCAAGAGAGGAAGAAAGGGACGAGAGTGGTGCGAGAGCGAGAGCGCCGTTTATGAAGCTAGCTCGGACAGCTTCATCTTGATGCTCCCTCTTTGTCTGTTTATTTCGCAGTTGCAAGCTTATGGTGTTGCAACTTTTTTGACGGTTATGATGCCTCGGATATCCAGGGCGTGATATTCGCCGATTGTCTTGTCTGTTTTCTTGTCTTCGACGACTCTTTGTTTATCGTGGTTATATCTTCTATCGATTTTTGTAGCGAGTACTTGTCGCGTCGCGTGTTCGTGTCGATCACGTGAATATTTACTAGAAAGAATTTCGTGTCGTCAGTGAGACTTCGAGCTTTGTCTCCACCATCTTTCCGACTTTTTGCACATTTGTTTTTACTGAGGACATGGCTTTCCGGATGGTATTTCCACGAACTTATACTCCATCGCTGCTTATAATACCAGGAGCATCGCTGACGACAAATTCGCGGACAAAGGCTCTGCAAATCGCGTTCCGAAATCCTCTGCGGACATTCCACTCCCCAAGCCCGAGACACAGCTGGCAAACTCGCCTTCCTGCTCTGACAACACGCCTATGCACATGCCGAACACCGCCGCTCTCTGCCCGCCCGCAGCACATGCCGTACAGCACGGCCGAGGCCGACGCGCCGAACGAGAGCACCGCGTCCTTCTGCGACCCCGACCGGCCTGACCTCTTCTACCACCTCTTTGAGGCGCCGACACCGATTTCCGCCTCCGTCCCCGTCTTCGCGCTCTCCTTCCTCCCAGACCCCCCGCACGACGTCCAGTCTGACACCGTCATCGGCTGGCTCCCCGCCGGCACCCCCGCAGACACAGACGCGGCGGACGGCGCGGGGCTGAACGACTTTCAGGAGAACGGTGCGTCCCCATTTGCGTTATATTATACCACCCTTGGATTTGTTGTGGTGCATATGGATTGATAGTATTTACGCTTATATTCGGTGTCCTAGACAAGTTCCACGCCCTCCTGCAGGAAGCCGTCCGCTCCGCGCTCGCCGACGGCACGGACTACGTCCAGATCAACTCGGCGCTGCAGACGCAGCAGGGCTGGATGCACATACATGGTGCGCTCGCTTTCTGGTCGAGTCCCCACCGAGGAGGGAGGCTGATAGGACTCTGAATGCAATTCGCAGACAACCGGAACATTCCCGCGCTCGGGCGCATTGGCGACCCCGACGACATCCTCGGCTCCGTGCGTGTCGAGGACGGGCAGGTGCGTCTGCCATCTTCCCGCTCACGTTGTCTGACACTGAACACGACTGCGCTCCTTGTCCCCGCTACGCGCCATGCAGATCCTGCCAGAGACATACCAGCCGATGCCCTCGTACCGTCTCTGCACGTCCGACGGTATCGTCCAGCTCACAGAGGGCATCGCACAGCGCCTGCGTGAGCTCCTTGAGGCGCGTGCGGCGGAAGGGCGGTGAGCGGTCCGGTGTGCCGTGAGCATATCCAGGGCATTATAGACTCTAGATGGACCTTGGCATCATTACGCTACAGCTATATAACTACTGCATATCTCGCAACCCATATACGCACACTAAAGTATTCCATATCACCCAGAGCCACTGTTCACAGTCGGTCAGCGTAAAATTTTCTACTCAACTGCCGGTCGCAGAGTGCCAGTTTGGTGCCGACCAGTAATGCCTACGCGTGGCGCAAAGGGATGGAGCACGGCTTGCAAGAAGTGATTACGAGCGTTGTACGGTAGCCAAGTGGCTGCAGACTATGTAGTACAGGTCCATCCAGAGTCCCTGCTGAATCCAGCCCAAGAATGTACGTCGACTCCTTACCGACGGACGGACGTACCGTGAAGCAAAGTCGCGCGTGCATGGTCAAGCCTCGGTCGCCTCCCCTCCTCATCGTCCTTCGCTTCCTTCCCCGTACCGCCCCCCTCTGCAGGCACGGCAAAATCAGACGACCGTCGCGCCACCTCCATCCCATTTTTTGGCGAGGGCTGAACGTCCACCGCCACGCCCACTGCCTTTCCCGCGCGCCGCTCCTCCGCGAACTCGTCGTGGTCGAAAGAGCGGTCGAAGCACGATCCACAGCACCCACTCGAGCCGTTGCCACGAGTCCCGCACTTGTCTGACGTGCGATTACGTTAGTCGAGGGCAGAAACTATCAGGGCAAGAGAGGCAGGAGCGCACTGGAGAAACACCATTGTTCTAATGCGGAAGATGTACATATCGCGCCTACGGGATGTGCAAGTGAGTAGCTGCACAGGCACTAACAAAGATGCAGTCACGTACAGCACGCCCCGAAACACGACCCGATCGATTCGTCCATCCTGTTCTAGTACTTGTCTTGTTCCACGTCCACGCAGTCACGCTTTGCGCGGTAGATGTCGAGTTGGCCCACAGGTTATTTTGTGCGAGCAGCAAACCAGGCAATAATCTTCGAGCAGAGGTAAGACAGAGAAGAAAAGGAGTGTGGAAGACACGGGTTCAGAGCCGCGCAGGAGTGACGGCGGACGTCAAAGTGGTGAAGGTTACCGCGTCCGAGTCAGGCAAACTTTGCTCCGTCTGGGATCCCATTTGGCCTATTGAGCCCGCAACCATCTCCACGGCTGCTGAGCGCCGAGCCGATGTAAAACCAGGTGCTTTGTCTGTCCTGCATACTACGGCGTGAGTTCATATCATGATAAATGCAGGTGAAAGTCTGAGTGAAAGATTTGAGGTCGGGCGCTAAATACACACGCGCTTGTCAGCAGATATGACATCGCGAAACCTTGTGGATAGATATTCAAGCTCAAACTTCGACTGGGGGCAAAAAATACGGGTTTGAACAAGTTCATTCCGGGGCGTAGCGACAGACTACTGAATCACTGCAAAGTTACATGTTCAACAAATACTCGGAGGTACTACTAGGGTCATCACATATCATGGCCGTCATGTCTGGGTCGTGGAAGAGACGGAGAGCCTGGCCGTGAAGTCTCAAGTAGCAGGATACGAGCACCCAGAAGTAGGTACGCAATATCAGATTTTGAAGAGTAATATCACAGAGCAGATTACTCACAGCAGAAAATCACAGCATACAGGTCACACAGACGCACGCGCACCGAGACGGGTACATGTACCCTCAGGTAAGCCCCTTGACACCGGTATCGCACCAGGGACCGAGACAGTAGGGCCCAAGGAAATAAACTCAAACGCGACAGAGGGTCTCGATATCTGGTCACTTGTCCGCCCTACGACCGGCGGCTGGGCACCGGCGGCCAGACCTCCTTTGCGATCCACCAACATCCCCTGCGCCCGCGCAGGCTGCCTATTCATCTGATCGCCCGCATCCGCATCCTTACCCTTCCCCCGCACCCCCCGCGGGCCGTTCCCGACCTCGTCGTACTCGGGGCTTCTGAACCCACGGAGGCCGCAAGGCTGGTCTGTTCCACCAACATCAACATCGGTACAGGGACACAGACCGGCGAGGCACTCACTGAAGCAACACCAGTCCGTGCTGGAGAAGCACATGAAGCCTGCGGGACGAGTAATTAGCGCCCGACGCGTCGCAACGCCGAGGCGGTCCGTACAGCATGCCTCGATACAGTCGTCCATCCTACCCGTGAAGAAACTCTAATAAACAATAGGGGGAGGGATGCAGTGTCCACGCAGCGCAGGATGTGGGGACTCGCGAACTTAAGGGGGGTGATGTATGTGGAGAAACGCAGATCGTGGAAGATAATGTTATACTCTGTCCAAAAGATCGAGCCTTCGGGCTGCGTGTCCGATCCCCAGTACAGCACGTCCAAACGCAAGGCGAACCATCAAAGCGAATGTGGGCCCTTGTCGCACTCAGAATCATTGAACTGGTATGTCTTCTGTGGTACGCCCCGCGTTACTAGGTGCATCCCGGTCACGGAGGAACGCGACATAAGATCTAACTCTCCCAGAACCTCGGATTCTGGAGGAGGGCGCATCAGGTAGCCAGCGAAAGAGAAGGTAGAGAAAGTGAAAAGCATGCTGTGCGCAGGTGCCAGGGCCGAAGACTAAAGACAACAGTGCCCGCGACGCCATGCGTGGAGCCCCATACCGAATCCCGCATCATCAATACCCGTGCGTCTTGCTTTCCCCATACAACCTACGAACAACGGTATGCTTACTTACGGCCTTTGCTGCTGGGTGCTCCGAACCAATGGGCTGAAAAACTGAGCAGAGGGTCATGCAACCCGTATGCCAGTCTTCGGAGGCAGTGTAGAGGCGGCGCAGGTAACTTCCAGCTTTTTCAAGCTGAGTATAAGTAACCGCATCTGATTAGTGTCAATCCACTTATCATACACGCAATGACCTACGAAACGAACTTCCGGAGCTTGAACGGATATCCGACGAAGTGGAGGTCATTCGACAACGATATGACACCATTTTCGGACGACAACGACTTTGTCGGATAGCTCAAGAAAGTTGCAGACGAGGAGAGACTGTATCGAATAAAACTTACGGCAACAGTCATAACTAGAAAAAATCTTCCGCACGGAGCTACGTTACAGGCAGAAGCTTGTCGAGAACACTATCCATATTCGCACCGTCCTGTTTCGACGAACCAGGCCAATCTGGTTCCGCAATCAGCTTCTCTTCAGGAAGCAATGACCAGTTCGGCGACGGGGACGCGCGGATGTGAGAAAAATCTTTCACGGATAAGTGATTGCTGGCAGGAACCTAGTATAAAATAGTCAACTAGCGAATTCATGCCAATATTGAAGCAATGAAAATGCAAAACTCACAGGCTCAATTCGGCTGCCCGGACTGTAGGCCGCAGCATGCAAGGAACGAGGATAGCCCGTGAAACGGATGCCAGTGCAATGCTCAATTATCGGGTCGGAAGGTACGTGCAGATACACGTCGACATTCGATGACGTATGCATTCGATACTGCAAAAAATAACTGTGTATGAGATCTCGCACAAGTAGGCATGGGAAACACCTACCTGATGACATCCGAGAACAATTACACATCTCGTCAGGTCGTGCAAAAGCGCGCTCCCTTCAATTTCTGGAAGTATAACGATGCTGTTGCTGATGTTGCGGACGTGCAGCGCTGTGATGCTGAAGGATTTCGCATCCACTTGTCCTGCAGACTCTGAGGGCAGGAGATTAACGACGCAATAGTCGAGGTCTGCGATGCTCAGATCAGACGCAGATGATGTTCGGACGGGAAGCGAGGACCAAGTCAAGAAGATGTGTGAGCGGCCCACGAGATTCAGGCTACTGGATGGAAAGGTATTTAGATGCGAGATACCTGCGCTTGGGGTAGACTCGAAGACCGAAGCAGCAGCAGATGGAGAGACGGCAGGTTTGTTCACCTTCCGTTTGAAGGAGAATTTAGGCTTCGGAGCAGATGATGCCCGTAAGTTTTCTAGAGTATCCTCAATATTTTTCAGCCGCTGAAAAAATATCAAATCCAATGCACAAAAGTGTTGAACCAGTGAACGCTCACAAGTTCACATTGCCGTTGATCATAACTCGGTAAGAAATCAGTTCCGTCTGTCAGTTCTTTCCGTAGCTTAGCCACATCAAGAGACAACGACTCCAGTCCGTCCGGTGTTGCACCACCAGACTTGAGTGCTTCCAGGCGAGTGGTGAGTTCTGTCCAGGCCAGTCTTCAGGAATGAGAGGTGAGAGATAGAAATCGCTGCAGACCGGAACGCATGGTCTGGAAGTGGGAGTGAAACTCCTGTATGAGAGCCTGATTTGTCTCTGCCATTGCAAGTACCAGCTATGGGTAGATTAGTATGATGTCAAGCCGCTTGCGCTCCCGAGCTTCAAGTTGTGGTCGTGCACGCACACCGTGACCCGGGCCCAAACATGTGACTCTGTGGCGTGTGACAGGACGTGACCTCTCCAAGAAGACGCGCGCCTATTACACACACCTTGTCTTGTGCTCGCCTTGCCAGATTACATCCATTCGGTTCTCCACAGATTGCATAATGGCCGACATGGATGTAGATCCCCCCGCCTCTACCGTTGCAAAGAGCGGCGACAAAGACGACGCTAAGAAGCGATTCGAAGTGAAGAAGGTGCGAACACAAAGCGATCGTCCTGTTCCTCCCACTGACGACCGGGCTCATTTGCGATTCATGCACCGTGTACGGACATGCTGCGCGTAGTGGAACGCCGTTGCTCTTTGGGCATGGGGTGCGTTGACTCTGATCCTGGTCCAGTGTCTCAGCACGCATTGACGATAAGTTTAGATATTGTTGTGGACAATTGTGCCATCTGCCGAAACCACATCATGGATCTCTGTACGCACTCCGTTTATCTCGTATCTTCGCTGAATCACACGAATACTTCTCGCAGGCATTGATTGTCAAGCCAACCAAGTTTCCGCCACCAGCGAGGAGTGCAATGCCGCGTGGGGTATCTGCAACGTACGTACAGATTCCGCGGTCTCGAGGCATGTGGGACAGTCGCTGACACAGACAATAACGCAGCATGCGTTCCATTTCCACTGCATCTCACGGTGGCTCAAGACAAGGAACGTCTGTCCCCTCGACAACAGAGAATGGGAGTTGCAGAAGTGGGTGTACCGTCTCCGTGACGGTCAACATTTATTGACTCGTCGTTCCCTAGGTACGGTCGTTAAGATTCTTTTGGGAACATCCGCTACCGTACTGTATTGCAGTACATTACAGTGCGTAGTGTCCTGTGCGCAATTGCGCAGCGACTGTGAAGGCAACTCGTCGGCATTTTCTAGAGCTCCAATGTACTATTACGGTGTAACAATTGTTTTCTCCCCCTGATGAGTATACCACGACCCATTCTGCGGTGCCCCTGTTCTCAAAGCTGTGCAATCGATCTACTCTTGTTCTCGCTGGATACCATTCACTTTTCCATCGGTGCAGAGTCGATATCGCTAACTGTTCTTCCATAGGTCGAATGACTACGGCGGTCCACGTCCAGCAGTCATTCCCATGAAAATCGTGGATGTTATTCGTGAGTGCGAATACAATGTGTGATGCGGTAATGTTACAATGAGCGTAGTATGTGTATCGTAAGAGGAGTAATACTCGAATGTCGAATGTAACAGTACCTGGAGTTCGCTATCAGATATCAAATAACCCATGCAAGACAGTGGACACAGAGAGAGATGCGGGATCGGATGGAAATGTTCAATGCTACAGCTGGGGTGAAAGAACGAAAGGCGGCGAACGAAGAAAAACGAAATACAGATCACCAAGCAACGATCACTCGCCGTTCCACTCGCCGCCACTCGCGAGTTGTGCAAAGACACCATGCCGCTCCATGAGCGACTCGTAGGTGCCTTGCTCCGCGATGGCGCCGTCGTGCACGACAAGGATACGATCGCACATGCGCATCATCTGCAGCTTGTGCGTTACAACGAGTGTTGTCCGCCCGAGCATCGCGTGCCGGAGCGTGTCCATCACCGCAGCTTGATTTAAAGCGTCCAGCGCAGAAGTGCACTCGTCCAAAATGAGAATACGCGCGGGGCGCGCCAGCGCCCGCGCAATCTGCAGCCGCTGCGCTTGCCCGCCAGAGATAAGGGACGCATTCTCGCCGACGAGAGTGTCGTACCCTTTTGGAAGGGACTCAATAAATTCATGCACGTTTGCAGCCTGTGCAGCGCGTCGTATGTCCTCAGCGGTGAGCGTCGAGGTACCGTATGAAATGTTCTGAGATATTGTGGTGTCGAAGAGATTAGGGTTCTGGCTCACGACGGCAACGTGGTCCCGAAGATGATGTACATCCGTTGAGCGCAGTTCTTGCTGGCCGACGGTTATCCTGCCCGAGGTGGGCTCATAGAGACGCTGGAGGAGGGCAGTGATGGTCGATTTCCCGGATCCCGAAGAGCCGACGATAGCGATACACTCGCCGTCCGCAATCTCCACATTCAAATTCTTCAAGACGGGAACGTCTGGTCGCTCAGGATAGGAGAAGGAAACCTTCTCAAAGTTCAAAGCGCCACGGACATCTGGCCGGAGGGATCCGCGTGCTTCATCGGTGTACATGGAGAGCTTGAGCAGGGTATTGAAGTCGCGAGTGGCATGGACAGACTTCGCGATTCGTTGTGCTGCAATGTATAGATTAGATCAGCATTTACAGACGACACAGGAAAAAGAGATACGCACTGAACGCCATGAGCTGCGAACCAATGGAGACAGAAAACACGACCAAGTTCAGCACTTGAACCATCCGCAAGTAATCGTATGTGCCATTGGAGATGAGAACAGCACCAACGTAGAACAATAGCGCTTCCGCGAGATAGATCAGGCCACTGGCAACGCCGTACGTGCAGCCCTCCACAAAAGCGCCTCGCACTCCCGTTGTAAGAGCATTATCAGCAGCCTTGTCGAATTTCTGCTGAAAAGCGCCCTCGAAGCCCATAGCACGAATCGAACGAACGTTTGAAATCGCCTGCATAAGAAGTCAGCAATGCAACGCCGTGACAATCCATGAAGACAACTTACGTCGTAGTACCCCTTGGCAACCTCCTCGCGCGCACGCTTGTTTCTCGTCTCGCAGGCGGCGACCAAGTTAGTCTGCACGGCCATGGAGATGCCGAACACCGGTGCAATTGCAAAGCCAACAAGCGTAAGTTGCCATCCGCGGACGAGCGCCCAGGTTAGGCCGACACCGAGCATCGCGCACACGACTATGGACTGGGCAAGCACCGTCGCGATCAGCGAACGCGAATCGTCGCCGTCCTTGATGAGAATCTGCACTATGCGCGAGGGACTGTTCTCGCTCTTGTCAAACCACTTCTTGTCCTGTGAGAACACGCGCGCTATGCAGACTTTGCGAATGCGCGTAACCCAGCTCATCGCGGCGACCTCCATAATGGCGTATTTGAGACCAATGAATAGCCCATCCACGGCAGCTACAGCGAGGACGATGCCACCGTACATGTTGATAGTCGAAACGTCCCGCGCACCGATGGAGACTTCGAAAAGGAGACGAGAAAGAAGATACGAGAATATGGGAGTCATAGCCCCGCTGGCAAGGCAAATGAGGACACCGAAGGCAATGAGAGGTTTATGAGGCAAGGTGGGGTAGACGTCGCGGATCAGGTTCCAGAAAGACTGCACTTTTGGCGAGCCTTCTTTAGACTCGGTTGGCTCAGCCGCCACCTCCACAGCAGTCAGCTTCGCCAAGCTCTTCTCGTCCCACTGTGCTCGGACCCGCTTCGCGGGTGGCTTCATGGTAGACATATCTAGTCGCTTACGAGTCGACATGGACGCGCTCTTCTCCACAGCGAGCTTCTCGAATTCAAACTCGTCATCGTCCACGATGGTGGAGAAAAAAGAGCTGGATGAATGGCTCGCCGAGTAGAGTGTCGGAGATGTGGGAGTAAACTGCAGACTGTACCGGTGGCTAAAGGCAGTCGAAGCAACAGGCGAAGGCAGGACGGGAATGTCGATATGCAGGGTCTGTCTACGCGCCTGCTTGCTGACATCGACTGGTGACTCTTCTAGGCACGTCTCGAGAGGGACAAACCGGCTTTGGGTGCGAGTCTCGTGGCCGGAGACTACCGCCGGGGACGACTCGCTGGCTGGCCTGGTAAGGTCCGCGACGACGTCGAACATCCAGTTGCTCATCGTTAGCGGACGGTATGTTGAGTGCGCGATGCTCTGGTGCTTCAGTGCACGCGTGCTGCCCGTGACAGCCTCAAGCTCCTCCTGCTTCTCCGCGTCCTGTTGCTCAAGGATTGCTTCGACCGGGATTGGCACCGGCGCCTCCTCAAGCTTCTCTGGGAAACCACCAGTTGCACCCTGAGTCATGAGCATCTGGGAGAACTCGCCGGGGAAAGACTCGAGTTTATTGCGGTATCCCTGCTCAACAACGGTACCGTCTTTGAGCAAGTATACGAAATCTTCCAAATCGATTTGAGAGAGATCATGTGTAATCACAATTGTAGTCATGTTCTGGCGCCATAGCTTGATGGCTTCGAATACCAAAATGCGCGACGTCGCGTCCAGCGCGGACGTGGCTTCGTCTGTGAAATCCACCCCACAGTTCAGTGGCTATTTGATTAAAAAAATACAAGTAAAACTCACCGAGAATCAGTACAGTAGGGTTACGCAATAGCGCACGGGCAATGGCCAAGCGCTGCTTCTGGCCGCCAGATAGATTGGCACCACCGGTTCCAAGCTGAGTGTCGTACCCGTCCGGCAAGTCCCTGATGAAGTCATGCATGAGCGCCGCACGGCACACACTAATGACTTCCTCGCGCGTGACGTCTTTAGGCCGCCTTTGGCTTCCTGGGCTCACGAGTCCAATTGCAACGTTGTCGTGCACGCTCATGTCAAAGAGAATGCAGCCCTGAGACACCGCAGCAACGTGCTCGCGCGTCCAGTCCTTGTCAAGGTATGCGAGGTCCTGGTCGTCCAGCCGGATGGTGCCTTCCTGAGGGTGGTACATCTGCAGGAGCAGCTGTGCGACCGTAGACTTTCCGGAACCTGAGCCCCCGACGATGAAGGACATCTCATTGGATGGGAGCCAGAGCGTGAGGTCCTGGAGTACGGGCATGGTAGGACGCGAAGGGTACGCAAAAGTGATGCCGTCTACGTCGAATCCGCCTCTGCAGCTCTTGGGGATGATCTTGCGCAGGTCGGTCTGCTTCCGCGGGAACCTCTGTTTCGACTGAGAGTGAAGCGTGCATGTCGAGTGTCCCCGAGATGGAGCGGCGGCTGATTCGACAAGCGTAAGCAATGATGCCATCGCAAACTTGCCTTTGGTGACCACAATCAATTGCGGGATGCACATCTGTAGGTTGCTGGTCGCAATGAGACATGCCCAGAATACCGACATGACCGCGCCTGCGCTGATGGTGCCCTCGCGCACGAGCTTCGAGCCGAACCAGAAGCCTTGCACGAACATCGCCATCATTACGAACTGTCCAAGACTGGACGTGATGCCCCACACGGTGATCACCCGGTTCGCAGCTTTGCGCATGTCGTCGAGCACGACCCCGAGCGTGGACTGTTCGTACGTCTCCGCGTTGAAAGCCTTCACCGTCGCAATCGCAGCGATCGCCCGGTCGACCAGCGTCGCCGCGGTGGCCGTCTTTGCGCGTTCCACGGTAAGATGAGCCCCGGCGAAATTTTGTGACAAGGCCTGGATAAACATCAAGACAGGCACCGCAGAGAGGATGATGAGCGTGAGCGACCAGGACTTGGTGAACGCGAGGATCAAGCACGTCACGCATGTCGTCAAATACTGGACGATCATACCCGACGCGAGCGACGAAGCCGCGCGCACATCGTCAGTTTCTCTGACCGAACGTGAGTATACTCATCATTGTACAGAGCACCGAACGTACCTCGCAAATTTAGCCATCAGACCGCCAGCACCAAGTGGGCCATCGCTTTCGACGGCTTGTACAGAGTGCTCTGCACCCATCTTCGTGTCGAACCAGACCATGTCCTTACGTGTGACCGCGCCGTACACCCTTTTGCGTATGGCCATCAGGTTGCGCTCCCCCGTCCATATCCACAAGCTGGACGTCGCGCTGCTCAGCGTGAAAGCGCCGAGCGCAAGCCCTACCAGTTCAATTGCCGAGAGGCCGACCGAGTGCAAGAGCTCGTGCTTGGCCGCTTCAGACGGGTCGGAGACGGGGAATTTTGCGAACGCGTCAAACGCTTCGCCAATCACATAGGTCATGAACGGCGCTACACCGCCCGCACACATCGACGTGCATATTGCTGGGAGGATGAGAAGGAGGAAGTCGCGCGTCGGTACGAGAGAAAACAGAAGACGAATAGATGGTTTAGGGGAAGAAGGTTGCGCAGATGTGGTCGGCTCTGGCGGTGAGTTGTTGATAGTGGACGTCGACGTAGCAGATTGGGGAAGAGTGTAGGTAGATGAGTCTGCCATCGTCTTTGTCGTTGCAGGCATCGCGGTGGTGTCGACAGCGAGGTCCGCCGGAGGACGCATCACTGGAGAAGTGAGGGGATCGTGGAAGAAGGGAGAAGGTAGGTATCCTGAGGTGCATAGAGGGGGCCATGGCTTTTGTCAATTGTCTTTGTGCTCGCGCGTGCTGGAGCAGGAGAGACAATTGAGAGCTTAGCGCCCGGGACCGTTGATTGTCTTGCCCGGCGCCTATCGTGCGCAGACAATAAACGTAGCCAAGCGCCTGCCTCTTCAGGAAGGAGCTTCCAGCTCGTTGACACGGCGTAAAGACAATTGAAGGCGCGCAGTCAATGGAGACAGACATACGGAGACTCTCAGGTTTTGAAACGGCGAGTCACAACCGCCAGGCAAAGCATGTGGGAACCAAACGTTGCCGGTGAGCTGTCCGACGTGATACAATAAGGTTTCACTGTCTGCGTTAATGTGAGCTGCTCGGAGGATATTGTCCCCTAAATAGCCATGACTCGGGGCACACGGGTGGCACAGGGAAGTGAACAACTGTTAAATGCACGGACCGTACGCTCAAGTGGACCAACAATAAGACGTCACCTATTTCCATATCAGGAAAGTAGGAACTGCGGGGAACTCGAACCTCGAGGAGACAATGCGCTGTGAGACCGATAAGTTGGCAGGCGACAACGATGAACAACACACCGTGAAAGCTTGGGCGAGTCTAAGTACCAAGAAACATCCCGCGGGAAAATAAACCCCTCTTCCCCCGGAACTGCTGGAATCCCTGACATTGCTCGCCGTGTCGCACAGGCGGACCGCGTTGGATCGGAAAATAAAATAACCAACACTGATAGGCGAGCTCTCTCACTCTCCGCGTGTTCGGAGAGGTGCAGTCCTTGGCCGCGAGGCCGGCGTGGGCTTTCGAAACCTGCTTGTTTGATGTCCGACTTACGGCCTGATTTTTTGCGGGGCCTATAGTTTTGCGGAGCAATCGGAGCCTTGCGTTGCCTACGTCGTGTTCTACAGCGACTTCGAGCACTCCTCCTACGCATTTGTCGGGAGCTCCGCCTGAACGCTTCCGTCCAGCTGCTGTTCCGGGATACCGACGACGGAGAGAGGGGCGTGGAGGTGCTCTGCGACAGAGTGGTCAACTTGTCGGACGATTGCCTGGATACCCACCTTCAAGAGAACTATGGAGGCAAGCTCCTGCGTGTCGTCGATTGCCCGGAGCAACAGCGGGATATCGAGATGCATTGGGTCACGGATATGCCGAAGGTGAACTCCATCGAGAGCCCGTACATCGCGTACGGTAACGATGCCAGTGCTGCTCATACTGACATGTATCTGTGTCTCATCGTTGAATTCGGAAAGGCTGGCAACCTTGAGACGGCGGAGTAGACCACGTGGGAGGTCACAGATTGCGTGCGCCTTCGTTGAGCTCGACCCGGCGGATCCAGGAGACCGCTGTCAAACGTTGACAAGTGAGCGTCTTGGATTTTTAAGAGCTATCACCAAATGACCAAACGCGGTGGGGTTTCTGAATAGACTAATCCCTCACTTCTCCGCGAGCGGCGAAAGAGGATAGAGGGAAGAGGAGGGAAAGGAGAGGATGCCCTTCTGAGACGAGACGAGCATCTTATATACCGGACGGCTCCCCCAAATTTTCTGGAATGTCCTCTGCCGATGATTCATCCGTTCCCCAATAGACGATAACAGGGAATTCTATGACGTAGGGGCCCTAAGTGGTGCTGGAGCGCAGGTCTGAAAGGGGAAGGTCACTTACCAAATAAAGCAGGACATCAAGACCTAACCATGACATAGGGTTATACAAGCGCCGGAGGACACTGAACGATTATTGAAAATGTGGCGAAGATACAGAACATGCGTACACTTGTCACGGACAAACTAGTATATACAGCATAGTAACATAACCAAATCACACAACAGGCATGAATGAACAGTCCATAGCACGTTGCAAGTACGATAATCGTAAGAGGGAGTGAAATAAGCAAGAAACCGCACAGCAGGGCTCGCCAGGTCAGATCGTACTAATAAAAATACAATCGAATGTGTCATCTCAGTCGTCAATTCATTCCTGGTGTAGTGAGTCGCGTGGCGATCGTGGGCCGAACAATCCAGGACTTGATTCAGGAGGCGCGAGCAGAGTAGGCTCCACAGTCGGAGGCGTTGGAACAAAGTGAGGATCAGCTGTCATTAACACCGACAGAACATCAGCATCAAGACAACGAATCAAAATCAAAAGACATAACTCACGTTGCCAAGTCGCCCAAGACGAGACGGGCGGTCGGACTTCCTGGGGGGGAGCCTCAGGAGGCGCCGCAGCAGCGGGCTGGTTACGGCGGGATCGGCGAGGTCCGCGGTGCGTCACGCTGCGCCAAGCAGGACGAGCTGGGATAGGTTCCTCGGGAGGAGGTGGAGGAGGGGCTTCAGGTGGTGGCGCACCTCCACCTGCACCGTCGCCAGCACATGGACCGGTCGTAGGTCTCCTGTAAAACAAAACTACTCAGTAAGCAATTATATTGACAACCTCGACAATGCACAGCTGACCAGTTGGGATCAAACTCGCCACCGGGACCGTACTTGGACTTCATCGTAAGGAGGCAACCGAGTTCACTGGAAGGGTACATAAGCAAGGATAGCAACAATTGAACGGAGAGGGGAAACCTACAACTGCAGGTTTCTCTTCTCTTCGCGCAATTTTCCGACTTCGCCGAGGAGCATGCGGACCTCAGCCGCAAGCGACTTGCTGAACTCATCGAGGTACTGGTAGGCAACAGAGACAGTGAGCAGAGGCGATGCAAGATCTCGATGAACTCACGGTTTGTATATTGAATGGTATTCGTTCCTGAGCAGTGGCTCTGACAGCCTCCATGGTCATCTCATGATAATGAGCACAATCTGCACGCCAACCTGCAAATCGAATGTCCATCAGAGAAGATCCCAATATTTTGGAGACAGAAAGCATACTTTCGGACATGCTGGTCATTTGTTCCCGCTGAGCGGCAGCCAAGGTATCGATCGCTTCCATGATTTCTTCCTTAGCTGAAGAAACGTCAGAGAGGCACAGTTATGCAACAACGTGGAGTCCTTACTCCGTCTGCGATCTTCGGTATCAGCCTCCCTTCTTTCTGCCTTCTCTGCCTTGCAAGCTTCCCTGTCTGCGATGACTTGCTCCACCATTTCCCGCAATTGGGCAGACTTTGCGTCCTTCTCCTCCTTCCATGCTAGTTTCTCTGTCCACCGCTGATCAGACACCTCGCTCTTCCGAGCCACTTCATCCCGCGTCTCAGATGCGATGTTGGTGACATCCGCCATCTGATTCCTTAACGCGTCCACCTGTTCACGGAAATCCGCCCGATCGCGCTCTCGTCCTTCACTCTCCTCTGTCAGCCTCAACTGTCGCTCGTTCGCGAGTTCTGCTTTGACCGAAGCGAGTTCCTCTTCCAAAGCACGGATCCTGGCCTGCTGTTCCTCCATCTGACGCGCATGCTCGGCGTCCTTCTCGGCCTGCACACGCTCACGTTCCGCCTGCGCCATCTCGCGTTCGTGCGCCTGCTCTTCACGCTCCATGCGCACCGTGTCCAGAATCTCTTGGGCGTGGCGTGTTGCAGCATCCTGGACGGAGCGGACGGATTCAATGACGGACTGAGTCTCCGCAGCCATTGGAGCACCTTCCTCCAAAACGGGTACCTCAGCTTCCGTCTCGGGTCTCGGTCCTCCAGGAGGAGGCACAGGTATCGGTGGTGCTCCGGCACCAGGAGCCACAGCTGCCAAACGGTCTTCAATTCGGTCTTCAAGGTCGCGCAAGATTTCGTCGCGGCGTTGCAGAGCTTCTTGGTCTCGTCGATTCTCATTCTCAGCGAAGAGACGATCTCTTTCATCCTCGTTTTCCCTGAAACTGTGGTCTCTTCTCTCCTCACCTTCTCGCAAGGCATCAATAGTACCAGTAAGCTGTTGCTCGAGTTCTCCAAACCGTTCCTGACGTTCACGTTCTGCGTCTGCGAATCCAAGGTCTTCTGGACCGGACAGTCTACGGGGCTGAATTTCCATAGCAGTACGGGGTGGTGACGCATATGGTGCCCTCACTACAGGTTCCGCCACAGGCAGCCCCCGAAGGGCATGTTCTTCAGGAAGATAAGGCTCTTCGGCTTCTTCCGGTGGTGCCACAGCGACACTAGGAACACCAGCCCGAGGGCGCGAGGCTGTAGGCACACGCTCCACTGGATGAATAACACCGGGAATATGAGGGATGTCTTCTTCCTCTTCTTCCACAGGTGGAGCGATCGGCTCGGTACGAGCAGTGCGAGCAGTTCGCTGAGTCGGCGCACGTGTAACTTGAGACATGGTTAGCAGAAAAGACTTGTAATGAGACAAAAGTACATACTGCCTGGAGTCGGCCGGTCTGCCTCTTCGTAAACTAAACGCCGTGCAGAAACTTGAGAGATAATGGTGTTAAAACTGAGCGTACAAAGACTTCAATGAAAGCTACTGTACCATCACTAGGAGTCCGAGAAGCCTCTACGTGGTGTTCATCTGACAGACAATCAACACGATGGAGCCAATGCCATATAAGAGACTTACCTTCCGGGGTAGCTCGGCTATACCTCCGTAGAGTTACTGCGGACTAATGAGCACTTCTACGATATAACTGCCAAGTAGCACGCACCTTCACTAGGCCGTCTACGAGATCGGACTTGGACTACATGAGGCACAGGTTCAGTGGGTGATTGCGCTTGAATACGTTCGGGTTCGTCGACATGAATCACAGTTGGACCTGGAGAGCCCCTGCGCGATTCTCGACGACCTGTACCGGTGCGAATGATAGTAGGCGCTCGACGAGACGGAGAGCGGACAACGCGAGGGGGTGAACTTGAGGGTTCCCGCTCACTTGGTGAAATACGGTGAGGTTCACCTTCGCGTTCAGCGCGCGGTGGTCGAGGACGGCGGGGATCTCGTTCCGGTGAGTAAGGCGAGCGGTCACGTTCATGTTCTTGTTCCGAGCGCGGTATACCGTACCGAGATCTACGCGAAGGTCTTCGACCCTCGTCATATTCTCCAGGAGATGGGGCTCTGCGCGAAGGTCTTCGACCCTCTTCATATTCTCCAGGAGATGGGGTTCTGCGCAAAGGTCTTCGGCCTTCGTCATATTCTCCAGGAGCTCTGCGTGAAGTCGGCACTCGGACGATCATAGGTTCCTCACTACGCACTAGTGTTGGAGAACGAGAGCGATGGCGGGCACCCTCGATTATGATGGGTGGTGATCTCCGGACATCACCAGGGAGTCGAATGGTGGGGGACCTTGACCCGTGGCGCACTACTATGGGAGGCGACCTCGAGGCTCGTCTGGGAGAATATTCTTCTCTCATTGTGGGACGCGATCGTCGATGCAGGACGGTTGGTGATGGGGAGCGTCTGTGAGGATCGCCTTCTACAACGCCGGTCGGTGAGCGAGGTCTACGCCGCCGACCATCTCTGTCTATGCTGGGAGAACGACCCCTGTCAGAGTGGAGTATAATAGGACTGGGTGATCTTGATCGCGATCGAGGCCTCTGCACGATAACAGGACCACTGGGAGGAACAGGGTACGGCATTTGCATCTGTCCTCCAGGATATGGGCCCATTGGAGGCGGCTGTACAACGACGGGAAGTCCGGGAGTCGGCGATCTTGAACGAGAGCGATGCGTGCGACGGTAGCTGACCCGAGATGGTGACCGTTCTGGGGAATGTGTGCGAACTACAATCGTGGCAGGCTCTTCCCTTTGAGGCACGGGAGACCTTGGTGGTCGAGTCGAAGCGGGCCGCCTTTCCACAACTTGGGGGACGCTAGGCGGAAGTGGTTGAACGATAACTGGAGGAAGCACAGGAGGAGCAGTAGGAGCAGTAGGAGCAGGTGGCAGAGCTGGAAGAGCCTCAAGCGGCTGACTGCGGGGAGCATCAGGGTGTCGAGGTGTACCAGCCCGAGGTTCCGTAGCCGAAGCTGGAACGTGGACCACTTCAGGCGGAGGTGATTGTCTCGGAACCTCATAGTCACTGTATTCCTCAGAAGGACGTGACCGTATAGAAGGTGTTCGCGACGGAGGCATGCGCATTACGGTGGGCTCGACCATGGGTATGGGTATAGGTTGAGGGGGAACAATCGTGACAGGCGGTCCCTGGGGACCTTGTGGCATTTGGGGGGGAGGGATGATGGTGATTCGTGGAGGAGCGTCCTCCTCACTCCCTTCGCTCGAGTAAGGGGATCTCGGAACAACACCCTCTGTTTCATCTGGAGCAACAGGCTGGTACACATAAGTTTGCTGCGGCTGTTGTAGTTGTTGGGGTTGCGGGTACAAATTTGGATCAGGAACGACGGGAATACCTTGTGCTTGTTGAAGATAAGACTGCCGAGGTATGACAGGGGAGAAATCTGGAGTCGGCGTCCTGACATCAGGGTAGGGCGTTCTACGAAACTCAGGCTGAGGTTGAACGTGAACAGTTTGTGGCACAAATCCTTCCGGCAGGACTTGGTGAGGCACAACGCCAGTCATCTGAACTCCAGGTGTGAGTACAGGAGGCGGCGGAACAATCCCGCCAGCGGGTACAGATACTGCCACTGAAGTTCCCTGAGCACCACTATATCAACCAATGCAAGAAGTAAACAACTCACTCTGAGGCTGCCTAACAGGAAGTGCACGGTCCATGTGATCGCCAAGTTCGCGTAACCGCGCATGTACTGACCGTATCTCCCGTTGACGGTCGAGGACGTCTTGCGATAACCAACGATTTAAGTCGGTCAAATATCGCACTATCTCTTGCCCCTGATCAATAGAAGCCGCTGTAGCATCCTGGTTGTTCTGGATAGAAGGACATAAGCCTCAAATAACAGGTTTCAACTCAAGATGCTTACCCGCAAAACTGTCATTAACTCATTCCATGTCGGAGGCAGTTGGAGTACAGTCTAGAAGAGGAGGTGTCTTCTCGAGCGAAAACAATAAGAAGCACAGTAACATACCGGTGCAGGGACAAAGGCAGATGGCACTCCTGCCGATCCTGGTACACCAGTGAAAACACCAGGGGGCGGAACTACCGGAGCGCTAGGACGGCGTCGGGAGTCATCACCACCTAGATCTGGTGGGGCAGTGGGTGGTCTAACACGGCCCTATTCCAGAACAATCTATGTAAGTCTGGATATAATCAGTGTCGCACAAAACTCACGGGTGGACCAGTGTACCATCCATCTGAGAGATCCGGACGACGAGCCGCACGATCACGAAGAACCCTGTCCAAAAAATCAATATCGCTTGGAGGACGAGGTTGACGACCTCCTTCCGGTCCAGCACGGCCTGTTGGTACGACCGGAGGAGGAGGATATTGTCCTTCTCCCTCAGCTTCAGAGGGCGGAGGACCGAATTGCGGTGGCCGCGCTGCACGACGTCGATGTGGTTGGAAAGGAGCACGAGGTGGTACAGGTTGTGGGATAGGTACAGTACCAGGACGTCGAGGAAGATCCGCCTCGAAGACCGGGCTGGAACTCCGAGGACGAGATGTCCTGGGTCCCGGGCGGTACCTTAGAGGAACCAAGGGAGGTGGTTCTTGCACCGGGGGCTGTGGAGGGGGAGGACCGGCTGCCATTAATTCCGCAAGTTGCTCGTCGAATGAAGGCCCAGCACGACGAGGTACGGGGGCTACTACAGGTGGAGCCTCTATGCTGCCTCTATCGCCCTGCGCCCTAGCTCGAGCTAGGTGCTCCAGCAGCGATTCATCCGAGGGATAAACAGACTCCGAAACGTCATCGCGAGGAGGGGGTCGCTGTGCTTGCTGAGCCAGATCAACTAGGCGTTGAAGAGTTTCTTCCATTCTACGAATCTTGTCACAGCAATCTTGCCAACGCTGTTCCATTGGTCTGTTGCGTAATTCATCTAATCCACGATTAGTAGCATCTTGTCCATGCGACAGACCTTCAACTTGATCTCGGATGCCTTCCAGCATATCCCTGAGTTGACCAAGGTTGAGAGCAGGTACGGGTCGAGCGGTGCCGCTGGATGATGATGACGGAGATGGAGACGATGGAGGCGGCGTAGGAGATGAGGGCGGCGGTGTCGCAGATGAAGCCAACGGTATTGGAGCAGGGAACGCTTCTGGTACAGGCTCGCTAACATCGGACGAATACGCTAACGAAGACCGAGGTCTCACTGACACCGATGATGAACGTGGTGATGATTCTGGGGAGGGACTGGAATCAGACGGCCAGGACGGTGAGGGGATGCGCACCGGATACGTCTCCGACTCGAGAAGACTAAGATCGTCGGAATGATGAGATGATAGGAAGGACAAAACATCGCTCTCAGATGACTCTGGGGACGAAATCCTCACAGGGTCTTCCGGTACAATTGTGGCCCTCACACCGACTCGGGAGAGATCTCGTGGTCCTGCTGGACCTGGTCGTGGAGCAGACACGACTATGCTTGGGCTAGCTGCCGAGGGCGGAGGAGGGACCACACTGCCTTCGACTGACGAACGAGGAAAAGAAATAATGCTACTCCCTCCTACTGATCTATCCTTGTGAGGAACTGGGGGAGGGGTCACCGAAGGAGGACAAACTTGATGAAGGTAGTCGGCGAGGTCTGCCACGTCCTCCCTGAGTTGTTGGACATTGTCCGCTAACTCTCTGCTCTCCTCTCCTTTAACTGCGTCAGCATCATGCAAATATTGCAACAAACGGTTAACGTCGTGGGTCAGAATCGTGCTCGGAGCCTCGGACGGAATCGTCTCTATGGTCGACATCACAGAAGGCACCTCGCGGCGGGGGGTACTCAGGCTCACACTCATCGTAACGGACGGCGGCGAAGGCGAAGGCGGCAGGGGTATTCCACGTGGCGACACCTGAGAAAAAGGTCAGCCAAAAGTGCAAAGCAAAGGCGAGATTACATACCGCTCTCATTGGGACCGGTGATGGAGAGCGAGCTGTAGAAAGGAGAGATGGCTCCGTTGAAGGCGCGATAACGGAGGGCTCCACAATGGACGGTACCTCCAAGAGTGATCGGGCATCAAATATCGAAGAACTCATGGAGATCGACGACACGGAGGAAGGGGAACGTGAAAGGGTCATGGGTGATTCAGCGGATATCGGAGTGGGCGATGGGATACTCGGAGAAAGTGATGCACTAGCCGGTGTGGGGGTCAACGACGGCGACGGCGACGAGGGTATAGACACGCCAGACGCCGACGACTCGGTACTTATCTCTGTTATGGGTGTGAGAAGAGTAAACCCTTGAGAAGACGAGACTGATCCGCTTGGTCGCAAGAAGGACGTTTCGAACGAGGTATCAAGACCCTCAGGGAGAGCAAGCGATTGCACTGAAGGCGACGCGTTAAGCATAGACGACTCGTACGACGAGTCTGATTCGGCTCCCCAACGAGAGTCGGGAATTGCGGGGCTGGATGGTGTTGGCGGCTGCTCGATCGTGGACGGAACCGTAGGTGTGAGCATACTTGAGGGTGTAGGTGTCACAGAAGACTCCGTAGGGCTCGTCACAGTCGACAGAGAAATGCTGACATGAGGTGGCAACTCCCACGGAGGAATCGGAGAGGGGAAAGGAATGGACTCAGTGGAAGACAGTAGTTCATCACTTGGGACTTCAGTGGAAGGAGTAGGGACAGGTGAAGCTGTGGGGGTTTCAGGTTCCGCTTCCAACAACTCTCTCGAAACTACGGAGGGGCTGTATGCTGACGGTGGAAGAGGGACATCCTCCGGGCGCGGCGTCAACCCCCGCTCTAGCGGGTGAAACCCTTCCTCCTCTCCTACCTGCTCTTCAGCGACGCTTCCCGGTATCGTTGGAATCTCCGAAGGGGGTACATCCACACTGATGACGTCCGCGTCACGCTGTAGGCACCTGCACTCCGCTGTATCGTACTCGGTAGAAGCCTCCGTCGGGCAGACCTCTGCGGTAATGTATTCGCTCGGGGGCTCGGTGGGACATACTTCGACGGTCTCGTACTCAGATCCGGGCTCCGATGGGCATTTTGGGGCAGTCTCGTAATCGGTTGAACAGACCTCGGCTGTCTCGTACCCCGACTCAGATGGGATCGTGTCCAGCGAAACAAAAGACGGACTTGATGGTGTTTTTGCAGTAACATATTCAGAGGTGGGTGGAGTGCTTTCTGGCACACTTCCCGTTTCCTCTTCCTCAGCTGAACGTGTCTCGGCAGAGCGAGTGTAGTACGACGACGGCGTTGGTGTGTAAGTTCCCGTCGGAGTGTACGAATCACTTGTCGTATATGTTCCGCTCGGCGTGAAGGTTCCCGTCCTGGTATACGTCTCCAGTGTGCTGAGGCCCTCCGTGACCGATCGGCTCTCGTACGAAGTGTGCGAGTCGGAATTTTCCTTGTCAGAAGACTCTTCTCCGCTGCCCAAGTAAGAGGTCGAATATGACCGCGCGCCATTGCCAGGTGTCCGCCTCCTCAGCCCCCCCGCTCTCGACAACCCACTGCGCGATGGTGACGTATAGGTGTATGAGCTGGTGGTGTTGCTGTGCGAGTCGTGAGAGTCGCCCAGCATCGAGTTCGACGATGGCCCTCTCAGAGATAGCGTCGACGGGACGATGTTCGTGCCAGAACCCGAAACAACGTCAAGCGTAGTTTCGTCGGTAACTAAACCTGTGGTGGTCCTACCTTCGGTAGTCGAAAGCATCTTGGTGAAGGACGACGATGAGTAGAAGGTGGACGGCCGCGTAGTTGTCCCGCCCGTCCCGGACTCCGCACTGAAAAACGCCTCATCCGAAGCCGACGTTGCGGTGTCGGAGATGCGACTGCGGGCTCTGTCACTCCCTCTCCCGATACTGCTTGGCGGAGGCGACATGTACACGTCACGGCCAAGTCTTGGCCCACTGGATACCGTCACCGGGGAGCCATCTCCAATAGGGACACCACCCACAAGTCCCAGACCAAATCCAAGGCCTGGGCGGCTTTCACGGGCACGCCTCAAAGCGGAATTGAATTCTTGGTCGAGATCCGTCAAGGAGGTTGTCCTGCGGAGCGAGCTGCTCCTACTAGGTGCTATAACGCGGGGATCACCAGGATATAAATATCCGCGGGTAGATACTGCCCCATCGTCGGTAGCACGGGTGTGATGTGCGGACGCTAAAGACTGTCTGCGCGACAGACCAGTGCGAGTGCTGGACCTCGAAATAGAGCGGACGTCTGAGATGTCCGGGATACTGTCTAGCGGAGGAACGTAGGTGGTCAACATGGACCCTGAGCCCGACTGTGTGCTGCTTGTACTCGTGACAGAGCGCATCGTGCGCACGGAGCCTGTAGGGGAGCGAGTAACTGAACGCTCGGGAATGGAAACAGCTCGCTCCAGCACCTCCCTGCATAATTCCTCGAGTGAGCGGGTATTCGCAGCACAGATATGAGCAGAACTAACCATATCGCGGCAACCCATCTTACTCTCTCTCTAGGGCTCTCAGCACCGAGTCGTTCAATCCCATCACTGTATACCAGTTGGAAAGGACAAAGGATCTCCAGCAGCCCAGGTTCATTGGTCTGTCCACCCGCAGCAATTATCTCTTCAGTTTGCATTCTCGCAGCTATCGTGCCAACATCATCTTCTGTAGTCTGGAGAATCGGAGAAGGCGCGGACTTGACTTCTGTGCAGTTCAGTAAGTCCAGAGTAACAATGCCGCGGCCCCCTCCCGGCGCTATCCACGAGAGGAGTAGCATGTGTGGGTATAAGAGTGCCTGACATCGCTGCCATCTATAGGGTGGAGGTGCGTGCACATTGAGGTACCATAGTAAACCTATCCGGAGAGGCTGGAGGATGCAGACATCAGATTGGCGACGATCAAGGGACCGAGATAAGATGAGATCTGCCAAAAATGCCACTTACCTCTTGAGACTCCGGCGCGTTCGCGTACTGACCTAACTCTGCGATGTCGAATGCTGGGGGAAACAAGTCACTCGTACTCTGAGAATTGCTCCCATTTCCCCCTGCAGCAGCAGCACCGACATCTACTTCAGAGGTATTACTCAATCTTCTGCCGCCTGATAATGATCTCCTGTCCCGCGACCGCACAGATCCCCTCTCGGCACGCCTTCGCAGACTAAACAGCCCCTCACTCTGGGTCGGGGATGGAGAGCCCGCTGAGCGCGCAGGCTTGCTCCCGAGAGATGGTGTGCGCTCCTTCCATGCTGCAACAATGTTCCTCACCGAGGTGAGTGGTGAACGCGGCGACGTCTGCGGTCGACGGAGAGACATCACAGCGGGCGTGTTCAAGCCGGAACTCGTGAATGTACGCGTGAAAGTGTCGGAGTTCGTGATAGTGCCTGAACCCGTGTAAGTGGATGTCCCACTGCGCGTATTGCTTGTCTGCGTCGTGGTCATGGTTGTGGTCATGCGAGACTCGCCCGAAAGCGAGGATGGCACTCGCGGGGGAGGTGAAAGGAGTGAAGACATTGTGGTGATCGGTCCTGACACGGACAACGACGAGCCTGTCCGACTCTTTGTAGGCGAAGAAGGTCGCGAATTATAACCACTGCTGTATCCGCTGCCGTATCCAGTGGTGCCGCTATATCCGTAACTCGTCGTGAACGTAGGCATCGACCGACTCTGTGTCGTCGTCGAATAGGGACTGGGAGAACGCGGACCCATGGGCACCGATGCTGTCCTAGTATGCCCGGGCGTTGGGACGGTCTTGTCCTCAAAAAATGCTATGAGTTCCCCCGCCCGTCTGTTTGTGGTAGCCGGCAGAGCACGAGTTGGCGTGTGGGCTGGCTCCGTGGATGCCCTAACGTGAAAGCTAGGCGAGTCTACTCGCCTATTTCCGTCACTCTCATGCAGCGTGTTAGGCCTGCTACCTCGCGTTTCCCCAGATTGCGCAAAAGACGTCGGTCGCGAGTTGACATTTTCCGTGTGCTCAGAGATCGTACTCAACACTCTCCGGTCGCGATCCATCACTGTGTTTGTCGTGGACGAATAAATGTCCCCAGATATCGCTGATGGAGGGGCTGTGCCTGTATATCCTGTGTAGGATGAATATGTCGAAGGTCCAAGGTCGGACGAACCACGGGACCATTCTGTCAGTGCGTCTTCAGTATTAGCTAGTTCGTTGTCGATCATGCTGAGGGCCATTTCGACCTCGGCGGCATCATCGACGGAGTTGTCGTCAGAGTAGGTATAAGTGTCGGAATCTCTTGATGGCGACGGGGAAACGACGATTCGTTGCATCTGAAGTTCTGAGTCATCACTATCGTATAAAGAAGGGATAGGTGTCACTGTAGGAGACATGTGACTTCTCATCAATGAACAGTGACCAAGTGAAAACTAACGCGAACGGGCAGACGTCGAGAGCCTTGAAGGAGACATAGGTGTTCGGGTAGCGGAGAGTGTGGAGAAAGTAGCAGTACCAAAAACGGGGGACCTTCGCCCTGTGGTGGAGGGTTCTGCAGTCGAGTAGTCTGTCATTTTTGTGAGTTTAAAAGCGCATGGTTCAGTGTTTCGTGTCAGTGTCAATTTGTTGTCAGGTCAGTCAATGAGATTGGTTAGTGAACAAGGAGCCGGAAAATAGTGGTTAGAAGGCTGGACAATCTAGTCGTCAGTGCGGGGTTAGTCGTTCGCTCCCAGATATGCTGCACAGTGGTGACGAAGGAGTTAGCAAGCCCTGCCAAGTCGCAGTCTTGGACTCAATTCCGAGGGATGTCGATCAACAAACATGTTCAGGGCAGGCTCTGACGCGACCGCGTCTCACCACGTGATCCAGTCCTCCTTGGCATCGTAGATTCCGAGAGCGGTCGCTTCAAGCGCTCCGATGGGCACGGTGTAAGAACAGAACGTACGTTTCATCTAAACTGCATCCTCTAAGTATTCGGCTGCATAGGAGGAGGACAACACGAGCCGAAGATATATATTTGCATTGCAGCCTGACGCGCTCGCGTCATTCGCGACTTGCTTCCAATGTCAGGTAGCCTGCATAACCACAGAGACTCACCACCTCAATATTAATGAGTGTGATTGACATCATTGAGCTTCGAAGACTGTGCGGACTCAACGTACATCTGCGGACAAAATCAGAACAAATGTGGATGTGCTGCTACCGTTTGTCAGTGATTATAAGGACTATCGTGCATTCAATTTTCAAACCGCGTGGGGGTTGAGGTACTTTCGCATCGGTTTTGCACTATGACATTAACCGCCCAGAAATTCGTCCGCGCCCGTCTCGACAGCATGGACAAAGAAAGCGGGCAAGAAATAGCGAAGATGAGCATCCGAAGGTGGCTATAATATTGATTTTCGGGCTCCGATTGGAGCGCTGAGGGTATGACGTATGTGGACTCTAAATATTGTGGCCGGACAAAGTGGTCATGGACGCAAAGGGAAGGTGACTTGCCCGGAATGGTACTGTCGTGTGAGGTATTTTACAACATCCAATAAACAGTTAAAAATCTAAAAAGCGTCAGTAAATCCACACAAAAAGTAGTTATGCCCGTCTGCAGACAGGTGACGTCACATGTGTCACTCAAGTGGGTTGACGAGACGTCATGTCCAAGACCGTCGGCATAATTCCTGAATACGTCGCGATCCCCTGCCCTCAATCTCATGCAGACAAGCTATATAAGACTCACATCTGCGTAGATCGACAGAGTTTACTTCTTGCCCCTTCTCCCACTCATCGCAGAAACAGACACCGTCGACAGCGGACAACATGGCTTCCAAAATCGCGAAGGCATTCACCATCAGCTTTGAAGGTGTTTCCATCTGCTGTCCGTTTCCCCGAGCTCGATGATGACCACTACCAGGCAAATGCATCATTGTAACGGGAGGCAACCGAGGAATTGGGCGAGCGATCTCTGAGGCATGCACTAGCGCCGGCGCGCGTATCGCCGTAATCTATCGAAGCTCCAAGGATGCCGTCGAAGTCGCCAAGAAGATCGGGAAGGAGTACGGAGTGGAGTGCAAGGTATGCGTTCTGTTGAGACAGGTCAAAAGTCTGCTACAAATTGATCTGTTCTATAGGCCTACCAGTGCGACGTCGCCGACGCCGAACTCGTCACCAAGACCTTCAAGCAGATCAACTCCGAGATGGGGCCCGTGACAGGACTGGTCGCAGTGCGTGCATCGCAGCCACTGTACTAGGAAGCCCTCAGAACTAAACTCCATCCAGAACGCGGGAGTTTCGGTCGTCAAGCCCGCACTAGAGTTGACGAAAGAAGATTTCGACAAGGTGTACACGGTGAATGTCCTCGGAGTGTTCAACGCCGCACGCGCCGCTGCCCAGCTGTGGGTAGATAGTGAGACGAAAGGTGGTTCCATCGTCATCACAGCCAGTATGAGCTCCCAGATCATCAATCAGGTGGGGACGGCAAAGCCTCTCACTCAGGTGAGTATCCGCAGTGCATTCTGCCAATGATCACCATCCGCTGACTCCAGAATAGGTCTTCTACAACTCGTCGAAGGCGGCTGTTTCCAACCTTACGAAAGGTCTTGCCGCAGAGTGGGCGCAATACGGAATTCGCGTGAATGCCTTGTCGCCAGGATATGGCAAGTCCTATGTTGCACCCTGATTTTCCCGTAGCTCATGCGCTTATTTCACGCAGTGGAGACCGACCAGACTTCCGGAATGGAGAAATCCCTGAGGGATTACCAGGCGTCGCACCTACCTCTCGGCCGCTTCTCGCAGCCCCATGAGATGTCGGCCCAGGCGCTGCTCCTCCTCTCGGAACACGCAAGCTATATGACTGGCCAGGAGTACTTCGTAGACGGGTAGGTGACGGTGCCTGTTCTCAGCCTGAATCAGTGACTGACGCCTGCGGTCGCAGTGGCCAGCTGGTCTATTAGAATGGCTGGCAATGCCTTCGAATATGGGCCCTTGCGCTCTCGTATGATTAGGAAAGATGTAGACCTGTTGCATGCCTGTCACTGTTGACAATTGTCGTTAGTACTGCATTATTCAAACGAATCAAGTACCTGCTGAGTGGTTCCCAAGCCGATTCAAATCTGTGTACTAGTAGCTGTCTGCTCAGGCCTCAAGGGATTCAGGAACGAAGGTTGCACCATGCGCGGCATTTCCCTGGCCCTTATTTTATGGGCGCTCGTCAGTCACGTGGCGATAGATACCCCGAGCTCAGAGCGCTCAACATCTACGACGGACTCGACGTTTGCTGTACATCGACATCGACGTCAACGTGTGAAGATTGTTTCCTACCCTGAACAGAATCTTCGTGGTTTTGCGGACGAGTTTGAGCTCGAAGCAAACTGGCAGAGGTGCGTGTTCATACTCCATTCCAGCTGTCATCTGCTACAACTCGGCATCCAGGGTGTCATGTCTGCTGCAGGTGTCCAGACAAACGTCGTCCAGATACACCGTCGCAAGTCCAGCAAAGAAGATGACGAGAACATCCTCGTCTTTCCGAGCAGCCAACCGGCTGAGTCGCCGGCCGTACCACCTCTCAGCGAGGCCATAGGCCAACGCGGCCTTCTGCCATCTGAGGCGCAACCTCGCCCGGTTTCCTACCCTGCCATGTCGCCATCTCAGTCGTATCCAGGACAGCCGGGCCAGTATCGTCCTCGCCCACCAAGCTTGAACGGGGCACCTCGCGGACGCGTTGCGCCCGCTATGCGCCAATCCTTGTCGCTTCCGTCTGGCTCTCACTCGCGAACGCGCTCTGTGTCTGGCCCGTTTTATCCAGCCAGCCCATCCCCTCTGTCGACATCATTTCCAATACACCAGCCACCCACGCCGGGTGCGCTCAAGTTTCCGACGTCGTCCACCGCACCCGAGTTGTACGCACGCACGCAGGAGAACGGGACGCCACCGATGCACACGCGCCGGCACTCACGCCTGCATTCTCGGAACCTATCGGTATTCTTCCCGCGCCCAGGCTCGCTGCCGCACGATGTAATCACAGAGGATGGCGCGCAGGATATGGCGTATAGCGACAGCGCTCAGGCGATTGAGGGTGTACTGATGCCCTCAGCATCACCAGGTCCTGGACAGCGGACATTCCGCGAAAACTTCACGTTCGGTGCGCGGCCACCTACGACGTCGTCCCCACACCCTATGCCAGCGATGTCACCGTCTGTGTCTGCCGGAGCGTCGCGGCGGGGGCATCACCACAAACACTCGCTCTCGCACAATTTTTTCTCGTTCCTCGAGCCGGGAGGCGGTTTGCCCACGTCACCAGACGAGCTGCACACACTGGCGACACCCATGCCTGTCAGCCCGTGGGCGCCGATTTCGCCGTTGCAGACGCCGGCTGATGAGAAGGTAGGGAGCCTGCACACGGCGGTGAAGAGCCCGATAGGGCGCGTACGCGCCTCACCAGACATACCGGCATCTGCAGTGGGTGCGGCAGTCGCGCAGTTCCTCCTGGGCGTCTGGCTATGGATATCTGGGCAGCAGGTAGGGTCTCTGTCGTGCACTGGCTTGGGTTACTGGGTCATTTTCGATGCTTTGGGAGTCGTGCTGAGCTCCGTACTGCCCGGATACCTGGCGGGACCTTCCATGCGGGCAGATATTCGGAGGCCGTTCGGGTACGTCTTTCTCTTTGATGCCTTGTGATGACTACTGATTTTCAGCAGCAATACGCGAGTCGAGACAGTGGTGGCGTTCGCGCAGTCGGTATATCTGTTGTTTGCGTCGGTGTATGTATGCAAAGAGACCGTCGAGCACATACTTCTGTCATCCGGCGAGGGGCATCACCATCATCACGGTGACGAGGTGACAGAGATCTTCGGGTGAGCACACCTTTCGGATTGTTTGCGAGACGCACTAACGTCTTGCAGAATCGACTTCCCTCTTTTCCTCCTGTGTACCACGTTCGTTTCGTTGCTCCTCACCTCGTTCACATTCAACAACCACTCCAAGCTCGTCAGCAGTGCGTGTTCTCCCATTTCGCTGTTCCAAATTCCATCTCACAATACTTTGCGCAGCGGCGGGCAATCACATCCCTCCTTTGACAGCACTCCTGCCATCTCGCTATCGATATGGCTCTCTCTCACCACTCTCATTCCCTCCACGTCTAGCGAATCTCCTCGCAAATCCATACACTCTCGCACCTCTTGTCTTCTGCACATCTATCCTCTGCACATCATTATTTTCCCCACCGTGAGGTTTCAACGTATATATATGGTGGTCGTGGGACTTATTGTGCTTCAGATACCAACAACGACCATATGATCTCATCCTTGCTGGGTTTGAGACGGTAGTGACATTCAGCCTAGCTTACTCCGCCACCGTCGCTCTCGGTGCAGTGCTCCTCCAGACGTCCCCATCACGGGGTCTGCCTGGGGGGCGGATGGAGGCGTTTCTGCGTGCTATGCGGGAGGTGAGTGCCGCACTCTTGCCCTCCCTTACCCCGTTTTCAGAAATACATTTCTCACAGATTGAACGCCATCCCCAAGTCCTGCATCTGCCTGCGCCACATTTCTGGCAACTCACGCCAAACCTCACTCGCCCACAACCATACTCTGCAGCCCCGAATACGAAGATTCTGGGCCCAACACAATCGCTCGTTGTCACCGTCGAGCTCCACGTGCGCAAGGAGCTCGAGGATGACGAGGTGCTCCGCCTGACGCGTTGGGCGTGGGAGCGCTGCTCGGCGGCGCTGCATTTTGGTACGAGAACTGGAGAGGGCGGCGACGCTGAAGCGGAAGTCACGGTCGGTATCGTCAGGGGATGATGGATCTGGGGGTAGGACTGGCATGTGTGCTCTTGCTTTTTGGGGTGTATTTATACCTTTTGATTTGGCGCAATACGTATACCCTCTGTAGAGGTGCCTTGCTTTCGTTGGGACCTTCTTTCATGCATGATATGCAGCTTGCAAGACATGTTTCGAAAGCGACGAGCTACGAGAACGAAGATGCGTTCACATCATTTTTTACTGTGCGCTGGAGCCTTGCCCTTGCCCTTACCCTTCCCGAACGACTTGCCTTCAAAGCCAGGCCTACCCTTATCCTTTGACTTGATCCCCTTGCGCTTGTCATTGCGTCTCTCATGGCGCATTGCGATATTGTCTGTCCGCTTCTTCTGCTTAGTGGCCATCGTCGTCGCAACCTGCTCCTTCCGCTCATCCCTGCGTGCCAGATTAAATTGAAGAAAAAATGCGAGAGAGTGAGGACATACCAAGCCTTCTTGCTCCTCGCCTTCGTCTTTTCTTGCCTCTTCACTGCCTTCTTCAGCCGGGTCTCGTCGTCGTGCACCTTCACGCCTTCCATCCGGGCTTCCGCCTTCTCCCACTTCTCCTTCTCCTCAATCGCCTTGCGCTTCTCCTCAGGTAAAGCAGCAACCTTCTCCTTGCGCGCGGCGAGCTGTCCAAGCGCCTGTGAAGGGTTGGAGGATGTTTTGAGATGCTGCGCTTTTTTACTGCTCGAGCCCGAGGATCCGGCAAGTGTAGAAAACGCGACATTTGCGTACTTGTGTCTCGGATCGTGCGAGGGACCTGACTTTGACGATGACGGCTGGTCCGGTACAAGAAGCTGAGCCTGTGCATCCATATCAGACTTTGTCAGGCTCAACATTCTATCCGAGTAAGTACGCACCTTTGCCTGCGCCCCCTTGTCCCGACCATGATCCTTGTCCTTGTTCTTTCCCTTCTTACTCTTACTCTCATCCTCCCGCCTGATCTTCTCTTTTGTCTCCTTCCTTCGCCGCTCCCGCATCGCCGCGCGCTGTCTCCTCCGTTCCTCTAGCAGCTCATCCTTACTCCCCGCCCCACCATCGTCGTACGCACGTCCTCCATGCCGCAACGCCGCCATGCGTGCGTGTAGCTTGTCCCGCAGCTCTTGTATGCCGCCCGATGCTGCCATAGGCACCAACGGTTCCTCGGACATCGCCCCGCCCTGCTCCATTTCCCCGTCGGAATCATCCTCACGCATGTCGACTGCCATGTCGACATCCATCGCATCGACATCGTCCGATTCCGCGTCGGACGCGACCGCTTTCCGCTTTCCCTTCCCTTTCACGCTCTCCTCGGTATGCGGCAGCGTCTCGTTCTGTATCTCAAGAACGGTTTTGTTGTTCGCAGGGTCGAGCTGGGAGGGAGAACATTGCACATTGGGACTCTAGTGGGAGGGCGAGGACGGAATCGCACCTTGTCTCGTTTCGCCTTCTTCGACGCCTCTTTCACGGCTTGCTTCGGAGCCTTTTTTTTTCTGCTATTTTTCTGGTACTTCGATGCTATCTGTGTACATAAATATTCAGGATTTATCTGGACAGACGATACCAAATGAAGTATCAAATAAAGCTGAACGCACCTGTTCCTCTGATTCTTCCTGAACCAGGTAGTATTTGGCCGGTATGAGTTTCAGCAAGGTTTCGAATGTGTCATTATGTCTTTCCAGGGAGGTTTGCAGATCCGCCGCCGGGGTTGACATCCTCGTAGTGAATGCAAAGAGCGTTCCTCGTACAAGTGTCTGAAAGAAGTCGTGAAAAAGCAAAATCCGAGTCTGTCACTCAGGTGCAGTAAAGTGTCGTGCTGTGAGGTATTAACTGCGACCAAACGACGAGATGATGGAGGCCAGAGCAGCAAAATGAGAGATGTACTAGCGTTCCTGGCAGAACGTGAAAACTTGGAAGTTGCGCATGAAGTAAGCGCCCGCGTCTCTTACGAAACAACGATCATGTCCTTTCACCCGCCTCGGAAAGTCATTCTCACAAAAGAACATCTACAGGCCTTTCAAGCGTCGAAAATACATGATGATATTGTCTCCTACATTCAAACCCTGAACGACGCCGTGGTTAATGTCAAACTGACCGACGAATGTGCCGAGTCTCCCGTGCGTGAGTGCTGTCTGGTTCTATCATCTGTAGGCTCACAAATGTCTCGGCGATTCATGTTGTACAGGGCGTCTCAGCTATACTCCGTGTGCTGAATCAGATTGAGGTAATTGCAAAGGGGATACCGCCGGTTGATAACAAGGCGTCAAGATTCGGGAACCCCGCGTTCCGTACGTTTTACGACAAGGTTAATGAGGTGAGCAGAGCATTGTATTCTCTGTGATGCTTCGCCTCAAATGAGGTTGCAGCTTTCACTTTCACTCCATGTGACTCTACCCGGGCTTCCTAGAGAAGCCATTCCGGAGCTTTCAGTCTATTTCTGCGAGTCGTGGGGCAACCGTACGCGCATCGACTACGGGAGCGGTATGGAGCTCAACTTCTTATGTTGGATGTACGTATGTCTGTCAAATTCTTTTCAGCGGTCCGTCTGAAAGTGTCGTCGTTTCTCCCAGTATATGCCTGGAGCGTCTGGGTGTGGTGCAAAAGAGTGATCATATTGCCCTCGTGACAAGAGTTTTTTGGAGGTGTGCATTCTTCCTCATTCGCAGATACGTATGCTCAGTCGTCTTCCGTGACATCAGGTACGTCGAAGTCATGCGGGTCTTGCAGTCGACGTATTGGCTCGAGCCTGCCGGTTCTCATGGGGTTTGGGGTCTGGACGACTACCACTTCCTTCCCTTCTTGTTTGGATCCGCTCAATTGCGAGGTGCGCTTCTTCGCTATCTCAAATCAGGTGAACTTTACCTAGCGCATGGCATATACAGGGCACAAATACATCCGCCCGAAGTCGATCCATGACCCCGACATTGTGGAAGAGTACTCCAAGGACTACATGTACCTTGCCTGTATCAGGTTTATTGAATCTGTGAAGACTTTTCTCCGGTATGCAGGGTTTGACAGATGGCTGACCACCTTGCTCTGCTTACAGGTCAAGACTGCCTCATTGCGATGGCATTCGCCCATGCTTGACGACATCTCCGCCGTAAGCAGTTTACTCGCACTGCAGTGTGCATATGTCAGTGACACGCGTGATTGTGCAGGTTAAGACCTGGGACAAGGTGAACGCAGGTATGATGAAGATGTATCTAGCGGAGGTCCTAGGCAAACTTCCGGTCATGCAGCATTTCCTGTTTGGCTCAATCTTGGCGTGGGAGGGCGTATTACCTCCTCCACGAGCTGAGAGTCCTGAGGACGATGCGCACCGCGGCCATGTTCATACTGTCGAGGACCTCGGAGGCGCCGGTCAGGCAGAGGTCGGCTGGGGCAGCTGCTGCGGTATCCCAGTGCCTTCTGTGTTTGGCGCGGCTCAGGCGGAGAAGAGCCTGTACGGGCGCGACATTCCGGCGGATATTATAGGCCACATCCCTGGTGCTAGACTTTCTGGGCCTGGGATCAGGCCGGTGCCCTTCGACTAACGTCCGCATGGCCTGTCTTGTGGAACGTTTAGGATGTCTCAGTGGACAGTTTTCGTGGCTGGTATTATATATTCAGAAGTAAGAGCTGGTGTATTTGTACTTGCAATGACAACCTAATGCATGGGTGAACGCGAAGGTACTTCCACCTGTAAGGCGACCAAACTCAATCGGTCTGTTCTGTCCGAGCAGCCCGTGCTTATCTACTTCTCGCAGCCTGGCATGACCACAATCCTGCATCACGGAAGCTTGACACTGGTGCTATTTCTGAGCTTATCCTTGGAGTTTCTAAGAGTAGGCACGTTTCCCCACAACGAGGAACAATGGGGCGGAGTGCTTCAGGTTACTTGTGCGTGATGAACACAAATCCAACCTGGTGAGTGCCCACTGCCGCTGGCATTGACGTCGACGTTTGGTATCGACAGACGGATATGGCAAGCGTTGAGGATGGCGCCGCTGCGTCGGGCGGGTTATCCCGGACGAAAGGTCCAAACCTGGAGATAACTTCAGAAATAATTCACGAACATCGGTCTCAGGCTGTCCGAGTCACGTCCACCATGATGCTATCAGAGAACTCTCTTCCTTATGCCGATGCGGCGAAGGCCCTTCAATCAATCACATATGTCAGGATTTGCCGAAAACCATATGCTCGACGCACGTTGGTCAATTGGTCCGGAATCCTGACTGCCTTTATGATTAGTGGTCCATCTTTTGTTGGCAGAGATATTCCTGCGACCTCGTCTGACCGTACCTAACCCCACTCCAGCTCATTTGCGCGCTCGATTCGAGGCGTAATCAGCTCAAAATAGGTGCTCGGATCGCGCGCTGAGGCGCACCGATACTCCTCAAGAGTCAAGGAGATATTGCTGCCGTGCGTCGCGCACGGCTCTTGCAAGACTGGTCTGTCATGTCCTCGCACGCATCGCTCGATCGTAACGGTCCCGATTCCAAGGAGGACCTCGGCGAGAACGGCGGCTTCATACAGAGACCCACTCACGGATTCCCGCTATGGCGGCGACCTCTGGTGCTCGGAGGCATCGCTGTCGGTATTGTGGTCCTTGCATTAGCACTCGGCCTTGGACTGGGTTTGGGTCTGCGGCATCATCACACTAGCGTTGACATGAACGACGGCTTTATTGTGGTTCCCGTCCAGAACACGGATTCGAGCGCGTATTTCTTGAACATGAGCATGGTCAATGAAGAAACGACCACTAGGTACTACAATTGGACCGTCACGCAAGCAACGGGTGCCCCAGACGGTTTCTCGAAGCCTATGCTCGTCGTAAATGGTGAGTAGCTGTTCAGCGCAGTTGCTGAACATGTGTGCTAATACTGTGTCTGCTCAGGCATATTCCCGGGCCCCACGATAGAAGCTAACGAGGGCGATAGAATCGTCGTTAACGTCACTAACATGATGCCTAATGCTACGTGAGATATTAATGCGATGTGTTGAGACAATTTCTCACTACTTATTCAGTACACTTCACTGGCATGGTTTGTACCAGTGAGTAGGCTTGGCTCCTTCCTCTTCTTTGCGCTTTTAGTAATATTAATAGGCGAGGCACGCCCTATTACGACGGTACGATTGGCATTACACAGGTTTGTTTTCACTCAATATATTACCGAAGTTTCACGGCTGATGGATCAATGCAGTGTGGTATTCCTCCAGGGCAGTCTATGGTGTACAACTACACGGTTGGTACTTCGACACGTTTATTTCTGTTCGCTAATTGGCACGACAGGTAGCAAACTGGACTGGAAGTACATGGTGGCATGCCCGTACGTGCGATGCAACGGTTGCACGACGTACACTCACTTTCTCACGATAGATTCCGCGACCCAGTACTCGGATGGTATTGTCGGCGCATGTTAGTGTTATTGGATACAGACAGTCCACTCCGCGTACTGAACTCGATGGTACTCAGTGGTCGTGCATAGCAAGAATGAATCTGTTCCAAGTTATGACGGGGATCTGGCGCTGCAGCTATCCGACCTCTACCATGTTTTCTCTCCCATCGCATTGCAGGAGTATTTCACTGTGAGTTGCTCATGCTGCACTCTCAATGCACTGTCTGGTCACTATCTCGCTTATCTGTTAGCCTGGAGGTCTTGCAGGCATCCCTGGAACCGAACCTGTCCCAGATGGAGGTACCATCAACGGTATTGGCCAGTACGGTTCCTACAACTCGTCATTCTTCAACGTCACTCTTGAAGCGTCAGTCAACACCTGGTTCCGAATGCACATGTTCTTGACATGCTTCCGTACTTACAGGAATAAGACATACCGCCTCCGCTTGATCAACCCGGGCACCTTCGTCGCGATGACCTTCTCGGTGGACAACCACATGCTGACGGTAATCGAAGGCGACGGCACCGCCGTGGGCCCGTACCCGGTGTCCAGCGTCTCCACCGCCGTCGGGCAGCGTTACAGCGTCCTTCTGACGACGAACCAGACTGCAGGCGCGTACTTCATGCGCGCTGGCCTGGACCAGGGCGCGTTCGGGGTCAGTGCTGCGTTGGTGTTCTGCCACTCTGCAAATCTGATGATGTCTGCCAGTACAACAATCCCGCTACGCAGCTGGAGATCCGCGGGGTCATACGCTATGGTGTAGAGAACGATACGATGCCGGATATGTCGCTGCTCAATAATCCGCCGCTGCTGCCGGTCGACGCGCCCAAAGCGATGGACACCGGTAATCTCGTTCCTGTTGGTGGTGGTCCGGCGCCGGAGCCCACTTTGTGAGTTGCAATTGCATTGATCGAGATGGTTGCGTCGATTAACTGCGATGTACAGCAACACGAGTGTAACGATCTCGATGCAGTATCCTGCTAACACTGCCGACTACCTGGGCCACTACCTGGCATTCCTCAACAGCACTGTGCGTCCTCGCATCCTTTCGTTACACTGGCTATTCTGAACGAGTTCATGTTTGGGTGCTGCAGTCGTGGGAGCCGCTGACGGGCACTGCGAGTCTGCTGGAACACTTGGGCAACGACACCGCCGACGGCTCTGCGAGTTGCGATGGCAGCCAGCTCATGACGATTGTGAACGAGGTGCACGTCGTGCAGATCCTCGTGCAGAATAACGATGACGGGGACCATCCATTCCATCTGCACGGTTACAAGGTGTGCTGGCTTCTGAGATACTTCTTCCTGTGTGCTGACGAGGCATGCAGTTCTGGGTCCTGAACAGTGGCGCTGGAGATTACACCGACGAGGCTATTATGAACACTACGCCCATGCTGTACGTAGTCAATGATGTCCGTCGCTTCGTGTTCGCCGATCCTGATTTTGTCTTGCCTCTGAAAGACGTGATACCGTTGTGATCCCCGCCTACAGCTGGATCTTCCTCCGTTTTGTTGCGGACAACGCTGGCTATTGGGCCTTCCATTGTCGTATGTGATCTCTGTGTTATATTATGTTCCAAGCTGATCTGTTACTGTCATTTCTGTCAGACATTCAATTCCACATGGTTAGTATTTCTTGGATGTCTGACGCGAACCGAGTAACTAATGTCTGTTCCACAGGCTGCTGGTCTGCTTATGCAGTTCAATGTCTTGCCGTCGGTCAGCCAGCAGTATGAGATCCCACAGTACATGCTCGACCAGTGTTCCATGTAATTTTGGAGGCTCATGATGTAGAAAATATATAGAAATTGGTCTTACGATGACCTGTACGTAAATTTGTGTCGCACTGAGTTTGTACGTGAACGAATATTGACGACGCCTTACGGAATCTTCGCAACCATGCACGCGTGCGTACTTTATCTCGTTGCTCGTGGGCTTTGGTTCCTGGACGATGATATGGGGTGAGCGATGAACAGATGACCGTGCAATAGGAATGCGTGGATTTCCGTAGATGCATAGAGCGAAGCAGGATCCAATCGAGCCGGAACCACGGAAGAGATGGAGGAGTGCCACAATTCGCGGATATCCTGGTGCAGCAGAGTGTGGGCCTACTGTGCCAAGGGGGGCTACGCCACAGACGTGTGTGGACGCGCACGTTCGTAGTCCAAAAGCAGGGAAACCCTCATGCACCTGTCATATTTCGGCCTCCATCACCATCAAACCCTCTGTTCCCAGTATTACACCGCTCGATTTGCACCCGCTGACATTCTCGCCCAGGTACCGCGCGGGGATGTCGTCAGATTTCCACGATGTGTCTTTACCAATCCATAAAGTCGACTCGGCTCTCGCTCGGGGTTTCTCAACAGCCAACGTCCCCGTCGCTGTTCTTCCCGTAGCTTCGTCGTCGACATGATTGGTCTCGCTGGTGCTCTTCTCGCGTACGCGTCTACCGCGTATGCTGCGACCGCGCTCACCTTCCAGCCCCCGGCGCTCTCCCCGACGTCCCAGTCCTCTAATTACACCGGAGCGTCGAACAATACCATCACGAATGGTCCTGTTGTTCCGGGCAAGTCGTTCGACCGAATCATTCAGATCTGGTTCGAGAATACAGACTGTAAGTGCAAGCCTACACGTTCAAGTTTTTGCCGTAGAGTGACCGTGCATACCTGACAGACGAGACGGCTATCACTAACCCCACCTTCGCGAACCTGACGAGCCAGGGTCTCCTGCTGACTTCGTACTATGCTGTTACCCACCCTTCAGAGCCAAACTACATTGCTGCTGCCGGAGGCGATTTCTTCGGGAACGCTGCTGACGACTTCCGTGAGTATCTGAACGATACGCAGTTGCTCAGAAGGTGTCGACTTAATTCCTCCTTCAGGCGCTATTCCGTCCAACATATCCACTATCGTCGACATCCTGGAGGCCAAGAACATTTCATGGTCGTCTTGTGCGTTCTAGAATTTCGCGCACTTCGTTGTTCTCCATGACACCTTTTTGCCAGACCAAGAATCGATGCCGTATGATGGTTGTATGGTGAGCTGCCCGTAAGCGCAGATTGGTGTTCAAATTCTAACGATATTTTCAGTCATACAACTACACGTCGTACGACTACGTTTGTGCGTATTATCGACCATCTATCCATACTCTGCCAGAAGTTGACGTACTGCCTCTAATAGCTGGCACTGGGAATTATACCTACTACGTCCGTAAGCACAATCCGCTCATAATTTTCGACTCCGTGTCGAATGTGAGCGAGCGTGCTCTGCGAATCCGTAACTGTCAGTACTCGTTTCCCTCTCATTTTTCGGCTTGGTGCTGACGACCTCTCTAGTTAATGACTTCGCTAACGACATCAACCATGGACCCCTCAGCCAGTGGACGTTCATCACTCCCAACCTCGTCAACGACGTGCGTCTCTTTTTGTCGTAATGCCCCTACCGCCTGACATTTCCTTCATATGCAGGGTCATGACACCACGATCACTTACATGGCCAACTGGACGGAGTACTGGCTTCTGCCGTTGCTCCGGAACCCTAACTTCAACGACAACAGAACCCTCATCTTCGTCACTTTCGATGAGACCGAGAGTAAGTGACAGTATGCAGAAAGTCTTCAGGGTACTGACTTTTCATGTCGCACCTTGCAACAGCGTACACCATCAACAACCGCATCTATGCCCTAGCCCTCGGTGGCGCTCTTCCCGCCAACCTCGTGAACACTACAGATGATGCCTTCTATACTCACTACTCCGCCATCTCCACAGTCCAGGCCAACTGGGACTTGCAGTCGCTCGGCCGCCAGGACGCGAACAAGACCGTGAACAACGTCTTCTCCTGGGTTGCGGCCACAGCGAACTGGACAAACAACGGCCTGATAGCGAACTCGAGTAATATCCGTGCGTTTTCACAGCACGCTTCTCTCGACGGACAATCGCTGAGCATAGTTCGTCCGGATCTACAGCGCTGCTCAACCTGACGGGCACCATCGCGGGCCCGCTAAATCCGGAGCTGTATCTCCCCTTCACCGCGCCCGACGCGAGCGCAATGGGTCCGGGCGCGCCAGGCGTCTTCGTCTCGCCGGGCACGAACACGTCGTTCACCACCTCGGATCTGCCCGCGCCCGTGAACCTCACGAATCTGGGCCAGCCCTTGCCATGGTCGGCGTCGCCCGGGTATGACTACGTGAACGGCTCGAAGGCACCTGCAAACGTCTCGACAGGCGCGAGCCCCTCCCCGAGCCCGTCGAGCTCGGGGGCGGAGCGCGTGTTTGTGCCGGTTCTTGGTGCGGTCGTTGCGGCGGTCGGGGCTATGGTGATGCTGTAGATGTGAATGTAAAAATGAGTTGTTGCTTGCGTGGAATTGCAATCGTCGAATTGAAAAATGGTCGGGGGGATAACTGTATCTGCAATCGAGTGTTTGTATAGTACGGTAGCTGAGGAGGGGACGTCAAGGCCCAGGGAACGAAGTCATCCGAAGTGGTAGGCAAAAATCCATATGCCATTGGGCAAGGACCATACGCCGCATGCATATATGACCACGAGTCCACGACATGCTTCGAATTCTGCCGCCGTGAGGCTTCAGAATAGGGACCTCAGAGGCGTGGACAGCAGATTTCGGAACGCGTATTGTCATGTTCTAGCAGTTGCAGGAGGTTTGTCCGCGACAGAATGTGGAGTGATGGTATGCAATCATGACAGATACGTGACCATGATATGGTCGCCGTACTGATATATATCATGGGTGGCAACGTCGAACTCTGCAGCAAGCGCTCGCTGGCAATGGAATCAAACGAGGGTTTTCAATTCACCGTCCACGGCAGTGAAGAAAGCACTCAAGCTCAGATGCGCTTTGGACTGGAAGGGCGTGTACGCTCAATAGCAAGAGGAACATTTCTTGCAGAAAGCGTCGGAAGATGCGTCCAATGCGCAGTGAATCAGAGGTGAATCAAAGTGGCGTACCCTCATGCGTTCGGATCCAGTAAGATTGACAACCTTGGCTATGGGGAAGGCGGTGTTTCACGGCGAAATCTAGAGGTAATGATCCCCGTTAGCAACTTGAATACGCGCAAGGAGTAATCGGAAACGTTACCCGCACGTTGCAGACGTCGACGGTGTCGGCCATACGTCAGACCTCGGCGAGAGTTCCTCCAGAGTGCATACAATCTCCATGATATCCCACCCCGGGGTGAAGAGAGAATAAAAAAAAACATACATACTGCTTTACTGTGCCTTTCTCGCCCGCGAGTTACATATGGCTTATATTTTCCGATAACCCAAACATGGAATTTACGCCTGAGATAGCATCCTGGTTTCCAAAAATATCTGTCACCCCTGCAGCTCTAGGCTTGCTACCACGAACCCTTCGCTCCTTCTACCACGTCGTTGCGCACGGCTACCGGGCCTCTCATTTTCTCTAATTCCGTTCATCTTCCTGGTCTCACTGCCCCGTAGAATACGGGTGGTCTGTCCACCATGAACCGCCAGTCGACGATGACGCTCCAGCAGCGGCTCGAGGCCGTGGACGACTTGGCAACCCTCTCCCCAGTGTCGGAGGACATTATCGTCTCGTGCCTCCGCGAACGATTCATGACCGACAACATCTATTCGAGTATAGGTACACATGCAGTCGTAGCTGTTAATCCGCACAAATACGTTGCCAGTAATTCCGACGCCGTCCTCCACAAGTACGCTGCAGAGTACCGCGACACTACCGTTCCCACGTCCCCTCTGCCTCCACACATATTCCAGCTCGCCAACAATGCCTACTACCACATGCGGCGGACGAGTCAGGACCAGTCCATTATCATGAGGTTCGTTTACTGCGTTATCCGGGGAATCAATGCTTAAATTTCGCGTAGTGGTGAGACGGGCAGCGGCAAGTCGGAGAACCGCAGACTCGCCATCAAGACTCTGCTTCAGCTCAGCGTCCCCGCACCCGGGAAGAAGGGCTCAAAGCTGGCAAACCAGGTGCCCGCAGCCGAGTTTGTCCTGGAGAGTTTCGGGAACGCTCGCACGCTCTTTAACCCGAATGCGTCGCACGTTGGCAAGTACACGGAACTTCAGTTCACAGAGCGTGGTAGGCTCTGTGGCATCAAGACTCTCGATTACTACCTCGAGCGCAGCCGCGTCGCTGGGGCTCCTTCCGGCGAGCGGAATTTTCATATCTTCTACTACCTCGTTGCCGGTGCTTCTCCGGAGGAGCGGCAGCACTTGCACCTCTCAGAGAAGACAAACTATCGCTATCTCGGACAGCGCACCGCTGCGGGATCGCGTGCCCATGGCGCCCGGGACGAGGACGCCGTGCGGTTTGATCAGTTGAAGATGGCGTTGAAGAACGTGGGATTCTCGAAACGACATGTTGCGCAGACGTGCCAGTTGGTTGCCGCCATCCTCCATCTCGGTAACCTTGAGTTCCATGTTGATCGCTCCCGGAACGAAGACGCCGCCGTCGTGCGTAACACGGATGTCCTCGATATCGTCGCAGATTTCTTGGGCGTGCAGCCGGCAGCGCTGGAAGCGGCGCTATCATACAGGACGAAGATGTTGAAAAAGGAATTGTGTACGGTCTTCCTGGATCCCGACGGTGCCTCGGATAACCGAGACGAACTCGCGAAGTCCCTGTACTCCCTCCTATTTGCATGGTTGAATGAGCATATCAACCAACGCCTTTGCCGTGATGACTTCAATATGTTCATTGGACTATTTGACTTGCCCGGCCCCCAGGACATGACTAGTCGGCCGAACTCCCTGGATCAGTTCTGCGTCAACTTCGCCAACGAGCGGTTGCAGAACTTCATGCAGAAGAAACTCTTCGAGCGTCATGTCAGCGAGTACACGACAGAGGGCATCTCCCGCTTCGTTCCCCAGGTGCCGTACTTTGACAACTCGGAGTGTCTGCGCCTGCTGCAGAACAAGCCTGGTGGTCTTATTCATATCATGGATGACCAGGCGAGGCGTCAGCCGAGGAAGACGGACCACACTATGGCCGAGTCGTTCGCGAAGCGATGGGGCAATCACACATCCTTCAAGGCGGGCACGATGGATCGTTCAGGTTTCCCCACGTTCACTATCAATCATTTCAGCGGCCCCGTCACGTACTCGTCGCACGGATTCCTCGATAGGGATTTGGATGCCCTAAATCCTGATTTCGTCTCTCTTCTGCGAGGTGCATCTGCGAGCACAACCGACGCTCCTTCAGCTGATGGCTCAGGCTCGATCAACCCTTTCGTCCGGGGACTGTACTCCGCGAAGGCCATTGCTACTCAGGCCCATCCTCGAAACGAGGATACCATCGTCGCAGCGCAGCAGCCGGTCAAGCCAATGCGCGCGCCGTCGACGCGCAGGAAAAACACGATTAAGCGGATGCCGACGTTGAAGGAAGGTGACCTTGACGAAAAGGAAAGGGAAGACGAGGAGCCCCTAGGTACTGTGGGTACCGGTGGTGCCCCGTGCGTTGCGGGCGAGTTCCGCGCTGCGCTGGATACGTTATTCGAGACCCTCGAGGAAACCCAATCGTGGTATGTGTTCTGCATCAACCCCAACGACTCACAGCTGCCAAACCAGCTGGAAGGTCGGTCTGTCAAGGGCCAAGTCAGGAGCTTGGGACTGGCAGAGATTGCGCGGAGATCGGTGAACGTGTTTGAGGTGACTATGCTACCGGACGAGTTTGTGCAGAGGTACAAGGCGCAGATATCTTCGTTGGGCGTGGTCGAAGGTGATCCTCGAGAAATGGTCGATCAGGCGAGAACGGTTCTAGGGCTACAAGAGAAAGACATCGTCCTTGGTCTTCATAAGGTGTGTTCCCTTCAACTTGTGAAGATTCTGATCGTTAACGGAGATGAGTAGGTGTTCCTGTCGCAAATCGCGTTCCACTCCCTTGAGGACGATCTTCGTTCCAAGGATACTGAAGAGCTCAAACGCAATAGGTTGCGTGACGCTGAGGCTGAGGCCGGCCTCAATCCACGGGGATTGGGTGACCCTTATGCACCGTACGCTACGCCCGGCGCGGATACATCACCCTACGAAGAAGGCGGTTACAATGACCCGTTCAGCCAATCAAGTCAGGTTCTCCCTCTGGTTGCCAATGCATCTCCGTTCCAGCGTGCCGATATGTACGATGAATACGACGAACGAAAGTCGCTGCGGAGCGATGACTACGATGGTCGCAGCGCCTTCACTAGCCAACGCGATAACGAGTCGACGTCCAACTTTGGCACTGAGTCGTATGCGCCATCGCGGAACATGTTCCAGAACGCGGACAAGCAAGCATTGGTTGACAAGGAGGCTCTTCCCGGAGAAATTCTGGAAGGTGAGACCACGGAGGTGCTGAAGGAGAGTCTTCTTCGGCGCAGGTGGGTTGCTCTGTGTTGGATCTTGACGTGGTGGATCCCAACACCTCTGCTGTCGTTTATTGGCCGTATGAAGCGACCCGACGTCCAACAGGCTTGGAGGGAGAAATTGGCACTCAACATGCTCATCTGGTTGGTAATCGCCTGCTCGGTGTTCATCATCGTGTTCTTTGGTCCTTTGATTTGCCCCACGCAGCATGTCTTCAGCACCAGCGAATTGGCTTCTCACTCATACAAGTATAATCCAAACAATGTCTACACGTCGATTCGCGGTGAAGTTTTCGATCTCACCAACATTGCTGCTACGCATCAGCGTGTCGTCAGTGTTGTTCCGGCGAAGTCAGTCTTGTCATACGGCGGTACATCTGCGGACAACATCTTCCCTGTTCAGGTAAGTTCATCTCATCCCCTGTTTAGCTGCGGATTTCCTGAGGGCTATCCCAGGTCAGTGCATTATGTAACGGGGTCACTGGTACAGTCAGTCCGTACGTCGTCCTGGATTCTAGTAACGACACCGATGTGAACGCTCAGTACCACGACTTCCGTGCGTGGACGGACGATCCCCGCCCTGATTGGTATTTCGAACAGATGGTACAGATGCGATGGAACAACCGTATGGGATGGATGGGATACACTAACGGGGCGCTGTCCAACATGGCAAGCTCAGGCAGCTCCGTCGGCGTCTACAACGGGATCGTCTATGATTTGACGTCTTACATCCAGAACGGCCCCGCTACACCCAAGCTCAATGAAATCCTTCCCTCGGATATAGATGTCCACTTCATGGATCAAAGCATCGTGAATGTCTTTCAGTATAACTCCGGACAAGACGTGACAAAGGCGATCAACGGCCTCGGTCTAGATCCTCAAGTCCTTGCTTGGCAAACGACGTGTCTACGGAACCTGTTCGCCATCGGCAAGGTGGATAGCCGTAATTCTCCGAAGTGTCAGTTCTCCACGTACTTCCTACTCTCTTTGTCGATCATCATGGTTAGCGTCATCGGGTTCAAGTTCATTGCGTCCATCAACTTCGGATTTGCGCGTGCGCCCGAAGACCACGACAAGTTCGTCATCTGCCAGGTCCCATGTTACACAGAAGGCGCGCACTCGTTGCAGCAGACGATCGATTCACTTGCACAGACCAAGTACGACGACAAACGGAAACTCTTGTTCATCATTTGCGACGGTATGGTTGTCGGCTCGGGTAATGACCAACCCACCCCGCGGATCGTGTTGGACGTCTTGGGCGCCAACCCCAATGTAGACGCAGAGCCCCTCAGTTTCCTCTCTCTCGGTGAGGGCGCAAAGCAGCACAATATGGGCAAGGTGTTCTCCGGGCTCTACGAGACCTCCGGCCATGTCGTTCCCTACATTGTGGTCGTCAAATGCGGCAAGCCTGGCGAGAAGCAAAGGCCTGGAAATCGTGGAAAGCGTGACTCTCAAATGCTCCTCTTACGTTTCTTGAATAAGGTATGTCTGCACTGCATCAAATTCTCTGCCACGCACAGCCTCCGATCGTGATCAACGCTCAGGTTCACTTTAACTCACCGATGAGCCCACTGGAACTCGAGATATACCATCAGATCAAGAATGTCATCGGTGTCAACCCTTCGTTCTACGAGTACTGTTTCATGGTCGATGCCGATACTACGGTCCATCCGATGTCCTTGAATCGCCTGGTCTCTGCGTATGTTTCTCCTCATAATTTCCTCGATTTGTCATGTTCATGCTTTTGATAGAATGGTGCACGACAAGAAGCTTCTCGGAGTTTGCGGAGAGACGGAGTTGGCCAATGCAAAACATTCGCTCACCACAATGATGCAGGTACGCTGTATGACCCAGAGATTATGCTCCTCAATCGTTGAGGTGTCTTGTCTAGGTCTACGAGTACTTCATTTCCCATCACATGGCAAAGGCCTTTGAGTCTCTCTTTGGTTCGGTATCTTGTTTGCCCGGTTGTTTCACGTTGTACCGTCTTCGCTCCCCGGACACACACAAGCCCCTTATAATCTCCAACCAGATTTTAGATGATTATTCAGAGAACCGGGTGGATACCCTTCATATGAAGAACTTACTTCATCTCGGTGAAGATCGATATCTGACCACGCTCTTACTGAAGCACTTCCCGCATTACAAGACCCAGTTCGTACGGGATGCTCACGCGTACACAGTGGCGCCGGACGACTGGAGAGTTCTGTTGTCTCAGCGTCGGCGTTGGATCAACTCCACTGTGCACAATTTGGGAGAGCTGGTCTTCTTGGATCAACTATGTGGTTTCTGCTGTTTTTCTATGCGTTTCATTGTCATGATCGATCTGTTGTCAACGCTCATTCAGCCAGTCACTGTCGCATACGTACGTGCTAATGTTTGATACCTGGGTTCACCTCGCTGACTGCCCTATCAGATCGCCTACCTGATCTACATGGCCGCTGGCAAGCACGAGACCATTCCAACGGTCTCCATTATCATGATTGCAGCTGTCTATGGTTTGCAAGCGCTCGTATTCATCCTGCGGCGTAAGTGGGACATGATAGGGTGGATGGTCTTTTACATCCTCGCTATTCCTATGTTCTCACTATTCCTCCCACTGTACTCGTTCTGGAGGATGGACGATTTCACTTGGGGTCAGACGCGTGTCGTCTTGGGAGAATCTGGTAAGAAGTTGATTGTGCACGTAAGTTGATGGTCATCTTCAAAAATGCTGTGGGTCTGACACACTGCTGTAGGACGAGGGCAAGTTTGATCCCCGTTCGATCCCGCTCAAGTCATGGAACGATTACGTGCGTTGTACTTAGCTTTATGTCTTTGCCGCCGCGCCTACAGAATTATCCTTTGCAGGAAAACGAACTTTGGGACAAGGAATCCAACCATAGCGTTGGATCCTGGGTGCCTCCGACGAAAATGCGCAACGACGGTTATGCCGAGTCCCACACTGCGTCCATCTACGGCCGCGAGACCTTTTATGAGCCAGCGATGTCCCGCGTATACTCACCCGCTCCTTCTCAGGCTGCGATGATGTACCCGCCACCTGGTTACCAGTCCGGCAGGAACACGCCCATGTCCACAGGAGGGTACTCTCCTGGCGCGTTTCATCAGCCAACGCCCTCGAGGCCAGTCAGTAACTATGTAGACTCCGCCGTACCCATGACGCGAAGTCCGGAGGAGTTGGATTTCAATACGGGTGGGCCATCTGATGCTGATCTTGAACGTGCGGTCGAGGATGTCCTACGCGAGGCAGATCTAACGACGACGACGAAACGGGAGATTCGCGCGAGGCTGGAGCAGCGGTTCAACATGGATCTGTCGTTGCGCAAGCGCGCCATCAACGACGCCATCGACAGGATCCTGGTGAACCGCGCCGTGTGAGCTGATCGAGTTGGACTGCACTTTCTCTCCGTCTGTCTCTCGCTTTATCAGGATAATCCCTAGTTACTTATGCTCAGATACTGGACATTCCATCATTGCGCAATCCCTTACATTACAACATTGGACTTCATGTATTTCGCTATCTCACAGACCGTTGCGTAGACTCGGAACATGCATCACTAGTTGTGGACCTGGATGCTTTAGGCACATACTTATAGCCACTCCAATCGATTAGTGGACAGAGCACTCGGTGGACTCGTCAGTCGGCAAATAGAATTTTGACTACTCTGCATTAAGCGCGCGTGCGTCGAGCACTGGCACGTAACTTATTTCTCGATACTTTTGGCTTGTCTATTATGTCTCTCCTAGATCTCAGCCATTGCATCCACCTTTGTCGGCGAGAATGAGTGGGCCCCGCCGCATAATTGCGTGAGTCCAGCAGATGCGCCGCTCTGTAAGTTGTTGCATTTTGAGTGTTCGACGTGCGTCGCCGATCGCGGCCTTCTCCAAAAACTCACCTACTCTGTACTGGCAGAGTAACGACCCTAGACAAGTCGCGTTCTTATCACATTGATATGGGAACGCTCAATGGGTGCATGCATATAGTAGAGACGACCACACATGGCTAACATTAGGCGGCTAACAGTCGCAACTTGAAGGACACAGTGTCGGGGGCGCCGAAGGAATTCAGATGTCTTTCTGCACCCGTCCTAGTATTATTGACGCACAACATTCAGGTTCATCATCCACCCTCCCAATTTGCGGTTCGCGATCACAGCATGACGTTCTCCCGCAGTTATTCCAGCGGACTAGATGGAAGTGTCTCCTTGGTTTTCGACGAGTTCATCTGCATACCAGAGGACGACGAAACCTCTCAGATTAACCCAGCATCTTCGGAAACACACCAGCATGCTCGACAGAATGCAATGTCTCTGGACTTCATCCTGACGTCGACCACCGCTCCTCACGATCCACATGGCTCAGACCTTCATCCCGCCTCTCACTCCGATGTTTACGGACCGTCTTACAACACTACACAGCCATCGTTCTATGCAGTGCGAGAGAAGGAGGAGCCGCCGGTGCCTATTCCCGCTGCTATCTCTGCCAATCATTCACATGTCCTGGGGTGGTCCCCCTCTGATGGGCGCCTATACATCACCCTCGAATCTTCCTCCGCTATCTATCTCCCGATGCCGCGCGAGACCATCGCAGAGGTTAGACTGGACGGCCCTGCTCGCGATCACTCACTTCTGCACACCGCTGAACAATCCATCCCGACCTATGCACGCCGATCCGACGACACGTGCGACGACGGATTGCCTATGCCGAGGTCATCGCAGCTGCTATACCACCCTCAGCAACACAACGCCTCCCCATACGTCCTAGGTCTGGTAGTTGGTGGCTTCCATCATCGATCACCATCTCACAGTAACACAACAGCGCCGCCGCGGGCACGGAAGATGCCGTGTCCTCCGCAGCAGGCACCTCCGCTCCAAGCCGCGCCGCCGAGGACTGCTCGTACAGAGCGAGAGAGACATCCGGGCCTGCCTGCGCCTCCTGCACCCAGGGGCGGGGTCTCCCCGGCGCTCGCGCGCACAATAACGCACATCCGTGTTGCCCGAGAGCGCGCGGAGTACATGGCCAAGGTGCAGTCTGCTCGGGGGCAATCAGCACGCGTCCCGAGCGTGATGAGGCAGTGACTGGAGTTTCCAGGCGCTGTCCGAGGACCTTGCCCGCGGGACGCTGGCCTTGCGCGACGAGGTGCTGTTGGTTCAAGTTTAGAATGAATGCGCTGCGGAAACCGCATATTGGCCTGTTGCACGATGCGTGGTGATAGATTGGGCGCTGAGGGCACTGTGGTAATCGTACGCCGCCGGATGCTTATCTTCATTGTTAGAAACCCGTCCGTAATTGTTTGCGGGTGGTATAAGCCTGTTGAACTCGGTGTGGAACAATTGTTGAGCTATCTTGCGTGAGCGTCTTCCACCATCGGACGATGCTTGTGTAATTGATTTAATCTCCCAGGAGACGCCGGTACTGGAGTGTAGATAAGAAATCATACCCTGGACGCGGTTCGCTGGCTTACTGTAGGCAACATAAGTATTACAGACAGATGCGTATGCATATGTTCAGTCCGTCCTGTGGCCGTGACGTCCCGAAGCGAAATCCGACTTTACCGGGTTTACGGAAGACCACCAGCGGATCTGGCATTTCCGAGGCGGATATCTCCGATAGAGTCCACGGACTTTGAATCCGTTCTTACTTGTCCGCAGTTGGAAGTCGGAGATCCATGGGCATGCTCTGATTGGCTGGGGACTGATGACACTTTCTTGTGAGTCATCCCGGCGAAGCTGGCGGTTTGACAAATCTCTGAGTTCGTCAAAATTCACGCGCGTTACCACGGCGAGGCCTTTTGGGCGTTGCGTCAAGGCCGTTTACGCCACCTTCGGTCAGCTCGCCATGCTTCGCTGTATATATATATCAGGGGCACTGCGATCTGGTTTTGCTCGTACTCTATCTCTCTTTTCTAGTCCCTCGCCATGGATCCCGAGCAACTATCCCAGTTAGAGGGTCACGACAGTGTCCCAGAATTACCTCTTGGTACCTCCGCCGCCGCAGCTCATGGGCACGCTGCCCACAACAATTTTACCTACGATGAGGAGGACCCACACCAGAAAAATGCTCTAACCCGGACGGTTTCTCATGCCTCTCACGTTGAGGTCGACATGTTCGACCCCTCGGGAATGAGCGATCTGCGACAGACACTCACCCATATGTCTACTCATGCGCAATCTCCACGCTCACCGCATTCGGGTCGACTGGGTGAAGGAAAGAGGAAAAGTGATTCTGTCTCTGTGGAGACTGAGGCAACTCTTACTCCTGTAGACGGTCCGTTTGACTTTGAGAAGACACTTCGGCAGATCATCAAAAAGTGCGTCTTGTCCTCTGAGAAGCGCGTATCGGCATGCCTGACCTTCTTTTCTCCCTGTGCAGGTCAGACAAGTCGGATATCAAGAGAAGAGAACTTGGCGTTGTCTTCCAGGACCTTCGTGTTCGCGGCCTTGGCGCTTCAGCTACCTATCAGCCTACTCTGGGTTCCGTGCTGAGTCCGTTGTACCTCATAGAGAAGGTGATGGAACTTCGACACCCTCACGTCCGTGACCTCCTCAGCGGCTTCGAGGGTGTTGTCCGGCCGGGCGAAATGCTCCGTAAGCATTCCGAAATGTTCCTGTGTGGGCTGCGCTCATCCTCTCACTGTAGTGGTGTTGGGTCGTCCCGGTGCAGGCTGCAGCACCTTCCTGAGGACGCTCGCCAATCAGCGCAGCGACTTCTACGCAGTGGAAGGTGACGTCAGCTACGACTCCTTCACGCCCGCGCAGATTCATCGGAGCCACCGTGGTGATGTGCAGTACTCGCCTGAAGACGACGTCCATTTTCCTACCCTGACGGTCGACGAGACGATTCGCTTCGCCGCTCGGACACGTACACCGCAGCAGCGCATCGGCCAAGCTTCACGGGATGAGCACATAGAGCACATTGATGAGGTGCTGATTACGCTCTTCGGCCTCCGGCACGCCCGGAACACACTCGTTGGGGATGCCTCTATTCGGGGTATTTCTGGTGGAGAGAAGAAGCGTGTTTCTATTAGTGAGATGCTCGCTACACGGTCTTTGTTGAGCTCCTGGGACAAGTTCGTCTTTTTTGCACTCTTCCTCCATTGTCTGCTAATGTATTCCTGTAACTCAGCTCTACGCGTGGACTGGAGTACGGCTTGATTTTCCTTGCGATATATTCTGCTGCTGATGACTTCCTTCTTCCAGTGCTTCTACTGCGCTCGAGTTTGTCCAGGCCCTTCGTCTTGCAACAGATATCGTGCGCCTTTCCACCATTGTCTCCATCTACCAAGCTGGAGAGTCGTTGTACAACCATTTCGACAAGGTCTGCGTGATTTACGAAGGTAAGATGGCGTACTTCGGCCCCGCGGATCGTGCGCGGCAGTACTTCATCGACATGGGCTACGAGCCTGCCAACAGGCAGACCACCGCGGACTTCCTCGTCGCTGGTATGTCGTTTCTGTAGATATTGTAATATGTGAACTCATTCGTGCTTCTTGTAGTCACCGACCCAGGTGGACGTATCGTACGCTCCGGCTTTGAGTCCAGGGTGCCACGCACTGCGATCGAGTTTGCAGACACCTTCAAGCAGTCGGAGCTCGCACAGTTGAACAGAGATGACATGCAGTCATATCGGGACGAATTTGTTGGAAAGCCCCAGCGCGCCTCGATATACTCGGCTAGTGCTCAGGCAGAGCGCGCGAAGACCATCCCGTCGAAAAAGAGCTCTTACATCATCTCAGTGCCCATGCAAGTTCGTGCAGTCATGTTGCGCAGGGTGCAGATCATCAAGGGGGCAAAGATGGCGCAGGTCCTCAGCACGGTGTATGTTCTGCTCACTACTCTGTTTGCTAGCCGTTCTGAAATGTCGGCGTTTGTAGGGTGTTCGTTGTTGAGGCCGTAATCGTCGGGACCATCTTCTTGCGGCTTTCGTCCACAACTGCGACTTACTTCTCTCGTGGAGGTGTTCTTTTCTTGTGGGTATTCTATTTGCTGTGACATTATCCTTATGATAACATAAATCTGGACTCTAGCGCCCTCATGTTCGCCGCCATCTTCACGATGGCTGAGATACCGGCTCTGTTCGCGCAGCGACCTATCGTTCAGAGGCATGCTAAGGCAGCCATGTACCACCCATTCGTTGATTCGCTCGCGTTGACCCTCGTTGACGTGCCTATGACATTCGTTACCGTCGTTGGTTTCTCTATCATACTATACTTCGTCGTTGATCTCCAGCAATCAGCCGGTCAATTCTTGTGCGCAGTTCTCTCTTCATGTGTCCGCACACTCTGATGTTACTTTTTCAGCACCTTCCTGCTATTAATATTTTCGATGACGATTACGATGAAGGCGTGGTTCCGCGGTGTTGCTGCTGCGTTCAACGACCCTGCGCCTGCGCAGACGATAGCTGGTCTCTCTACGCTACTTATGGTGCTGTACACTGGTTATGCGATACCCCAGCCATACATGATCGGCGCATTGCGGTGGATCACTTACATCAACGTACGTTCAGCCTAATCTCCACATGCATTAATAGGCTGACGATTGTATGTTTGTGCAGCCTATCAAATACGGTTTTGAGGGCCTTATGGTGAACGAGTTCAATACTCTCAACGGCCCTTGTGCCGCCATCATTCCGCAGGGCCCTGGATACGAGAATGTCTCGCTGGCAAATCAGGTGTGCACCACTGTTGGTTCCGTGTCGGGACAGCAAACCGTGAATGGCCTTCGATACCTTCAAATGTCCTTCGGCTATCTTCACAGCCATCTGTGGCGGGTGTGTCTTTTTCACCTTCGTATTGGGCCCGAATTTGACATTGTACGACCGGTTCGCAGAACTTTGGGATCATCCTCACGTTCATGATTGGTTTTATTGCTGCTTTGCTATTGTTCACGGAGTTCAACACGAGCACGAAGGGCCAGACATCTGTCACGCTGTTCAAGCGCGGTTCAAAGACGGCCGTCATCAAGGCTGCGGCCTCGGAAGCGGCCTCAGACGAGGAGAAGCCTGCGAGCACTGCCTCTTCGGAGAAGATCAGTGCCGGTGCAGATGCGCGGGAGGTAATCAAGGAGGCACCTGCAGTGCGGGACACATTCTCGTTCCAGAACTTGAGCTACGTTGTCCCGGTTAGCGGGGGTCACCGCCAGTTGCTGGATAATGTCACAGGCTACGTCGCGTCGGGAAAGTTGACCGCGCTCATGGGCGAGTCTGGTGCGGGAAAGGTGTGTTGCGTGTGCTCTTTCATCATGACGGGACTTACGTTTTGTGCTTGTAGACTACGCTGTTGAATGTACTGTCTGAGAGGACTTCTGGTGGTGTCGTCAGTGGAGAACGTTTCATGAATGGCCAATCACTGCCGATAGACTTCAAGTCTCAGACGTAAGTTGGATCGAATTTCTTCAGATGCATCGATTAATGGCATCGCTTCTTGTTCTAGTGGATACTGTCAGCAAATGGATACCCACTTGTCCACCGCCAGTGTCCGCGAGGCTCTTCTTTTCTCGGCGAAGATGCGCCAGCCTGCCTCTGTGTCTCTGGCTGAGAAGGAGGCTTAGTAAGTGACACCATAATTAACGTACTTAATGTACCAGACTGACGCTCGTTGCGTAGCGTTGAGAAGTGTATGAAGATGTGTGGTCTGGAAGAATTTGCTGACGCCATTGTTGGTTCTCTTGGTGTGGAGCAACGCAAGCGCACCACGATTGGCGTGGAACTCGTCGCGAAGGTAGGTATCTCAACTTTCGAATACCACTAGACGCTGAACGTATCTAAAAGCCTTCGCTTATCTTCCTGGACGAGCCCACATCTGGCCTCGACTCACAGAGCGCATGGGCGATCGTTTGCTTCTTGCGCGATCTCGCCGATAGCGGGCAGTCGATTGTCTGCACGTACGTAATATGCTGTATTCATTCGTGGGGTATTCTGATGACCGGGTATCAGGATTCATCAACCGTCTGGAGAGCTATTCGAGGTTTTCGATAGGCTCCTCCTCTTGCGCAAGGGAGGTCAAGTCGTCTATTTCGGAGATATTGGCAGAAAATCTTCCACCCTCGTCAGCTACTTTGAGAGTCATGGCGGACGGCGTTGCGATGAGGCTGAGAACCCGTACGTGTTATTTGTTTGCACTTAATTCTCCCAAAGACTAACGGTATTTGGTAGTGCCGAATACATCCTTGAAGTGATTGGTGCCGGTGCAACTGCAGTGGCCACCCAGGATTGGCATGAAGTTTGGAAGAGCTCGCGCGAAATGCAAACCTCCCTTTCAGAGCTAGATGCCATTCATGCGGAGGGTCACCAGCGCCCTCCGGTTGAAGCGAAGTTGTTGTCGGAATTCCCGACAACCTGGGGTTATCAGCTCTACGAGTTGTTCATTCGTAATGCTCAGACGTATTGGCGCGATCCGACCTATCTAGTAGCTAAGCTGGCTTTGAACATTGTCTCTGGCCTTCTCATCGGATTCACGTTCTTCAAGGCCAAGGACAGCATCCAAGGTACTCAGAACAGGCTCTTCGTCAGTAATTTCACCGTTGACTCTGCGACGTTCATTGACATCTTGCGTAGGCCGTCTTCATGTCGCTTATCCTCACTGTCGCCATGACCAATCAACTGCAAGTTCCCTTCTTCTATATGCGTGGTATATACGAGATCCGCGAGCGATACAGCAGCATGTACAGCTGGACGGCGCTGGTGACGTCGCAGATCCTGATCGAGATCCCGTGGAACATCCTTGGTTCCTCCCTGTATTTCGTGTGCTGGTACTGGACTGTCGGCTTCCCCTCCTCCCGTGGCGGCTTCTCGTACCTCATGTACGGCATCTTCCTTCCGTTGTATTACACCACCATTGGCCAGGTATGGAACTGTTGTCGTGTTTTCAAATGAAAGCTAACGCCCTCCCGTTCAGGCCGTTGCTGCGATGTCTCCAAACGCGGAGATTGCTGCTTTGCTTTTCAGCTTCTTGTTCTCGTTCGTGCTGTCTTTGTAAGCCGTGCACGTTTTTCGGTACATCAGATTGTGCTGATCAGAATCACAGCAATGGTGTGTTGCAGCCCTTCAGCGAATTGGGGTGGTGGAGGTGGATGTACCATGTCAGTCCGTTCACTTATGTGGTGGAGTCAATGGTTGGCCAAGGTGTGTTCCCTCCCCTCTATCGTACCTTTTTCCAGCGTCTTACGTCTTATCAGTCGTTGGGAGGAACCCAATTGTGTGCAGTGCTGCAGAGCTTGTCCCAGTTGAACCTCCGACAGGCCAAACATGCTCGCAGTATCTTGGGCCTTTCATCGATGCGGCAGGTGGATACCTGACAAACGGCAATGCTACCAGTCAGTGCCTTTACTGCGCCTACAGTACTACCGATGCGTTCCTGGGGAAGAGTTTCAATATCTTCTACTCTCTCCACTGGAGGGACCTGGGTATCTTGTGTGCATTCATTGGTTTTAATGTACGTCTATGTTTACGACTCTCAGGATGCAAACTGACTCGCCACCAGATTGCGGCTGTTTATGCGTGCACGTATCTTTTCCGTATCCGCTCCGGAAGCTATTTGAACAATGCAGTCGGATTCTTGAAGAGGCGGCTTGCTCGTAGATCTGATTAGGTGTTCCAATCGCGCTCTTTCCCCAATGATCACGCATATACGCACATTTTAGAGAGAAAGATAGATGCCAGGCAATGCTTCCTTTTCTCATATAGTATTGTATTTTTATTAGGTCAAGGACATTTTGTGGACAGAACTTCATAGACACACAATTCCATGGGTATTGTGAATATTGCTGGAGGCGCGGCGCAGAGTCACGGAGTACATCGCCTAGCATTTTGAGCCAGGAGTAGAGATGGGCGAGTGGTCCCGGTCAGCAGCAGCGGTGAGATGTTGCAATGAAGAATCACGTGTGTCAAAGGCATCTCAGCCGTCTCACTGAAGTTTGTAGCAGAAACATTGTGATTTACGCAGCATGTATCTGAACTGAATATTCATTAATATTGGTCTGCTCGAGAATGCGTGTATTTGACGTTGCACATCCAACAAGAAGTCTTTGACATCGCACTTCAATGGTGCAGTCATCGGCGACAAGTGGGTCGCAAACACGAGGGCGGCATGGTCACAGACCGGAGATGCATCCATGATGTCTCACTATGCCTCTTTCCTCGACTGCGGGTTAACCATCGGATTCCATCCCTATTGTGCTTTGTGGAGGACGGTGGCCCAGGGCCAAGCCCGACTCGAGAAGGTTCGGACGACGAGGTGAGCCAGCCCTACATGCTTATACCGTTCGAAGTGCACACTGGCAGGTAACCGTACACGACATGCATTGTTTGGGGCCTAGTGGCAATGAGTGGAAACGTTGCAAGACGGGCCAAGATAAGACCATGCTAACGAGTGCAACATCGTCGAGCACATAATGACCATGGAGATCGGGAAACACATTCCATAAGTTCTGGCCGACAGAAGGGAAAGGGTGTGTACACCAACCGTCCGTTGCCCCTTCGGATAATTCACGATACGGTGAGCCACTGAGACGCTGGAGGAAGGGGGAGGAGCCTAGCACGCACTGATCGGAAAAGAAGTCCTGGAGTAGAGAGGGAGTCGGTTCCTCAGACATGCTGACTGATAAATCTATAAAGATTGGAGGTGGGACGGAAAAGAACGTAGCCATCTCCTTGAGTAATGCTGGACAGGCAGCCAAGGAAATTTTGACCTGCAGCGACTGTAGAGCAAAATGGGCGGGCACGAACCTGGCGTAGACGCGTAAAGCTCTCGTCCGCTGAACCTATCGAGATGAAAACACTGCGTGGCCCGCAGATTTGGCATGGCAGCACGTCTTCCTCTGTCTAACACAGGACGCATAACTCCTTTTTTCCCGAGGAAATAACTTGGAAAAATGCGTGGAAATCAACAAAGTTATACTGCGGGAAAAACATGAGGAAAAAACGTGTAAAAGAACAAAGCATTTCCGCAGTTTTTCCACTGGAAATAAGTTGGTCGCCAAATATGGTAGTTTTGTCCGGGTTTTGGCATGTCCTGGCATGTCCAGTTGCCTGATATGGTAGGCAACTTATTTCCAAGGGAAAAACCGTGAGAATGTTTTGTTCTTTTCTCACTTTTTTCTCGAGGTTTTTCCTCTGAAAATATATTATTGATTTCCATGCTTTTTGCCAGGTTATTTCCAATGGATAAAAGTGGTAATGCTTCCTGTGTAAGTGAATACCACGTGTTTGGTTAATGTGGTACAGTCATGGAGAAAAATTGAGACTACTTACAGGAATATATTATATGTTATGAAGGCAGCGACCAAAAGATTCAAAGGAAGGACACAGACTGCGAACTGATTCAAGGAATGAGTCCAAAGGAACGTCTTGCCTCCACCATAAAGGGCATTGAAATCGAGGCAAAGGCTTGCAAGGGATGAACGTTGATCGGTGACCATCAATACTTCACCATCACTCAGTACTCAAATCTCCGAAGTACGGCGGAAGATATTCACGTAATAGAACCGAGAACTTAATCTCTGATCGCACATCTCTCACTCACAAAACTGCAAATAAAGAGAATTAAATTTCCGCCGACAACACTGGCTATGCGAATGCCGCTTCCGACGCGTCAGACAGCTCACTGAAGCCATAGTTTTCGCCCTTGACAAACGCGCGGGTGCACTGTGCCATCGTTACAGAACTGCCATATAATCGTGAGCGGAGAGCCAGACATAACAAAGCTGGGGAGCACAAATGACAACACTTACGCTCTAGATATCGGGTCAGTCTGGTAGAAGTTGCTGATCGGCTTCGTGAAGGGTGTACCGGACACCTTCGCTCCGGCAGTGCCTGCGACTAGGGTCTTCAATCCAGCCAGTGCCACGTCTTGCGACGTTGGCTCTGTGACATCATAACGCACGAGTGTGGGCGAGATCTCCCACATGCGGTCCCGTAGGCTCAGAACGTCGTCATACGGCAGAGGGGAACCTACTACTTCAGAGAGAGCGCTGCGAGGAAAGCAACGATCGGTATGACAGAAAGATGACGAAAACTGTCCCAAACACTTACCGGATAATCTTCCAGTCCTCGCGCGAAGCACCAGGGGGAGGGACAGCTACACGACCCAACTGTGTTCGCCCTTCCGTGTTCACCCAAGTTGTTGACTTCTCGGTGTACGCAGGGGCTGGGAGACAGACATCTGCCAGCTGTGCGCCGAGGTCACCATGATGCCCCTGATAAACAACAAATGCGTTTTGAGGTATTGATTTGGGGTCGATTTCGTCTGCATTCAGGAGGTAGATAAACTTCGGACGGGTCGCTGAGGCCTTCTTCGAAGGAATGAAGCCGATGTCGTATGCAGCAGGACGAGAAGCGGCCTACAAAATATAATGTAAGAAAGTTATCGTAGGTGCTGTGGTGAAGCTACGTACCCGGTGAAGAACATTGAAACCATTCCACTGAGGAGTAACAAGGGTGTCTTTGTTTTTCTCAGCGAACTTTGCCAAGGCATTATATACCGCAGCACCATCAGGGTGCTCCGTCAACGCACTCCCAACGATAATCAGCGGCTTCTTCGCGGCCTTGAACTTCGCAGCGAAAGGACCCTTGCCAGCGACGAAGTCCGCAATAGCCTTCGCACCCTCGCCCAGGTAATCATAGCCGTATGTGGTGTCCACACGTTCGCCAATGAGGCCGACCTCCAAGCTCGTGTGCAGCCAGCTCTTGCGAATACGCGAGTTGAGGACGGCTGCCTCATGACGGGGATTGCTACCAACAAGGAGAATCATGTCCGCCTGTTCTACACCCGGAATAGTGCAGTTAAAAAGGTAGTTGGAGCGCACATCCACCGCGTGTATAGGAGCAGCATGGCCACCAACATGATCCTGAGCGAGGTTATCCGAGCCAAGGCGATTGACGAGATCCTTGAGAGCGACCATTGCTTCAGTGTCGGCGAGATGACCGGCGACGGCTTGAATCTCGTCGCCTTGAGCACCTGAGCTGGCCAAACCATTCGCGATGGCAGTAAGAGCGTCCTCCCAGGTCGCAGGCACGAAGCGATCACCCTGCTTGACCAGCGGCGTTGTCAACCGCTGGAAGCGCAGACCGTCATACGCATAACGCGTCTTATCGCTGATCCACTCCTCATTCACGTCGTCATTTGGGCGAGGCTGGATGCGCATCACCTGCACTCCACGCGAATCCACACGAATATTGGAACCGAGCGCGTCCAAGACATCGATCGAGTCAGTGTGCTTGAGCTCCCACGAACGCGCGTGGAACGCGTAAGGCTTGCTCGTCAATGCGCCGACAGGGCACAGGTCGACGACGTTGCCCGATAACTCCGAGTCCATCGTCTTCTCAACGTACATCCCGATCTGCAGATCATTGCCCCGACCGGTGGTACCAAACTCCTCGACGCCAGCGACCTCGTTAGCGAACCGGACGCACCGCGTGCACTGGATACAGCGGTTCATTGACGTCTTCACTAACGGACCGAGATCCTTGTTCTCCACGGCGCGCTTGCCAGTGATCTCGTGGAAGCGTGTGCGGTCGGCGCCGTAGCGCATCGACTGGTCCTGGAGGTCACATTCCCCTCCCTGATCACAAATCGGGCAGTCAAGAGGATGGTTCGCCAACAGGAACTCCATAACACCCTCGCTTCATGCGAAAATCAGTCACTCACACCACAAGATGTAACGGCAGCGGCGTACCGAGCCTCATGCACAAGAGGGGTGTTGGTAAACACCTTCGATCCAGGCATAGCGGGCATGGCGCTAACGATGCGTGTCAGCACGAGGACAACACGTTCTCTCTAGACTCACCATGAAGCGACAGGCTTCGGGGACCGCTCAACCTCCACCAAGCACATACTAGAGCGAGCAAATTTAAGTAAGATGCAACTCGAGCACGTAAATACACGCACCGACAGTTACCAGCTATTGCCAGCCTACAAAGAATAGTTGAACGAAACCAGGGTCGACAGCGAATAGATTATACATACCTGTCATGATAACAAAATCTGCGGAACGGTCATGAACCCTGCGCCAGTTTAGTGGAGTCAAAGATATACATACCGAGGAATTGTTGCTCCAGCAGCCTCGCATGCTTGAATCAACGCAGACCCTATGACATCGTGCGCGTGGTAAGCGCAACCTCCCAAGAAATCTGCGAGTGCGTACCCTGAGGCACTGTCACTTCTTTTCCATCCACAGTCAGCGTAATGTCGGCGTAGCGGGGCGACGTCGACGAGATTGTCCGGCGACCTGAAAGCCAATCCATCGGAAATTCAGCAAGAAGGTCCTGTCCGAAGTACCCCGTAACTCACCGCCACGAGAGGAACAGGAAGTGCGGACGACCTTGACGAGCCTCCCCGTCGAGGCGGGCTTCGACGCCGAGGAGACCAGTCGTAACATGGGTTGTCTGCGAATGTTAGAATACAGAAAGGAGTGGTCTGCTCGTCGCCTACGACGTTATGCCCGTCGTCGAACACCTGCACGATGCCCCGGCTTCCGCCGGATCCGAGCTCACACGGTCGGTAATTGGAGGCGCCGGTATTGGCCAGCGGCTACCGTGAACAGGGTAGAAAAGTAGGACAAGAAATTGTGATATGATGACTAGCACTACAACTGGTGGTACAACGTCCTCAACAAATTGAAACAGTAGTAGTAAGATAATACAAAACACCTGTCTGAACACCATCGCAATTACGGAACATAAACGACGAGAAGGACATTCACGACGAGCTTCTCCATTTCCCCTCCAGAAACAAAAGGAACCCGTTCCTTTGCGATAGGGCCAGGGAACGACACGTCTGATAGGAGCATGATATCAGTATCCGTCAATGGGATCGCACCGCTCTTCTCCACCCTGGTCCTTAGATCCGCCTCATCCTCCCCAACCTCAGGGAGAACACGACCACCGTTGATCACCGAGAAAGGTACTCGGGCGCCTGCTGCAGTCGGAATGTCAATGCCTTCATTCGTGAACTCGACGGTTTGATCTACGGGCCAGACGTAGCCACCAGCAGTCCATCGAAGCTCCGGCGCAAGTTTGTAGAGCCTGACAGCGTGATACAAGATAGAATCACCTCCCTTCAGCTGAGACGATTGTTAATATGAGGACACCAGAACTTTGACTGGCGCAGAAGGCTCACGTAGGGCACGAGTGATTCCGCTAGCACATCGGCAGGGTTAACGCCATACTCTCCTGTGAGGTAGAACGCTATCCGACGATGGCGGGATAAATTAAGAATGGGCGAGAGCATGTCCAGGAATTTGTCACCCGGTGAGATCAGAGGATCTGGCTGGAGACCCGCAGGACCGAATGACCGCAGCTGCACTGCATACGATATTGTGACCCTGCAACCTTTCTGCACGCACTCCACCTCGTAGTCGCAGTCAGCCATGATAGCCGTCCACTCGAGGTCGCCACTCTTCCCGCCCCGACCGTAAAACCTCTCGACGGCCTCGGCGTTGCGGACGACCAAGGCTCCGCCGCGGTATCGCACAGGTAGAGTCACGATAATCGTGGCAACCCTACTGTCATTTGGACGAGGCTGCGCGAGGATACGGTTTCCCTTGAGACAAATCTCGAGCCGGTCTCGAATAGCTGTGAGATAATGCCCAGTAGGCAGCGAGGGAAATAGTGTCGTCCGCACGGCATCGAGGATCGGATGATTGGCAATCTCCAGCGTAGTTGTCAATGGTAGTGTTGGTGGGTAGAACAATGACTCGTTGTCAGGATCGTCCGCCAACCCGGTAAGATGAGGTTCGCAGGCAGTAATGAGCACGTCCAACGCCGGAGGGACGTCGAAGTCGATATCAATCGGAAAGTCAAGAGAGTGCGTGATACCACTCTGCTTCCAGAACTAAGTCATCGTCTCGAGACACGAATAATCCGACGTACCTTTGTCCGGAAGAACAAGATGAGAACAGCTGGGTCGATGGGGATACGTCCAGACACAGCGAATGGTCTCGCTTTCGCAGCGATCAGTGCGGTGACGTTTGAGCGAAATGTAGCTTCGCTATCGAAGTCGGATGACGTCCTGCGTCGTTGGGCCTTCGAAGCAGTAACTGGAGTCTTGGGGGCCACATGCTCGACCTCGAAATCCGACATGCTCAGGTTGCGAGGGAAGGGCAGACCATCCGAGGAGCGACTCGAAGCGGAGGGTGAGGACAGGACGCTCGCGATGGCTAGCGGCATAGTGGATCGTTCGGTCACAGTCAGGAATCGAGCGTGTGGCTGTAAACAGCTGCGGCGAGTGGCCGCTGGCAGGCGCAGGGACTCGTCGGACGTGGTCTTGACCTCGTTGTCTTCCTTTATGACGACAAAAGCTCGCATCAATAGGCCATGCACAAGCGGCGTGTTTGACCAGATGCTCCATCACCGGAACATCTCCTGCCAGGGACTCGAGCGCAAAGAATTCAAGAATCACAATCACCGATAGCAAGAATGCGAAGGGTTATCTGTGTACTCTTGACCATTCATTATATCAAATATTACCAAGCTCCTGGATAGCCATTGCGAACAGGGAGGAGCCATAGACCCCAGCTTGTCAGTTTCCTACTTTCATTGAAGATTCGGCACTGGATTGATGCCGCGGTGACTTCTATCGAAATCAGCTGGCTCCAAAGCTGAGAAGGGTACCCGGAGGAGCAAATGCTGAGGCCTCGAGGCAGGAAGATCGCCACACAGTGTCAATGATGCTGGTTTGACGCAAAGATGTGGGACACCGCGGCCGCCTGTGGAAGTCCGACTCGAGGAACTGTGCACAAGCGCTAATTGCCAGTGTAAACAGTGAAGTCAACGCTCTCCCTGGACACAGAATATCTCGTCTGTTAAACACATATCCACCGTAGAGTGAGCATACAGGTGGTGGATCGATCCTATTACCAGCTCTAAAAGTAAAACATAATGTATAATATATATTGCGCAAAGTCCCAATTGTAACCCGGCCAACAGTAAAGGTCACCCAGATGTCAAAGAGAGAAGTTCATTGAGTCCCGATCGTCCGACATCAGTCTGGCGTACTCCAGACACAGTCTGTAGACGTATGCTGTGCACATTTCATATCAGTGCCTGCAGTGAAAGAGCAAGATGGCACCGCACCTTCCATATCCACCCGTCTTCCAATTGTCCGCTTCCACTGCTTCCCCGCACGTGCAATACGTCGCAGTCGGCGGTCTCCGTCAATCGTACGGCGTTGGTCAGGAAGTAGATCCAATGCCGTCGAATTAGCGATTTTTAGGGTTGAGGGGGTTGCTCCTGAGAAGAATGCGTGTATGTTATAAATTTCCTGATATGATTGAGACACGGGTATGTAGTGCAACCTGTTGAAACAGCTTAGGACAACAGCGAGTGGAGTTGTTCTCCAGCACGTACCAAGGTTGTATCCAGTCAGAAAAAAACTCCCGATAGACTGTGGACTTCATCACTGCACTGTCCGACTCCATGAAAGAGAAGAACCGCCCAGAGTATCCCATGCCGTCGATGTCGACAAGATACTTGTGCTTCCAATGGTCACCAAGACTGACACCGCCGTCGTCGAATCGGTGGGCCCTGACAAGCGCCAAAAGACCTCCAGGGAAGTTGTACCAGTCTACCAAGTTCACGAAGGCGACGTCCATAATTTCGTCATTGAGCATCCCCACAGGTACCTCTGCATAGATATAGTTGCTTGAACCTGGAGGGTCCGCAAACACCATCGTGCGGTTTGTCCCCGAACGATCGCTCGCCATTCGGACGAATCTACATTCAAAGTCAGCCAGAAAGAAATTTAGTAAGTAAATTGGGCTTACCTATGCCGCTGATACTGCGCGGCAAAGCCTGGGGGGGAACTACCACCACCAGTAGAAGCGCCTCTCCAGAAGATCTTGTCATTCTTATATTCCCATGGCGTTTCCATATGGTCAACTTCTTTGAGCTGAAGGTTGACCGAATCATAGCCATATGTGTATCGTCTAGTCTGGCCATAGTAGTAATGACTCGGTATTCGGATATCAGAATACCCAGGTGCCTGCGCTGGAGAGAACATTGGAAACAGAGCCGGTATTGTGCGCCAATCAGAGAAGAAGTGTCCTTGATTATAGTGTGCCCACGGGCTGAGGCAGAAAGAATAATTTCCGCTCACGTCGGTGGAAAAAACAAATTCTTCGTTACGCGCTAGCAGTTGGCTCGTGCGTTCTGAAGAGGAGGCGCGGAACGAGCTGAAGAGCCGTCGAGCAGGCGCCCCTGGAAGACATGTACGGCGGTACGCTTCCCAAACGTTGCCTTCCCCTCGCCAGTCGGGTGAGTACATCCCACTAAGCTCAGCAAGAATGCTATCTGGAATACAAGTCAGAGACTGGCATGGCGCGATGTCGATCAGTTTTGAGTCACCTGAAGTCTCGTTGGGAAATGCGCGCTGCTCCCAAGGAACGAGAATACGCCCCTCAGCCATAGCGTTAATAGGGAAGTCCAGGTCGGGAAGCTAGTACACTGTGATTCTTCACGAAGCATCTCAACAGGATGGGTATACATACCTTGTCCTGGAACTTTTCGATCATCTTGCGGAAGCCCTTGGCGCGAGCACTGATGTCCGTGTGTACATCCTTAATATTCTCGGCCATAGACTTTCCATCTCTAATCCTTACCATGTCGACAGAAGGAAGATGGCCAGCCTATGCAAAATCACTTCAAACTGAAGCTCGTGAACATGTATATGAAGACTTCATGACGCACCAGAACTGCCCTTGTCCGCAGCTCGTCAGCAGGCAGCTCCCAAAACGGCGAGAGGTCCTCAACGATTCCGTCGTATTCGTCAATCATTAGAACATCATTATCCTGCGCGAACCTCCACCATTCGTCAAATCCCCGCGGGGGTTTTCTCCCATATCTTCTCTCGTACTCCACAACGGCCTGCGCGAGCGTTCGGCTTTGTCTCGCCAGAAGCTTGCGAAATTTGTCCTCCGCCTCCGCCATCAGCTTCGGGATAGGATGCTCCTTCACGACGGGCCTCGCATTCCTTCTGTGAAACGGGATATAGCTCGACGTACTGCGAACCAAGGAGTTGTCTGGAAAGTTATCCGGACCCCTTCTCCGCCCTGCCCAGAGACCGCCCTGCATGAAAGCCACTATTAAAACCACGAAGAAGAGCCATCCCTTCCTCTGTCCCGACAAGACATCGATCATTCTGGCCAGCAAGCTGGATCACCAGGATAATGAGCGGAGAAGCCACGATTTTTCGCCACCTTTGGCAGAACAAGTGCACCGCAGCAATCACGGCGATGTAGGCAGGAGAAGACGCTGCTGGAGGGTTGGAACAGAGAACAAAAAACAGGAGCTTCCGATCGGTTTCTTGCTTGACTACAAAGTCGATGTATCGAACCTACAAATGTGTTACAAGGAGTGTAGTCTGCCTAAAACTCGATTGTAGTCTTTGCTACAATTCTTGGAAGATCTGGAGATCTCCACCTTGGAATTCAAAGTCAGCGGCAGACCACGTGGCTGAGGTGCTCTAAACGGGAGACTGCGGTGGTACTGTCCTTTCCACCATTTCGCAGGTTTCTGTCGGTCTTTCCGTCTTTCCGAACCTCATCATGAACCCTTCTGTCTACTTGGACAACTCCAGTAAGACGTCGGGTCCAAGTTCTTCACCTCTACCTTTATATCGTCCAGCGACGATCGCCGAACTCGCCGCTCACGCAAAGGACAATCTCTGGGATCCTAGCAAGGGGGTCAAGCACTGGCTGCGCACCGCAGAGAAAGCTCGCAGGGCTGGCAGCACATATCTCAACACGGGTGACTTTGAGCGTGCATTCGTCGAGTATGCGAAGGCGGCCACGATCGTGCTCGAGAGGTTGCCCACCCACAAGGACTACCACGACCTGCTGAGCGCAGAGCAACGTCACAACCTCGGAATGGTCAGTGTTTTACCGCCGCACACCGCGGTCGCTCCCCCTTCCATCCCATCGCGTTCTTCTGACTTACCGAATTTTTGTTCGAGAAAATCTGATCGCGTTCATCGTTCACAGAACGGACAGGACATTCTCGACAATCTGAGCCGTCTGAAACCGGTTCTAGTCGACCGGTATGAAACATGGCAGGCCAGAAATGAAGCTGGTCCAAATGGCAGCCGCCCCTCTTCCTCACATGTATCGCAACGCGATGGCGACGGGGCGAGTGGCGGAGAAGCGTCGAGGCGTCGGCTCGAAGAGCTCGGGCGCGCGAAAGAGGAGGAACGGGCTCGGCAGGCGCTCGAGGCTGCGCGCAGGGAGCAAGATTGGCAGCGGGAGGACATGGCGCGCAGGCAGGCGGAGGAACAGGAACGGACGACTCGAGAAGAGACGGAGTGGGTACGGCAGTCGATCCAGTCGAAGCGTAGAGAGACGATGGTTGCTGCGGCGGAATCGAGAAGAGCGCAGGACGCGCTGGCGATGGCTGAACACGAGCGGGCGGCACAGGCGGCGCAGCGATTGCAAGCGGAGGAGGGGCGCAAGGAGGGGGAGCGGATAAAGAAAAGAGTGGACGAGAGGACGAGACAGGAACAAGAAGGGATCGCTCGCAGACAGCAGGAGGCGGAAGCTGCAGCGCTCGCCGCGCGGTTTGGGATTGCTACTCAATTGTCTCCTGTCCCTGCCCTCGCAAGCGATCCCGAAAATTCCTCAGCAAGGTCGGAGGAAGTGTCCGCTCGCTCTGGCCTCCGTGAATTCCCGGTGGCCGCACCCCAACCTGGTCGCCCACCAAATTCTACGCAGCGTCCTGTCTATGCTGACTCGCGCGGCGGCAGCAACGGTCTTTCAGTGATGCCTCTTGAAAGCCCTACACGGTATGACGATGACTCTTCGACTGATGTGGAAGGCGCTGATCGTCAAGCACCGTGGCATCGTGCAAGAAATGCGGAGCTTACGCCAACCAAGGCTAGGAATCTCACTCCTAGGTGCGTTCGTTATTGTTGCGACCCCAGAGCGAAATGTTCATTTTGCGTTCAGTATTTCATATCCACCGCCCATCACGACAACTTCACCTCCACCTCCCGAGCTAGGTTCCATTCGTTACCCTGCATTGATGTCTCAGCATCAGCTTAAACAAGGCTATGTACCATCGTTGCAATCCATGTTTTCAAAGCCATCAGCAGACCCTCGAGCTTCTGACGCGTCTCTCCTATTCGACTCTAAATCATCTGGATCCCTCTATTCCAATATTCTTCCAGCACCCTCCGCACCCGTCATACCCCCATACCCAGCAAATATGCCTATGCGCGATTCGCATAATCGTCATCCTTCTCAGTCTTATCCGCAACACTTTTTGCCCGGGGAGCGTCAAGCATCTTCGCTCTCCGGTCCGCGATCGGCGTCGTCCAGCCAATTGAGTGTGCCCAGTTCGCGCTATGCAGTCGCGCCTCCACCTCGTATCGTGCAGAGCACCTCTGCAGATTCCGCTGTTTCTGAGCTTAGGACCATCAAGGTCCCGAAAGAATGTTTGCAGCGCTTCTTGCTCATCGCACGCGTGAACACGTTGCAGAACAAGGAGACGTGTGGCCTGTTACTTGGAAAAGACAAGGGCACCAAGTTCGTTGTGACTACTCTGTTGGTACCTAAGCAGCATGCCACCTGCGACACTTGCTATATGGAGGAGGAGGAGCTGGTCTTGCAGTTTACGGAAGAACGCCAGCTCATCACACTCGGCTGGGTACGTGTCTTTTCGTTTGTGAACTTTAATATTCGACTAATGAATTTTTTCAACTCAGATTCATACTCACCCCACACAGTCATGTAGGTTGTGCACGAGTCTTGAGTACATGAGAGATAATAAACCCCACGTTAGGCTTCATGTCTTCGGTAGACTTGCATACCCACTCCGGCTTCCAGCGCATGTTGCCGGAATCATTCGCCGTCGTTTGTGCACCATCCTCGTCGCCAACGTGTGTAACTGCCTTTTTCTACTGTCGCATATTTCTGACCACTCGTATATCGCACAGCTTTGGCATATTTAGGCTCACCAATCCCGGTGGTCTCCAGACCATTCTCGACTGTACCGCTAAAGAGGCCTTTCATCCACATCCTGAGGTCCCCATATACACGGTATGTGTTTTTTCTTGAAAATCTTACATGGCGCTTATTTCTGTGCCGTGCAGGACTGCGATAAGAGTCACGTCCAGATGAAAGACATGCCGCTGGAGATCGTAGACCTGCGCGTGTAGAGTTTGGTTGTCTGGCATCCGTCATTTGTGCTCTTTCCCTGGATTTATCAGCGCATCATTTGTATCCACCATATCATAGCTTTATATATTGAGTCCAGCGGAATGATCATTCACGGGTCGCACCCGCATACACATTGTCGGTGGGATCTTGGATCGCCAGTTATGGCAGGCAGCGTCGATCACTCGCATTTTCCCGGTCTTGACTGCGAGAATAGACGTCATCGTCAACCAAGTAGGAGCACCAGGATGCCGTTCACACCTTCCGAGATAGATGAGGAAAAGGCGCACTTCGCAAATGTGATCACGGCTTTCCAGCAGTATGCTCCGTACGCGGTGAGAAATCTCACCGTGGATCGGCTTGTCAATCGCTAATCGTGCGGTGAATCGTGTCTTAGTTGACAGCCAATAACCGCCGCAGGAAGGACTTCTACACGCTCTCAAGAGCAGATCAGGACCTGCTCGATGACTTGGGGTACAAGGAGAAGCTCGCCGAGGCCGACCGTGCCATTTTGATGAATGCAACGTTTCTGAACCAGATCGTAGCCAATCCCGAGATATTCGGGCATGAAGTCGATGCCGACGATGAACAAGGTCCTCAGCAAGAACTCCCAGTAGCGCAAAGTGAACGGCATGTGCATGGTCCTGCGTATCTCTCATGGGGTTGTGCACTCGTTATTGAAGCTCGAGCTCAACAGGACACCCATACGCACAACATTCGCACGGGAAACACATACATACACACTCACATTCTACTCCTGCCGATAAGTCAACAAATAATGACGCAAGTGTGAGCCACCCGAAGGCCAAACGCTACCGACCCACCGATTTTGACATGGACAAGCTGCGGAGTACGCTCAAGCAATTTGTCCGCGACTGGAGTGAAGAGGCAGGACCCTTTACACCTTCTTATAACTTTTAGAGTCATAGATAGGTTGACAGGGTCGAACAGAGCGAGAAGTTTCCTATGGACCCATGAAGGATGCACTCCTAAATCATTTTTCTGGTATACCACGTGAGGAAAGGTATGCCGCTCCTTCTTCTAGTTCCTGTCACACTGACCTTCGCATCCAAGAGCCAACTTCAGAGTGCTTGTCCCGGGCTCTGGTCTCGGTAGATTGGCATGGGATGTTGCGAATTTAGGTGAAATATGCCCTGAAAACCTACAACAGATAATATACTCACTACCTAGCGAGATGTCAGGCTTCGCGTGCCAGGGGAACGAGTTCTCGCACTACATGCTGCTCCCATCCTTTTTCATTTTGAACCGGTACCTTGAGTCTTCCCTTCTTCAGCTGCGATGCAACTCAATCCGAACTCAGGACTGATGCGATAGAATCTCATACGGTCTATCCCTATGTCCATTCGTTCTCCAACTTGCCAAATAATGCTGCTATGTTGCGTCCGATATCTATACCCGACGTTCTACCATCAGCCCTCCCTGAAGGCTCTGATTTCTCCTTGGTGGCCGGTGAGTAATCCCAAATTTATTCGTGTGTATCTCATTTCGTGTAGGTGACTTCGAGGAAATTTACGGAGCCGAAGATAGCCCCGAAGAGCCTCAGTCTGGGCAATGGGATGCAGTCCTGACGTGTTTCTTCATTGACACGGTGCGCCTTTCGTTAGAACGCGTTGCATTGGTCGTTGATCGTCAGAGCAGGCGAAGAACATTGTCAACTACTTGCGCATCATCCATCGTATATTAGCTCCCGGCGGTGTCTGGATTAACCTTGGTAAGCGCCTTCTCCACGACGCGTACTGAAGTATCCAACCTCGGACAAGGTCCTCTGCTATGGCACTTCGAGAACAACTCGACGAACGATCCGTCGATCGAGCTCAACATTGAAGAAGTGAAGGCTCTTGCGCGCAAAATTGGTTTTGAGATCTCTGTGAGTGTCCTGTGCGACTGACCGTCGCTGCCCTACGCTTGTCCATCAATCTCATAACATTGTACACAGCACGAGCGTACTATTGACACGACCTACACCAACAATGCGCAAAGCATGCTTGGTTATGTCTACCATGCGGCCTTCTGGACAGCCACAAAGACCGTATGAAATCATGGATCTGCTCAATTTTCTCGTAGAGGGTAGAAGAATCCTAGTAACGTAGCGAGCATGCATATGAATAATCAGAAGAATTGAATACGCCCGACGCCCCGACATACCAATGTCTTCGGATATATAAACAACCAGTATGGTATCGATACATGCAGCAAATCAGTCAAGAACATACTGCTACACTTCGTGCAATTTATTTATGTCGCGTCATCAGCATCGCATTGTAAACGTAAGTCACCGTAATGAGTCGTCCACCACCCGTCGGTTCACACCTTCTGCACCTTCTCGCTCTGCATGATCGCCCGCTTCTCCCTGCGCAGTCGCTCGCTCTCGCGGACACCGAACCCGTTCCGGAAGATTATCTGCACCTCCTCCAAGCCCAGACCTGCCGTCTCTGGGAAGCAGAATAGACAGAACAGCCAGCCCAGCAGGCACAGCCCCGCGTAGAAACCGAACGCGCCGGCCGGCGTGATCTTGTCCATGAGCGAAAGGTACGTCGAACCAATGAGCAGGTTACCGGCCCAGTTGGTCGTCGTGGCGAGCGATGTGCCGATGCCACGAACTAGGCAGATGTGTCCTATTCAGTATCTGTGGGGAGCGAATTGGCAGAGGACACGCACCGTCCAAACCGAAAAGCTCGCCCTGCTGCCAGGGGACATTGCCGAGGCCAGTCGCGTACGACGCTACGTAGAATATCATAGACAGTAAGACCAGCGCAGCCCACACTCTCGGGTAGTGCGTTCCATCAACGAGATTGCCGCCCGTTTTAATTGTGAGGTCTAAAACGACATTCAGCACTGCTTCCGGAAGTTAGCCAACGAGGACTCACAGTGGAACGAGATACTCGCGAGAACAAGCCCAAAGATCATGCCGGGAGCAGAGAAGATCATGATCTTCCGCCTGCCTATGATGTCGATGTACTTCAGCGCGATCAGTGTGAAGATGAAGTTGGTGCCCGATACTATCAAGCCAACGGCCGTCGGCTGATTAAAGCCTATCTCTTTGAACAGAGTGGCTATTAGACATGTATGAGCATATCGCAGAGACCGCCGCAGAAGAATTCAAACAAACCACTGTAATACATCAGCTAAAAATCCAATCTTCATAACGACGTCTCATCGATGGGCCTAAAGAGCTTACAGTGTTAAACCCGCAGAGTTGTTGAAATGCTTGCAAACCACAGCCGATGACTGCAGGAGTTGGAGATGTCAGACACGTAGGGAATCGCAAACCACCATGAACTTACTGAGGGCGCGACGGTTGATTGGGTTCACGACTATAGACGCGAAACGTTGCAAAAAACTCGTCGATTTGGTGATCTCCACGCTCTGCTTGACAGCCGAGACTAGCACTTTCACCTGATAGCTGTGAGTATCGATACAATCGGCAATGAGATACCCGCGAAGTTTCGTACCTTCAGATCGACTTGCTCTGCGCTTGCGAAAGGGTAGATTCTGGACATAACCACGTGCGCGGCGCCATATTTACCGCGCAGAACGAGGATACGCGCTTGTGAGCGGAGAATGATGTCAGGAATCGAAACAAAATGAAGCTGTACACAGTACTTACGCGACTCTGGCAGGAAGAAAAGGGACACGAACTGAACGGCGGCAGGGACTGCGCCGAGCCCGACCATCCACCGCCAACCGCCATGCATGTTTTCGAATGCAGCGTCGATCCCATACGCGATGACTTGTCCACCGGTGATAGCAACAACGTTAAGTACCACCATACGCCCGCGCAGGCGGGTAGGCGAGAGCTCCTGGATGTAGAGTGGCGCGACGCAAGACGCGAGGCCAACTCCGAAGCCAATGAGAAACCTGCCACCAATCTGAGATTGGTTCAGCCCTGAGAACTTTAGATGGATATTGGAATTCATTACTACTCACCATAGACCATACAGTGTGGCAGACGGCTTGTCCAATAGCTCCGCCGATAAAGATAACGTCTGCTACTGCCAGGACAGGTCGGCGACCGACATAGTCAGACAGTATCCCTGCAAGAAGACCGCCAATCAGTGCCCCCAATGTGGTCGACGAAGTAATAAGTTCCTAAGCAACCAGTCGCCTGAGTTTGTGGGCTGAACACTGCGGAAATAATACGAAATAGTACCTTCTGTCCCGATGACAATGCTGCAGGCCCCAGGTCCGACCCAATGGTCACAAGAGCACCAGAAATTACACCGGTATCATAGCCTACGAACCATAATATTCTTCAGAACATACGAGATGCAATACATCTTGAAGCGTACCGAACAAGAGTCCCGAAATGCTGGTACAGCAGACGAGAAGCCATACGAACCAGGTTGTTCTGTCTTCGCCATCCACGACCACTGCAAGCTCGGAGATCTCACCGGCGCCGTTCTTCCGGGATATGTCCTCCACTTCACTGTAGGCATATTCTGGATTATGAGTTCATATAATTCCTTGTAACAGGGCGCGTGAATACGCACGTTTGACTCTTCTCTCCTTTCTCATCGGGTACCTCATCAGACGGGCATTCCATGACTACCACGAATGCGGAGAGTCTAGTGAAGCTCGTGCTCTCGAGCTGGGGAGTCGGACGTCGTGGCTGGCGCCACAAGGACCGTAACAGACTCAACCGCACTACTCAAACCATGATGGTGCTTTATAGAAGATCCACTGGCAGGTGAATTCGGCGAGCCCAGCGCTTGCCGCTGAGGATTATTTTTGCGATCATCGGAGCAGATCACTGATGTTCCTTCCTTCCGGCGAATTTTTCCATCTCTGCTGCATGTGTTCACTCGTTGTCCACAGCGGTAGCCCGCATGCCAGACGTCATCGTCGTACAAGGTGAAGGTGGCACAGACGGATATCGCAGGTGAAATGGCCGCGATGCCAAGTCCGGACGAACGGAAGATGAACAGTCATGGGGCCATCAAAGAACGCGGTCCTCTCTGGCATGCTGTGACCGTATACACTGATATGACCTTTGACGGCTGCTGGAGTGCGGGCCGTTGCTCTAAGTTGTGAGTACTTGTGATCAGCCTGAGTCTGGCGTGATACGGATGCAGATAACACCCCTGGTCACTTACATTCGAAGGTTAGAAAACATAGCATATACTACATAGCTAAGCCGTTTACATGTTATCTTGGTCCTGAGATGTGTATCGCAGCGAGGTATGCTCTGCCTTAAAACGGGATAGTATGCAATTGTGTTCCACGTCCCGATCATATGTAAGTGATCACTTGGCAGTGCGCCATCGAATGTCTCAAATCATGTCGAACGCAAAAGAGGTGGAGTGCGTTCAAGAAATCCAACGTCTGCATCATGAAGGACTCGATTCGATACGAGCCCTGCTAAACCACACCATTGTATCATACATCGATCTACTCCCGCTATAACCCCAGTGTCGCTCATCTCCGCCTCTAGACCGTTAAAAAGTCGTGCGGTGCTCATGTCCTGTACAGGACCACCCTACACGAAACCAACTACGCAGCGAGCGCGGGACATCCCAACCCATCCCCACCCACCTACCTTTTTATTGTGGCGTATGATATCTACTGGCCCGGATATGTCGATGTGCGTGATATTTCACCATCAACAATTGAAAGGGCATACTAAACCACTATGCGTCTCAAACATGTCATCTACGTGGAGGCATCTCATTCTATTGGTTGTGACCTCGTTAGCTGAGCAGACAATCGCTCGAGCACCTGTTTCTCTGTCACCATTCAGTACTCTCTAACCTACAGTGTGTGCTATTCTTCTATAGATTTATTCCATGCCTCAGCAACGAAAACTCTCCGGTGTCTGCCTTTACGAATTCTTCCATATACAAAAGGTTCCTGAAGCGATTCCTGGAAAGTCTTCAAAGGCTTTGTTCTACCGTCAAGGAGTCCAAATTCGATTCTTACGACCAAGGGCTCACTGCTACAAAGTCAGAGGTCCTCCGTAACTCACAATCATTCTTCAAGTTCGTTGTGCATAGCCATGTCCGGACAGAGACATCCCCTGCTGTCAAACCACTCGAACGCAGGTTATGTTCATTTTGCAGGTTGTCACACATCATTCAGCAACTTGCATCACCCGAGACCACATCTGTAAGGTATTCGCTGGCCGTTTGGACATCCTAGTGACCCACGTTAGCTGTCCTGCGTGAGATCCATCCAGGCCTCGGGCCTGCACACGATTTCCCTCTGTCAGTGTCACTTGCGTTCCTCTCCATACATCACTCCGACACTCGCGGAGAAGAGGTGGACAAATGCACACTAGTGCTAGCGCCCCTGTGCGCATTCACCAATTTACGATCCTTGGTTATGATGATTTGACCTTCACCATGATTTACATATTGAGCAGACCGATATACGTGACAGTAGAGAGAGTGTGTATATGCGACACCGAGCAGTGACGATGGGCGTGCACACATCCTCAGCCTGCTTACATGCTTGCAAGCAATTTGGGATGGTGTATCGAGCCGCTTCCTTCACGAAGAAATATATTTCTGACGTGCTGATGGCAACTGCAGCGTGCCCACCACCTTCTCCTCTCCTCACGTAGTGGCGTACGTGAGAACTGGTGATAGAATCGTAGAATAGTCATGACCATCACCACGACCAAGGTTCTAGGATGACAGGGGAAAGGCTGCAAGCTTACCATTCACCGCCAAACGTCGTGATGTCGAATAGCAATTATAACCATGGCATCGACTCGACGTCGCGAATCACATATTACTAACCCTCTCAACACGCTTCCACTCTCACGGCCCACAAGCCCTAGCATGCGCACAACACCGCCGCAACCACAATTCACGTGTGCCTCAGCAGCAGTAGCAGCGGGGCCAGTAGCAGACGGGGAAGACCACGCCGACGCGGCGCATACTGACCAAATTCCGAGGCGTGCAGTACATAGAAGAGCCGTGTGTCCGATAGCACGAGTGTGTGAAGTGCTCGGTGTGTGAGTGCACAGCGGCGAAGCTCCACTTGTGCCGGGGTACTGGTGGACCCGGCGATTTAGCTAGCGTAGAAGATGCGCGGCCATTGGTCGGAAATTCGCCGTGGGTGTGGCAGAGACATGTCTTGATGGAGTATTTACGACGAAGGTCTCGCAAGTTACCGGTTACCATTGCCAATCGAGTGCTTCATTTCAGAGTTTCGTCGGGAACTTGAGCCAGGCGCAGACACAGACAGAGACAGACACCACTGGTCAGTGATAGTACGGGTCCTGCTAACATTTCGGGCTCGAGAAGGGTAGCTCATCGTGAGAGGACGTGGAAGACGAAGCCTACCGTCGGAGTCTTGCCATGGGTGAGACCCAGAACACGGGCATGGCAGGGGAACGGCGACAGCGCGCACGCTTCGCACCCGATAATTGGGCACCCCACGATTCGAACATCTTCTCTTAGTCAGTATCTCGTCCACGGCATGACCTGTGGTCAGAGATTAGTGTGGAGGAGCAACGTGCACGTACCTCACTACCGCGGCATGTCTTCTGCCCAGGGAGGTTTGAGAGTCAGAGATGAGCAAGAAGGGAAGGCATTTTCCTGTATTTTGCCATGGGCGTGACCCAGAGGTTGGGGCGCGATATATATGTCTCTCAGAGAACGAAGCTCCGCAGTGTCCGACGGCATTTGTAAGGGTTGCAGCACAAACGTGACTGCAAAGCCACACGAGCGTGATAGACTCCGTACACAATCGCACGGTGCGTATCATGCCAGTGACCATCAAACGGTTCCCTCGAGAAACGTGGGCAAGACGCAGAGAAGACACGCCAGAAGGCCACAGTCCATTGAGTGAAACCTCGCCGTGGGCGCGACGAAGATCACGGTAGAGGGCATATACATAACATTGATGCACATCCTGAAGGCGCAGCCCGTGACCATAGTCCGACAACCGGGATCCGTGACACGCACGCGACTTAGTCAGTCCTTCGTCGCGGGCGTGACCGGACCCAAGCTAGTGGACACACCAGCGTAGGAAATAGCAGGGAAGAGTTGGGGAAGAGCGGGGAAAAGTGAGAGTGGGACAAGGCGATATCGCTCGCGTGCAGTACCAGGACGACGGCGTCCCGCCTGATGCATCTCGCATCAGACATCTTGCATTTCGCATCTAGTGCGGGGTGTGCCCACGGGGAGGTGCGAAGGAAAGGGGAAAAGAAGGGTAGGCAGCTGCCGCTGCTGCAACGAGTCTGTATACCGCGAGGAGGGGTTCTGTGGTTCTCAGTGCTTGCACGGGACGAGCAGTGGCAGAATGAATACGCAACGGGGGAGATCATGTCCTGAAATGAAAGGGATAAGCGGAAAAAGACACGCCGGATCTCCTGCGGAGAGGCCGATACTGAATAGCAACGCGGCCGCCAGGCAGCCTGTGCAGCAGTACCGTGCAGCAATACAGATTGCAGAGCACACCAGATGTTCAATATTGCGTGTGGCGGCCGTGCACCGAGGTCCGAGGTCCGGAGTCGAGCATAGCAGCGGAACTGACACCGAGCGCAAGAGCTACAGGCGGGAGTCCGTGAACGCGGGGAATTTGGGTGACAGCCCAGCTGCTGAGTTGGAATGGTCGAGCATGAGCACCAGAAGGGCTAACTCCCTTACCTGCACGCCAGAGCGAAGTATCCGCACGCACCAGGCATCGCACGCAGCCGGTCCCGCAGTGAGAAAGACATACTGTGGATCGAGCACGACACCGCTCCCCACCCCGCTGGCAATGACGCCCTCTCAAAAACCTATCCCAACGATTGGAGAAGTAAGAGGGAGGAAGGGTCGCCATGCGGGCCAGAAGGCGCGGCGGGACGGCGTGCCGCGACAGGCGGCCTGCGCAGCAATACAGATTGCGAATTTGCTCACTCGATGTTCAATGTTGTGTACGGCGGCCATGCTCCGAGGTCGGGGTCCGAGATCGAGCGGGACAGCAAAACCAAAAGCGAAACCGAGCACGAGAACCAGAGTGGCAAATGGGGGGAATCCGTGAATCCGCCTGCTGCTGGGTTGGAATGGTCGAGCATGAGCGCCGGCCCCAAGGAGGGGAGAGCGGCCAAAGCCCCCACCTGCACATTCAGAACAATGCCCAAGCACGGACGGCACACCGCGCATACTGTTCCCGCGGCCGCAGTGGGATCGTTCTCCTTTTCGCTGGCAATAGTGCCCTTTAAAAAGCCTATCCCATCTAATCTAGCGATCGCAGAAGCAAAGGGGAGGGGGAGCGTGGCCATGCGGGGCGCGGTGGGAGGATGGCTCTGCAGCACACCTCCGATATCCGTATATCAATCAGGGAGCAGCGCCGCGGAGGTGCTCGCGCTCGCGCCGCACCGAGTCTGAAGCTCGAAGCTTGGCGATCAGGAGCTCGACGAAGCTTTTGAAATATGGAGTCCGAGGGGCCTGAATTTTGAATCGCGTTATGCAGCCTCGATACCGTAATGCGCGCAGACCCATTGGCTGGCGCAGCACTGCGAGCCAGCTGGGTACTTGGCTGCACATCGAGGATCGAGGGCCACGGCCAATCGAACGTCAGGCATTTGAGCGAGGCCTCTCCTCGAGCTGCCCATGTTAACCTGGGCGACGCGGTACCGAAAACCTGATATTTTGCCCGCGCGCGAGAGGCGTTCAGCCGCGGAGAGGACTTGATAATTGTTGATGATTATTCTTGCGACCGACCGCGTGGCGACAACATGATACTGCTGAGAAAAACATCGGACGGATCGCGGGAATCTGCGGTCCCGAGGGTCTGCAATGCGTGGTTCAAGGAGCGCCGGATCATCCACTCTGCCCGACTGGAGTGGGAGCTGCGCATCCTTCAATGTTTGTGCGTCGTTGAAAAGACGAGCCGTGTTGATGATAACCAGCGACGCGGCCTCGGAACAAGGACCGCATGGCAAGATCATGATAATGCTGAGAAACCATCTCAGAGTCCGTGAGGATCTGCGGTCCCGAGGGTTGGCAATAGCTGGTCCAAGAGGCACTGGATGACGCCGTCTTTGAGCGAGGCCCGACTGGAGAGGGCGCCGCACGGACGCGACGCAGCTGCGCACCCCCCAATATTTCAGCACGTCGTCGCAAAACACCAGCCGGACGCTCTCGACTCGACTCGACGCGCAGCGCGCAGTGCGGCGGCTCAGAAAACCAGATGAAGGATCCAGCCAGCTGCCAGCCATCCTTCGCATTGGCAACATGTGGCGCTGTTCGAACCGTTCCATCCAAGGGAATGACATCTGAAATCCGCGGACAGCTGAGCACAGCATTCATTCAATGGCCGCAAGTACCTGCAGAGAAGCCCGATGTTATATCGATATCTCGGGTCGTCAGCATGCGGCATACAGCCACTCCTGTGGGTGTCCCTGCTCCTGCCGGAGAACCACGACGTGATCGATGCGGGCGTGCACAGGGTAGATGATATCGAAGGTGATGCACAGCTCCGGGAAGGAATACCTAGAAGGTCATTCCTGTCTGGGTCTTGGGTCAATATTGGCCACGCATGCCGGCGCGCATGTGCCATGGAGGCCGACCGCCCAGAGGATCCTGGATGGGTGGACAAGCCGGGGGTACGCGCGAGCGCTTTACCGAGGCGTGCGCGTACAGTGCTGCGGGAGGACGAGCTGGAGCGGTCGTTGGAGGTCCGCGGAGAGATTGGCCTTGCGTCGCGACTTCGCAGTGAATCCACAGAACGTGCACGAAGTGCTGGGCGCCCAGAGAGTCGAAAAGCACTGGGCCGAAGATGCTTGCACCAAGGCGTGCACTGCGCAGAGGAGCTTGACATGACGGGACACCTGAAACCATCCTAGATATGTAAACCTGGGACAAATGCAGAGTTTGTCGACCAATTTGGTATGCTCGTAAAGTGTGTTGCAGTGTGAGTTGTCGAAATCTGGCATTTGCCTCGAGAAGTGAATGGAGAACTCGATTGAGGCGTTGGAATTTGCGGCGTGTACAAATTCATGCTTCACGCTGACCGGAAACTGAAACATAGTGATAGTGCGACCTCCAGCATTTATGGGATCAGCAAATCCGAGTTCGTCTCAGGTGGGAGCTTGAGGTGCGCTCCGGCGGAGAGCGTATCTCGACATCGAGACGCGATCGGGAGAGGCGAGGCAAGTAAGCCGTAAGCACATCGGCGAATTCGTTGCATCGCTCGTGGACATGTGGACAACGGACAATGCCCCAAAAGGTCGTCGCCAAAACCTCCCGATTTTGGAGTTTTCTGTCCGGACCGGTTTTGGCAAAATTTGTCCGGAAATTGGCGAAGGGCCCTATGTGCGCTCTCGCATGAGTGGCGACAAATTACGGTGTGCGAGGTGTGGGAAGAGCAGCCGCGGCAGCAGTAGGCCCTGCAGATCACGAGATTGCGTCTGCGCATGTAATCATGCAGCTGCTGGGATGACAGAGAACTGAGTTAAATGTGGGTCACGGACGTTCTGCGGGGTAGTAGCCGATCCACACCTAGTAGCGAAGGGGAGGAAATGAGTTTGTGGCGCTCGCCGACGGTGGGATGCGCGCCAGAGATGTTAGGATTGGCCAATGGAGGAGAGGGTATTTGCTCACGGCGGCTCGCTGGGGCATGATGCGGGGGTGAGGTGCGGAAGGCGCTGCAAAGTGACGCGGCGACGAGGCATGCACTGGCGATTTGGAGCCTGTGCGATGCCTGCACACGCTGGGCGTGTGCACGAAGTCCTGCGAAATGCCGGTGGCGTGCAGACGTGGGCGTGACGACGCACCGGGGAACAGGGATCAATTGCACACGGAGAAGGGATACGAGGATACAAATACCGCGACGAGTCTGTACACCGGCGGGTTCTGTCGTTCCGAGTGCTCACACGGGGCAGATGAGCAAGCAAGGGGAAGATCACGCCCTGCATACAATGAAAGAGACGTGCGCGGACAGCTCTGCGCAAGGGCCGACACGCGCCTCGGCAGACGCCCGCGCAAATGGAAGGTCTCCCATTGGTGGAGGTAGCCCCAGCCAATCACGGCGGGGGGATTACGTGAGGCACGGGATGGCTGCACCGCGCCTCGCATCGACCATTGCAACAACTTCGATTTATATACCTGTCACCATGTCCTCCTCGTCCACCCCGCTTCTTAACACTCCTCCTCCACCGTGCTACCTCTTACTGCCCCCCGACCCCTGCTCCTCCATGTCTTCCGATAAGCCAGTATCCATTCCGCTCCCCTCTCGCTCCTCCTCTGACAAGAAGTCGTCTCCCGTCTGGTCGCTCACCAACCACCCGCCAGACGCAGTCCCTCTCCCTTCCAAGTGCGACAGGGAACACCCAACCCGTGAAGGTGTCTGCTGCAAGACCCTCAAGGAAGAAGAGCGCACCCTCATCGACCCAGACATCGTCCGCGACGTGTAAGTCCCTCTTCTCCTTTCCGCTTCTCACCGTCTCCAAGCCACTCCTCCCATTTTTCTCACTCTTCTCCTGCTCTTCGTGGTCGCCTAGCCATCACAATGGCCCCGCTGACCCGTTTTCGCCTCTAGCATCATCGGCCTCTCAGACGGCCTCACCGTCCCCTTCGCTCTCACAGCCGGCCTCTCCTCTCTCGGCACCTCCCGCCTCGTCATCATCGGCGGCGTTTCAGAGCTCATAGCCGGTGCCATCTCCATGGGTATCGGCGGCTTCCTCGCCTCCCAGGCCGAGCGCGACCACTACCGTTTCCTCCGCCGCGCCACCTCACACCGCGTCCTCCGCTCCTGCGACGGCGAGATGGAGCGCGAGGTCTACGACATCCTCGGCCCTGTCGGCGTCGACGAGAAGACCAGTCGCGCGGTCGCCGAGTGCCTCCGTCGCATCGAGGTCGACTCCGCAGGCGAGGACATCTCGTCCAGCTCTAGCACTTGCCCCGAGAGCGGCATGCGCCTCGACAAGAACGTCGGTCTCTCCGGCTTCCTTCTCAAGTTTGGCGAGAACCTCGAGGAGGTGCCCACACGCCGCCTATACATATCTGCGTTCACAATCGGCATGGGCTACCTCCTCGGTGGCATCGTACCTCTCATCCCGTACTTCTGTGGTGAGCATCCTCCCCTTTTCGTTCCCTCCTTTTTTTCTTTGTTGTTCCATTTTCCCTCGCCCCGCCGTGTGGCACTGCTATGTTATTTTTGGCTTTTTTTACTTTTTATTTCTCATCGTCACGTTGTGCACTATTTTTCAGTCAGCATGCTGACACACGCCCCACAGAGCCCGTGGCGCACAAAGCGCTCGTCTGGTCGTGCGTCGTGACCGGCATCATCCTCCTCATCTTCGGCGTCGTCAAGGCGCGCGTCACCGGCGCCGGCCGCAACTTCGGCACCTACCTCTGGGGCGCACTTACCACGCTCGCGGTCGGCGGCTCGGCCGCTGCCGCAGCGTATGGCCTCGTCGCAGTGATGCAGAAGTATGATAAATGACGCTCGGTCGCTGTGGAGGAGGGTTGGTGCTGGAGGTCTGGTCGGTGGGTCGGTGCGGTCGGTCTCGGTTTTGGGATGAGATGGGGTTGGTTGGGCGGTGGTTTGAAGAGGAGGAAGCGGGAGGGCATCGAGGCCGGGCCTCGCTTCGCACCGCAACACAACGCAACGCAACGCAAATTAGAACCGCCGCATCGCCGTGTCCCCTTCGCCGTGCAACGTCGCTGGCCGCTCTCCGCTCTGTTCGGTTCGGACTCAATACTCCCCGCATTCTCGCATTCTCGCATCTACACACTCGCGTTTTTCGCATCCGGCTCAGGGTGCAGTCCCCAATTCAATACCCCGATTCCCTCTCCCACGCACGAAACACACGTTCCTTCGCAGACGGCGATACGGCGACGCGGCACGGACGTGGCTGCGCTGTATACACGTACTTTGCTCGGGAGTAGTTCATGTACCCTACGATGTTTACGTCCATTTAGTGTAATACGTATAACGACGCTAGAATGCGCTTCGACTCCATCTGCTTGACGGAGGTCTCTTTGATGCCGAGTTGTGCGGTGAACAGAACTGAGGATCTTGGGAAGCTAATCAGCCTGTCGGGCATTTGGCACAGTGGTAGCGCGCACGCTTCGCATCGTGCCAAGCCAGAATGAGCTGCGTGAGGTCCAGGGTTCAATCCCCTGAATGTCCATAATGCGGAAGATCTGTAACTGTTTTCCTCCAGTGAGGTTCTGAAGCAACTCTGAACGACCGTGGTGGTAGTACATATAGGTAGGATCTTCAAGTTGGCCTGAACCTCCTCGCACCGTAAATAGTAAACTTTGCAGCTTCTCGGCTAGCTCCCCACGCAGGTCGATGTGCGCGGCTGCCGCATCATGCAATGAACGCCTCCCACGAGCGAGGATAAGAATCAGCAGTATGCCTGGCCACCACACGTTCCACCTCTCCGACAGCGAGATCGCGCTGCGGCTGCTGCCGGAGCTGCAGAACTTCCGCAACGCGCTGCAGACATACTGGTCCGAGGAGGGCCCCGCCGGCGTCCCAGCAATGCGGGCGGTCCGTCCGATAGCAGCAACGAGCCTGCCCTGCAGGTGTTGTTGTCGATGCAGGTGGGATGGACAAATAGACAAGCTGGGGGCGGGGGCGCGTTCGACGTCGCTTGGGTGCAGCCGTCCTCTTCGAGCGCGCCGAGCAGTCCCGGAGAGAGCGCGGTCGAGAAAAGCGGAGAGGCCTCAGATACCGGACTCTCAAGTCGTGGGTCCAGAAATGAAATTCATCTCGGAGTGAGGTGGCTAGGGTCAACCTATGGCCAAATAACAGTTCTCCCATGTCGTAAGTGTATTGCATAGAGGCACTTGGCTGTCTTCCCAGTTGTTTATTAGGTCTGATTGGTTGTCACTGCATGGTGGCGCTCACCGTTCAAGAACCTGACTGAGCACCGAGTATGCTCACTTTATATTTGGGTGAGGGTTTGAGAAGAATCGGTGGCCCTGAGAGTTGCAAATACGTATGCTACGGGAACAGGAAAATGCCCATTGTTGGGCTCTCAAATGTAAAATCTGGATATACCCAGGGAGATTACCTCGGTCCTGGGATGGGGTTCCTGTTAGCTGTCTGTCTCTCCGTGTGCTGTCCATGCCATTCCCAGCGAACAATTCATCTGGTACCTACATATCAATACCTCGGTAAATAGTTCTCCACTGCGGTCTGCTGAACATCTTTCATGATGAATCTGTTGCGTTGCACGCTGTCACCTGTCGTCAATCGCCAGGCAAAAGACGCGTGACGCGCATAGCTCACCAGAGAGGCCCTGCAGCCCGCCCACGACATTGTAACAGTTGTACGCAGGCGACTCGCCATTCGGCGGCGTCACATTCAGGCCCGAGAACGTGATGTTCGGGCAAGGCGCATCGGGGCTGCACCGGATGTCGACAACTGCGGGAAGTGGTTCATCAGTCGGGAGAAGAGGCGGACACAGAGAGGGCGTACGAAGATTTCTTAATGCCGTCCCCGTGATGTTCGAGAACGACAGGTTCTCAAATTGCAGCTCGGAGGGCGCGTCGCCTCTGCAGGACACAGATGAGGAGCATACATTTCGCAGTGACTATCGGTAACGCACGGGAGTCCCGAGTTTGTTTGGTACAGCTGCACGGGAGACGTGACGTTGTCTACGTACATGTTGCGGATCTCGATGCCGGTGACAAGACCTGATCCACATGTTCGACGCCATGAGTGAATTATTATATGACCTGCGCTCACCTGGGCCCCCACCGCCTCCCGTAGGGGGAAAGCCTATCCTTGTCCCTGTCCACGATTTGAAGTACACCTGTGAAGATATAAGTGTCCTTGCACTATCGAAGGCAATGCCCCCCACTCACCCCGTGGATCATATTGGGCTGGATCACAGGGTCGGGACGAAGTAACTGGGCGGAACATATTAAATATTGACCTTGCGGGGTAAAATTGCAGACCAACGGCCAAGTCCTCCATGACAACATTGTTGACGTTGTCAGCCTGCAGAGCCTCCGTGAATTTATGGTAGATATGCCCAGCAAGTCCATGCATACCAGATTTGCATATTGTCCCAGGGACCCGAAAGCAATGCCATTCCCGCCACGGCAGGTGATATTTTTGGCGTATATATTCGTGGAGTTCTGTATGACAACGTTAGTGTTCCTCCGCCTTTGCAGTGGGCATCTTGCGCACCCCTTTGATGGCAATGCAGTCGTCTCCACTCGTGATCTGCAAAAGCAAGTCAGCGGCGTCTCAGAAATGCATGCATACCGAAAACGCGCACATCCCAATTGATGAGCGTGATGTTATCAGAACGGTATGTGTCGATGCCTGCGCATATTACGTTCAGCATCTTGTTCCGACATTCTCCAGAAGTACCTTCTTACCATCTGTGTTCGGCACAACGCTGCAGATGCACACGAGAATGAATAGCCTGAGATCCGTCTGTGTAAATGAGCTAATTCTTGGCACTTACTTTTGGTTGAAGTACAGCGGGTCTGAATTCGACGCGTTCGTCCACATCCCGTCATACACCACGTTCTTGGAATCCACGACGGCGTTGCACCAAAACGGCGGGTGGTCGATCCTGAAGTCCTTGATGGTCCCACCAGTCACGTTCACGAGCGACAAGGAAACAGGTCGGCCATCACCGTCCTCGCGAGATGCGTTGCCATACCAAGACCACCACTGTTGGCCGTTACCGATAATACCGCCCATGTTGTGTGCGTCGACGATGAAATCGTTGCCTGTGATGACGAACCAGGAGGCTTGACTCTGTTTTGAGTGTCGGCGTTGACTGAAACATGGGAGGTTTGGGACGCACTTGGATGAAGATCACCCTGTAAGTATTAGCTGGGTCCATCCAGTAGGGAAGGTCAAATTTGAACTATGCATGATAGAGTAAGTATCTCAGCTTGATACGCTAATTCTGTCCACCCACGTTGAGGTAGCCTTCAAGGTCAACCCTCGCCGACTGAAGGTTCCAAGTCATCTTCCTAGACAAAAGTCAGGACAAGACGGCAAAACTAACTGAAGACAACTTCACCTAGTAATGTTGTATTCACCTGGCGCGAACACCGTGTTACAGCCATGGCCACATTTCTTGATAGCGGCTTCAATCTGGACCATACAAATGTGTCAAGGCCCACATTTAATACCGCACAACATACCTGATCGGTATCATCCTGACCGGCGCCAAGTGGTGACAACGAACAATTCGGACTAGCCCAAGCACAGGCCTGACCGACGAGGAGTGCTACAGACACAACTTGCGTGCAAAGCGAACGAAACATCGTGCCTCAAATGAGAGAAAAAAACCGAGCCGATGATGTCGCGAAGCCCCCATAATTTATCGTCCATGCTTTAACCAGTCGCAGAAAGGGTCCTGAAGCGCGATCTAGCCGTCACGAGAAGTGAAAGAAGAACAGCTCTCTCCGTCACGTGTCTGGCGGGCCGGGACATGGACGTCGATGGCAGCGCTTGCAGAAGAGGAGAGCCAACTGACCACCACTCAGGACGGGTCGCGGATCGCAGGTTCGGGAGAAGGGGTGGGTCCAAAGAGGAAGTTCGGGTCCTTGCAGAATGTTGACGTCAGTATGGAGAAACAGACCGCTGTATCTCCGCCGCGAAGAACACGCCACCGGTTTGTGGAATTGAAGAAGTGGGAGTGATTCCCAGTCTCTTTTTGTGGTGGAGAGCCTCTACGTGACACGTGCGCAGCCCGTGGCCGGAGAGAAAAGCCATCATCTTCATATCCCCAATGAGAGTATAGTTTGCTAAAATTTCGTTGACCTCGAAGATCGTGAATGCCCAGCGAGAGCGATGCTCAACGCACATGGATCTTGGGACTAGACTTATGATGAGCACACTGTCAAACTCACTTAGTCGTCGAAAATCGATCGCTGCCGCCATAGAGGGAGACGGGGAGGATGATCGATGAGTCTCGAAAAGACCCTGACTGGACTCAATGCGAAAGAAAACTAGATGGAGAGGTCTGATGCGCGAGAAGCAGTCGCTGAGCGGCACGTATTCCTCGAGATCAGGACCGAAATACCAGCTGCCCGTGAAAGCGACGATTCACCGCAAGAACGGACATAGGATAAGGTAGAGCGCACACGACCGGTTGGAACAACCCCCGCTCACAAATGGCACTGCAAGAAAGGTGCCGCAAGTTAGGCGTTCATCTCGGACAAATGTAAACCGTACCACACATTCATTCACCGAGTGGTTTGTAGATTCTCGGGACAGCATTTGCTGGAACGTAGAAAAGTACATATCAGCAGGATGTAGGAACATATGCCGACAGCGCAAGCCCGATGTTGCATCCTGTCACAAACTTCGCGGGTCGTATGGCTTCCATCTTCTTAGTTGCCTAAAGGATCATGATAAAAATAGCACATGTTCTCCCTGAAGCGGTGGATTCTACAGTCGATAATACGAGAAACAAAGAAGACCGCCCTCCGAGTCTGTATTGTGCGACCTACGTCGCCATGGCCGGGCGCCCGTGTGGAGTGCGATCATGTGACAAACGCGTCGAGTGAAGCGCTCAAATCCCTTTAGCATAAAAGGAGCAGCTTACCTCCCTGACCCCCATTCACCAGTACCACCACCATCCACTCACACGACGAACCATCTCTGCATACTACGGCGCTCCTCAACCCTCTGCATACGAACTTGTTACAGAACACTTACTTTGAGGTACACTCGGCGTGCCACTGGAAAATGGGCCACCGGCTCCTCAGCTCCTCGGCTTCGACCTGTCGCTCTCCCGGCCACGGTAAACTCCTCCGCCATCTTTTAAAGGGTGGAGGTGCGCTCGGGCATCAGCTGTGTGACGGACATGTTTCTTCGCTGTGCTCACAGCCACCTGGATCGCTCCCGACTTTGGAATTACACCCTCCCAGGCTATACAGAACAACCATCATCATAGTTCGTTCATACCGTCGCCATGAAGGACTTGGCCGAAATCCCCCCTCGACCACGAACAAGGCGGGGGTTCTTCCGCCCGCACGATACGTTGACCTCGTGCGAGGTAGAGCCGTACATCGCACCCCCAGCTCCTCGGCTGCGGCCTATTGCTCTTCCAGCCGTGGCACCACTGCCAGACTGGCAGCAAGACGCATCCAGCGACGAAGGCGGATACGGCTATGCGCAAACCTGTCTGTCATCTCCTGAAGGCGGAGGTACGCTAGTGCATCTTCTTCCCTTATTGCTACAGCCGCTCATGCACCCGCAGTAGTCCCGTCTTTGGAGCCAGGCCTCCAAGTTGGCCTTCCCAGTCCAGGCGGTCGTGGTGGACATACCTGAAAAATATGCCCGCATGCTGAGCCAACCCGCAGTATCACTCCCAGTTTCGCGCATGGTTGTCGACGTGCTGGACTCGGAATCAGGGTTTACGATGCGTTGCACGCCGGCGCCATGAAAGTCAAGCTGGCGTGGTCTTTGTACCGCCAGCTTGAGCAATATGCCCCCGGCGTTGAGCCAGCCCGCAGTATCTCCCCCGGTTTCGCGAATGGTCGTTGACGTGCTCGAATGGGGGGTACTCCAGGTAACGGTCGTGGATGCGCACGGCGGGTGCGCATTCGTGACCGTTTACGATATAATTTCTCAGGTGGCACAGGCTCTGCAAGAGCCAGCAGACGAGGCATACGTAGGGCGCTTTAGCCCAGATGCCCGCCGCTTTCAGAAAGCGAGGATGCGAGGAGTAACGCACCATACTAATTGATGTATGGGGATAGTCGAGGGATCGGGAAGGGCAGTGCACACAAAGACAAACCAACGACGGTACGATGCTGCCACTGATCCATGCTCCGTGGAAAAACTCATTGGCGAACAGAGATAGATATGCTGCTTACCTTCGCGCAACTGGCACTCCGGAAACCGATCATTATTCGACCCGGGCACGGAGTCAAAATGCGCGACCTATTGTTGAGGTCCACCTCCAAAAACTCTTAGCCAAGATTAGGGTGGTCTCTGGATAGGCAGGATAGCATGGAGAGGTTTTGCAGCAGGCCTGTATTCTATGTCTTTGTTGTTCTAATCATGCTGATATTGTGCTAAGAATGCACATGCCAATCCCCCCTTCTCTCTCTACCTTCTGTACACTCTTTACTTGCTCTACCTCTTGTACACCCTTTACTTGCTCTACCTGGTGTACCTGTACTATGTGTACAGGTTTCACAGGTCCAACAAACTCATACCTGGACTATAACCTTTACTATAACTATACTTGGACCTTCCTATAGTTAACTACACTACTATGTTCCTGCCTAGATTTCGGATGATGTTTCTTACTGTCCTGCTACAAGTGCAAATCACCACGGATTTAGATTTCCAAACTACAGGTCATTATCTCACATAGATAAGTAGTGTATCAAGTGGGATGATTCCGGCACTCTAACTATAGTGCGCATGGCAAATTAATTAAATTAATTCAAGAGGAAGAAGAGAATACAGAACAAGCAAAAGCCTGTCTTCCTCATTTCAAGTGACACCCTGCACAAGATTTAACCAGGCTCTCTGCTTGTCTGAAAAGAGGACCTTAAATTAAGACTGGGCACTCAATCTAATCAAATATTTCTGCTGAAGGTCCTAGTCTGATCATTGTTGTCATTTGTTATATTTGTAGTACCAGTATAACCAATGCTCTGCAGGCTCTCTGAAGTTGGGAGCTTCACTAAGTGCTACATAGTGTGCTATCTTAGTCCGGATGAAGTTTCTTACTGTCCTGCTACGAGTGCAAACCCGGACTGGTAGCAGGCAACATAAGTAGATGATTAATCACCCATTCTCATGGGCGTTTGGCACAGTGGTAGCGCGCATGCTTTGCAGTCACTGCAAGTTGCATGAGGTCGAGGGTTCAAACCCCTCAATGTCCATCCACCTCGAACTCTCTAGCTTTTTCTAGGGCGGACTGCACGCGACTTCAATCCAATGGGTGTATCCGTTTTGCCCCTTGATCACGGTCGGCCCTTGACTGGAAAATTGCTTTCAAGTTTTTGACACCTTCTCTCTGGCCATTATGTACTCATTTTCACCCTCAGGTTTTCTGGAAAACATTCCTTTAATTCCCGGGTCTCCTGAAACCGCCACAGCAGTCGAGGAAGCCGAAGTATGGCGTTTTGCTCCCCGACGCCAGCCCAGATGCTCAGCGGCGCACCTCGTCTTGGCGTCCGCCATCCTAATATCCGTGATTAGCCTCTGCTGGAATGCCTTCACGCTCTTTTCTGTCTCTAGTTTCACCAGTGGCACTGGACATGACATAGGCGTCCTCACCATGGCCGCCACATCGCGTGCCTTGCGCCATCCTAGTCTCTATCCGGGCATACAGAGGGTAACAGAAATAAAGGCGATCATGCACGTGGAGAGCTTTGTGGCACAGGCCAAGGCGAGTGCTCACGCCGCGGATGAGGCGGGCGCGACACCCCCATCTGTCCAGCCTATCCCGAGCAGCGCGTTGCGGCCTACTGCTGTTGGGCGTGTGAACGCGCTGCGTCCATACCAACAATACCCGCAGGATGGGTGGGTGCTGCTCACTGAACAGGTTAGTGCATTGAATATTTTACCATGATACTGAATACAATAACTTCGCAGGACCACGCTATTATGGAGTTCCGCCCGACCCACCCTGATTCGACAAACTGCATGCTCAAGGGCACGTTCCCTATGCGCCATGCACTCGAGCACAAGCTGCTTACTATCGAGGTCGACGACCCTGCGCAGGATGCGCCGCTCATACAAGCCTCCGTTCTATCCGGCTCTACGATTTCCGAATTCTCGCACATCACATGGATAACCCGCCCAAATGTACGCGATGATCTCGGTACATTGGACGCCGCATTCGGCGTTGATTGGCAGACACGATCATTCGCGTGCACTCCGGGCGAGCGCGTGCTCGTTGAACTTGCATGTGTGGGCTCGGGATGCAGAATTGAGTATAACTGGCTGGAAGAGAGTGCACTGCCGCGATTCGGTATGTATCCATTTCGCTTGCAGCGGAATGATATTTCTGACTCGCGTTCACACGAGTAGGCATCGAATTAGCTCAGGTACAATAGACGAGCAGCTCCTGCTTGCCGGTTGGTCATTCGCCTGGCCATTCGTTTCACAGGGACAATTGCATGACACGGATCACTTGAGTGTCTAAGCTATACGCGGACGTTCTCTGGTTTCTGACTGCGTTCGTAATGCTACATACCCTTTGTTTCTGTTTACAAGCTCAGTGATGAACTTCCGCGATAGATTGCTCGTGATCCCCTGCAAAAAATTTCCCAAAGAGTGTCGAATTTGAATGAATGTAGGTCCACGTAAAGACATCCGCTCAGGCGCCTCCCGTTGCATTGTCCTTCTCGAACCTCTTCCACGCCACGTAATTCCTCTCCGCAAACTCATGCACCTTACCCCAATCTCGACACACATGCGTCACGCCGTTCCCATACCCGACATCCCGTGAGCCCTGGACGAGCTCCGCCTCGAGCGCAACATCTGCCGCGCACAGGATGCCCTCCCGCATGTAATTCAAGCAGTGCGTCAGGTGTTTGACCACGCCCACGTCTGCTCCGTTGGCTATTATGGGTGGGTGCAGGACGGCCTCACGCAGAGAGTCCAAGCAGTGCAACTGATGGAACATCGCGAGGCCGAAGAAGCGCTTCTCCGGGCCCAGGCGCACGAACCCCCGCTCGTTCCCAGGCAGCAGAGCGCGGTACTCTGCCGCGGCGTCGCCCGAGTCGAGTGCGTAGTGCCGCGTGTCCTCCGTAGTGAGCGCGACGGGCGGGCCCAGGTCTAGTGGGAGCACAGCGGGGTAGTCATCGTCGAGCCATGCTGGTGCGTGCAATACAAGTAATATGTGGATCATCTACTTCAGGCGAGTGAGAAGTTGCAGAGCGAGAGAGACGCACTGTAGGGCGTGTTGTCCAGCCAAACATTACTAGATGGTGGTGTTGGCGGGGACGCGGCCGCGCAGGCTGCACTGTTCACCTGCGCTTGTGTCTGCATCCACGTTGTTGCAAGTTGCATGAGCCCAGAGGCTAGCAGCATCGCACTCGCCAGCATGATTGCCCGCGAGGACGCGCTCGCCATATCCCCTAGTATATCTACGCTAGTGGGGATGGAGGTGGATAGTGGAAGGAATGAGAGAATGGCACAGCGGATGCGGACAATGCGGCCATCTCTTGGACCCTTCCCTTCCCCTTTCCTGTCACATCGCAGCGATGTCCCTCCACGTAAGTACGTAAACAGATTCAATCGCACCGTGAAATTTTTTATGTGAATGACAGTAGACGCTGAAGACAGACTTCTCAGATTCTGCAGATCCGGAGAGTGCTCACGCTGCAGGCATTAATATTACTGTACTGATTGCATTGGAGGACTACTGACAGTATAAGGGCGTAGCAACCTGCTTGCTTTCCTTTATCTGGCTCACAATACAAAATCTTCTCAAAGTCGGACGGAGGTTGCTCAATTCTTCAACCAACGTCATTAGTTTCACGACTGCGCAGGTTGTACAACGGAATAGAACGTGAGTGCTGTTTTTCTGTATTGTCTCCTAATTGAGCATTGCTCTAGAAAATGCACGGCGTTTCGTCAAATTTGACGTCGATGCCATACAGCGAGTCGCGTGTGCTGCAATTGGAGCTCAGCGATGTACCCATTTCAAAAAAGTAGACGAAGGTGAGGGGATTTTGATATTGGAAAGTTCTATTGTGACATGATATACAGGCTCGTATAACAAGGTTTTTATGCTTGGTTTCGACAATTGACAAGAAGTTATCCCACGTATTCCTTACCCTGTAGCTGGACCACTCTTCCTTACCACAGCTAATGAGGGGCCACGATGGAATTCGTAAGAGATGTACGCCGGATTCCCGCTCCTCGTGTTTACGCATGGAGCTCGCGCCAATGAGGATCCTGTAGGTGGTGAGTACATTATCATGGAGAAGATACATATGGGGCATGGAATCCCACTATCGATCCACGAAGCTTGCGAAGGGCCCCGAAGTCCTTCCTCTGATGTATGGCGTGTTCGACATAGAGCGTAGCTTCGAGAGCGCACCCTTCTCCCAGTTTGGCAGCCTCTATTTCAAGGACGATGTAGACAGTGAGTTGCAAGATTGTCCCTTATTTATCCCAGACAGCCTTCCAGATAATGATCCTGAGCTCCTGGAAAAGCTTAAAGCTGCAAGCGAAAAGTATCGCATTGGCCCAATGATCGTCGACCGTCAGTACTTGGTGGCGGGCAGGACGAGTTGATATGACTGTTGATCGGGACCCTTGTGGGTTGTTCAAACTCATTGTCCTACCGGTGTGCAAGTTTCTAACAGAAAACCCTTGGTAGGGCCTGGTATGTGCTCATTCCTTCTTGCCGCCACACGTCTGGAATGCGAGTGGCTTCGTCGCTACACTTCTCAAGACGTCTATGCACGGACATGTCGTCGGTCCTTCCACAATGTGGAAGCCGATCACAAGTTCCTGGACATGTACGCCCATGCCATCACCCCCTCTTTTGCTTAGTAGCCCAACGCTGTGGCATCCCGACATCAGTCATTCAAATTTACTCATTTCTCCAGAGGGTCCAGGAGCAATTCGGGCTTTCATCGATTAGCAACACAGTGTCATAGCACCGTACTGCATGCAAGCTTCGTTTCCCCGTGCCCTTACCTACCACGGCGGTCTGATCGATATTCCGAAGGATCGAGTCCCCTCCAAAGCTCCATGAACACTTTCCAAACCTTGGTTCGAAAGAGCAGGAGGTCTATCGAATACACTTGAAGCTAGCCATGAGACACGAGGTATACGATCAGAAAATTGTAGAGGAGAACACACGTCATCACATGCCGTTAGCGATGCCGTTTGGTACACAGCTTGCCTTGCCACCCTATCAGGTCATACGATCGTGGAGCGACAACTTGGTACTCCTACGACAAGCTCTCGTAGACCTTCGCGATGTCTGGGACGTTGTCGCCCCGGAGACTATTCCTTGTCCCATCTCTTTTACGAAGAAGAGCTCCGACAGCAGGAACCAGAGTTGGAGACATACAAGAGGTACGAGGCGTCCATTAAAACTCATGACTTGGACCTTCACAGCGGAGGTGACGGGTGGGTATCCAACAAAGACTACCCACAGGTGGTAGACACCTGGAGCAAACGGAGACGGGAGTGGAACGAGTTGGAGCGGGGCGGTCCGTTTCCCTATGACGATGGAATGTTCTCATTCTTCCTGTCCTGATCCTCGCATGTAACCCCGAAACGCGTTTAACGGTCGCATGTGTGGTTTCACTGTAATCCAGAAACCGTAGATAATATACTCTGCGACCGAACACAGGTGAGTCTAACGTATGCCCTATCCTACCCTATGTACCATACCACGTCTGTCTCGAAGAGTCCCAGGGAAACTACCCAGAATCGCTCACCGTGGGGGCACGGTCTACGTCGCGAAGATGCCAATGATTTTGAACGGGGGAACATTACGGTCGTCCTCCTCGCCCATCAGCTGGCACTCAACAAAGTGCGACCCGCGTGACACGCGGTGGTCGATCAGCTCCAGTCTGCAAGTCGGACGTAAGCCTCGATGAGAACTTGGTATTTTTCTGAGAAGAGGCACTTACGCAGGGGTAGATTCGCCGACTTGCGCAGCGTTCTCGATGGAGACCGCGCCGGAGTAGTTGTCATCCACCCAGCACTCTACCGCGCTGCCCAGGCCTACCTGCGTCGTGGGCTCTTTCACATAGTACACGCCCACATCGCCCGCAAAGACCTGTATACTCACGCGGAGCTTACTCGTAGGCAGGGTCGAGTAGAAGTAGTGCGCATGCGATGAGAGGTCCGCCGATCCGGGGCGCGGGTGGTACGCCGCCCAGCCGGAGCCCGCGAATTGCGAGAGCGGCAGCGGGTTGATAAGGTCATTCGCGGACACGCAGTAGGGTGCGATCTCGACGAACGGGTGCGTCTGGAGGTCCACCGGGCGGGTGCTGATGCGCGTCGTAGGCACACGCAAAAGTGGATTTGCGAGCAGCTTGCCGTTCGCGTGTGAGTTCGCTTTGGCGTCGGGTACGACAAGGCGAGCGTCCGCGGCGCCGCCATGGTCTGGGTCGTCCGGTGCGAACGCGCCCACTGCGCCTTTGCGATCCGCGATGCCGCCGAAGAGCCCGCGTGCGTCAGTCGGCTGCTTCGCGTCGCTGTCCAAGAGAAGCGGCGCCGCAGGTGCGGGGAGGAGTTCGTACGTGGTCCCGGTCAGCGCAGCCCATGCGCCGCAAATCTGCGTCTGGAAGTACGAGACGAGCACATCGGCAATGAGCTCGTGACCCGCGCCGTTTGCGAGGATCGGGTCTGCGAAGTACCGGTCTATTGAAGAGGGGTCAGCCATGAAGCTCGGGTACAACAGAGGCTTGATGCTACGAAAGGGTTAGTGGTGACGTTGGTGAAAAAAATGTAGAGTGCATACCTGATGTATGGGACGTCGTAAAATTGCGCGACCAAGCTGTGCCAGTGGTCTGTCCCTCCAAAGCCAGCCGTGAGACCGATTTGTGGGCTGAAGTGTCCTAGAATAATGACCGCTGGCTGGTCTGGTCGAATCAAGATGGACCGAATGAGTAGCTCAAATTCTTCCATCGAGATCGAGGCACTGTGAATGGGCAATTATCAGCACCGCGACACACGACTTGGCAGAAACGTTCTTACTTGGCATCGTCAACGTCGAGCTCGACAATGACCAGGTCTGTGACATCTGGGATGTGGTGTGCATTGCAAAACCCGAAGTACGCCGAGGTAGTCCGGCGCAAAGCGCCGTTTGTGAGCTCGGATTCGGGATGCGGAAAGACACCATTCCACCAGTTGAAGAACCGCGAAGGATAGCATGTCGGTGAAAGCGGGTCATCGCCTGCTCCGTGACATGCGGACACTGCGGAAACAAACCAGTTGATTCAATAGATTCTCAGCATAAACCCGAAGTATGACTGCGACAAGCGGGAAAAGGGCCGAGGACAAAAATCGCCAGGATAAATGCAGAGCTGCGATAATCACAGCAGTATCGTGATACACTATAAATACAGCCTTCCTCGTATCTCACAGTCTGTCAGAGAGAGGCGAACGATATTGCTGGCGTCAGCATAGCGACGCCTGTCACATACACGACCCCTGAGAAGAGTAGTTCCACGCTCACAATATTTGCGGGTGAAGCTCAAGACATACAAGCACGGAATGCAAGACTGACCATAGAAAGCAGAACGGCAGAACACAGTGATATATGATGAGATACTTACCAGAACCACCTATGACACTGATCGTTACAGGAAGACCCGAGAGAGCTTTATTAATGACGCGCTGGACGCGAGCACCACTTCCCAAGTGGAACCGTGTTTTCGAAAGAGTGATAGGGTCGTACTTCGTTGCGAGTTCATCACCAGGACCAAGGGCTGGGCAGAAGGAGAACGGCACGGGTTCGTTAGCGGAGACGTTGAGGTAGTTCTTCGGCTTCAGGTCGCCGTAGAGCAGTCGATGTCGCGGAGTGGACTGATCAGAGGGCAGCACAGACCTCGTGAACAGAACGACAGCAAGAAAGAAGACTAGAATGAGCCATATGCGATTCGTGAGCCCAAATGTTTTCTGGTGAAGGCGCGATGGGGCCTTCTCTGGGTCAGAGCCCATGCGGGCAGGCTGCAGGGGTGGCGATATGTGGGCGAGGCCTTTTGCCGGACGTCTCTGCATGCACGCGAGCTCGACGGTGCTGGCGGCGACAAGCAGAGAGGAGAAATGGTGGTGGTCGGTAGAGAGGAGGTGAGCTCTCAATCGCGCCTACCCGCGACATCTCCACGACGGCCTTTGGCGCCCACTAGCTATGTCCTGACTTGTGGACCATCTCCTCCGCTTTATAGGAGCCCGCTCTCCCTTCGATACGAACCACCCTGCAGGCATCTAGTGCAGGAGAAGACTGATATTGGTGTAAAGTCGGGAATACAGCGCCAGAGCGCGTGGAGGTGAGCGATTCTGCCAGATGCTTGTCACGTCGCATAATAGACTCAATGTAAATGTTGGATAGGAACAATTTCGTGAAGTAGACTGAATCGTACATTCCGTAATCCAAAATGCAGCCCCGGAGTAATAATCCATTGAAGCGACTACCGACATGGGTGTCTCTGTCGCTAGGTATCTTTCTCGGGCTCCTGGTCGCTCGATTCTTCACTTCTGGCGTGAGTTCCAACTTCTCTCATACAACACGCATTCCCCTAATCTACCGCAAGTCATCAATCACAACATGGCGAGGAGGTCATGCGCCAACGTATCAGTCTACACGTATCTCCTCTCGCCAGGCCGTCGCCCTGCCCACACTCGAGCAGCGCCGACGGGTGTTTGAGCTCCTGACCACCCTATCTCCCCATTACACGAAAGAGTGCACTCGCAATGCCCAACCCATGTACAAGGAACAGGCAGAAGAACGATATGCTTCCCTCATTGGCCACGAGTCTCCATCCCGTTCTTCCTGGCTCGACACTCTGGGGCTTGGTTCCACTAACGGCGACTTTGTTCCGCGCGGACTCGCCCCGGACACGCACAAATACTTCTTCGCCATCAACCTCTACAACTCTTTTGACGTCCTTCCCGACCTCTTTGCGACACTCTTCCGTGTAGCCGCCATCCTGGGGTACCACAATGTGTACGTGTCAATCTACGAGAACGGGTCGACGGACCAAACCAAAGCGCTCCTCCGCATCTTCGACGCGCTATGCCGCTCGTCCGGCATGCGCGTCACCATTCGCACGTCTATGCGCACGCGCGGCGCGTTCAACCACCGCATCGAATACCTAGCAGAGGTGCGCAACGCAGCATTCGTGCCACTGCACGAGTTACGGGACACAGAGAACGAGTATTTCGACACGATCATCTTCATGAACGACATCCTGCCCTGCGTGGACGACCTGCTCGAGCTGATCTGGCAGAGCCGGCACAACAACGCAGGAATCACCTGCGCGGCAGATTATATGTTTCACGAGGACCTCAACGCCCCCGTGTTCTACGACAACTGGGTCGCGCGCGACATCAACGGGACCGCGCTCGAGAACGCGCCGTTCGAGTCCATATTCCACCACGGCGCGTCGCAGCACCGGTTCATGCACCACCTCCCCATCCAGGTGCAGTCCTGCTGGAACGGTATCGCGATCCTCGACCCCGCACCGTTCTACACGCCTCCGCACGTGCGCTTCCGCATGGCGCGCATCGTCGACGGCGAGTGCTCCGCGAGCGAGTGTTCCCTCATCTGCAACGACTACTGGGAGGCTGGCTACGGGCGCATACTCATGGTACCCCGCGTCAAGCTCGCTTACGATCGGGTACGTAACAGCGTACTTCTATCGGCTCCTGGCTGACAATCCCATCCTTCGTAGAGAGTATACGATGTCATTCACCCACCCAGGAGAAACCTGACCGCGATCCGCGGGTACGTTCGCCTCGGCGGGCTCCCCGACAACCCGCGCACGGACCCGCAGGACCGGGCATGGTACGGTCCTCACGACCGCCTCTTCACCGAGGAGGAAGCCATACCCGTCGATTTCATTCCCGGGCCCGATTTCGGTGCGCACTGCTTCTACTCACTCCTCTTCCGCTATGCACAATAGCTGACACCCATCTACAGTGTGGTGCTGGGGCTGGGACGGCGCGGGCGATCTCGACGGCCCGGATGTGGACCCCATCTGGGAACGGATGTCGAACAAGTCGATACGGCCGGACGCGGTGAAGGTGCGGCACGACCGCCGGCTCAGTATGCCATAGCACCTGCTGCGACCGTACTGGGCGGCGTGGACGATGTAGATGTAATATAATCTCTTATCTTGGGGCGGTGATGAGTAGTGCACACATCACCTGGGACGAGCTAATTCACGGATCCTGGATGCACTGTACACAACGCACGGTCCGTTAATAATAAGGGGATGACCTGCTGCTGGAGGTATACAGCGTCCGAGAATCATACAGACGCAATGAGATGCATTTTGATTGGCACGACATATCATAGACAGTAATGCAGCGTTGAGCGTGGATAGCATGCATGACGGGCATAGTGGGCCATCCCAATAGAAGACAGACCGGCGGACAACTCCTCCTTACCCTCCTCTCCTCTCCTACACGACGAGTGGAAAATGGAGTGTCTACTCGGCATCCACAGTCAACGTCTCGAGACCCTGACAAGATCGTCAGTATCAGAACCAGTATCAGCGTACGGAGACATACCTTGAACGATTCGACAATGACATGGCTCGCGTATGTGTAGAGCTTCTCCTTCGCGTTCTCCTCATCGTTCCGCTTCCCTATGCGCCACGCGGAACCCATTAGCACACCCTTCGCCCTCCTCGTGGTAAGAAACCACTCACGCTCAAGCTTTACGCGTATCCGGTGTGGCACAGACTTGATGCCGCGCGCCCAGAGCGCCTGATTGAGCTTGGGGTCGAGGCGGACGTCGGTGGTGCCCATCGCCTTCTGCGCGAAGTCGACGACAGACTTGACAGCCCAGGGTGCGCGCTTCTTGAACGAGCGGCCGTGCACACGCTTATGTAGGTGGATGGTGTATTCACGCGTCACGACATCTTGCAGCGCCGAGCGCGTCTTGCCAGTCTATGCGTGAGGTAAACGGGCGAGAGAACGTGGTATGCGAACAGAGGAAGTAAGGCAGGTATGGCGTAGGCGCAGCGAAAGTAGAGCGAAGTTCGAGTGAAAGTGGAGATGTTCAAGTGAAGATCAATATTCGATTGAAGGTCGACGGTGGACCGAAGGTGCAAGTTCAATCGAAGGTCGATGTTTGGATGTCCGGAGGAAGTATGTTTGTGAAAAAATGACGTTCCCGGTGGAAAAAAAGACAGTCCCGGCAGGTGCAAACGACAGTCCCGGAGATGAGCGGTTTGCACAAACTGGTGTCACCCGCTTACGCACCTTTTTAGCGGTAGTCTTGGTGGGGGCCTGTAAAGCATACCAGCACTAAGGTCAACGCATACATCGAGAGTCGCAAGAACGCACCATGTCGATGTCTTGAGGATGTGTTGGGCGGTGAGCGGAACGTCAGGTTTCACACGCGGAGCGTCAATTTGGGTATGTTTGTCGCCAGTGGCGAAACAAGGTTTGGTGGCTGGCTGAAACTGTGTAGTCGCTCCCTGTGTGCCAAATCAGGCATGTGAGTATGTTTGAACGTCGATCACTCTTTAAGGACATCTGGGTCCTGGAAGATGGACAATACCTGTTTTTCTGCCTATTGACCGTATTTCGTGATGTTCGCTGCAGAAATACACGCTCTTCTTTCAAAATGTGTGTGATGGATTCGGAGGGCATCGCGTTAGGAGGCATGATGCGGAAATCTAGGAAAGTCGGCCGCAGTAGAATACTTCTGACGATACCGTCCGAAGACGTCGAGGACGGTGGACACGCATTTACATATCACCGACGGGATTAATTCACCGGGAAAATATATGACTATCACAGCCAGAAATTGAGCAGAATTTCTGACAGCGAGATAGCCCGGGGCAGAAATGTGGAAGGCAATTCGAAGGTGAGCTGAGCGCCTCTGCCCACCCCCACTCCAACTCGGATCGGAGCTTTTTTGGGCTCTGATAGAAGTGCATGGCAAGGAGGAAAGGCGATGGCGATGGTACTACTATGCGCAAAAGGACAGTGAGGTGGCATAAGAAGGGGGAGCGGGCCCGTTCGCGGCCCAAATACTCCCCATTCAAATATTCAACAATATTCAAGCTCCAAACTTCAAATCGGCAATTTTGCCGGTGCAGTGAGACAACGGGGACTCATCTCTGCCTGAGACTTGCCTTCCTGGCACCCAAGGGAAACGGGGAACTTGAGCATGCCTTGGAGTACATTGTGGCATCTTAGATCTTCACATACCCTTACGGGAAAATATTATCATCCACATGAAGCGGAATCAGATGTATCGCTGTACATGTGAATCCAGCTGGATGTCCCGCCTTCGCCTCGTACTAAACGCCGCTGCTCTAATAAGTGGTACAAGCGGAATCCGACGATGGCTATGACTGGCACTCGGAGGGGAGTGGTCGTATGTCTGAGCTTTGCAATTATATCGGGGCTGCACAATAAGAGATGTATGCCGAGTATCTGTCAATGGTCTCTTCGTCTTGTCAAAGCACAATTCGCACAATAGGTGTGACCATGGCAAAGGGTGTCGCTTTCTCATGGGTGGTTTGCATAACATTGCTGGAGGTATGAAACTGATGCGGTTGTGCCTTCTTCGAGCTAAAGCTTAGCTCGCCCTTTGAGCTTCGCGAACGGGCCGCAAGTACAAGAGGTTTGACTGTTCACACCTCATGATCTCGGATTCTTCAGTTCTAGTCGCTGCGATACACTATTTCTCCCACATGACCACGACCTCACATGTACGACGGGTCACATTCTGCGTGAACTGAGTGGTTATGGTACGAGTGGACATCCTGGTCTTTGGAACGGCGATACGCGGGCAGTTCGTACGAAGGGCTGACGGCGATCGGCGGTTTACCAGGGCTGCCATTTACGGTAAGCGTTGAATATCACGGGTCACGTGCGACGTGCCTGGTCCGACCCTGGAACAATGTCCGAAAGGGGATGTCCCCTTCTCCCCATTATTGAAGGTTCCCATTCTCCCCCGGGGCCATTGTTTCGCGGTTTCTTACTGTGCATTCCGCATGGATGCATCAGAACGGCCGTGGATAGCGAGCGGTAAGATGCCCTATACAGGGAAGAATGGGAGACTAGGAACAGTGGCGCGATGGGAGTGAGCCTTGTTGGCGGACAGCGAACCAGGTGGTCGCCGCTTCTGTGCGTTCGTTTGTTTGTACGCCAAGTCCCATCGCGTGGCTAATTATACGCCTAGTCCAACTTCTATAAAGGCGCACCTTGTCAACGCTTCTCCTAGCAACTCCCCGAGTTTCTATCTTCGTTCTCCCCTTCGAGTGCCTCGCTCTCATTTCCACCTCTGTCGTTTTTACCAAAATGCGTTTCGCTGCCCTGCTTGCTCTCTCCGGCGCCATCGCCTCCGTCTCTGCTGGCACCATCCTTCGTCGCCAGTTCCCCAGTGCGTCGCCCTCATGTTTTTCATTGACATCGTTTTTGACCATGACCCACCAGGCTGCGCGACGCCCTGCCTCGCGAACGCCAACTTCGGCAGTTGCAACGAGAGCGACGACACCTGTCTCTGCAACAGCTCCCAGTTTGTCGACAGCGTCACCACATGCATCATGTCCTCCTGCAACGGCAGCGACCTCACCACGGCCGAGCAGGACGCTCAGCAGCTCTGCCTCGCCGTCGTGCGTACCATCCGGTCTTTCTTCGGTCGCATCCCACTCATTGTTCTTTGTAGGGTGTTACTTTGACCGCGACTCCCTCGGGCAGCGCTACGGGTAGTGCAACTCCGTCCGCTACCGCCCCCAGCAGCTCCAGCGCTGCGAGCGCGTCTTCGTCCGCGCACTCCTCGTCCTCCGCGTCCTCGTCCGCGTCTTCGTCGAGCTCCGCGTACGTTTATCCGCTCATTCACATACCCTATCCCGTCTGATGGAGCATTTTCTACAGCCCCTCGGCGACGCACTCGAGCGGTGCGCTGTCGCACGGCGTCCCCGCCCTCGCGGCTCTCGCAGCCGTCGGCGCTGTCGCTTTTGCCCTTTGAGCGCCAACAGAACACTTTCGCCGACGCACCGTGTCGCCTCTATTTTAATATGTTGGGTTCGAGCGTACCGCGCTCCAGGGTGTGCACAAGTACTTTATTACTCTGCTATCGCGCGATAACCCGCGTCGCTATGTATCGTTGATACCTTCGTCTTCTCTGTGGCTATTACATTGGCTTTCCTTTTGCCCTATTTTCTCCCCGCGTGATTTCGAGTCTAACCTCGCGTCAGCTCGTGCTGTTCTTCCTGGGAGAGATCTGAGGATTGATATTGAACCTTCGGCGTTGGCAGCGTGTTGAAATTTGGTATGACGTTCATTCTCCGTGGCAATCACCAGCACTGCTAGGTGTGAATCGAGCGTAGGGATCCACGACGTCCATGGTGCTCTTACTGCTCTCATTAGGATCACACCGTCCAAACTGGCGACACGCACCGGTTCGTCAAGCAGCATTCCAATACGTAACAGATGTTCTACAGTATAGCCGACACTGTATGGTATACACAAAGCACCAAAAAGCGCAAGAGATATAATTACCAGCACAAGCAGCCCGCCGCTTCACAGCTCACCGCACCCACGTCCAAGATCGACCAGTCCGTCCTCGAGCAAGAAACTCACATCAGCGACTCGCGTTCCTCCACGAACCTGCTCTCGCCCGCGCCCGGGCCGTGCTCATGCGTGTCGGCGAACGGGTCGACCTTGTCCACCGTATCCCCCGCCTCGCGGTGCTCGAAATCGGCGAAGGGGTCGTCCCCCTTTGGCGGCGTGTCGGAGAGGGTGAGGCCTTTCCCGACGCCGTACCCCGCCTCGTCCGCGTAGTCCGGCGGCTTCGCGATGGGGTCGTACGGCGCGGGCGGCATGCCCGGCGGCGGGGAGTAGCGCACGGATGGCGCGTCGTACCCGAGGTATGGCGGGTTGTAGTGCGAGGGGTATTCGCTCTCTAGCGCGGGGTCTGTAACTGTCGCGGGTGCGCGCCGGGACACGTTCGCGGCGCTTGTCGGGTCCAGCACTTGGCGGTAGTATGCAAAGGCGATCATCGTGAAGAATATCGAGAGCACTGCGAGAGGAGTGTTGGGGTCAGTGCGAGGATGCAGGAGGTGAGGGACAGGTAGTAGACGTACGTAGCTCGATGACGAGCATGATGATCTCGACGAAGGAGTCGTGATTCCAGCTGTCTTTGCAATCTGCAGACGGATGATCATGAGCGGCGGTGCGTGGTGCGGTGGGTCCTGAAGTGGATTCACGCACATGATGTTGCTTCGTCTAGCGTGAGTTTCGTCTCGTACGTGGGGCCCCAGAACCCGAATTGCTGAGGGAGGGACAAACAGTTGTCGTCAGGCACGGAGCTTGAAAAATATCGGTGAATGCACTAACGTAGAATACCTCGTCGCCCTGCACGATCGTCTCGCATTCACTTATGAGGTCGTTCTATGTGAGCGGAGCCTTAGTAGAGTGTAGTTCTCGAGACCGAAGAGCCGACCTTCAAGATGAAGTGCACGATAACGCGCACGAGCGCCGCGCCCACGATCGCGAACGAGCTCACGACCGACAGCAGCGCGTATACGCGGACCATGAACCTGTGTTGCTATTGCATTCCGGGTCAGGTGAATTGCGGATTGGGTTGGACGGAGTAAGATGTCAATGGCGCATACCGCATGCAACATATACAACAGAACGTACCACGGACGCCGCTATGATCCCGAGAACTTCAATGACACATACTCCTACGTATATTGCACCGAGAACTATCGCTAAACTTGCAAGCTTCGGTTGGCCATCTGCGGCGAGTGGAGGAAACAGAGCGTACGCGACAAGATACACCAATGGTTAGTCAGGAGACGAGATATAGACCGGACGGACGCACGGTTCTTGTCGGTACTGATGGTCTGGAAGCTGCCAATCTACACGACTCGGGTTGAGACCTGTCTGAACACCGTCGCTCAACACAGCACGTACCGCCCTAGGCGTCGCATTCTGGCATGAGTCTACCACGCCCGCACAACATGCGCACTGCGGGACTCACCATATTAGAGACCAGATCGCCGCAATGACACCAACTACGCGCAAGTTCGCATTACAGTACCCATTCACAATTCAGCACAGGCAGAACGTACTGGATATGACCACCGGCCGCAGGCTGCTCCTAGAAACGAAAGACAAGGCGCCTCCGCCTGGGGTACGCACGCACGGTCAGAAACGCACGGTATGAGCATGTCTCTGTCACGTCGGTGAGCGCTGGCGATGACGCACCTCGTACTGGTGGCGGTCTTGTGCTCATCGTGCAACCTGGTCGAGATGTGGCGGGCAACGGTCAATAATACGGTTCACAAGGTGCAGGTGCAGAGGTAAGTTGGTACAGTATGGCTGTAGGAGCGAAGATCCGGCTGCGGTGAACGACTTAATGATCTCGCACAGCCTGGGTGCAGGCGCCTATCCGAACTGGCAGGATGGCATATCCAATGCAGTCGGGCGGCTGCTACGACTCGGGCTGCTGGCGTCGTGCCCGAGTACAACGCCGCACTCGCAGAGGCTCTCCTCTATATATCGTAGCGGCGCTCGCGCCATTCCCCGACTCCGATGGGGTGCTGACGATTTTTGTAAGAGTGAGGGTGTATGATTGGTGGTTATGTAGTACAAGTACAGGCATTTATTACAGTAGTTACAGCAATGGAAAACTACACGAGCGAGGCATCGTCATCATCGCTGTCATCCGAGTGGTGTTGGTCAGGCTCGGAATTCGGTCGGAAGACTCCAAGGAGGGGCATGGGCTCGTCCTCGAGGAAGCCGCGCGGCATCGATCCCGGATTGGCAAGAAGGACGATGGATTGGATGTTGAGGGAGATAGTGGTGTCGGCGTTTTCGTCATCGAGTTCAGGGTGGCTCTTGATGTACTTCCCAAGAGTGAAGAGCAGGAGGACGGCAGACTCTGTGGAGAGATCATCGTGGATTTTGGGAAGCATCGATATGGAGCGCATGGAGAACTTGAAGGGCTTACACCCATCGAAAGTCGGCACTGCAGGAGGAGTGAGTTAGGGCATATGTGCGAGAAGGTTGGGGGCGATCTTACCATCTCGATCGGCCGGCAGCACGGGGGGTGGACCTGCAGGGTGCGTTAGCGAACATTTTGTAGTGCGAGACGTCACGTACCGCGTTGTGCGTTCACCGGAGTGGCGGGAGCCATGCCGCGGATCTTGGTTGGAGTGTTTGAGGTGCCGGTGGTCAACCTTGTCGAGAAGGAGAGGCCGGCATGGAACGACGGGAAGACCAGTGTTCGTCTGTTGAGAATGGCACCCAGGACGGCAGCCGCACGTGGCCAGGTGAGTGCTGATGGTGCAACGCAGAGTTGACGGCTGCGACCGCTCGGACTGATCAGGTCGCTGTGGGTAACGGAGCCGACGACAGAGAAGAGCGTGAGATGGGTGCTCGTCTTGAGCTGAAGGTAGTCGGAGGCTCCAATGGTGACAAAGTGGAGTGCTGTGGGGTCTGCAGTTGCGAGATTGATGATGTCGTGTGCGGTGGCGATCGAGATGTGGTCCAGATGTCTTTGGGGTTGATTAGTAGTATGGCAGAAAAAGCAAGGGCAAATGGACGTACTCGGCGATGTTCAAAGGGAATGCCCTCTTGAGATACACGGGTTGCACGAGGACAAACACGTTGTTCATGGCACGTGTCATGGTGAGTGTTTCTCTGCAAGAAAGTGTCAGTGTGAGTCACAGTGGATAATTGCCAAAGGGCGTACTACCTGAGTTTTGACAGCGACTGGAGCACTTCGGTTCTTGTATATATGGTGCAGTTAGCGGAAGTGTCTGTCTGGTGGCAAACAGTGACTCACGGTGTCCTGGTTTTCTCGATGCACTTTCCTTTGTTGCGGTAGGGCTTACCGGGAGTCTCGTCGGGTCGGTGACTGGCGTGAGCATCGTCTGCAGGAGTATCGGATGTGGTGGAGTCGGTGTGTGCTGTCGGCGAGAATCTGCAAAGAACTGCATGTTGGCTGGTATATGGCGGTGAGTGGGTATGAAGACTTACATGTCGTCGCTGTCTTCGGGCTTCTGCCTTTTTGCGGGTGAAGGCACTGGTGCGGATGGTGACAGATGCCTCATCTTGTGTTTGCTGCCAGTGGTGGTTGCAGGAGCATCAGTGACGGAGGCCATGGTGGCGGTTGCGAGAGGAAATCGGGCGAGGTGGGAGTTGTTTGCGGTGTGACTGTTGGGGCATGTCCGTCGGCATTCGCTGTCTGGGCATGGTGCCGAAACGGGGGTGAGAGTGTGGAGGAAATTGCGCACGCAGCGCAGGCGCGTGCTTTGCAAGGGGCGAGGTGCGGCCTTGGCGTTCGAACAGGAGGTCCGGGTGGTGGTCGACCTGGGCGCGGTCGCGAAGTGTGAGGGAGAGGGTTGAGGTTGCGGCGCGCGCGGCGGGGGCGCGTGTTTTGCGGTGGCCCAGACGCGGTATTGGCGTTCGAACGGGAGGTCCGCGTGGTGGTCCAGTTGGCGAGAGTAGGTGGTGGAGGGTGTCGGCGGTCGAGGTGCTGTGGAGAGGGGCGCAAACATGTGCGGAATTGCGCGCGCAGTGCAGGCGCGCATTTTGGTCGGGCGAGGCACCGTGTTGGCATTTCTGGATGTCAGCAAAATGTAAGCAAAATAGCAGAGAAAAATATGCACCGAGCGGGTGTGCGTGTTGTGCAATGGGCTAGGTGCGGCATTGGGATTCGCGTGCCGGGAGGTCCGCATGTTGGTTAAGCCGCGCGCGGTCGCGAAGTGTGAGGGAGAGGGTCGAGGTGGCGGCGCGCGTAGCGGGGCCGCGTGTTTTGCGGTGGGTCAGGCGCGGTATTGGCGTTCCAACGGCAGGTCCGCGTGGTGGTCGCATTGGCGAGAATGCAGGTGGTGGAGGGTGTCGGCGGTCGAGGTGCTGTGGAGAGGGGCCGCGAACGCGCACCGAATTGCGCACGCAGTGGGGACGCGCATTTGGGTCAGGCGAGGTGCAGTGTTGGGACTGCTGGATGTCAGCAAAGTGTAAGTAAAATAGTGGAGAAAAATATGCACCGAGTGGGTGCGCGTGTTTTGCGAGAAGCTCAGCGCGGGATTGGTGTTGGCACGCCGGGAGGTCCGCGTGGTGGTCAAGCCACGCGCGATCGTGAAACCTGAGCCAGAGGGGGGAGGAAACTGCGTGCGCAGGGGGGGCGTGTGTTTTGTGGTCGGCCAGGCGCAGTATTGGCGTTCCAATGGCAGGTCTGCATGGTCGTCGCATTGGCGAGAATGCAGGTGGTGGAGGCCGTCCGCGGTCAAGGTGCTGCAGAAAGCGGTCGCGAACGCGCTCCCAGTGGGGACGCGCGTTTGGGTCGGGCGAGGTTCCGTGTTGGTATTGCTGCACGTCGCGGCTGAGTTGGCGATGGTGGCGGAAAACGTCGGCGACCGTCCGTGTCAGTGGTGGAGATGTGGCTAGAGCGGTCGTGAACGTGCGCCAAATTTGACGTGCAGCAGTGGCGCGTGTCCACAATGAGCTGGGCGCGACGGTAAGATTTGAATCTGACGCGCGAACGGTTTGTCATGCGGGGGCAAGCATCGGTCGTTGTGGATGGCTACTTACCTCCACCGGTGTGTTCATTCTTGCTCATTGATCGTGTCTTGCTGACAATTGACACTGGTGTATAAAGTTTAGTAAAAATCTTGCTGCTTTTGATCAAAATGAATTTGGAGGCTCACCTGAGTTCTGACACGATGGCAAAGGTCTTTCAGGATACGCGTTGTGGTGCGTCGAGTTTCTGTTTTCGTGATGGGACTGGATGATGGCTGAATCTTGGTCAGTGAAATTATTCGACGAGTGGACCACACGTACGAAGGCGCCGAATCTGGAAATGGGTGCCGATGGACAGGGATCGCAGTTCCTGCTCGAGACGTACGATCAGTTCGAGACAGTTGAGCGTCAATTTGATGTTCAGGTCAGTTCGGGTGGGTATTTGTACCTGGTGTGGCGAAGCTCGCGCGAGGAGGTTACACTGTGTGTGTCTGGGTTTGTTTCTCAGATGAGTCTTCTGCCCCCTTTCAGGTGCTCATTCAGGTTTGTCACTTCTGCACTTCACAAGCTGCTTGCCGATGTGATTGATTCATATCTAGGCTGCCGAGGAGAAATCCGAATCTCGCTCTGCAGACTGTTGTGGTTGCCGGTGAAGGTCCTGCATTCCGGTGAGCCATCACTGCCCGATCAAACATCTTACGTTTCATGGAAATGCATGCACGCCGTGGAACGACATCTGTAATTGATGATGTCTGGCTTGGCGCCATGCCGTGTTTTATTGCAGAGACACGTGTGCTCACGCCTATGGTGGAAGCACCGTTGTTTGACAGTGCCGATCTGAACATGGTTATTGACCCGTATGGTGCATTGGCAGAGCTAGTTGCTGGTGGGAGGCTCTCGTGGACATCAGACAATGTTGTGTCATGCATGGAGCTGAAGGGCGAGTATGACGACAGGTATGTCATGATATGAAATCATCTGTCTGCATTGCTTGAGGTGATGTTGTGTTTATGTAGGTGGTCTACTCCTGTGCAGTCATCCTTTGACATGGTGCATGCCGGTGAGCTTGTTGAGCTTTCAGTAAACTTTCGGCTTCGTGAGCACGTGAGTCCAAATGGGGCAAACGTAGGTCGCAAGTTTCTTACACGACTTGACACTGTCATGATCGTGAGTCGCTTGGGGATGAAGGTGAGTTGGCGTTTGCCCGCATTTGTTTGTTATCAGAAAATGACTTCTAATGGTGGCTATAGCTGATTGTGGACTGCGAGTCAGAGCACTTGTCGATGATGCGTATTGCTGCGGCGGCTGATAACACTGGTGGAGGTAAGGCTCCGAAGAAGAGACGGTTCTCTTACCTCCAGTCTGTGCCTTCTGTTTTAACCAGTACTGAACAACACTTGAATTCGCTGACAGTATTGGACAAGACAGATGATGTAGATCAGGTAATGAAGCCGGTGGGATAGTTGCAGTACTGTTACATATAGTCATATGATATAAGATACTGATGGTATGGCTGTCTTTTAAAAATTCAAATGAAAGGATCATCTGAGCATGAAGATCGTGTCGATCAGGTAATAAAGTCAGTGAAATAGGTATAGTGTCATGGTGGCAATAATACAATATTTTGTTGATTCAATTGATTCGATTGAATGGACCATTTGATGTATACACGAGGATGTGCGCCCAGCGTCCGTCGAGTGTAAGGAGTGGTGTAAGGTCATCGGTATCCATTCTGTTTTCATATTGTGGGACACCGTCATTCTGTTGGTCGTCGTATATCCATCCTGAGTTGTCAGAGTGGAGGAGACATGCTGTAAAGTGACTAGATCCAAAGTATATTACAGTTGCCAATGAGTAGGTGGTCTGCATATTGAATTCCAGATCAAATATGGGAGTGATAACTGTATGTTCCTGTGACGGATATTCAAAGTATAGGATGGGCGGTGGTGTAATGTTGCTTATATTATGATCAACTTCACTGTCACATTGACATAGTAATCTTCTTGCATGCAGAATGGATGATGTCATGGTCTTACTTAACCAAGTTTGTATAGTTTGAGTTTCAGCAGAGGACTGCATGCCAGTGGACACAATAACAGATGGGATTCTTAGTGTGATTGGGCGTGTTTGATGACAGGCCAGACACTGTATGGTCGTGACTATATTGTTAGTGGTGTTTTCCAATGCACATTCAATTATGCTTGCTGCAGAGGCAAACTGTGGACCATATCTTGAATATTCCATAGGTGATCGTCTACTAAGAAAATCTCAGAGAAAATCACGTTGCATGTTAAACTGCTCGGCACTGGAGTCTGGGCTCAGATTCTCAAAACAACTGACCAACAGACTAGCAATAGCCGACTGATTCTTCCACATTGCATGCAAAGAAGAGCTCAGTTGAGAGTAGCTGTGATAAAGTGACATAAATGTGGCATCATATGCACATGAGTAGTCTGTGGATGACCATTGGCAACCATGCTTGTACATGTATGGTGATGAGTCAGAATGTGGCATTGACATTGATGGCAAAATCCCTGATTCTTCCATTTGTGAGGCTTTCCGTTTGGTTCCTTTTGACTGTGAGCTACTGTCACTAAAGTTGACATGAAATGACTTTGTGGAGATGTCATCTTCACTTTCAGGATTTGGCAAAGGTACGAGGGATCCTGTTTTAAAGCCATAGTGAATTAAAGTATTTTGCTCAAGCACTTTAAATTTCTGTGTCTCATGGTATAGGTCAGCAGAAACAGGCTTGTTTAGCTGTTCCAACTTTACTGGCTCTGAGATGAATAGGCCATTTTGTGTGCATGCTCTCAATGCAGCAATGTAGGCTGCAAAGCCGCCCTCAGTCATGTTGTTAAGTACTTTAGGCAGTGTTTTGCCTTGCAACGTGTGGCCGGTGACCGCAAATGCAGGTTGTATGATGAGTTGCAGTCGGGTAACTTGGTACCTTTGTGTATTTTCATTGGCATCTCTAAGTGTAGTTGTAAACCACCATGTTGTTGGAGCAATAGGCACATAGCCTGAAGGCAAATCAGGCAGATGTACCTTGCTTGTAGGAAACTCAACTATAACACAATCTGCATATGTGTATCCGACAGGACAGTGTTTAATCGAGATGTGCCTAACTATGCCTTGAGCACCATTGGTGATTCCAAGTTCTGTGGAGATGTTTCGACTGCATAGTACCACAGGCATGCCTACATATAATGAAATGAATGCTGGGAGGGCACCTTCAGAAGTAAGTGGTGTTACATTGAGCCACAGAAGTGCATCACGAGTGGATTTCTCAGGTACCTGACCATCAATCTTATCGACCGCTGTGCATATTATTAAGCTCAAACCATTGTCTGCATCACAGTTTGCCTGTGCCTTTTCAGTATTAATAACTTGTCGTAGCAGGTTGGTATTGACAATTACTGTAGGATCATCATCATCATCTTTTATTTGAAGGCCATCAAGATGGGTCGCTGACTTAACTACCCGTGTATTAAATAGGTCAACATCTCCCATTGTGCATTCACGTGTTCGCAATCTGTTGACTGCATCACCATACTCAGGATCATCTTTCATACGTTGTTGCTCAGTCAACTCTACCACTGTGTTTACTTGCTTCCATGCAAGTCGACCAAGCCTCTTGCTGAGTTCATCTGATGTCTGTCTTGCATATGCTAATATAGGTGTGTATAGCAGTGTGCCACCTACTGGAGGATATTGATAAAAATCTCCTGCAAAAATTATATTAATACCTCCAAATCATACATCTGGTTTTTCTTTGGCATAATGTAATGCATAATCTATCTCAGAGAGTAACTGACAGCTAACCAGTGAGATTTCATCAATAAGTACAAACTCAACACGCTGCCATTCATCATGCAATACTGTACGATTTTGAACACTAATTGTTACTGTATAGTCCTGTTCACTTTCGCCCAGTCGCCTGTTGCCTTTACCCTTTGTCTTTGATTGTATCTTCAAACCAAGTCCTTTGTGAATTGTCATTCCATCGATTAGAGTAGCAGCAGAGCCGGTAGGTGCAAGAAAACGAATTTGGTATAAGCAGCCAAAGTATGTCATTAATTCTTTCAAGGCTTTGACAACATGCGTCTTGCCTGTGCCACTGGGACCGGTGAGCAACAAGTACAGCAGTTCCATTACAGTGTCTGATTTGACTACATAGTTTTGAATAAAATGTTTTGCACAAATCTGAAAGGCACATGCCTGCTTAGCATTTAAACTGTAGGATGTCTGAACAGACTGTAGAACTTTCATTGGGGACTGTTCAACTAATGCAGTAGTATCACTTATATTTGGGGCTTCTGTGGATGTGGTTAATTGTTCTGGTATTGTAGGCGTCATGTAATACTCAGTGTATGCAGGAGTTTTTTCGAGAGTAAACTGAGAGCTCATGTTGCCAGCATTACGTCTTTTCTGCATTACTTGCATCTCTTGCTCATGTAGGGCTGACTTCCACTTCTGCAACTGCAAGTGGGTTATATTATATTTAACAGTGGATAGTGCAGCTATCTTGTGATAAGTGTTGTGATGGAGCCAATTGCACTGTTCAAGTAAAGAGACAAACTGCTGTATCTTAAAGTCATTGACTGCACTTCATCTATCATGTGATGTACCATCAACATCATCATCTGTGCCTGCTGTAACAGATGAGTACATGGATTTTGTCAAGTGACGTGATTCTGCTAGCAGCGTCGCTCGCTTGCGCAACTGTTCACTGTCTCTTGCATCTTCGCATTCATATGCTGCCTCCCAGTTGCGCATCTTGGTTTTGCTGAACTCACTAAAGTCATATACACTGAAGGTATGCTGAAAGGTGTCACCGTACTCTACAAGTGGAACTGTATCACTGAATGGTTTAAAGTGTGCCAGCATAAATATTGCATACCTTTCACTATTTTCACGGCGAGGGATCAGTGTACCAATTGGACGTGGAACACGCTCCATATTAAAGTCAACATGCATTGGACTGAAGTGCTCAACAAGTACATGTGTATCTGCAAGAGGATGTTGTTCCTTTACAGAAAGACGTGGAAGTACACCTAGTCGATCATCTGATGTATGATGGTTATGCTGTGCTGTTTTAGACTCTAATGTGAAGTATCTGCAGAAGTCATAGAAGTTTAAGTGAGAAAGAGTGTCTGGTCTGTAGATGTAATCATCAATTTGGTTCCGTTCGAGTAGCTGTCCATTTTTATTCACTTTAATATTGATAGTACACTCTTCTATGTCATCAGCATCAGAATGATTATCCTCACCACTCTGACTTTCAATTTGCATAGCAAATGAATAATGCTCTTTGACATAAAGCAGTAACAAAATAGATAGCAAGGGCTTTGTAGGATGTGATGAAATACTATCACCTCTCTTACGTATGTACCAGGCTGCTTGCTGAGAGTGGATCTGTTGTTGACGCAAGAATTGAGCCAAGCACCTATTTAGTAAGGTTTTTGTACTGTAACTAGTCAATTGCGAGGATTGGTCATTGCCACTGGGTAAACTTGCTACTGCCTTTGATAACAATGATAGCATCTGATAGGTTTTTAGGTCAACCTTAGTAATATAGTCTGTAATATAAAACATTGCAGCCTTCGCAGCTTTACCAGAAAGAATACATTTAATGTCATAATTATGTCTGCAAAAAACCAGAATATATGGATTGTAGTAGTTCACATTTGCATCTTTACACATCAGAATGACAGAGTTAGTATTACGATCAAAATATGAGCTCTCAACAACCTCATGGGAAAATAAAAATCTGCATTTACCTTCATTACCGTATTTTTCACAGACTTTACGGTGTTGATGACGCTGCAAGACTTCTCCACATTTTTTAATTTCAGTGACAAACACTGACTCCCATTCATTCAGAATATTGAGTGCCGATTCACCAACAATAGGTGGTTGTGGTGGTCATTCAATACGAGGTTCGTACGTTTGATCAACTTGCATATCAATATTAGGCAAGTGATGAAATATAATGCTCTCCCAGTATCTGAAAAATCGGTATTCAAACTCATGACTGTCACGCAACCTAGCATGCAAATCAGAAGGATTCAGACCTCCAAGTAGCCATAATACAAAGTGACCATGCAGTGTACCATGCTCAGTACATTCAGGTGTACCATAAAATGCACGCAACTTTCCTAAGATTCCACCTTGCCTTTTGGAGCGTCTCTTAGAAAAATCCCAGCCCAAGAGGTCTTCAAATATAGTGTGAATACAAAAGTAGAAGAAATCGCATGCTGCAACTGGATCTTTGGCCAGCCGCAAAGCACGTTCATGTGCAGGCACAACTAGTGGAAATCGTTTGGCCAAGTCTACAGTAGTGTCACCATACATGACTTGGAAAATTGGATTATGTGCAGGCGAAGGATTTATGGTCATGTAAATATGTGGCATGCCAAAGTAACCAAAGTAGCTACGTATCTCATTTCTGACCCGAATTTTTGAGGCTTGAGAACCAGGAATATGTCCACTAATAGTGTTCACATGCTTTAGCAAGTCTAATGCATCTTTTTGCTGGTCAGTCAAATCTGCATATTTACCTTCATTCTCAAGATGGTTAGAGACTGACATAAGCAAGGAGGGTGAAAGAGTGACTAATCTTCTAGCAATAGTCTGAAAGTAGGGCTTTTGTACTGCAAAGTGTGTGTGTAAGTGAGCAGAGCGACGCTGCCATATATTAAGTGCAATGAACATAAACATGTGATGATACCGAAATGCCTTGTCTGTAAGATCAAGATAGTAGTTGACCTGAGTATCAAACTCTATTGGCTTTGGCCTACTAGGATCTTTAAACCCACCAATGCCAAATGGATATAGTGTTGGAAACATACCTGGAAACAAGTTAGGATTGTTGTATTCAGAGACAGGCAGCATACCATGATGAACTACAAGATCAGGTTGCAATGCAGTTGGATTAACTATACTTTTTATTGTCGCAGCAGTAAAGCTTCTCCCACTAAGTTTATCTCCTTCTGGATCTGACATGCCCATTTTCTCCATCATAAGTTGTGGTTCATTTGATAGAGGGCAGCTTTTGGCAAATAATTCTGCAGGATGTTCTGAAAAGCCTGCCATTTCATCTTGAAATATAAGTGTAGTATCCATTCTGTGATCTTCGACAATTCATGAACTAAGACCCGGTAACACATCATCTTCAGGATACATATCAAGTGCAGACAGATCAAAAGTCATATGTTTATACAACTTGTTATGACTCTTAAGTCACAGTAAGAAGCTCCAAATCTTACGCTTCCGCACACGATACATGTTTCCTACGTACTCAGGCTTAAACTTATGTGGACCAATAAAAACAACTGTAAGCATACCAGCAACATCGGCAGGTGTTCTTGGAAGCACTGATGCTGTGGAAACAACATTTAAATCATGTGCACATGTGTTTCCATGAAACACCTTTGGCTGTGCAGGGTCAGATGACTGGTAAATTCTTGTGACATGTGCAGCGCTACGGTAGATTGCACAAACCATTTCTTCAACCCAGGTTATATCATTGTATTGCTCAGGCAGACAACCACGATACAGATTATTAACTAAGCCATATTGTGGTGTAGTACGATGTTGTATTGCTGTATAGCAGCTCGAACAAATTTTGATAGCTGTGACCATGCCATTATCATAAGTCAGCCCTTTCTTATCCAACATATAGCCATCTAACCTTGAGTCCTTAAAAACAAACTCAGAGCTATTCTGTTTAACTACGTTTTCTAGAATGAAAGGATCTGTGATTTGAAATGCAGATAATACTTGCTTATTCCGCAGTAAACCATCCATCTTATATTCAGAAATATGAATCTCATGTGACTGACGAGCACATACAGCACAAATTGAAGGTGAATGCCACTGAGTATGAGTGTAATAATTGTTCAGACAGTTAAGAATCACATTGTGAGGAACAAGTTGTGGCCATGCATCAATATATGCTTTTGTCTCTGCACTGTTCTGTTCAATTTCTAACGCCTTTTCAACTCTACGCTGCTCTTTCTTTGCATCACTGTTTGTATGAGACTCCATGTTTAATTTATCAAAAATCTCAGATAGAACACTTGACTTTAGTAGCTTGAAAATCAGTTCACTACGAGGACTACATAACTCACTCTGAGATAAGAATGGTAAATGACACAAGATAGTATTCAAAAACTTTGAAGATTCAACTTTGAATAAGTACTGGGACAACTCAACAATATGCTCAACTATAACTGTGCAACGTGCATGACATTTTACCGGCAATTGGTTTGTAAACGTAATACCATAGTTATAAAGTGTTCGCATTAACACAGATGACAAACGGTGAATGAGAACACTAGCTGGAGTGACAAACCAGGGTAATTCTATATATAATTCTACAGGCGGTATGGCATATCCAATTAATGGATGTTCCTCAAAAAGTGGAGAGTTCGCAGAACGTATTGCTAGTGCTACAGGTTCACCATACAATTTAATATACAGAGCACTGAGCAGAGCATACCGGGATTTGAGAAGTTGATCATCACCATGCAGACACTTTGCTACATCTTCATTGGACATGATAGCAACAGATGCACGACTCAATTGAAAGTCAATAAGAAGTCTTCTGCAAATCTCAGACTTGTTACGATCTTTCTGAGGTATTAAACAGTGAGATGACATAGCTGCAGACTGCAGAGTATGAAGACTTAACCTTTGGAGTGTACGCAAATACTGTTCATCAGACAAATAGAACCATGAGGGATTGAAATCTGCCATGGCTAAAGTCAATCGCTTACGCTACTTCAGTCCGAAGATTTAAAGGTGTTTCAACACAAATCCTTAGTGTACTTGAACAGTGTGCTTGAAGACAAATACTTAATGTGCTTGAACACAAAATATTTAACGTGCTTGAACACAAAATGTTTAACGTGCTTGAACACGAAATGTTTAACGTGCTTAGACACGAACTCAATCAAAACAGCACTGCGAAACTGTGAACACAGTATCACAAATAGCAACTGCATCGTGCAAATTAAACTGTAAGTATCCATTTGAACAAGTCAACAAGCATAGACGCACCTATTTTGCAGCTACACTTGTCCGAAACAGTCGCAAAAAACGCGAAAACTATGTCTTCAAGAGAGCAGGTCCGCGTAGATTCTATATGGTTTAGTGGTGAATCAGTAGATTAGTAATAATACGAGAAGAAGAATACACTCACATGCAAAACAGAATGATGTCGTATAGCGACTCGTCGAGGAGCAACACTGAGGTGTAACATCGTCCAGCAGCGCCAACATCGTCGAGAAATCAAGCGCGCACGTGATGTTTGCGAGTGCCATCCTACGTGAATAGACCTGCGCTGGAACACCGTGGGCAGGTCGAGCGCAAGGGCGGAACATTCGCGAGCGCGATCTTACGTAAATAGACCTGCACTCGAACAGTGTCGACAGGTCCAGTGCAACAGCGATGTTCGCGACCGGAACCCTAGACGGAGTCAAGACTCAAATCGTAAGTGTTATTACTCAACTTATTTACTGATGTTGTTTTCGCACAACTTCATTCGCAGAGGCGTCTGCCGTTTCCCCTTGCCAAAGCCCTCCTCCAGTTCCTGGAGTCGAGGACGATCGTAGTGGCGCTCGTGCCAGTCCTCGACTCTAAATGAAACCTTGGGTTCAAGTTAGAGGGAGTGCATTGTGGCAGTCATAGAGTACAGGATGTTTTACAGGTAGCTAGATAGTAGATTAATACATCCTCATTGTCACTCACTACATTCTTGCCCTTATGTCTGGGTGCAAGATACCCCCATAGATACATAGTATAACTAGGACCTGGGCTATGTCATGTAGTTCTGCATATCTACCCCCAAGCTGAGTTACCACTGGCAAGCTTTGAGTGTATCTTTCACTGTGCCATCCCTCATAGTCAACAACAACAACAACAACAACAATGTTGTCATCCTGGCCTTGATGCATGTAGGATTTTATCATCACTGATAGCTTATCCAACCCTCTATACCCACCCCACGATGAGCATCCAGCATACAGAGTTATCGTTCCCTACATTGGGTAAGCCTATCAGGAAAACCCAACTTTCTTAGGGACTTATTTAGACTTTTGGGTCTGGCAACCCTTATTTAAGGCCATAAGTGTTCAGATAAGTCTCAATGAGTTGAATTTCAGACACTCAGAGAATATGGCTTAGGCCCTTTTTGTCCTTATGTCCTTAAATAAAGACCATAAGTTCATTTAAATTATTTAAGTGTCCTCTTAAGGAAAAGTTTGGTTTTTCTGATTTGAAATCCAGTCAGACACACCCTCACCATCGACTTTACTGTCTACACAGCCAGAGCTCCAGATGGACTTGGGTTCAACCAACGAATTAGAAACATGGTTGAACCCCCAAGTGGGCCTGAGTCTAACCCGTGAATATCCTGAGTGCGAGATACTGCAAATGAGTTAGGGCTGCCCCGAGGGTTGACCTGGGTTGAACCCAGTCAAAACTTAGCCCCGGGCTCAATTTGCCCTGATCATGTGACACACGTTGCAGCGAGTGCCACACATGTCAAACAAAGCCCATGGCACGGCGGGATGAACTTGCCTTTGGGTGTTCTGTTCAGTTTGAATTGTTCTCTGACCCTGTTTGACCCTCGTCTCACTCACCTCCCCTTCCCCTCTCACCTGTGTTGTGTCTCGGCATATCTTAAGGTCTGCTGAAGACCTGTTTGCATGTATGCCCATCTGTCGGGCTTTCAACCGTGTTTTTTCTCCTTTTATCTGGTTCTTTTTCTGTGATGCTTGCATCGCCTGGTGTTCTGTACCAGTACCTCAATTTCATGCCATCGAGAGCTTGTGACCTCATGTTAATGCACTATGTTCATTTACTGACCATTTCTGACCTTCAAGTAGATCAGAGCCAGCCGCCATGGCTCCAAACGTGCACAGCGGCATCAACACTCAACAACTCTCAGAGTGTGTACTTTTTGTGAGTGTGTTCCACACGCATCCCCGTGCTACCGAGTTGCTGTATGCAGTCAACAGCACGATCACCACTGGCATGATCCCACAGGGCGGTACACACTTTATCTTCAACAATGTGACACGTGACATCCACATTATATGCTCATCCTCGATTAGCTGCGCTGAACAGCGAGGATCCTGGTGCTAGTCCAGTTGCTCAGCTCTGTGAGCACATTCCCTGTTGATTTCAACCGAGTGATATTGACACTCCATACGTCAGTTTTTGGAATGTCGCCCGACATCGTCGGCGTGTCTCTCGGCGACGTCGGCGGTCAAGAAGTCGCCCAGTTGGCCTCGATGGTGAGCGCAGCGCTCATATTCAATTAACACGCCGGACGTGACTGACCATCACCGGCGGTACCAGATCCCCGACACTGACGAGTGCCTGCAGCGCTGTGGCCTCACGCGCGGCACCCAGCCGATGGCCAAGCAGGATTTGCGCGTACCGGGGAATGCGTTCCTCTCCGGTGTGAGTGCGGGCGTGGGCGCGACCGCCTCCTCGACATCGTACAGCCGCAGCATTATGCAGACTGCGGACCTCGTCACGGTGATCGAGAACCCCGTCGCGCCATCAGTGATCTGTATCTCTGCAACTGTAGCCTCCTTCGCGGACATTACAACATGCAATGAACTCACGCGTGGTTTGGAATGGATACGGGGATGCTGGGAACGACAGTTCTGCGTGCAGTAGAGAATTTCGTACACAATATATATATATTTTATTTTGCTTATAAGCATATTTCACAGCAATAAGTACAGAATGGGAAGGACAAATTAAACTGGTGTGCAATTTTGCGAGCATGTGACCTAGCGAGCGTTTGGGCCTGAGGCTCATTGCCAATGAGCCCCAGGTTAACCCGAGGGCCCGATAGACTGAGGTCCGCCCCTCCTTTTTCCACCCCAAGCTCATTTCTATTCACCCAGGGTTCAACTGCTCAGGGTCCAACCGTGTTGAATACGGTGACCTGCCTGTGTACATTCATTATTCTTCCATGTTGATCTCTTCATTCTCACCACCCCATCCATCAACCCCTTAGATCCACTACTCATAGGCTAGTGACAATGTGGAAGAGCACAGCAGCTCATAATAGTCCACTGCTTCTTCAGACCTTGATGATGGTCAGTGTTATCTATCAGTCCAATCACACATCCATCCCTGCAGCACACTAACCAGCTTACTGTCTATTCCTCTACCACTCAGTCTGTCACATTCAGAAACTATTGTCGTTTATCCTAGAATGAACAACCACTGTTCTTAGTGGACTTTGTGCTTGTTTGTGCTCCTGCTGGGCAACTGGATCAGATTATGTAAGGGATTAGTACAGTTGTCGGGAGCTGTCCCTGATTGATGCTTTCATTTCTTATGCTTCATTTGTGCTCTTCCTTCCGGTGCAACTCACATTCACCCATATGGTCTTATCACCAGTAATTCTGTACTCCAGATAGCAGAGTGCTAGTCTGGCCAATGTCCCAATTATGCTATCATAGATTTGTTGCTCCATACATACTTGGTTCATTGAGGCCTGTCATGGACATGTCCTAAGCCCACTGGGGTAAAGACAGATATCATATTGTAAACATTGTAAACAAGAGTACTCAACCGGAGAAAGCTGAGACCACAACCTAGGGAGGGAGGGGCATCAGGAAAAACACCTTTAGTGATAGGTTGCTTTAAGAGCATGCTAGAGCATCCTAAAGCATTTAAAGCACTGTCTGAAATTCCTAGAATTGCCCAGACTGCTTTCAGATACTTTAAGATGCTCTGAGACACTCTGGAAAAGTATATAAAATCCACTTCAGGGTACCCTTCCGACCTAGCTTTTAACTTCAACATAATTTACATTATGTAGTAGCTAAGAGTCTCTCAGGTGTCAGACAGACCATGGTACCAATACATGTCCCAGAGCATTATATGGGATTACTCAGGGCAAAGGCAGGGCATAGGCTGGTCCAATGGCACAATTATCATATGGGATGTCCTATAGTACTAGGGCATTGATATTTATATCCCAGTATTAGTGGTTGTCTCATGGTGCCAGGGGTACATAGAGATGTTCCACTATTAGTAAAAGATGTATTTTCAGGCTATTGTATGTGTAGTTTTTTATACTTTATTCCACTATCATATTATCTAAGCCTTAATTATAAAAACAGTGACTATAGTGATATAAACAAGCACTTTATTTGCATATTATATAAGGTGGGATCTCCCATTTTAAGGGCATCCTAAGATGTGATTTTAAGATTCACATATATTTAGTCTCTTCTTTAGCCTGAAGTTTCTATTAAACTACTATAATTATCTAGAGATTTATACTAACAGTTGAATTACTAAGGTTTAAGAGTGACAGGTCCTTACATGAGATATCCCATCACATAAAGGGACATCCCATAATACAAAGGTGTCATTCAGTAAATGCATTTCTGAGTGTAACTTGACTGAAGTCTTAGGTCAAATGCCGTGTTTTAAAATCGATTTTACATTTTCTGACATAATGTTCAGACTAACATGATATAATTTTTGGCATATAGTATGTATCATAGCTATACTACAACTTTCACTAAGTGTCTCAAGAAATAGAACAACTCAGTCTACTAATATACTAGCAAAGGAGATATATTCTTGTCATGTCTCCTATCATATCAGAATAAAGTTGTTTGACCTGTCTTAGTTGTTATATGAGCTAATGAAGTTGTTGTGCATGTGACCAATAGTGATATAGTCTTTATAACATTACAAATGCATACACAATACTTGATATGAGATATCCTGCTTTTTATAAATATTTTACCATATATAAAGTGCAAATAAGGCACTTATTTACAGTATTCTAGTCACTGTTTTTATAATTAGAGCTTATACAATATGATTGTAGAATAAAGTATTAAAAAACTATCATGCAATAGCCTAAAAATACATCTTTTACTAATAGTGGGACATCTCTATGTACCCCTGGCACCATGAGACAACCAGTAATACTGGGATATAAATATCAATGCCTTAGTACTATAGGACATCCCATATGATAATTGTGCCATTGGACCAGCCTTTGCCCTGCCTTTGCCCTGGGTAATCCCATATAATGTCCTGGGACATGTATTGGTACCATGGTCTGTCTGACACCTGAGAGGCTCTTAGCTACTATACAATATAGATTATGTTGAAGCTAAAAGCTAGGTCAGAAGGGTACCCTGAAGTGATAGAATTTCTATTCTATATAGGATTTTCTGAACTTTGGCATTGGCCAAGAATGCCTTATATAGAGTTTTCAAAAATAATGGCCTTGGCCAAGAACATTGAAATTTGTGTTCTATATGGAGTTCTTCAAACTTTGGCTTTGGCCAAGGATGTTCTATATAGCTTTAGTGAAAATGATGGCCTTGACTGAGTGTTATGAAGTTTGCATGTTATGTAGGATTTTTTAACATTCAGCCACAACCGAGACACTATATACAGTGTTTGCACAAATGGTGGCCTTAGCTGAGGGTGACAGAATTTCTATTCTACATAGGGTTTTCTGAACTTTGGCATTGGCCAAGACTCTTGAAATTTGTATCCTATATAGGGTTCTCCACACTTTGGCTTTGGCCGAGTAGTATCCTGTATTTGTTTTAATCAGAAAAAGCAAAATTTCCTTCACACATAGGAGTTTTGAAGCTGAGGCCTTCACCAAGTGTATATGTACAGGTTTTATCACATGTGATGCTGTCGACTATAATAAGGCAGGTCAGATTACCTTCGGGGTTTCTGTAATAGTTGGGCAGTCCTTTGCTGTTACATTCTAACACCAATATCCTTTATATCAAATAATTTGGAGCCACTGAATTTAATCTAAGAGTCAGGTTACATTCATCAATTAAACTAATTGTGAAGTATGTGCTAGAACCCCTGGCGCATTATATACTGGAGAGTCATTAGTGTGAGATATGTCCCAAATTCTACCCATAAGGATTTGTTGATCTTCAACACCTCAAATACTGCTGAGCGCATATAGTGTGCTATGCATATCCTTTCACCTCCCTCTCATACATCACAGCTATGTTCTAAAACTCTTCCCCAGATTCCTATCAATGTTCCAGAACAGTGACTCAGCTCTATTTGCAGATCATCCAATTGAAGAACTGCTCATTTGTGGGTACCCACACTGGCAAATATGTTAAGACATGCATGCCAGGCTTTGCTATTCTAATGAGGAATTGTCTGTCAATTCACAATAACTCTCACTGCTGTAAAAATTGAGGGTCATCATTGAACGTTCTCATGCATCCACTGTAAAACATTCTCATGCTGAATCTTCAACTTGCTAGAAACATCTGCAAAATAGAATGGCCAATTTATCAGGCATAAAGTTGCATTCAGCAACTGCTCAACAAATGAAGTCCTCTCCAGCCAATTACTGACCAGTTCATTTTGTAATGAGACAGATGGAATGAGATTTGTCTGAAGCATGCATGCTCTTCTCAGATCATATGTGGCTTTAGTGTCCAAACTCACATTATGTCCTCAAGCAAACCATTCAGCAGAAATGTCCAGAGAGCCTGCATTGAATTGTCCACCAGAAGCTGGAATAAACAAATTTGCATCTGTCTGAAAGTTATCACCTTGTGAAACTATTCTCTGAAGTAACTGGTATATTTCACAAGTCACATCATTGTAGTCATTATAGGACTTATATTAGCAAGTGACAGCAGTCAGAGGGAAAACTTACTATATATGCTTGTTCCAAGATACCTGGCAGATACCATGTAAGAATCTTATTATTTGTGTTCAGAATAACTGCAGGCTTTAAGACAACTAGCATTGGTCCTGGGCCACTGTGCTTGCCATTTCTCTTTAGCACTCCCTTGTCTGTCACATAACAATTGGCATGGACTTAGTAACATGGCAAATCAATATGTATCTGATTAAAATAAGCAAAATTGACAAACTGGAATTCAGAAGTGCACAGGCAACAACAGTGACAATATGGTTGAGCTCCACAGCATGGGGTGCAGGTGTGAAATTCACATGTTGAGCCATAAGGGATTTCTCCTTCAATGCCTCTGGAGGCGTGTTCTGTATGATTATAAGCAACACAAATGTAGATCATATAATCAAACCAACCTTATTCTCTCACATTTAATGTCAGCGATGATGAGTGCACACCCGACACAAACACCTAAACCCTACTAAAACAAACAAGAAGCAGGGGGCGATCTGTGTGTGAGGGAAGGGCGTCACAACTGTAAAATAAAGCAAGTGGGTCCCAGAACCTCGACCTAAGCCAAAGGGGGATGCAACCTGTAAAGAAACGAGGGTTCGCGATGTACACGCGAAGTCGGGCGACAATCTACGACAAAGTCGTGAAAGTCAGAGGTAGGAGGCTAAAGTCGCGATGCAATCGCCAAACTCATAGGTGAAGATGAACTAAATCGCAAAGGGCAAGGGAACTATCTGTGGGGGTAGAACACTATGGGGGAACACAGTATTCGCCATCTCGATGAAGTCGCAGTCAGTCTAACGCAAAAGTCGGATTTAAGACTAATGCAGGTCACTATCGCTATATCGCTATGTCGCTATCGCAGTGTCACAGTTCGCTATCACAGTCACAGTACGCAGTCTCGAAGTATAGCAGTCTCGCTATGTCGCTATGTCGCAGTGGGGTATATCGCAGTTCGAAGTCGCTATCGCAGTAAATGCAGTTTTCTCGG